AATATAACGGGAATGTTAGATCTCCTCCATTATTCACAGATGATACATTTTTTCTTTTATATAGGAAGGATCCTATTCAATTAAATAATCTTTAAAATTGTTTAAAAAAATTGATAAAAAAATAGCATTAGTTCCAATACAATAGACTTAAAATAAACACCATGAAGACTTCTCTAGTGATTTTCAAGCCCCAAACTAAGAAAATAGATGACAGTACAATACAATTATATATCAATAAACTGAGATTAAAAAGGTAGGCCTACAGTTTACCAAAATATTAGGTGTAATAATCGATGAAAGTATGAGTTGGGAGCAACAGGTAAATGAAATGTCCATGAAGATTTCTAAATCCATTGCAATCTTGAACAGACTGCAAAGTGACTTACCCTTGCGCATTCTTGAAAAACTATATGATAATATATTATCACATCTCACCTTTTTCAATATTATATAGGGGAAATTGTGCAATTTATCTAATGCAACAACTATTTCAATCACAAGACGGGCATTACGAATAATAACTATCTCTACATAGTTAGCTCATTCACTCAGAATGGTTTTAGATTTAAAGATTCTAAAGATTTATGATTTAGATGCCTTTAAATTGCATTATGTTTTCGTAATAGAAAGAAATGTTTGGTTCGCACCCATAGTAGATCGCGTGCTCGATCTTGAAAAGAAAAAGTCAGGAAAAAATCTTTGAACCAGCGTGATCTACTGGATGCAAGCCAGAAATAACTGTACAACAATTGTAACAAGTGGAGCATATATCAAGGGGCACTTTAGAGACATCGTACAAATAGGATTGATCATACATCGTCGTTAAAGATAAACTTGAGTTCTGGTTAAAAAGAATTTTAAAAAACGAATTCTCACAGAATCCAAAGAAACTTACAATGAATGTTCAAGATTACAAATAAATTTCATTTGCCAAACAATTTTGGTAGAACATGTATACTGGCTGAGTAATGACCATATAAAGATAAGGAAATCAAGACTGGGCCAAATTTGTTATGATTTTGATGACTCCAGAACCTTGCAGTTCTCACCAATGATATGCTAGATGATCAACTTTTCTGATCCATTCCATACCTGTTCTTTCACAATGCAATCGCATGACCAGAAATCAACTTTAACTTTAACCACATCTATCCCTCCCTGCTAAATCATCCGAACAGAGCAAACAGTGCAAGTTAGGGTTAAATGAAAGACAATGATGCATGACATATTGTCTGTTGTCATGGTTGTATTGTCTACCATTTAATCTTTATATTTAACTTTATTCTTGATAATATTTCAGTCATGAATTGCGAGTTGATAATATATACGTGCATTACACAGTGGTTACCTTCATAGGAGGCAAGCGAAAGGAAATGGAGCGAAATTTACTGAAATATCGGGAAAGTGTAAAATGGTTTTAGGATTGTAAAATGTCACTTTTTTTCACAAATGAAAACTGCTATTCTACAATGTAAGCAAATCTCCTGACACAATTGGGCTTTTGTATTCATATTTTATCATCTGCTCGATTTACCTCTCGTTAGTTAAAATAAAAAAAGAAATATTAACGAAATGTCTTTGTGAACAAAATCTCTACTCAAGCTTTCTAATGATAATGGCGTTGTACAAATGAGTTTCAGATTTAAACATGAACATATCATTACAAAAAGAGTGGATGTAGTGTCGCAATAAATCATGGTCACATGACGTATTGCAAAAATAGTCATGATACTAAGTATCAGAATGATACCACTACTACTAAGCCTACTACCATATGTACTACTATACTACTGCTATTGATAATTATGCTGATGATGCTGGTAATCATGATATGATAATACAAATAATAATACAAATAATAATAATCATCATCGTCATCATCATCATCATCGTATTCATATTCAAATTCAAAATGATAATGATAATAGTGATAATAATAATAATAATTATACTACTTTACTTCTTCTACTAGTACTACTACGACGCCGATGTGAAGACGACGAAGACAAAGAAGAAGAACAAGAACAAGAACAAGAAGAACAAGAAGAACAAGAAGAACAAGAAGAACAAGAAGAACAAGAAGAAAAAAGAAGAAGAAGAAGAAGACGAAGAAGATGTAAAAAGTAGAATTTCGGCGATATTAGTGATTATAGTAACTCCATGGAACGACGTAAGAGGGGGAAGAGGAAGGAAGGACAAAGAGAGAGAGAGAGAGAGAGAGAGGGGGGTATGGCCCAGTGCTCAAACCGAATTTTCTATCAAAAGATTTTTAAACCCGGTACTGATTTATCTTCCATATGTGGATGGCATGTAACGCTACATAAAAATAGTACCATAATGCTGTTCATTGTCTTCGCAATATTCGACATTTGTTGAACAAATAAGAATAATAATACATCTTCGTTAACCTCTGAACATATTCACTTATATCCATCTCTGCTGAATCATCCTATCAGTGGAATCAACTGTAGAACAACATGATTATGATTCATGAAAGAGTGAGCGTAGCAATAATTGCCTACGATTGTTGGTAGCTTTGAGCTAAAAGGATTAAATCTTGTACTAATTAATTTTTTATTTTTTTTACTGACATTTCAAAAAATTGAAATGAAATGATTGATTTTTATTTCTCATGCAAAACATAATACAAAAACAATTATATCACAACAAATATGTAATGAAACGATAAATATAGTGGAAATAGCACGAGAAAAGAGGAACCAACTTGAAGCAGAGCTTGTTGAAGTGTTAGTTCCTCAGATGTAAATTTTACAATAAAACATGAACAAAGTATGCTTATAGATCAATAAATAGACAATATGTAGCTAGGAAGAAGGAAAAAAAAGAAGAAAAAAATGAGGAAAAAAAAGAAAAGAAAAGAGGAAAAAAATGAATGGAGGAAAATAGTAGAAGACAAAAACAAAAGCTCTAGAGAAGGGAGATTGAGAAAGAGATTGAGTCGAGAGTCAAACAAACCGAGATTCTATCATGTACATCTATATGTGTCTAAAAGTTTAGTCTTTAACTTTTTTTTTTAAATGCAGACTAATATTTTGTTTAAGAGATGGATCTATGTTATTCCAATATACTGGACCGGTGTAAATAATTGTCTTTTGTGCGAAAGCTGTTCTTATTCGAGGAGTGTAGAAGTGATTCGACTGTCTTGTGTCCCAATCGATTACCATATGACGCTACATTAAATTGTTGTACAGAAATATTGGTTCGCACCCACTAGATCGCGTACTATACGTGCTCGACCTTGTAATTGAAAAGAAGAAAAAACAATCTTCGAACCAGCATGATCTACTGGGTGCAGTCCAGACATTCCTTTCAACAATTGAAACTTCTCCCAGGCAGGCTAGCATTTGAAAATTGTTGTTTATTAAAGAAGCATTGTAGAGACGTTGAACAAATAAGAATAATAATACATTGTCGTTAACCGTGAGAATATTCACTTTCTGGGTCCCACATTGTTTGCTTTCAAGGGGACCTGGAGTCCTGGATTATATTTCACCTCACCACAACACTTATTAGGGACTTTTAGATTTGCACGTCGACATAGTGGACTGCTACGTGTGACGTCTTTTGCCTTAAAAGGATGTCACATGCCTTAAAAGGACGTCACGCGTAGCAGTCCACTATGTCGACGTGCAAATCTAAAAGTCCCAATATTAATGTTGAAAAAGCCACAGAGTTACTGTAATAAGGGATTCGGGTTTTAAGATATCCTCTATGGGTGAGTGAACGTTTTGTGTTTAAGACAGCATCCCTTGTGTTTAGACAGCCATCTGACTTATAATGAAAATAGCTACTACCAACCCAAAGAAGAGAACAAATGTAGACCACATGGAAGCCCATTCTTTACTTCCAAAACATCCCCATTGTCATAATTGTCACCAGTGCAGTCTATCTTTCACATGCAAATTTAAAGTTAGTGCAATGACATCCTGTATGCACTCTATTATGAACTCAATATAGCACGTGTCATCGCGATTTCATAAAGTTCAGTTGATAAAACTCACTAAAATCACCGTTTTCCTTACTTTTGTGCGAATCCTCGAGTCCAATCTTTGCTATAATGACTTAATATGCAGTTGAAACAAAAAGAATGGTCCTTTAAATTATACTGATAATGAAACAAAATTAAAGCATGTTGTCAGAGTAAAAAAAAAAAATGTTGGCATCCACAGAGGAGGAGCACAATTTTTCCCATTTGGTCTATTCTCCCATGTGTATAATACCTCTTTGGTATATCATTCGTTAGGTGTAATTGCCAGACGGTCTAATTTCCAATTTGTCTAATACCCATTTCGTCTACTATCCATAAGGTCTAATAATCATTTGAAGATTATCATTATTTGTGATTAAATGACTGTTAGCCTAATTAGTCATTAGACCAAATAATAGGTAGACGTAATGATAATGAGACCATGTGAGGCAATGACCTCCCCCTCCCCAACCTAATATCAAGCAGAACTGTTTCTGGGGGTAATGTTGACACCAACCTCTTCTGCCAGCCAGGCGCGGATCCAGGATTTCTCAGGGGAGGGGCCCACCTTTTTTTTTTCGCTCCCGAAAATTTGAAAATCGTGCCGGCCGAAAAGTCGCTCAGTGGGGGGCAGTGGCGGATCCAGGGAGGGGGGGCGGGGGGGGGGGGGGGTAGTGAGCACATTTATTTTTTTGGTCCTCGAAAATTTAACAATTTGCACCCCCCCCCCCCCTTATTTTTACTTTTCTTTGGGGTTGCCCCCCAAAAAAGGTTTAAAAAAATCACGTGTTTTTACTTGATTTTTTTATCAAAGGAGGGGGGCTTTTCTCTCTTTGGTACTGAGTGACAAATCTAGATTAATGCTTTGCCAAAGAACATTAACGCCGTGTCGGGGATCGACCTTTGAATATAAAATGAAGGACTTAAACCACTGGACTACAACACCTCTTAAATCTCCATCTCTTTACACTCCCTTACTCCTTTCTCTCTCTCTCTCTCTGTCTCTCAGACGATGTTTACATCAGCATCTCAGCGTCTCTACAATGCCACGAAGCAGCACGTCTACTGGGGGCACATCAAGATTCTGGTCCCGAACACCTGGTCCATCCAGAGCCAGTACCAGTTTGCTAGGACCGAAAACTCACAGTCTGCAAACATTCTCGTGCATAGCCGTACAGATGACGAACCGTTTGTCGAAAATTTCGTAGGTTGTGGGACCGAAGGAACTCTGATGCACTTGACACCGGCCTATATTCTAGATATGCAGTACCGAGAAAAAATGTTTGGCAACACAGGTAGGTGTATTTCATGAAACTCCATTTTGAATTTTGATTAAAATGACATGTATATACTTGTAACCCATTCCAAAAAAAAGTAGACTTTCCAAAAAAGTCTAAAAAAATGGACCGTTTCATATAATTCTTGATGGTCTAAAATATTACTTTTTCACTCAAATAGAACCAAATTTCTTGGGTAACAGAAAATAATGGTCCTTACCTTTGTCGTTATAGAACAATTTTCTTGCAAGTATCCAGCAAAGGTTCGTCAATTGTCACACCTTGATCTGTACAAGGTTTGTCGATTGCCACACTTTATTCTTACCAACGTTCGTCGATCGCCGCACTTTACTTTGACCAAGGTTCGTCGATTGCCACACCTTGATCTGTCCAAGGTTTGTCAATCGCCACACTTTACTTTGACCAAGGTTTGTCGATTGCCACACCTTGATCTGTCCAAGGTTTTTCGATCGCCACACTTTACTTTGACCAAGGTTCGTCGATCGCCACACTTTACTCATTCCAAGGTTTGTCGATCGCCGCACTTTACTTTGACCAAGGTTCGTTGATCGCCACACTTTACTCTTTCCAAGGTTTGTCGATCGCCGCACTTTACTCTTTCCAAGGCTCGTCGATCGCCACACTTTACTCTTTCCAAGGTTCGTCAATCGCCACACTATACTCTTTCCAAGGCTCTTCGATTGCCACACTTTACTCTTTCCAAAGTTTGTCGATCGCCACACCTTGATCTGTCCAAGGCTAGTCGATCGCCACACCTTGATCTGTCCAAGGTTTGTTGATCGCCACACTTTACTTTGACCAAGGTTCGTCGATCGCCACATTTTATTATTACCAAGGTTCGTCGATCGCCACACTTTATTATTACCAACGTTCGTCGTTTGCCACACTTTACTCTTTCCAAGGTTTGTCGATTGCACCACCTTCATCTGTCCAAGGTTTGTCGATTGCCACACCTTGATCTGTCCATGGTTTGTCGATTGCCACACCTTACTCTTACTAAGGTTCGTCGATCGCCACACTTTACTCTTTCCAATGTTTGTCGATCGCCACACCATACTCTTACTAAGGTTCGTCGATCGCCACACTTTACTCTTTCCAATGTTTGTCGATCGCCACACCATACTCTTACTAAGGTTCGTCGATTGCCACACTTTACTCTTTCAAAGGTTCGTCGATCTCCACACCATATTGTTACCAAGGTTCGTCGATCGCCACACTTTACTCTTTCAGAGGTATACAATTGCCATACCTTGATCTGTCTAAGGTTTGTTGAATGTCACACTTATCTCATACAGAACAATGTATATCAATCATAATCAAATCTTTGAAACAACAAAGTAGTTTTTATTCAAAATATATATATGATATTCACTTTATTATTACTCTTGCAAGTGCTGGTAATCAATTGCAGTCCATGTTCCCCTGTTCAGGACATTTTGGGGACCACTCATAAATGGGTTAATGTAACATGGGTTTAAGAAAGTGAAAATGCTTGTTATTACAGAGTGAAAGGTCTGTATTACTATTTGAATTAAATTAATACATATGGAAGACTTATGTATTACAAAATATTATCATAGAAACATGAATATTCTAGTTATAGAATTATTTGATAAATTCAAAGATCATTTCAGTAATGCAGATATTTAAACATTATCTATATATATAAAAAAATAGAAGGAAAACAAAATTGTCATTGTTACACTCATTACAAATTACTTTGAAACAACTTTTAAACTAGCTCTGATAACAATGGTTTATGTATAAACAGGGAGCCCCCCCCCCCAAAAAAAAAAAAACACAACAACAACAACAACAACAATGCAATGGGGTACTTTCCAAAATAAAGTAACAAAATGATTGTGTCCACCGGATAGAATGTCCGTTCAGATGAGAAATGATACCAAGAACAGTAATTTTGTTTTTGTTGTAGGACGTCTTAAGTAAGACCATGTCAGGTTCCCATTTTTGCCATTTTTACCAAGTCACTTCCTGATAAATCGCAGTTCCTGTCATCATATCATCGAGCAACTATGCCCATTATTGGCACACAGCTGAATGCACACTAACAATGCCATACGTATTGCTCATTGTTCGACGCTAAGGCGCACTGACTTGGTAAAAATTGACAAAAAAAGGGAACCTGACATGGTGTCACTCTAAGAGCACTAATGCAAAACTACACGACCAAAAGGACTATTCTTGGTATCGTTTTCATTGGAAAGGGCACCCTATCTGTTGGACATATTAATTTTGTTGAAAAATCAACTGGTTACATCACAAATCCATCTGTTCATTAATTTCTCTCTACTCCCTAAATCATCAATGTGTAGCATTGAAAAGATATGCCTTTACACTGATTACATTAAAGGGGTGGTATAGTTTTGGCAAGGCCGAGCTATAGTATCCAAAACATGCACAATAACATTACAAACAAATAAGTTCAACACCACCAAGCTCGAAAGGTAAAGAAAATAGTGACTTCATAAAAGGCCCATCATTATTTTAAAAAGAGCCATTCAAACAAAAGAGGGTGCTCTCTAAAAAGCATTGGTTTCAACCATTTTTCATACAAAATTATGCATTTGATATCTGTCATTAAAATTGTAGACATTTTCAAGTCTTACACTCAGTTTTTCATTATCTCACAAAATAAAGCCTAATTTGCTTATTTGCATACATAGAGAGTGTCTCTGGCTGAATTTTCTTCTTTTGATCCAAAGAACATGTAAATTCCAATATCTTGATAAAAACACCATTGTAATAGATTTTCCATTTCCATTAAAGGGATCCGGAAACTTTGTTTTAGATTCTGAAACAAAATCCTGAAGTTAGCTCATGCTGCAATGATAATTATAAACCTTTAGGTAAGTCAGGAACCCCATGAATTTTACAAGCCGATCGCCTGTCTGATTATTAAGATATTTATGATTTGAAAATAACACTACAGTCTGTTGGGGAAAAGAGGTATGGTAAAACCGGTCACTGATTTTTAAAAACTTTTTTGAGGCACTTCTTGATCATTTTGAAGCGCAATTTTTTTTAGGGCTTCAATATTACACAATATCACAGACACCGTACACGTAGGGCCGTGCATCTCAGATTTAACATTGTTAAACGATGCCTTTGATACATTTGAATAAATTATGCAAATTAGGCCTAATTTGCATATAAACAGAGCTTAACAAAACAAATCTTTTGATCCAAAAAATATGTTCTCTTTTAAATGTGTCAATAAAGAACCCATTGTAATGGAATATCCTATTACAAAGAATAAATTTGCATAAATTATGGAAGTTAGACCTAATTTGCATAGATACAGAGTTTGGATGAATTTTTTTTCTTTTGATCCAAGGAATATGTGTCCTTAGTAATCATCGTACCTCAAAATGCAAAAAGCCTACTATAATTCACACATTTTGGCTCATAGCACATATATCTGGCCACTTTATGTGGGTTTGAGGAAAGGGAGTCACATATGAAATTCACTATACATTTGTTTAGCAATTTCTACTTTGTCCTTCATAAGAGGGTGTGTAAAAAATTCATCCTTTTCATGCACGTACTGTACACGAAGGGTGCAAATGATAAACTGATCGGCCTCCACGTCCTGAACATCTGTCTTGGAAAGCCTGATCCGCCCTTTCAGAAATCGGACAGAGGCAATACCATTTACATTGTCCAGGTGCGAAACTTGTCCAATGGGGGGAATCTGCTGCCTGAATAAAACACAGCCACCCAGTCTCCTTGGACAACAGTTTTTCCATTCCTCAGGTGAAGCTGCAATGGAAAAAACTTATTGGTTAGTAATTTTATATAAACTAGTTCAAACATGTCAAGAATGATATGCAAAATGAGATTATTCTACAAACCAAGACAATAACAATTTTTTTCCCCTTTCTTTCTGATGCAAGCAGAATTGGTGCTGGGCGCATCATCATACTCTTTGTGGAACTGATTCGTGAATAATTCCTATTTGGCCTGATAGTCTTCAACTTCAAACTTTTTGTACCTTTTTGGTTTCGATCATGTTACACTACATACAAGGTCATTTGCAAAATTACAATCATAACAATGGAGCACATATATCTTTAAATCATTTATAACACTTATGACACACATATAACATTATAGATGTTAAACACAAATATTCATGCTGAAATATGTCATGCATTAATAATAATCTATATACTTTAATTGCATTGAGTGAGCAAATATCAATACCTTAGAAGAAATATTCTCACCTTATTTATGCAGTTATCAAGGCCCAGGAAAAAAATGATGAACGAATGGTGATTATCCAGAATGATGTATCCTTTTTAAATTGTAGTCCAAGTTTAGGTGCACACCAATTCCTTTATATTGCTATGTAATGGTAGTACAAGTCTACACCCCTTGGTAATAATATGTAATATCACTCAGTATATGCCCCTATACAGATAAGACCCACCCTGCGAAATACCAGACCTCCTTCCAAGACATTTGTTTAATTCTAGCCAAATAAACCCCAAATTGTATACACTCGATAAGAGCCCCCAAACCTCCAAAACAAAAGACTTCCTGTCTTTCTCCCAATAACCAAAACCCCCTTTCCCAGAACAGATTACATGTGTTAGCTAAATGACTGTGAGAGGGAACTTGTCTTTGTCCCTTTGACACAATGTAACCTACCCTCATATCCATTTTGTATCCTTCTGTATAAATTATGAGAGGTTCTGGCTTTGTAGAGAGGAGTTCAGTTTTGATCACCATTAGATCAAGGCCCTCTTTCTAGCTGGCTCTCTCTTCATCTTGTGTTTTACATATGTGGAAGTTCGTATGATTCGAGTCTTCAAAGTTTGGAGATAATAAATACTCTTAATATAGTCTATCCTTGCTTCTTCATATTCAAGGTTTAAGGTTCAAGGTTCATTTTATTTTGAGGCCTCGAGCTCAAATTTTAATTAGGATTTTGTGACTATACTTGATATTTCTGATTTGCTTGCTTCTGCATAAATCATGTATTATATGTATAAAAAAGTCTCAATTAATGGAAATGCACATTCACAGTCTGCAGGTTCTTATTTCAAATTGATACATAACAATTTTGTTTTATTTAGATTTAGAAAAGCTGTAATTCTATTCTTTGGAAGAGCATATAATTTCATTCATGAATTGATTTCAAATGGTAGGTGGAAATAAGAGTGGGCTCAAAACTAACATTTCCTAAATTCCTTGACCTCTATTTATCAAACCATAGACTTACAAGATATGTTTTAAGTCTATGAACAAACAAACCTACAAAGTTCCCTCCTCAAAACATGGATTTATTATTGTATAACTCCAAACCCTTGACAATAAACATAACAAAGTTTATCTGTCATGACAAAAACTCGTCGTTTAAAATTCAAACCCCGATTTGACTTTCACCATTTCTACTTGTACTAGAGCTGAGATTGTGATAAGCCCTAAGTAAACACTAGCGCTGTAATCCACCCCCACCGAGACCTTGATGAGGTGATAGCGAGAGAGAGATAAGCATGATACAAGGGGAAAGGAAGGGAGAAGGGAGAAAGACACATGCAGGGGTTCGCTGCCAGAGTTAAAATTGTTGTTATATTGCCAATTATGGGTCATTTTGCTTCGTTCGAAATTTCATTTTGGTCTTCATCTAAATTATTAGTGAATTCAGGACATGAAAATATCTTAAAACAGGTAAAATACTTATTTCCTACTTCTCATTTCCTTTCAGGCAGACCCCAGTAAGAGTTTGTTCACACTAGTATTACGTAAGATGATGAAGAGTCCAGCTGCAATGCAATATCTTAATCTCTCACTCAGAGCCTCAAGGCTCTGTCCAATTGTTTAAGGAGAGAATTGAAAGTGAGGTAGTGAGACCCCATCAGATTCCTATTGATGCCTGTGTAATAGTAGTAGCTCTCTCAAAGTTTTAACGAGAGAAACAAAACTGGGGTAGTGCTACCCCACCAGATTACATTGACTGCTGTGCTATAGTGGTGGGGTTCGTAATGTCATAATGCCCCTGCCACAGGATTTACATACATCCACTCACTCGCAGGGAGGTGGATAGTGGAAGTTCCGTAGAGCATGTAGTGAGCAGTAAGTCTACATTATAGGCCTACTGACAGGAGTCATTCACTGCATTAAAAAACTATAAAAACTTAATCTCTGTGAATATCAATCAATCATATCATGATTGAAAATAATCATTATATTGTCAGATATAACAAGTCTAAGACTTTAACATGGCTACAGCAGCAGGGATTAATCATATTCATGATCTGTCTATCGATGACATGGATTTTCATTCAGGCAGTATTTATGAGTTTGACTCAGACTCAGAGTTACTACAAGATATATTGCAACTAAGTCTGCATGATGTAGACCTAGCAGAAGCACCAGTATGTATTGCTGCAAGTACTCCCAAGAAAAAGCAAAAATTTGCTCCCTCGACTTCACTCAGTCAGGACGATTTGTCTATTGATGGTATGGATATATCACAATTGAGTCTTGATGATGTATCTTCTGAAAATCATCAAGTTGGCGCTAGAAAACAACATGGCGATCTCTTCACTCATCATGTGGATGAATATTCATTCAATGAATCAGACACTGCTGATCACCAAGAATTTGTGCAACCATCATTGTGTAACGTCGGAAACACCCTTCTTGTGATTACAAAAAATTATTTGATTTGAAAGGCCTGATTTGTGATTTGACTTGTGTTAAGACTTATAATAACTTATTTCAAAACAATTTATTCACTCTAGATACCCTTAAATATGGATTATCATCATTTAATTGGGTTTATTTGCTTTGGACATTGCAACTGTTTACGGAAAATTGGTTTTAACCATAAAATAGTATTGTAATAATGTATTGCACATTTTTTGTTTTGGTGGGTAGCTGCCATGTGATGTTAAAAAAATGTTAGGATAGATATGTCCTGCAGTTCATATATTTTCTGCTACTTTAAATTCAAAGTTGTTTCGGAAGTTACAAAATTGTTTACAGAAAATTTGAGACAACTTTTTCAAATTTTGGTACAGCTTGACAAGAGTAGAGTGTGGCGATCGATGAACCTTGGTAAGAATAAAGTGTGGCGATCGACAAACCTTGGATAGATCAAGGTGTGGCAATCGACGAACCTTGGTCAAAGTAAAGTGCGGCGATCGACGAACCTTGGTAAGAATAAAGTGTGGCGATCGACAAACCTTGGACAGATCAAGGTGTGGCAATCGACAAACCTTGGTAAGAATAAAGTGTGGCGATCGACAAACCTTGGACAGATCAAGGTGTGGCAATCGACGAACCTTGGACAGAGTAAAGTGTGGCGATCGACAAACCTTGGACAGATCAAGGTTACGTGGCAATCGACGAACCTTGGTAAGAGTAAAGTGTGGCGATCGACGAACCTTGGTAAGAGTAGAGTGTGGCTATCGAAAAACCTTGGTCAGAATAAAGTGTGGCGATCGATAAACCTTGGACAGATCAAGGTGTGGCAATCGACGAACCTTGGTCAAAGTAAAGTGCGGCGATCGACAACCCTTCGAAAGAGTTAAGTGTGGCGATCGACAAACCTTGGATAGATCAAGGTGTGGCAATCGACGAACCTTGGTCAAAGTAAAGTGCGGCGATCGACGAACGTTGGTAAGAATAAAGTGTGGCAATCGACAAACCTTGTACAGATCAAAGTGTGGCAATCGACGAACCTTGGTCAAAGTAAAGTGCGGCGATCGACGAACGTTGGTAAGAATAAAGTGTGGCAATCGACAAATACCTTGTACAGATCAAAGTGTGGCAATCGACGAACCTTTGCTGGATACTTGCAAGAACATTGTTCTATAACGACAAAGGTAAGGACCATTATTTTCTGTAACCCAAGAAATTTGGTTCTATTTGAGTGAAAAAGTAATATTTTAGACCATCTAGAATTGCATGAAACGGTCCATTTTTTTAGACTTTTTTGGAAAGTCTACTTTTTTTTTGGAATGGGTTTTGTAAAACTACAACTGGCGGAAGACAGCATTTACCAAATCTACGGAGAATCAGCAGAAACATATTGACATTTGACAGAGAGCATGAAAGACAAATAAGAGCCAACAATTAATGTTTTATGTAGTGACAGCAAAAATGACGTTTCATAAAAACAAATTGACAAAGAATGACCAGACAAAATTAGATTAAATTATTAACGTTTGCAAACAGTACGCCTACAACTACACTTGCTCAATTTACTTTTTTGCTACAATTTAAACTCATTACTAACCATCGTTATCCCGAATTTTACCATTATCAACATCATCATGTTATCATGTAGATGTAAGTATAAATTACATACGCTGCGTGCAACATAAATGTTATAAGTTATAAAAAGAATAAGACATTGCATCTCGCAAAAAAACGGCATTACTTTTTTATAAGTCAATTGCTCAAAGTAAATAAGATTATTGTGATGTTGTTTGGAATAATATGAAGAAACAAAATATTCAAAAGTTACGAATTTTACAAAATAGATTACTTAAAACAGTAATAAGAGTGGAAAAAAGATAATTAGACTTTTGAATGAAAATTTGTGTTTGGATACCCTTGTTGAGAGACGTAACAACCATGTTTCATGTATAATGTATAAAATTGCAGACCAATCAACCCGGATTATATTTTAAGTAAATTTAATTTTAAATACACTTCCTATAGCTTAAGAAATGCTACTCGTATATTTACTTTATCATGAAATAAAACCTGCTTCAAAAGGTTATTTTGGTGCAAAACTATGGAATGAATTGCCGGTAGAAACTAAATATAAACCAACTTACTATACTTTCAAAAGCAGTTTGTAATATTTTTAATATCATGTTTGACTTTTGATAGCAAACAAAAACAACTGATTTATTTTTCTTCTATTAAAAAAAAGATTCTTTATATATATTTTTTTCTCTTCGTATTATTTTTCTAAATTAGGGCTTGTTTGGATTTCTCGCCTTCTAACCTATTTGTTTATATATATGTGTATGTTTTATTTAACTTTGTATGTAAATCATGTTGATCTATAATTTATTTCTTTGTAAAATTGTGATTGCTTTTAATATACACGACGACTTTGCTGAAGAACAGCCATTGGCTGAAGTATGCTACCGTGCTAAAGTAAACAAATAAACAAAAAACAAACAATAAGTAGGTAGATTCTGGTTGTTCGCTCACGAAGCCTCGCACCCATCCCCGCACAAGGCCCACACACACCCATACTAAAAAGCTGGCAACGCTACTGCCATGAACCTTCTCATGAATTTTTGCAGTAGACATGAATGTCAAATATTATTTCATAAAATCTGTGTCGATAGATAGCGTCTTAGTCCGAAACTGGGGGTATTACCGCTGGGGATTGTTTAAAGAACACTATGACGGAAAAGAAGGCGGTAAACCGTTTTACAGCACACCCGGTGGGACAGAGGGAACCCGCTGCTCTCTCCAGATCAAAGGGAATCTTTTGTTGCCTGATGGAACTACTTGCCAGTTTAATGAAAACCAGAGTGGTGATAATCGCAAATGCCGCTTCGTTCCTGATACTGAAGGACAGACGGCTACAGGTTCACTGCTGTTCGCAACCAGAGATGCTCACATACAATCGGTAAATTCTGTCGTTTAGTCCAAGTTCTTAGGACAATTACCTCCTGGGTAATCACCCCCGGCCAATTACCTCCGGGAAATTACCCCCGGAAAACTACCCCCGAGGACAACCAACCCCGAGAACCACCCCCCCCCTCCCCCATGTACAATTACCCCCTCCAAGGATAATTACCCCCCCCCCCCCCCTCGAAATTGTTGTGTTCTTTTATTATAACCAACTTTTTATCAGGGTTTCAGTTTCAGTTTTATTTTTCATTTCCAACAGAACAGTAATTATGACAAGAAATCAGAAATACAATTCAACATTCAATAATAGAATACATTTTACATTGTTTAAAGTTGTGAAATTAAAGGTGGACTTCCCCTTTAATGAACAGGTGGTTAATGTCGGAGGGGGGTAATTGTCCACGGGTGGTAATTTTCCCGGGGGGTAACTGTCCTTGGGGTAGTTCTTCGGGGGTAATTATCCGTGGGTGATTTTCCAGGGGGTATTGTCCTGATACGACTCAGAATATGGGGTGAATAAACGAATCATCTGTTAGCGTTTTTTTTTTAAAACATGCAGCTGTCTATTGAAACACTTTTTTTTCTAAACATATGATGCTGTCATGCCATACTAAGAAATAAAATGATCAGATAATGTGATGGATACTAAAAGTCATTACATGCTATCCCAAATGAGTTGATGTCTCTTTGACAGGATGTTCATTTTGAGTGGAAACATTGTACAGTGTGCATGTAACGTAAATAGCAATTCTCAAAGGTATTAGCAATTAGTTCATAGGTCAATAATTGAAAAGGCCCCAGCCTCTAAGACACAATCTTAAATTAAGTTTTTCTGTTAGTGTAGATCCTACGCTACCATTTCCCAATTATAAAAAAAAAACTCTGTATGGCCATGCATTATGGCTCAAGGCATGGGCAAAAAGGGAAAAAATTATGTTGGGGACCGGGGGGGAATTCACTGAATTATTGATAATTTATTGCATTTTTTTATTTTGTTTATTTGTGGGAACTGCCACCTTCCCTAGCCCCCGCTGCGTACAGTCACGGTTTAGTGGCAAAGCAATGGCTTCGTAACTGTAAGGCCTCCAGGATCAAAACCGTGTCGATGTGCTATATTAGTGCCCTTTTGTGGGGCATTAATCCTAAATACTGTCATTTATGACTTAAGGGCGTAGGTCCCCTAGTTTATAAGCATAGTAGCATACACATGCTTTAGCACTCACGCAAAACAAACTCTGGCAAATTATTATTCAATAAAATCTGAGAATTTATACTATTATCTGGATCTTTTAAGAATCATTGTCCAATGGTTCCATAAATTGGGGTTAATAAAAAATATTCCAACGTTATGAGCGACAGTGTAATTTCTGTGTTGTGCCATTGTTGGTGAGAGAGGCTGTAACGCGTACTCATCTGCGCGCAATGTATTGTTAAATTTCTAAGAAATGTAATTTCTGTTCTTTACTTGGTGGCAAAAGCACGTGGCAATTGGCAATTGGGCAACCTCCACCCCCACATCGAATCGAATAATTTGAAAAGACTGAAATGAACTTCGTAAATAACTAAGAAAATAAAAGTTTATGAAATTTTCTGTTACTAGCAAATTGGAGAGAATCCTCGGTCTGATTGTCCTCGGAGGTAGTTGTCCTTGGAGGGGGTTGTCCTCGAGGGTAATTGTTTTTTGGTTAGTTGTCCTCGGGGGTAATTGTCCCCGGGGGGTAGTTGTCCTAGGGGGATAATTCTCCGGGGGGGGGGTAATTTTCCGGGATGTAATTGCCCTTGGGGGTGATTTTTCGGGGGCTAATTTTCGGGGGGAGGTGATTGCCAAGGGGGGTGATTGTCCTGATACGGTCTTAAACAAAGCACCAGTCCATATACATTATCAAAAACGTTTAAAATATTTTTTAACACATATGCATGAATGTATGTGTCATAACGGCCCTTCTATCACCCCTTGGCTTCGCCTCGGGCGTGACAGAAGGGCCGGTATGAACTCCACAGAGGGAATGATAATTTCCACCACCATTCGATTACAGAGCAGTCCATATTATTTTGTTTTATATACCTCATACTTTTCATTGATTCATGATAGGTCTAGAAAAGAAATCCAATATCAAGAGTCTATTTGCTCCTCACAGTCATATATTAACAGTCTTTTGAAGTTCAAAACAGTTTCAAATATCCAACGCTGAAAGAAATTCAACATACGGAATCTAATCTATAAAGGTACTGTAAGGTACTCTAAGGTAGTGCAGTTAACGCTCAGCGTAAACTGAATGGCTTGAGCGCCGTGAAACCGCGGGAGTTGGGCGCTGGAGGGCATTTGAATTCCTGTACGCTTTGTGTGCTGGCAAAAATCGCGGAGGGGTTAGGCGTACTATCACAGGGTTTTGGCGTTCTATCATTTGACCTTAGGTCAATTGATAGAACGCCAAAACCCTCTGATGCAAAGGTAGATTGAGATGCTCCTTGTCATGTGATAAGGTTTTGACCAATAAGTTAATAAAAATCTATGTATGAGGTATATACACTGTTGGTCATAATGGTGGAATAGTTTTTGTTTTACCCCGATTTATGGAAAGATTTTAACAATAATTTATTCCTACTAGATCTAGATAATAGTATACATTCTCAGATTTTATTGAATAATAATTTGTGAGTGTTTGTTTTTGCGTGACTGATAAAGCATGTGTATGCTACTATGCTAATCTACTAGGAAACCTACGTCCTAAAGTCATAACTGACAGTAATGAGGAATAAAGCCTCATAAAAGGGCACTAATAAAGCATATCGACACGTTTTTGCTCCTGGGGGCTCACAGTAACGAGGCCATTGCTTAGCCACTGAATCATGACTGTACGCAGCGGGGGCTAGGGTACGTCGCCGCCCCCACAAATACAAAAAAACTAAGAAAATGCAATAAATTATAAATAATTCATTGCATATTGCCCCGACCCCTAAGATAAAAAATCATCTATGCGGGCATGCCTTGACCCATAATGCATTGCCCTACAGAGGAATTGTTTATGTTGGGGACCGGTGGAAAATGCAATAAATTTTTGAAAATCTATTGCATTTTCTTTCTTTTTTTGTATTTGTAGGGGTTGCGACGTACCTAGCCCCCGCTGCGTACAGTCATGATTTAGTGGCTAAGCAATGGCTTCGTTACTGTGAGCCCCCAGGATCAAAACCGTGTCGATATGCTTTATTAGTGCCCTTTTATGCGGCATTATTCCTCATTACTGTCAGTTATGACTTTAGGACGTAGGTCCCCTAGTAGATTAGCATATTAGCATACACATGCTTTAGCAGTCACGCAAAACAAACACTCATAAAACTATTATGCAATAAAATCTGAGAATATATACTATTATCTAGATCTAGTAGGAATAAATTATTGTAAAAATCTTTCCATAAATCGGGGTAAAAAAGAAATATTCCACCATTATGACCAACAGTGTACTTATAAATATAGACTGAAGTCTATTGGTGATATGTGTAAATGTGTCGTCAGATCTAGAGTTATGATTAATGATATCAGTAAGCATACTGTTCTACTATTATGGTAGGAAGGATCATTCCTTATTTTTTATTTCATTCATTTTATTTTATTTCAACACGGATCACTTGCTTCAGCCAATGGCTGTTCTTCAGCAAGTCCGATCAACATTGGGAAAGAGCGCAGCACTTAGTTATATTAGTAGAATAAGAAATTGGAAGACAATTATACACTCAACATAGTTAATCAGCATTACCCATCATTGGTACAATTTTTTAATAAATGTTTTATCCCAGCTTCTCACAAATTATCTTGGTGATACATGTATACTTAATATGATGCTGATAACGTACAGGTATACTATTATTTGACGTCCCCATAACATGATATTCGAATGGAGTTTTAACGAGTAAATATGAAATAGATCGTATTTTAAACAAAAGACGTCAAACAAAACATTTCAAACTAATACAAAATATCTTCGCTGGTTTTAAAGGTATAGACCAGTTCTGAAATAGCCTCCCTCTCAAAAAATATTACAAGTGATGTGAAAGAATATGTTTTGGCTAAAACGTGATGATACAAATTTTGCCGGGAAACCGCCTACTAATTGATATATTTGGTAAATTATCATATCGATCCGGCCTGGATAGATATCGCGAATGCACTTCAACATTGAAAATTTTGGCATATATTTTGCTCTTTTGAGAATTAAGGTTGACGTATTGCCATCTAAACCTCTGAAGGCAATATTAAAACAATATTGAATAGATATTTTCTACCCAAAACCCTTTTTTTTTGTTACCACTACCGGTCTTTATATTTAAGGGTTAATAAAACGAAATTCGTAGTTTAAGCTTCTTCCAACCTTACTAAATTTAGTAAGCAAATTTTTATCCACTCCTGTGGGCTTTCACAAACCTGTTTAATTCTTTTGCACATTTCCTTGTTGCTTTGAGCAGAGAATGATGACAATGAGTCAGAATATCTTCTTTATCTATCTCCATTTAATCCAAATGGATTCTTTCACATTTCTTGGCCAGAAATGTGTTTCAAATTCAATGACATGGGCATCATCCCTTTCAACTTTCCAACTCTAAATGCCTATCGTTACCCGCATTTCAGATAGAGCAGTTCTGTGATGACGATGAATCAGACCCGGCTAGCCTCCACAACCCCCTAGCTGACAATCTCATGAACATCAAATGCGGTGAACGCAGTGCATGGTCGGTAATGAGGGATCATACAGACTTCCCTGTGGATGCCCCACCGGTCTCTTACACCACTCCTGTATTTGAGGTCCTCCAGCTCTCGTCAGTCAGAAGTGTAGTACTCGTCCTCGACATCAGTGGTAGTATGGGTGTAAGTCTGTGTTCTCTCTCCATATTCCTCCCTCCCTTTCTCTTTTTCTCATCCCCTCTCTATCTCTTTCTCCAATGTTGTAGTCTAATGAATACATCACCGGTTTGTGGATCACATAGTTAGCGCTTCGAGTCCCAGCCGCGGAACTAATGTTCTTTAGGAATGCATTAATCTATATTTGCCACTCTCCGCCCATATTGAGTATGTGGGTAGCAGGTAGAAATAATTTTATTGAATGTTTCCATGTTTCACGGGTAGCAGGTAGATCGGCTAAAGCCAGGTTTACAAAAGCCCTTGTTAGGGACCTTAAGCTACCAGTAGTATATCATATTCTCCTTTTCATTAATTGATTTGTTTATGTAAATGTTTCTTTAATGGAGGGGGTCATTTACTTCTGACAGGCGAAATTATTAGAGCCGCAAAGAGACGAATAATTTTAAAGAAGAGTTACGTCCTCCCTGTCGTCAAATGTATGATGTTTTATTTTTCAGATAAAGTTATAAATGGCCTACAAACTGAAATTAGCATGTAGTTTGAGGTTAATTCCCCAATTCCCCCTTGATTCGAATATTTGACTATGTACACCTTTATATCGTAACATATGAACGCCCTGTTGAACTTGAACACAAATACACGTGTTGTATAGGTTCTTTAAGTTTTTAATTTACATCTTCAATTGGCCAATGAAAATGGACGATTAAAATCAAAAAGGCATCCTTACGCTCATACAATGAGTCATAAACAAAAAAAAATCCATGTTTTACCATATGACATCATATGCTTTTTTTTTTAGGGGAACCGATTTGACCGAATGGTCGCGTCATCTGCTGATTACATCATGAGTGTAATTCCCTCAGACAGCAAGCTCGGAATCGTAGTCTTCCAATCGTATTCAGAAATCAGAGCAAATCTTACGGATATTACCGATACTGCTTCACGTGAAAGACTCGTCGATGCTTTACCACCATCAGCGGGTGGTAGCACGTGTATCGGATGCGGGATATTGTCAGGCATTCAGGTACCATCGGCTAGGTCTAACCTAATTCAAACCAGTGCCACACAAGGCGTCATTAGGGACTTTTAGATTTACACGACGAGAACGTGGACCGCCACGTGTGACATCCTTTTAAGATAATGTGACGTCCTTTTAAGGCACTGCCAAGCACGGCCCAGTGCCTTTACACAATGTCACACGCGACAGTCCACGTTCTCGTCGTGTAAATCTAAAAGTCCCTATTTGCCTGACGCAGGACTGCCACAGCGACTGACGCGGTATTTTATGCGCTATGTCAGAGTAACATCAAACAAAAAGTGAATGGAAAATAAACAGTTTGTAAATTTCCTTCACGCGCTTTATTAGCGCAAGTAATAACGGAACACAAATGACGGCTCGTGTGCAAAAAGTTTACCTTGACCAGTAACCCCCTCATGATAACCACGTATTATATAATTTACCTAGTCAAAAGATATAATAATTTATCCAACAGTTCTCCTCTTTGAAAAAGGGGTCTTTAATTGCCCTGCACAGTCTTAAAGGGAATTGGTCACATTGTTCAGATGAGAGAAAATGGTGCCAAAGTAGTGACTTCAATGCTAGATGTACAATTGAATATAATCTGAAAGTTTGAGTGAAAACGGACCATTATTAATGTAAACATTGGGAAAAGGATTTATTAATTCTCCCAACTATATTATTACAATTTAATTACATTGTAGTCGAATGTAATACGTCACAAAGCAATGAATTTGCTCTATATACCATTCCAAACACATTTAAGTGTTTTAAAAAGCCTGTTTTATATCTTATTTTCAAGGAAAAACGGTTGGGAAAATTCAAAAATGGTTGGGAGAATTTACTGTTAATCACTGTTAAAGTGTGTTGCACAGTGACGCCTTCAAAGGAAACCATAAACATCTTTGTGGTTTGAAAATGTTCTCAGGACTTTTTGCCTGTTAGAGGGTAAGTTCAGTAGAAGGAATATAATAAGTACAATTTCATACAAAAATTACACAGTTTTTTCATCAACCTTCAACAATACCGAGTCACTTTAAGAATGTACTTTGAATAATATGTGACGAAATGTTTAACTTGTATTTCTAAGAGAATAGAGGTCCATCAGAGACACGAACGACGACATTGAAAATCAGGAGTCATCACTAATACCATCACTCAGCTGGAAACAAAAATGGAGGATTATTCCAACATGATCTCAATTTGTCTTTTCAGGTACTTGGATCATACGCACAAGGAGGATACATCTTACTCCTCAGCGATGGCCAAGAGGGTGGACCTATATATATCAGAGACACATATGACGACGTAGAGAACTCAGGAGTCATAATCGACATAATCAGTTTAAGCAACTCAGCTGATCAGCAAATGGAAGATCTTTCTACGAGCACTTCTGGCATATCAAGCTTCTGTTCGGATACTGATACTGGGACTTGTCTACTACAGGCGTTCCATAGAACCATAACGGAGAGACCTGACGTTGCCATGGAAACGGTTCCTATACAGGTCTGTCGTCTCTTTAGTTCGAAGAGTCACCCTTTGTCTGCGAGTCAATACGTTGTTGGCAAAAAGTGTAATGGTTTCTCAGCTTCCTACTAAACTAGCGGGGTCTTTTGAATGAGGGATAAAGGACAAATAAGCGTAATTAGAATTCCACAGGGAATAGGTCCTTTTCTGTCTTTTCTCTCGACACCAAAAACCTAAACAGAATTCGTCAAGTGTCAGATAGTTTGCAGACCACTCAACTGTATTTCAATCGTTTCCTCCTAACAAATTTTGTTTGTATTATTATGCCTCCGCCACCGAAGGTGGTGCCGGAGGCATCATGTTTTCGGGTTGTCCGTCCGTACGTCCGTCCGTACGTCCGTCCCGTTTGACCGTTATCACAATATCTCAAGAACCATTTAAGATTTAAACTTAAGACTCGGGAATAGTATTTATCACCATAGGAAGACGATCTGATTAGATTTTGGAGTACATAGGTCAAAGGTCACAGGTCACAGAGGTCAACTTATGAAATTCCTTGTATTGAGTTTGTTAGCGCGATATCTCAAGAACCACTGGAGATGTAAAAACTTCAAACTTAAGGATAGTATGTATCACCATAGGAAGACGATCTGATTAGATTTTGGAGCACGTAGGTCAAAGGTCAAGGGTCACATAGGTCAACTTATGAAATTCCATACATTGAGATTGTTATCATATCTCAAGAACCACTGGAGATTTAAACTTCAAACTTAATGATAGTGTGTATCACCATAGGAAGACAATCTGATTAGATTTTGGAGCACGTAGGTCAAAGGTCAAGGGTCACAGAGGTCAACTTATGAAATTCCATACATTGAGATTGTTATCATGATATCTCAAGAACCACTGGAGATTTAAACTCCAAACTTGTTTAAATTACTCTATGGCGGAGGCATCATTTTCGACTGTGCGCAGTCAAAATTCCATCTAGTTATATTTATATATTATTTTATTTATACTGAGTCAAAAAAAAGTTTACACCTTAAAAATTGCTGATTATTAAAAAAAAATCATCTATGAACAGTAAATTATTATACATCTCATGAAAGAGTGTTTTATCCCAAATCATTTGGTATCATTTTCGTGTGGTATGTGTTCACGCTTGGATGAACAGGAGGCATTGTTTGCAAGAGTGCAAAAATCGAGTTGCGCCAAAGTGATGCCTACAGCATGTATTATGTCGGGATAGCGGAGTGAACGAATAAATTGAATGTATCAAATGAAATGCATTGCATATGCTTTTTGCAGAAGCAAAGTCACACCCACACACTTACACACGCGTACAAATGTTCGTTGATATTTGATATCGATTTTTGCACTCTCGCAAACAATGCCTCATATTCATCCAAGCGTGAAAACGCACCACACAAAAATGATACCAAATGAGTTGGGATAAAATACTCTTTCAATAAGATGTATAATAATTTACTGCTCATAGATGATTTTTGAAATAATTAGCAATTTTCTAGGTGTAAACTTTTTTTGACTCACTCTGTCGTTTATGTTCAAATGACTACGAATCTTGAATCCATTGGTGTTGTGCAATGATACATAATTACGAAAAAAAGGAATTCTTAATACTTATCATTAATTCTTATTTCCGTTAAAAGGTACATTGTCGTTCAAAACACATGGTTCCCTAGCTCACTATTTGAAGATATCATATTCTTAAATCTTGTTTTGCATTTCACTCAGATCTACAGTTCAGTGGTCATTATCGAACCTAATCCTGGCTTCTCCATTATTCCGGTGGTTATTGACGCCGCACTGGGCAACGAAACGGTGATCACAGTGACCTGGGCGGCGAGTAATTCTATATCAATCGTTCTTACTGGGCCAGACGGTACTCAAGTTGACGATAGCGATCCTCGCTATCACATTGATACGATCAACAAGATTGTGACGATCAACTTACCCCTGGCGCAGGTGAAGCCTCTGAAAATCATTCTTTTGTTTGAGAAAACAGTTCCTTTGCCATTCTTCGTATATAGATTATTAAAGCCCCCATCACACCAAACTAGTTCTCATTAAGTTTTGGAACTGTCCCAGAAAATCGTTAAACGGGTTGTGGTCGGAGTAGAATTTGTCAATAATGTCTATAATACGACCCCACTTCGTTCATAAACAGTCCCCCATACGTCTATCTCGTCTGTGCCCCATCCACAGTCAGTTCATATAAAGTTCTGATCAGGTAAATTTGCCATTTACAAGCAGTTTAAGTCAGTCCGTAGTCAGTTTATACCCGTTATTAAGTAGTTATACCTCGTTCCCAATACGACCTAACCCATTCTAACAAGTTCAGAGACAGTTCCGCTCGTCCTCACCTCGTTCTTAGTGCGTTCGAACGCGGTCTTAGAGCGTGTGGAATCACGTCCTGGCTCAAGGGTTATAAAAAACCCAGCGCATTCTTGCCATTCCTTAATCCCGTTGAACTTCAACGTTTCATGCTGTGCAAATCAAGACATACAAGTGAAGCCCCATCACACCAAACTAGTTCTCACACCGTTCTGTAAAATGTTGCCAAGAGTGCTCACACTGTGTGCGAACGGAGTGAACGTAGAAGCAACTGTTTAAGATCTGTGAAAGAACTTTATGGACGGGCCCGGACTGGCTTGGACGGGAAGGGTGCTCTAAAACTAAGCCTGTTCGAAGTTGTCCGCGTCCTGCAATTAGAGGGACTGACATTTGAAATTCTTAAAAAGATCATCGATACTACGTCCAACTCCGTTCGCAAACAGTTTGAGCCCGTTTGGCAACATTTTCCAGAACGTAGAGAGAACTAGTTTGGTGTGATGGGGGTTTAAGATTAATGGTATATCTTCAACGATTTTGGAAACCCTTAAATGAAGTTTGATTGTTTACAATTTTTTTCCAAAGGTGTGTAGGAAACTGTTTTCAAAAGTTTCAAGCTATTAAATGTGTTGGATTTATCCAATTTTGTCTAATATTTTTGCTTATCGTAATCTTCTTCGTCCACTTGGTACGAACTAAACCTTGTGTAAACCTGTTGAATGAACAACAATGACTCTTTTTCCCAAAATGATATCAGCCTTTCTTTCTTTTTCCTTGCTGATCACAACATGCCAGCATTGAAGGAAGGTGTGATCAGGTCATTTAAACTCTAAAACCTAATTACTGTACATTTTAAATTGATGATTACGTCTGCCAATAATGCCCGTAATGGCACTTGTTGGTAATACAATTTTGCAAAATTAATGAGTGATCGAAAGATCTGTTTTAATTCAGTAGGACAAATGTTAAAACTATATATATGTTTGAATGGAGACATGGTATGGTCTAATGGAAAATGGGATTCAAATCTGTTGAAAAGTCAATAATTTGGAGGAAAAAAATTGCTATAAATTTTGTATTTTTGACCCAGAAAGCACTCGTACATAAAGACATTACTAGGTCTACGATATGCGCTAAACCAGAAATGAATATTAGAATTTGTGTTATTATTATTGCAATGAGGAAATCGTCATTGCTTTGTTTTCGTTAACATTCTGCTCCATTAGATTTTTCTTCTCCTTAGTGTTTTCGTCAGGAAATCGTATTTGTTTGGCACATAGTGGTAGTCATGTTCTTCTTCGTGTCCTTTTCCTTCCAATTGTTATAGGCATAGTCTCGAGCATCTCATAAAGGTCACTACATTCTTCGATTTTCAAAATCACTCATGCATAACCGTCCAGGCGCCATTTTGTCCGTTTCTGGTCCGTTTTAAGGCCTTTCTTTCTTCCTTCCTATCTCCACTATCCTACATCCTACAGAGTCTAACAAATTCCTCTAACTAGTCCAAGATATGTTCTTTCATCTGTGACGTATAATCTGACCTTCAAAATGCCACCTTCGCACTGCAAATTCAAATCCGAAGCCAACTCCGTCAAAAATCTCTAAAGTTTTTGAAAAATGGACCTCTCTAAATCTAAAATTGCCACAACTTTCTCATACCATTTTAGTTTCGTCTCAATTTCTTGCAGTATCTTTATCTCATAATTGCACAAAGCCATGCTGAATTAAACGCTCCATTGAATATGCAAAAATAAATAGCGCCCTCTAAAGTTCTGGGAATTGGCTTTCTTTCTGTGGCCATATCTCCATCGTTTCTGGCCAAACCCGTACCCTTTTTTGCATTTAGATACTTAAAGATATGCTCTTTCCAGCCAAGTACAAAATTATATACCGTAACACTGACCAAATTTGAGAAAATTGCCCTCCATATTCGCCATTTCCATGAAAAATTGCGAAATGAATTAAACTTGCTCTAAAATGACGACCCTTATACCTACGTCAATGAAACTTGGCATACACATGAAGCCAAGCACGTGACAACTTTCTTGTAAGTTTGGTAAAATTTGAAGACGTCAGCGCAAAATTTTTGTCCTAAATGCTAAATTTGCTATGCATTAAGTAACAGCCCGTAAATGCGTGCAATACATTGCACGCAGATGCTAATGGTGTCAAACTGAGCGTAATGAAGTGTTCTTTTGAATGATACCAAATACGTGATATGTTATTACTAAAATATTTGAGTAAATTGAGTTTGAACAATGGTCACTATATAAATTCTACTGAGTTTCCGCCAAGTTATAACACGTATCGGCTATGACGTCATTTTCATTTGCACCTCGAAGCCGGATTTTAAAAAATCGTCAAGGGGCCCAATTAAGACGCCAGTTTATACTCAGCCTGATTGTGTTAGTAACTCCATGGTATGGGCGGCTGTTTGTGCCACTGCACGCGTCACCACAAGTTCATCATGCACCAAATCCTATTGGTTTTGCACGCACTGCTTGCGAGCCCTTTCTAGGTCCCTTCCTCTATTCCAATTCCCTTCAAACTACGTAGGCATAGTCTCTTGCATCCCTTCAAGGTCACTGTATTCTTCGTTCTCCGGAAATCCTCATGCATGACCGTCCAGGCGCCATATTTTGTCCGTTTTGGTGGGCTTGGTGGCCTTTCTTTCTCCCTACCTATCTCCACTATCACAGAAGCAACATACTTCTTACAAATTGCTATGGATAGTCCGAGAGAAGCTCTTGCGTTTGAACCGTAGAAACACGTGCGTCATTGCACGCACATTGTTGTGACACGATTGCATGTCTAGCTATCATTATTATCGTTATTTTTGTAAGTATTACATTTATTATTGTTATCATTATTATTCTTAAAAAGGCTGGTTTGTGGAATGTAACCATCAACGTCATACAGCTAGGCGTCGAGTATGCTAGTGTTTCAGTAACCTCTAAACCATCTACGCAGGAATACTCGCCAGTCACAGTAACTGTGTTTTTAGGAGCTGGTGTAAGTATACTGTTGCTTTATTACACATATATATATCATATAGCTGAGACAGATACCGAGATGTGATTGGTCCAGAGCTCGTCACGTGATATCAATTATGAGGATTCAAATTGTTATATTTCCTAGCCGGTAACTTTCCAGTGTAATATTTACCAGCTGGTGAAATGAATATATTTTCAATTAATGCATGTCGCCTTCTTGAGGACTATATGTCACCAATCACACACATTACATCATTACAGAGGGTCATTTTTTTTTCAATATTTTTTCCCTTGAAATTTGTTTCCTTCCCCAAAAATGCTATTTTGGGCAACAATTTTGTTTGTAAGGATTTTATTTTTTCTCGAATTATCTCGAGATATTTTGTTTTCGCACTTTAAAAAAGATGTTTGTCCTTAAAAAAAACAAAATAGAACAAAATTTCGAGCAAAAATAAAGGGACCCCCCCCCCAAAAAAAAAAATCAAATCAAATCAAATCAAAACGAGGCTATCTAATTTAACAGATTTTGACTGGCAGGGGGTATATAATATTCTTTGGACCTGAAGGGGGTTATATTTTCCCTCGTGACCATATTTTCCCTCAGTGCTTCGGGAAAATATATAACCACTTGGGAAAATATAACTCCCTTCAGCGGTCCAAATAACGTTATATTACACCCCCTGCCAGTCAATATATGTAAAATATTTGTATGGTTAAATACTGTACTAGTTTGTTATTCTATATTCCAAACAGTCATAGGTATTGTTATTATTGAGGTGTGGCAAGACCATGCTCCCCTAACCGAAAGGCTAATATGTCCGTAGCTTATGAAGACGTAATAGACTTCGATTTCATGTGATTTCAAACAAACATATTTATAATAAAATATAATAATGTACAAAAGTTTAATGAGGGGTCTATTTTACTAACATGCAGAAGAAAACACATCGCCTATGTTTTCAAATATATTCATTTGGCATAGACATGTCAATTTCGAATATACTGATGGTTTACTTTCAATCCATAGCATGAGGGTGACTGAAGATGAAACATATTGCCTAGCTTATTTACAACGTTTCCTGTTAACCATGTGTGCTCTTTCGTTTTGCTTTGTATTTGCATTCTTCAAGGAGGTGAATTATGCCCAGACTCCAGCACTAGCTATATATGCTCAGGTTCAACAGGATTATATGCCTGTTCCTAATGCTACCGTCACAGCTATCGTCTCGGATTCGTCTACATCGACCCCGGTGATATTGCACGACGACGGGTTAGGTGAGCCAATAGCGAGCTTTCGATTTGACGCGACTATAAACGCGTTGTGCATCGAGTGACGTCACTTTAGGAATCTGCACATGTGTCAGCTCTGTCGCCGCAGCAGCGAACTTGCTCTGTCAAGGGCCATGTGAGCCAATGGCGACTCTTTCGATTTGATGCGACAACGCAGTATGCGTCGAGTAACGTCATGCACCCGAGGGATCTGAGCATGTGTCTGTTCAGCCGCCGCGGTAGCAAGAAGGCTCTGCTTATTATGCATTTGTATTTACAATCACAAAGTGTGCTTGATATTTTTGCTTTCGTTATTTCTTAATTCAACCTTTACTTTTATTCTAAGTAGCTCGTTGAACCAAGGCCTTTGAAACTTAAAAAAGTGTTTATACAAAACGTTCATCGAACTCGTACAAGAAAGTCATCCGGTTCAAGTGGGAAGTACCTAATTATTTACAGCAAATAGAACCATGTACGACCTGTCTGCTATCCGAATAATGGAAAATCCAACAATTCAAACATGTTTAAGAAAGTTGTCAATTCTATTTTGATTTTTTCAATGCAAAACTATTTGATAGCGAGTGCGAAGCCTTTCCCAGTTATGGCCTTTAGTAATAAAGCACATTTCTTGATCGTCGTACTTTATTCTCTTTGATCTTCAGAGCCGGATTTAACATCAAATGACGGGACATATTCAGCGTACTTCCAAAGCTTCACTTCTAATGGCAGATATAACGTCAAGGTTGATGTCATCGGCTATGATGGTGCAGAAAATCAGAGAAGTATGTAAATTAATCTTTCAATTTTTCTATGGCTTATATACTTTAGGTCTATGGAAAACAAACAAATCATCTAGAATTGGTACGAGCCATAAAAATCCATTCCTTCCGTGAACATATTTGAAATCATTTTTAATTGTACAGTAAATAAACAAAATGCTAGTATACTGTATGTACATCATGGGATCTGGGAAGGCCTTTCCCGAGTGGAAGCACTGAATTGATGAAGGCTCTTGACTCCCATATAGACATTTCCTTATTCGACCCTTGCTCGATGCCTACATCCTTGGCCGAGAGTTTTTTTCCCTCTGTACCCAGGTGTAAAGTGGATACCTTGCAATGTTGCGGTAATATTAACTGCAAGGCCTTCGGGAATAGCAAAATTTAAAAAATGGTGAGGCTACTATGAGTACATGACACCAAATTAGTATTAATATCCAATGCAAAAAGTTGGAAAATTTTGACTGATCCAATCGGAACAATTTGTACATATTTTCCCTTATATTTGTTTGCATCCAGGAAAAAGGTCAGCTGAAGTTGAGACTGCAGTGGAGCCATCTTTTATGCGTACAGCATCGGGAGGAGTCTTCAAGGTCCAAGGTTACACTCCCAACGCCGCTGACATTCTACCACCTTCCCGTATCCAGGACCTAGTCTACACCTCTTTCTCCTATGACAACAGCACGGTGACCCTCAGCTGGACTGCTGTAGGAGACGACTTGGACCAAGGAACGGGTAAACAATATTCATGTCTTAAGAGTCTTTAGAAGCGGCGCTCTCGAAGGGGGGAGGGGAGGAAGGTGGTACAGTGTCCCCACACATTTGAAGTACACTTACAGTGCTCCTTTTGCGCAGAAAAAATTCTCTTTTTTTTTTTCTTTTCAGATAAATATCCCCTTTTTTCTTTCTAATAAGTACCCCTTCTCATAAGTGCCCCTCAAATGTGATAGGTGTCCCTTTAACTTTGAAAAGTGCACTTCATCCTTTGTAATGAATGCCACTTTCCTCTTGTTATTAGTGCCTCTTTTCACCTTTGATAAGTACCCCTTTAAGTGTGAAGAGTACCCCTTCTTCTTTCTCACTAGTGACAATTCCCTTCTGATGATTGCCTTTTTGACCTTATACTAAATGCCCCTCCCCATTTCTTATAAATACCACATTTCAACTCTTATCAGTGCCCCTACCCAAAGCCGATATGTGGCCCTTGTTGCTTTTGATAAGTTTATCTTTTGTTTCTATAAACTGTCTTTTGATAGTGCCCCTTTTTACCCACATGACTTTAAAGACGCTGCACTGACCCTGGACTTTGGTACTGATGGAAAAATCAGGGAAAGAGCAGCTGAAGAAAAACGGGAAACATTTCATGTATGGTCATAAGATAACACGATCAAAATTAAAGTGCCGAGGAGGTAAAGGAAAAGTTTATAAATGAATGATCTGTGGAAACATTATCCAGCTAAACTGCGAACCTCACAGTGAATGCACACTCACATTTAAATTTTGTATGTGCACTAGAGTTAAAGGGAAAGTCCACCCCCAAAATAAGTTTGTTTCGATAGAGGCAGAATAATAAAAAAATCAGGTGAGTGAAAGTTTGAGCAAATTCTGAATGAAAATAAGAAAGTTATGAATTATTGAAGATGTGATCAATCAAATACAAATTGGCAACTCTGTGACTTATTATACGAGCTCTCCTTCATTTGCTTTGTGCATAATATTCCATAAAATCATGTTTTCTTCGTTATTGATGACGGAATATATATTTGTTCCTTGCAGGGAGAGTATAGAAACATATTTGCAATTATTATATTTAGGGTGCATGTATGGTTGAAATTTTTCTTGAGGGAAAATGAAAATTTTAGATTTTTTTAGTACTGAGCAAATAGAAGTTGAGCTCGCATGATACGTCATAGAGTTGCCAATTTGTGTTTGATTGATCACAACTTCAAAAATCCTAACTTCCTTATTTTTAATCGGAATTTGCTCAAACTTTCACTGACTTGTTTCTCTCATTTTTCTACTCCTATTAAACTAACTTAATTTCAGGGTGGACTTCCCCTTTAAGCATGTCCATAATTCTTGCTACTGTTTCAATTTCCACCACAAAGCCTACAATAACGAACTCCGCTATTCCACCAACTTCAATGACGTCCGAAACAACTTCAGCACCAGTCATGAGGTCACACAGAATCAACTCGTCTCCGGGAACCTATCCTTTATCAGTCCTGCTGGGGTTATTGAGACTGTCACTATTTCCCTCCCTGAGAGGGGGCAAGATATCGTCTACTATTTCGCTATTCGGGCTTGGGATGAGGCAGGGAACAGAGGGGACTTGTCCAACATCGCTTCCCTGTCGATCCGCTTCATACCGGTGTTTGTACCCACCACCGAACCACTACCGGTGTCTGTACCCTCGACTACCGAACCACTACCAGCGTCTGTACCCACCACCATCGAGCCAATACCGGTGTATGTAACCACCGTCGAACCAACTGGACCAGACAACCTGGCCATGATCATCGGGTTGTGTTGTGCAGTGGGTGTGGTAATCATCGTTGGAGCAGTCATACTGTGCGTATACTTCTACCGAAAAAAACACACTGGAGAGATGAAATTTGGGTCAGCATCGGGGTTGGCAGGGCTGCCAGACGTGGAGGGTATGCAACAGAATCCAACCTATGATAACCCTACTTTCTCTACAATTTGATTTACTCTCTAGATTTACACTGTAGTGGGAATCACATCTTAGTGATTCATAATAGGGATCATTTCTTTGTTTCAGATGAAATTCGCCCCGAAATTCGCACAAAAAAGTGAGATTTATTTAGTTTCATTTGATTACATTAATTGTCCAAATACACGTTGGACGTGGATTATAAACATTCTGCACATATCCCAGAGGACACGGATTTTGCTCATATGATTACACTAAGACCCATCTTTATCTAATTAATGCTCGTTCAGATATGACTTGTCAAAACCAAATGATATAATAAGATTCACATGTCTGAAGCTTTGAACACAGAGGTCAAAGAATACATACGCGCAAGTCATTATTCTGTTGCGGGTAGTTGCCATTTAATTAACACGAAATTTAAAACACCGGCGGCTTTTTTCCGGCGGTTTACCGTGCCATGGTATATCTGAACAAGCCTCAATAATTTATAATGAAATTTTCGAATACTGGTCATGCAGTTTAACTGTAAAAGGACTGTCGAGAAGTCATATTTACTTCGATTTGGGTGAAAATCCGCCCTAATAGGTAACAACTGTGGAATTCAATCACAAAAGAAAAGAGTTATTTAAAAATCACTCTGGAATAGATAATTTGGGTTGGGTTTATTTCCAAAGAAAGTGATTCGTAATATGACTTCTGAAAAGAATGATTTTCACCCCTCTGCATGTGATCTGTACCTACCCAATAGGAACAAATATGATGTAGCTGATCTATCCATGTCTGAGAGGGACTGGTTTGATCAATTCGGATGTTGAATATTGGTCTGGGAATTCCATTAGCAAAGAGACTGACGAAAAGTTATCAATGATAGCACAAATGCCTCCTGTCACTCATATTTCACCCGTCAAAACGCCGATTTTCATCAATTTCCTTCCAAAACTACAATCAGTCAAAACTCCTTACGTTGTAATTAAATTAAGTTATATAATCACCTAAACAATGATATTAAACTAAGTAAAACTGTTGATATAGTTAAAAAAAACTGTTGAAGAATGAAACGTTCTTGCAGTATCAAAAAACAAAAACGCCCAATTAAATAATTAATATTTTGCTCCTAATGTTGTGTAATGTTTGATAATACTATAAAGCACCGGCTAGGGGCGCATATAGGGACGCAGTGTCGCTGGACGCCGCGGCGTGTCCTGTGTGCGTTCATGGCTGGTGCATTACTGTAAATGTCTTATGCTCACATATAGGTCTTATTGATCTTTTTCTTGTATATATTTGTTTTTTCGTTAATGTTGTTTTTGTTAATTTCTCTAATTTCTCGATATATATGTCATGGTTGGTGCCCCAACCACAAGCTTGTATTCAAACTTCTTTAGTGGCTCCTAACCTCATGTTTTTATATTTTCATGAACTGTTGTATATGTATTTTTATGGTTGAAATAAATTGAATTGGATGAATTGAATTTATAGACTATGTTGTAAGTAGGATAAAATTGTACTTCATTTGTAAATCATCACCGTTGCATTTATTTGTCCAAATCTGCTTAATATTACAAACAGCAAAAATGACAGGACACCAACATCGAGACAAAGGACTTTACAGACATGTGGTTTCAGAATTTTTTCCAAAAGATATGTTGTCCCATTTAAATATGAGAATATTCAAGAGAGATTTTTTAATGGATCATTGCTTCTAGAACGTTTTTTTTTCTTTAACATGGCAATTATAATAAAGTATACATTTTCTAAAACGTTATTTTTCCCCTTACCAGAAATCAACCATCATATATATTTTTCAAGGTTTAGGAATTCAGTTCAGAAAAAGAATCCAAGAAAATTAAGTGTATATATTTTTTTTTGATACTTGTTTACTGCTTGTTGCTTGTTTTTGTTTTGTGAGGTAGAGGGCTCACTGGTTCATTCGGATGATTCTTTTCTGTTTTATGCTTTAACTACATGGTTCTTTCAAAGGTTCAACAATTAAGTATCATCTATCAGTTTACTGTTATTATTCAGTGATAATCTCGGTTTTTTTTTTCCGACGATATCAATATATACAGTGCGTCCCAGAAAAAACGAAACCGAGAAGTATCGATGTTCTATCATAACTTAATCACAACTATAATTAATGAATGATACATATTTGGAAAGCCTAGAGTCTCTTCTTTCATGTGATGCTACTCAGATAATGCATATTTCACGCATGAGTGATTAAAAGCAATTTGAAGGAAGGAAACCAAAAAGACATTTGGCGGGCGGTATCTGAATTTCGAAGAAAAATTCACATTTCTAGAAAGTTGAGTTTCTGCCCTTTCATATGACACCTCAATCAGAAAAAATGAGCGAGGAATGACAAAGTTCTGTTTGTTTAAAGTAGTGCTTGCATTTCCATAATTTTATTAAACGAATTCGTTTTCACTGGCTGCCTGCCGTATCAATAAACGAAATTAACAAAAGACTTAACTCCGTTTCGTTGACAATCAGCCGTAGACGAGAGTCTTCATTCATTAATTATGGTTGTGATTAAGTTATGATAAAACATCGATACTTCTCGGTTTCGTTTTTTTCTGGGACGCACTGTATAACTTTTCATTGATCGTGAAATATGCTTTTAATATCTAAAATTCCTTTTCAACATTGAAGTCTCACTTGTTATAGCTTATATGAGTTTCATTGTTCACATATACTCGGAAAACCCCGCAGAACACTGTACTTGGTTCTGTAGCTGTTGTTTTTATCGCTGTTTTGATAATAATGGATTTACTCAGAATGTTATGCATGATAGTCAGAAAGAAAGACCTAAAAATTAAAATTCAGGTCCTTTTCATTCTATGTTTATGGATATTAAAATTAAAATAAACTTTATTGCAAAATGAAGAGAAATGGAATGAGACTTGTAATTTTTAGGGATTGGTAAATATGAAGACAAGTGCTGAGACTTGTAATTTTTAGGGATTGGTAAATTTGAAGACAAGTGCTTGATCGAGGGTGTGACAATAGGGAAATGCAGAAGATTAGTGAGTATTGTGTATAAATATGCGTGTGGTTGTGCGTGTGGGTACGTGTGTGTGAATGTGTGTGTATGAATACTATCCCTTTTATCCATTTTAATATTCACCTATTTACTTTTCTTTCCATCACGATAGTTTCTCTTTATGTTTAATCCATTATGTTGGTCATGTTTCCTGGCTAAATATTTCTTTACGCTTGAAAGGTTCAATATTTAAAAAGCCAAGTCTAACTGGCTTATTTTATTTTCATATTTCTCTCTAGATACAGCGAAAGAAGATAAAACTCATTAATAATACTAATATTAATGATATTTAGTTCCGGTATTAATAGCGCATTTAACATATTTAATGTTTTATATGCGCTTCCAATGAGCTTTAGAGTATTACCCCGAATCTATCCTACTTGTAGCTGTATAGATAAGGCGCTGAAGCATTCAGGGAATTACTTCCTAAAGGCCTACATGTAGCCACTTAATTCATCTTGGTCGAGTGTCGCAAATGTAGATTAATTTCCTTTACTGTGGTGAGGATTCGAACCCTGTATGTTGTGATCCACAGTCTGAGTTTGACCCACCAGACCACAAACCCTTTTTGAATTTTGGTCTAATATACCAAATGCCATACAAACTTAAAGAATGCACATTCTGATAAAGGTGCTAATTTATTCTGACAACAGAAATAACTCGAGCACCATAATAATTTTTAAAAATGTTTGTCAGCATTGCCGCATGCCGAGCGTTTCATATTCATTCCCTTCTAAAAAAATTGACCTTAAACTGGATCGCCAGGTTTGTAGGAAACTGAACATACATTGTCTAGTTCCAAGTAAACATTAGGTTCTGGTAACTGTTGCCGTCGTTTCGGCTTCATGTAGAGAAGGGCGTTTATGCTTCAATTGTTGAATGAAGGTGTTTCGTGCTCGTTGGAAGCGTCGTACGAAAGTCCTGACCTGGAATTATGTAAAGAAATTGTAGTATTTTACATGATTGTGGTTCAATTTTCAGCTTACATCAAATGAAACAAAGGATTTTAAAACACTCTGTGAAAACAGAAGGAAATAAACACCATTTACAGTTAGAATTCACATAATTATCTTCCATATATCAAAATAAACATAAATTAATCTTCTTTAAGATGATTGGAATGATCGGAATCACACCATTAACGCATGATTGGGCGTAGCCATCAAACTATAAATGAGCCTCTGAAAGAAAATTTCAAAAATAGGGCATCTGGCCATTCAAATTTTGATGAGCATTTCCATCTGACTTACTTCGAATCATCTAGTCGAGTAGGGCGGTAGCGTTATCTGACCTTTTTTGAAAATATATGCCTTCTTTCACGAATTGTCGGGGGTAATGTTTTTGTGAAATAAACTTCTCTCATCTATAAATGGTCTGATCCAATTTACCCGTCAATTTGTGGCAATCCTACGTCAAATCTACGAAAGATCGCGTCATCTTCCGTTTCCGTTTCACAAAAGGTCGTGTAGTGCCATCTGCTACCCGGACGCGATGACCCGATGATTCGAAGTAAGCCTCCATCTTGTAGAGTCAAATGAAACGGAAAAACCTGTCATAAGAAACATAAAAGAAAAGGCATCTTTACCGTGATTGTCAAAACCCTGCAATCCTGTTGGTAGAGTATTAACTTTCCTTTAATTTGATATATATGTTATCATATCCAGGCGCGTACGCAGGATTTTTTCAAGGGGGGGGGGGTTAAAATTTATAAATCGGGCCGAAAATTTCGTAACGACTCAGCCAGCCGCTGAATAAGCGGGGGGGGGGGGGGGTAATAGGTCACTTTTTTTGGGGGGGGGGGTCCCAAAAAATAGCAACGACTCAGCCGACCGCTGAATAAGCGGGGGGGGGGGGGGGGGGGGTAAGAGGTCACTTTTTTTTGGGGGGGGGGGTCCCAAAAAATAGCAACGACTCAGCCGACCGCTGAATAAGCGGGGGGGGGGGGTAAGAGGTCATTTTTTTTGGTCCCCAAAAAATCGCAACGACTCAGCCGACCGCTGAATAAGCCGGGGGGGGGGGGGGGGGGAGAGGACACATTTTTTTTTTTTTATCTCGAAATTTGAAAAATTGACATTTTGCTCCGTTGGGGGGGGGGGTAAGGTCAGCTTTTTTAGGTCAACCATGGGAATTTTTTTTTTTTTTTTTTTTTTTTTTTTTAATAAAAAAAAACAAAAACAAAAATAAAAAAGGGGGGGTTTTAGAGAAATTTAGGGGGGGTTTACACACAAAAAATTACCAAAGGGGGGGGTTTAACCCCCCAGACCCCCGCCCCTGTGTACGCGCCTGATCATATCTTTTTGACGGTTTATATGAACATTTTTATCAATAGTTTCCACTTTCTTTTTTTCCTGAGTATAAATAGGCCTATTGAATACATTGGAGAAACTTGAGCCTGAGCCTGAATTGGAACGTGATCACATAAATACATATAGGGCTATACCATTACTGTGTAGACTTATACTCATCATCACCTTCATCATCATCATCATCATCATTACTGCTTGCGCTTGATGAACAAAAGCTGTAAATAATTTTGTCTATTTTAAAATTGCAACCTTATATAAACTATAGCTCGATTCAACAATCGTACGCTTCTAATTCGTAAAGATTTTAAACGATTTGGTTGGGGGTGGGATGGAGGGGGAAGACTCTTGACAAGAATCCATCAAACGATATCAAACTTCTTTCCTTCCATTATACCCTACCGTAATGAAGGCTACAGTTGTCGTATTCGGGTAAATAGGCTGTCTCTGTCTCTGTTATTTTTCTCTAGTGCACCTAGCTTTAATGACGAACTGACAATCATTAGTCATGAAGTTTAAACAAACAAATAGACAAACAAACACAAATCAGCCCTTCGCAAAACAGGAGCAGGAGAATCGATATCCGGGCAGGAAACGTCAGACTGACAGATCTCACTTGCGCCAAGTTGCTGGGTGAGGAATAAAATAGTATTTTGAACGAAGACAGCCGGACAGACAAAAATACACACACACGCACACACACGCATGCACGCACGCACACCCACACGCACACACACGCACACAATACATACACACACACCGCACACACACATAAAAACACGCACACACACTCTCATTTTACCCTCCTCTTCTTTCTTCTCACCCCGCCCTTTTCTTTGGCCCCTCTTCTACCTCTACCGTCCTTATGTATGTTTATCTCTCTCTTTTTTCTCCACATCTCCATCATTATCTCAATTTTTTTCTGTCTCTCTCTCTTTCTTTCTTTTACTCTCCTTCTATTTATGCCTATGTCTCTTTCTTTCGCGCAATTCTTTATACTAGATACATCGCAACCAAGCAGGAAGTGCCGTCGTCAGGTTTTAGGTATGCTTGAATAATTTATTCAGCTTGAGATTATTTCTCTTCTGGGTTTTTTTCCCCCCAAGGGTTTTTTCAAGACACGAAATGTGCCAAGTAATCTTGTGTTAAATTCCACACAATAACACCCTCCAGCCTCACTGACACTAGTTTTTAGATGGTATTTTTAAATGGTATGGGGGTAGGGCCGAATCTTCCTCTTATTCCCATTTTTCTCATGACAAAAGTCTTATTTTAATACTCGTATTTATTGACGGTGGGAATATTATCAAAATTCAAGTATATGGTTTCGTCTAATATTTTGCAGGAATAGATACATATTGTACATGGATTACGACTCCATGGACAACTATTCCAAGGATCTCCAAGGGAATAGTATTTCCGGGGCTCTTGGGATACAAGGACCTTGTTGCTCTAAAATCAATATAATTCTCAGGAGTGGTTATAGATGTTTTTTTGTTTGTTGTTGAGTGGCACTTTTTTTTAGGGTGTAGGCTATTGGGGGCACTTGGGAACCCCCCCCTCTTGATCTGCTACTGCTCATGCAATTTCCAAATGGTGAAATGAAAATTTACAACACTCAAATGATAAACAAACACTATGTAATCATCTTTTAATTGTGAATATTTAAAACGCATTAATAATTCTTTTATTATAGTCTATCAGTGATTCTCCTCCCCTTTCATGTGACAGATCCATGACAAAATCAGAGTTAAGCAAGTTGCAACCATTCCTTTCATACCCAGTTAACACTGGGAAAAAACTTGAAACACCCGTTAGTGCTAAGGGTATGGTATAAATGCACAGAATATATATGTATATGTGGCATACATTGTGGGAGTACATGCACCAAAAATAAAATAAATCAATGACATTGAATATTACTTTCCTTTCAACTGCAAGTGTCCTTCTACTTAAACAATTGATCTATGCAAATCGAATTACCTAGAACTTAAATTTAGTCCTGATTTTGAAATACATGTTGTATTACAAAAGAGTAAAGTTGCATTTGATCTCAACTCGTAATGACACATGGATGCCAAAATCTGCACAAGGCGGTTTGATCAAATGGAAAATACATGCATTAATATGAAATACTGGAAGACACAGAATTGCACTTTGTATCGAATATTAAAAGTCTTCTTTCTTTTGCACTCAACACATGCAAGAGTTTAGAGGGATCAACTCCATCTAGTTTCTTTCCCCTTCATTTTGGCAACTAAAATATTCATGCTACTTAAGTACCTCTTAGTACACTACTACTGTCTCCATATCACTTGGTATGTTAATGCACATCTGTACAAAGTAATAATTATAATAATACAAATAATAATAATAGCACGTCTTGTTTACCCAGGGTGGCCTCATCAGTACTAATAACGTTCTCCCTGAGGGCCCTGCAATCATATTATATTCTGAATAGAAATATTAAATGCATTAGACTTCCAGTTGTTAGCACTCAAATCAATATTTGGAACCTACATCACAATGATGATGTATCTTTAGCTTTCTATATCTAATATAATTGCCATTTCTTTGAAAAATTGGATCGCAGGATGATCGTATAGTTTGCTCTGTGCTTTAGGTATATGACTAAAAGGAACATTTATAGATGGATAAAAAAATGTTCAATTAGGTCCATAAATATCTCGACATTAAACAATATATAACATAAGCATTATGTTCCTTAAGATACAATACATATATATAAACATTTACATGTATCTACATACTCTAGATTGATTACAAGAGGGTTAATAACCTCTTATATGCAGAAGTGATCATGATCAATTACAAATCTATAGAACCTTATGACTTAATAGCTGTTTCTTGTAAAGCTTTGGCATTTCATTTCGTGGTTAAGAGTAAGATCCATGGAAGACCAGAGGCATCATAACGATACCGCTGAATATGGGCTATCTTGTAATTCATAATTCTATTTGTAATTGTTTTACTGAATGCATGATGTCTTTTTTATACGGAAATAAAACAAACAAACAAACAAAGAACACAAATTCCTACATGTTGGACTGAAGGATATTTCATCAACTCTTATCGGTGGCAGTCACCAACTCGAACCACTGCCTTAGGGCATCGCTTAATGTCTCTGGTAGAGCGCTGATGTTTCGTAGAATGATATAGAAGGGGAAAGGGAAATGTTCCATGTAGGACTGAATCTCCGGCATCGCTCCTGCCTGCTTGAAGATCGGGACGCGGATATCCAAGATGGAGTCCTGCAAAGATTAAAAAGTCAAGAGAAAGAGATGTGATCCTTGTACTATTTGGTGTAGTAAAGCATTACAATATCAAGAATAGATAATAATCTGGATTTATAAGGTGCTTAACCACTTGACTGCTATTGGCTTAAAACGTGTTAATACCCCCTGTGCTACAGCATTTGTGTAGTGTACAAAAACCTGACAAAAATTGTACACTGTACACAAAAAAGCCAGATGTTTTTTTGGAAGAGCGCCATCTACTGTTCAAGACCTGTGTAACATCATTGCAGTGCTACAGTCTTGAAAGTGCAATGCCCTAAGCATGTACGTGGTAAGCAGTCAAGTGGTTAATACAAATACCATCTCTTAGCACTTTAGAGATATTATTAAACCATGTCATTTGATTCATTTATCCACAATGTGCACCATCTCCAATCCCGGAGGAGTATTCCTACTTTATGGTTACTGTGAGAGGGCATATGACAATTACTAAACACTACAGGTGATCGGCTTGCAAAAGTCATGGGAATCCTGACTTAGAATCCTGGTTTAGAATTATGATTGCAGCATGAGCTAAATCCAGGATTTTTTTTTTTTTTTAAATCGGAGGCAAACATACCCAATCCCCTTAATCATCATACCTTGTTTTCTGGGTTGTCAATGACCACAAACATGAGGAAGATGTTGGCATCCCTGGCAGCTCTCACAGCGTTCTTCACCGTCTCCATCCCCTCCAGGAAGAGCCCCCTCCCATCGGACACGATCACCAGCAGCTGAGAGGTCTCAGGGTGACCCGCCGAAGCGCCCCCTAGTGGCCGCATGGAGCGAGCTGTCAGCATGGACGCTGAGGCATACTTCAAGAGCTACAGAAAAAGAGAGAAGTTTAAAGGTAAAGACCAGTAGTGGTAAAATTGCGGTTGAAGGATTTGGGTGCAAAATATCCATTCAATATTTTTTTAATATTGCCTTCAGAGGTTTAGATGGCAAAACTTTAACCTTAATTTGCAAAAAAACTGAAATATATGCCCAAATGTTCAATCTTGAAGTGCATTCGTGATATCTATCCAGGCTCGATCGATATGATAATTTACCAAATATATCAATTATTAGGCGGTTTCCCGGCAAAATTTGTATCATCACATATTAGTCAAAACATATTCTTTCACATGATTGGTAATAAGAGCTTCCATTTCATTCTTTGAGAGGGGGCGTTTCCAAAACTGGTCTACCGGTATACCTTTAATAGAAATCAGCAAGACTGTTTTTCCCCCAAGTAAAAATATCACTGTCAAATATCAATTTATTACAGCACAAAATTGCCATAATTCAGGTCTTTTCACCTGTTAATTACAATAACAATTACATCTTTGTATCGTATTATTCTATTTCATTTCCAATAAAAAGAACACAAATGAGCTCATGGAATGGTTGTGTTTGGAAGAAGCTGTGATGAGAGTGGTAAAGTGAAGAGGATTGAGATGGATGGGTCATGTATTGAGAAGGGATGATGATGAACCTGTGAAAAGAGCGAGAGATCTGGAAGTGGATGGCAAGATACAGTGAAGAAACAGAATAATATAATAGGGTGATCTAATGAGGAGAATTCTTAAGACAAGAAGAAGTGAAGGGAGGGAGTGTCTTCATGGTCGTGAAAATGCTGTTTTCAATAAATGATGATGATGATGATTTAGATTCCACAGATCAATTCAAAACACACCTGAAAATGTATCTCTTTACCTAAATTTCCTGTAGATTGTCTGTTGAATTAAGTATTACATAAATTGCATTTTCATGGTTGTTGCACCTTGATCAAAAGTTTTGGGAAGTTTGGGTCAAGAATTCATTTATCATATATTAGATATTATTTATGTCTGTCAAATGGACTGAAAAATAAGAAAATCAGGTTAGATCTCTTTAACAATCTTTTATTTCCACAGCATCCGAGGAGGAAAGTTGGTGAAAAGGGAATATTACCTGAGCAATTTTTGTCTTCTTCTGGGAGAATGTGAATTGTCTGAGAATACTTGATCCTGATTGGTCAGAAAACTGATCATGGAACGGATGCAGGAGCTTCACTGACTCACCAAAACTGAATCAAAGAAGATATACAGGACAACATAAATGGTGAGAAAATATGCAGAGTACATAAGTTACATAAATTTACATAATACAAATACCGGTAGTAATATTGCATAAATGAGAGAAGATTTCAATATTCTTTATTATTATCTATATAAGGCTTCCAAATGGTACAATAAATCAGTGTATTCAATACCTTTAGCGCAGTACCCGGATGACCGACCAATATTGTTTTCGTATTGCTCAGTCAACCAGGCACTTCAACTATTGATATCGATATCATGGCGATATCACACAAAAACGAAGCCATCTTTACCGAGGTAAGTCAAATTTTGTTATTTCACTAGTCAGACAAATATTATAATAATAATATTGTATGGCTTTGTTTTTGTGTGATACAAGAATATATTGCTCTCGCTAAGAAGATATTAGACTCGTCTTTGACTTGTCCAATATCGTCATAGCTCAAGCAATATATTCAGGTATCACACTCAAGGCCATCCAATATTATAAAAATATTTTGAGTTCACAATTCCTATCTGCTATTAAGCAGTATCGTGTTACTATTTGAAATAACAACGGTAAGTATTTAAATGAAATAAGATGATTGAAAGTACCTGCAGACTGCTAGCTGTCCTGCTTCCAACCATGTGAGGGCATTGCTGATTACAGCCAGTGATTCAAAGGCGAGCTAGTGGGTAGAAGGCAGGTCAATGGAAACAAGGATTGGAATAGGTAGAAACTTAGAACATAAAGCAGTACATATACTTCAGTAAACTTATTGATATTATTACCATCATTATTATGGTTACTTTCATCATTATCATGACCATCATTATCACTGTCATCATCATCATTATCATTACAATCATCATCATAATCACCAACATCACCAACAACGCCTGTCATCGTAATTGTCGCCGTCATCATCATTATCATCCATATAATCACTATCATCATCATCATCATCATTATCATCACCACCTTTCATCATCATTGCTTTGTCATCATCACCATCATCAGCATCATCACCACCATAACTGTCACCCTTATCATCACCACTACCATCATCATCACCATCGTCACCATCATCATCACCACCATCATCATCACCACCATCACCGTCACCCCTATCATCACCACTACGATCATCATCACCATCACCTCCTGTCATCGTCATTGTCATCATCATCAATATAATCACCACCACCACCACCACCACCACCACCACCACCACCACCACTTACCCTCTTTGATCTATTATCATTCATGCTGGAGGAATCATCCACAGCCAGCATGATCTGGTACTGTCTCTTGCTAGGCTTTGTTCTCCTCAACCAGATCTTGTCCTTGCGGAACCCACTAGCAATGTACGGTATCACCTTCCTCATGTTCAGACGCTTACCGGTCCTGAAATCTCCCCTATGAAGTGTAATCAGAAAATCCAAAGTTAAAAGAACTATCCCTTTGTAATGTAACTGCAAAACAAAAGGCTTTGTGGATGGAAGGATTCATATGGTTGGTTTTACTTTTTTTTCCTTCATTTCAAATTGTGCTGGATTGTTCATTAATAATGATTTTAATGAGTAGTCTCATCAGTATTCATACAATTTTCTCCTTAAACCCTGCGGTCATATCATTACCCCCATCTTTAGTTGAGCTACTGTCAACAGATGCTCAAGCATTCAAGGAATTTCTTTCTACAGGGTACCCATCTACCTCACCTGGGTGGAGAGTGGCAAAGGTAGATTAACACCTTGCCAAAAGACATTAGTTGATGATGTTACCTGAGTTTGGATGCCTGTGTGGGTTCTAGGACCAGTCTGAGTTGCTCGCATAGATCCCTGGCGAGGGATGAGGTCACTGACTCACAGGACTGCCACATCTTCTCCGCCTCATCATCCTAGAAAGGTATCAAAGAACATAAAAGTGTCAACAAGGTAACGGTTCTAATAATAGACAGTATTTTAATGTTTATCAAGAAATCAGATTCCTGCAAGATGACCGTTAGAGGTATGTACATGTAATGTTGATGGCAGAAGCAGCCTTCCTGTAGGCAGCCGACAAAATACAATGGCCCAAATTCACAAAGGAGGTTTGTTGACAAGCCTAGGTTTATGTGCGTCATATGCCACGGTTAAATGCGTTTCAGACCAAGGTTCAGACAAACCTTGGTCTGAATATGACGCACATAAACCTAGGTTTGTCTACAAACCTCCTTTGTGAATTTGGGCCAGTATGTTTTATCCATCAGATCATTCAATCATCCACAAACATTCGTGGATAGGAAAAAAAATTATCCTATAAATGTCACATGGTTAGGCAATGACATACTTTTCGTTTACATCTTTGTAACATCATATCCAAAACTGTCTACAATAAAATGAGTACCAAATGAATTGCCTATGCTACATCAGGGATTGTGTCAACATTGATGCTGGAAAATCCATCTGTGCACATGTGGGTACAATGTAATTGAGGTACTTGTGATCTTACAACAAACAAACCATTCAGCTTATGATGATATTGAATGTCTCCAATAACATATCGAGGCGTCAGTGACACAAAGACGTAACTCCATTTTGGTCATTTTTAGAAAAAGTGGTTTATGTGTCACTGAGCACTTGGGCCTTAAGTCCATGTTTCACTAGCCATTGACTTCAATGACATGTTGGGTGGAATTAAGTCTTTGTGTTTCATGGAAAGCCTACATTTTGATATCAAATACTCATTTTAGCAAAATATGTGTCACTGAACCCTCAATATATACCACAAACTCAAGCCTACAACTGGCTTTTATACATGTACAAGAACATGGCACTTTTCCCCCTACCTCTCCGTCTCCATGGCGACTCATCAATGCCAACTGTTCCTCCATCTCCCTCCGTAGCTTCTCCACCTCCTCCGGGTCCATCGTCATGCCGACTGCCCCGCCCCCCAGTCCCAGGTGATCCATGACGGTGTGGATGGTAGACTCTGTCAGCTTCTCTCCCTCCGCCTCTGTTTCCATGGCGTCGACATCTTCCTCTGCATCGTCGTCCGGAGAGGTGTGGTCCTCTTCCTTGGTGTCCGTGTTGGCGTCTGTGGGCACGGCTTCTAGTTTGGAGCTGTCGGAGGTTGCAGTGAGGGTTTGGGATGGGAGCTCATCGCTGACTGCCGGGTCCTTGAGTGAAAGGCAAGAGATGGCATATTTAGGTATCTAATGCCATTTGGCAAATGAACAGGATTTCCTTTAGAAATGATGAATCATATTCTAACTGAATGAACTAGTCTGCCTGTTTTCTTTATCCCATGTTCCACATAAAATAATACACCGTTCAATCATTTCTACTACAAAACTGGCAAAACGTTAACCTTTTCTTCAGATGATTGCCAGGATTTGAATAACATGGTGTAACCGCAAACCTCTCTCAAATCTATCCTCACCATGGAAGCCTTCAAATATTACAAGGATTCAATAAATTCTGATTAACTTCCTATAAAATATTTTTCTCTCATATGATGCAAGGTGAACAACAACTCTTTCTTCATGGATGCATAAAAATCATGACTTCAATCGTATTAATGGACTACAGGTCACCATTTTCTTCTTTAAAGCCCCTCTGCACTAGTTTGGCCAGAAAGATTAGACCTCCCTGCATTGTCACTGACAGCTGGTTATCTCATCAAATCAGCTTTCAATTAACATAAGAAAAAGGGGACCATGGGGGACCAATGGTCACCGATTATGCATCGTTTGCTATATAGAGGTCGCCAAAAGCTATAAGCAGACGTGCCAACCTCTGGAGTTCAAAAACTGTATTCTTTAATCCCAAAAGTTGTATTTTACTGACAAAAGTTGTATTCTTGAAAATAAACTTGGGATTGTTACGCGGATCAATGCCTCTTACAGTTTCTACCTACAGAAAGAATTTTTGTATGGATCATTGGTTGAATATGCATGATATCGGCATCTCCAAATTGCCGACGTGAGATCCTTGTAGGATACTTTGTAGGACAGAATGGTCATTTTGTCATTGAAAATGGCGGACACACACACAAAATATTAATTAAAAAAAATATTTTAAAAAAAAAAAAAAAAAAAATTGTTTTTTGTGGAAAATCATATTTTATTGAGGAAAATCATACTGTCGTATTTGTTTCTAAAAATTGTACTAAATACAACTAAATCGTACTGGTTGGCAGGTCTGTATAAGTAGTGCAGAGGGGCTTTAAGAAAGATGGTAGACCCTAAAAAATTGTATTTGCAAAAGAAATTTGATTACTGATAAATCACACTACCTCTTCCTTCTTCTCCTCCTCCACCTTCATCTTCTCCTCGTCTCCATCTTCCAGCTCTTCATCTCCCTCCTCTCCAGCCACCGGAACAGACTCCTTCTCCTTCATCTGGTCCTCGGTGGCAGCATCCATCGTCTGGGCGTCGTGGTGAGCCTCAGAGTCGGCCAGATGCTCGTAGAGGTCCGATTTCTCTGTTTCATCCTTCGTGTTTGAAAAGTAAAGAAGAGAGATTGATTTAAAGGCATCGTTTAGCAATGTTAAATCTGAGGTGCATGGCCCTACGTGTTATCAGTGTCTGTGATATGGTGTAATATTGAAGCCCTAAAAAATTGCGCTCCAAAATGATCATGAAAACTGGCATCCATGATATGATTAACAATAGTTAAGATTTGTTATAATATATCTACTGTAGTCTCAGCCTATAAAACCAGATGAATACAAAGTTTGACATACTTCTTTCTCCTTGCCTCCATCCTTCCTCTCCATCTCCTCACTGGCGTCCACGGTCTTGAGACGTTTGTTGTATCGTTCCTGGGTGGAACCCAGGCTTCTCTTGCTATCTGACTGGCTGGGCTTGTTGCTTTGCTGGCTCTCCTCACGGGCACTTTGCTCTTGGGTTGTGACCTCTGAGGTCGCTGACCCCTCGTGACCTTTCTTGTCTTGACGAGACTCGGCAGTGCCTGACTTGTGCTTCTGCAAGCAGTACGTGGAGGGGAAGAATTTGATTAAACCATTGCATATGAATTGATGTTAGTACACTGTAAAACACACATTTTCCAGAGCTACTTGGCAGAGGTATCTCTGGCTGGCTTAACAGTCACCACTTTGAAACATATAACTCTGGACTTGAACCAATGCCAAACTAAACACAGGCTAATAAATTTCTCAACTGCGCCAAGTTTTAAGATCACAATTCATCAAAACTCACTCACTCACCCACTCACTCACTCACCCATTCCCTCACTCACTCCCTCACTCACCCACCCACCCACCCACCCACCCATCCACTCACTCACTCAATCACTCATTATCACCGATAGCAGAATAACTTACATCTTCTTCAGGGTCTTCTCCCGATTTCCCTGCCTCTTCCTTCTTCTCTTCTTGTTCCTTCGTCGCGTCCTCATCCTCCGGGGCCGGGACCATGTCCTTGGAAGCCTTGGACCTAGCCATGGCCTCAGATCCTACAGGAGGCTGGTCTGTGTCGTGGGACTGGTCTGGGGCATAGTCGATACCTTCATCCTGATCGGCAGTCTCGTCTTCATTCTCTTTGTTTTCATCTCCCTCCTCCTTTAAAATAAAAAAAAAATGTTAAAGGGATTAAAGCTAATATTACACTTTTTAGGGGGTACTCAAATAGAAAACTGATAACATTTTGGATATATATTTCATATTGCATACATACATGTTTAACTGACTCATAAGAAAATTTGAAATGTTTCAAACTCAGGGGTACTAATATAGAAAACTGATAAAATGTTGGATAAATATTTCTTACTGTATACATACATGTATTACTGATTCATAACAAAATTTGAAATGTTTCAAACTCAGGGGTACTAATATAGAAAACTGATAAAATGTTGGATAAATATTTCTTACTGTATACATAAATGTATTACTGATTCATAACAAAATTTGAAATGTTTCAGGCAAAAGAATCATCATTTCATATGCTTAATGAGAAATATCTTGTGCAATTCTTTGTTTTCTGAGTGTATTTCATGAATATGCAATGCAGGAAAATGCTCAAAATACATACAAATATATTTGGGGGCAAAAATTTCACTAAGCCTTTGGTCCATCTAGATGTTCAGCTTGGTTTGAATAGAATTGTTATATCATGGAAGCTCACAAGAACAGGAGAGTGTTTCACAAAGACTAAGATCAACTTTAAGTTGGACTTAACTATGGCAGACCATTCATGCCACTGTTTGCTCTCACCAGTTACTGGCATTGATCCCTGAAGGGACTTACAAATCATTGTCTCGAATCTACATTTTCTGATTGTTAAGTCCAACTTAAAGTCAATCTTAGTCTTTGTGAAACACCTTCCAGGGGTAATAGTAGAAGTCACCGCTTTATCTCCTCAAGACAGAGCACTTTGTAAATCAATTATCATCAATATTGATTATTTGTTCACAAATAGTGACAAAACAGATATTTGGTCCCTCACCTTATCTTCAAATCCCTTCTTATCTTCTCCCATCCCCTCTTCATCGCCATCTCCATCCTCCTGATGCTCGTCTTCATTTGTTTCCATGGCAACTGGCTCCTCTTGTTTGGCACCTTCCTCCTCACCATCCTTCTCTCCAGTCTCCATCTTTTCCTCGTCTTTTCCTTCTCCGTCACCTTCTTGATCTTCCTCACCTTCCTTCGGTGCCTCATCGAACCTCTCTTCCTCAATATCCAAAGGATTCGATTCTGTTAAATGGTGTAGAGGAAGAACAAAAAAGCAGGTGTTTTACTCAAAATGAGAGGATTTTGCCAAAAATATATGTTATGCGAGTACTTTGGTTTTACTCAAACTAGGTAATGGTTGGAAGAGTGAGGGGAAGATTAATTGCCTAGTGTTTTCTACCTGTGTCTCCCATTTTTTCAGTTTACTCAGGCTCATTTCTTGAAACACCCTGTAAGCAAGTTCTTTTTTTACAGAGGGCCTTGTGTCAAAGGCCAGCACATGATGCTACTTCAAGCTATCAATTGTAAACATTTGCTTTTGCTGAAAATTTGTCAGAGCAAACCTCCCCATCCCCCTAATATAGTTTTTTGACAGTTGACCATTACAAGCATGTATCACCATCGTCATGGAATATTCATTATACAGTTGTTGTTTGTTGTACTTTTGGCGTTCAGTCAAATTTGACTATTTATGCAAAGTCTGGTTCTTTAGTTTAATCAGTCGAGGTAGTCAAGTCGTATGAGTCCCTAGCTTGGGCTTCGCTGGTCCACGGCTGGGGATGTATCTTTATGGCCAACCCTGCTACGTACACTGAGTGAGCTTATCAATCCTTTAGATCTAGGCCACTCATTTTCATTATACAGTCAAACCTGTCTATAGCGACCGCCAAAGGGAAACACAAAAAGTAGTCTTTATAGACAAGTGGTCTTTGTAGACAGGTTCCTTTAGTACATGTTTCAATGAGAAACCATTTTCAAGGGAAACAAAATATGTGGTCTTTGTAGACAGGTGGTCACTAAAGTAGGTTTGACTGTACAAAAATGTTTTGTCCCTTTTAATACCTTCTTGGTTCTCCTCCCCCTCCTCCACCTTCTCATCCGTATCCATGGTGAGGTCATCTGGAAGGTCAAGGTCATCTGGTACAGGAGCTGGAGGCGGGTCGTTGGCTTTCCTGGGGTCGACCTCATCATCGTTGAATTCACTCTGTAAAAATCAATATGGTTATTAAACCATTGAGTATTGAACTCATTCATTTCCATAGGCTTAATACAGTAGCCACCCGGTTACCCTAGACAAAGGGATAGATAGTACAATCATAAGAAAAGATCATTTACAAACGATGAATCCAAATGGGGTATAAATGTACCATCTATCCATGCTTGAAGCATGCCTGTATGCAGCTATAGTACAAAACCACAGATGCACATCTATAGGCTAACCCCCGCTTTCCAGACCCTATCATGAAAAACTGTGCAATATTTAAGGTAAACACCCGAATGTTGTTGAATTCTCATACATGCCAACATTTGAAAATCAGAAATCTGTACAAATTATGCTATTTTCAAAAAAAAGAGGAACAATCCTAACTCTCCTATTCAATACTACAGACAAATTTGTACAGGAAGAGGAACACCTGCATTAAAATGATAATTATCTTCTCCCAAAAAGAGGAATTTTCCTCTTTAATCTGAACAGTTGGCATGTATGAATTCTCATGAGAGCCCTCTTCCATGCGTCTTTAAATTAACAAACATGTGCAAATACACATGTACACGTAAATAATCAGTATGACAACTGAAAATACACACATGTAAATGTAGTACACATAAATACTCAGTATGACAACTGAAAACACTTGATTAATAACACACACCTCATCCTGTGGCTCAAGATTATTGGGATCGGGGGGCTCTTCAGGATTATCTTTCTGCTCCTTCTTCTGCTCCTTATCGTCTCCCTCTGCATCACCTATAAGATGAAAGAACAATATGATGTTGAGGAACGTACTATTAAATGAACGGTTGATTGCAGAATAAGATTATGCAAACTCAGGAACTGGTTAGATGATAACAATACAATTTAATTTATAATGAGCACATATCCAAAACTTTCGATCAAGGCACAGCAATAATTAATATGCAAGTTAAATTTTAGAAAATAGCTCAACAGATAATCTATGGGTATTGAAAGTCAAGGTATATAAATTTATATTTTTTCAAAGGTGTTTTGAGTTGTTATATGGAATCTAACTTCCTCAGAAAAGAATGATGTGACTTCCAGAGAACAGGTGTGGCCTTGAGGAAGGATCTGTCTCCGTAAGTAACAGTAAGTCTCCCTAAGATGTATATGTACATATATTATTTAAAATGCCATGAGAATGACAGCCAAAGAAAATAAGGTAATCAATTCTATTTCAAATAAAAGATATCTATAGCAATATTAAAAATCAAAATAAGACCAAATGAATGAAACTGAAAGTTAAAATTATGTCTTGTAAGCATGGTGGCACCGTGAAGCACTGTTTTACACATGGTAAATAATCTCAAAAGAAGCCCTGGGCAGATCAAAACTGTATTACTGTATTTATTTTAGACAAGTAGGAGTTTGAAAAAGATACTTTAGTGCCACCTAAGCAAGTTATTACACGATTACCGTAATTTACGGTGTATAAACCGCCCTCGTGTATTAACCGCACCCCTATTTTTCGCCCAGTCAGGGAAGGCCTTTCATTTAACTGCGAGGTGCAGCTGAATGTGTAAGATCATTAATGTAAATTAAATAACAGTAGAGGACCAAGGATAGAACCTTGTGGTACGCCGTGTAATAGAAGAAAAATTGGAGGAATTATTATTATAAACTACATATTGAGATTTATCAGAAAGATTACTTTCAAACCAAGATGACAGACAAATTAGAGTGTTGTTCTAGTTTCTGTGTGGTGAGTCAACACACCGATTACTGAGCTGGGAGACATTGCAAGGCATAGCGCCAGGTGGAGGGGCATAAATCGAAACTATAAAAATAAAAATAAAAAATTTAAAAAATTTGGTGTACCATTTATAAACCGCACCCCCCGACTTTGAATTTTTTTTCGGCGACAAAAAAGTGCGGTTTATACACCGTTAATTACTAGTGTGCTTTGGTTTTTTCATGTCATTTTCACACAGCACTCGCTCGCCTCACTCACTCGCTCGACTCACTCTATTGACCTACTCGCTCAGTTACCCACCCACTCACTCACCCACTCACTCACTCTACTCACCCACCCACCCACTGACTCACTCCCTCACTCACTCACCTACCCACTCACTCACCCATCCAATAACCCACTCACTCACCCACTCACTCACTCGCTCACTCACCCAATAACCCACTCACTCATCCACACCACCCCACTCACTCACCCACTTACTCACTGTACTCACCCACCCACTCACTCACTCCCTCACTCTCCCACCCACCCATGCACTCACTCACTCGACCACCCACTCACCCATCCAATAACCCACTCACTCACCCACTCACTCACCCACCCACCCACCCATCCATCCACCCACTCACTCACTCGCTCACTCACCCACCCCCATACCCACTCACTCATCCACACCCACCCACTCACTCACCCACTCAGTCACTCCACTCACCCACCCACCCACTCACTCACCCACTCACTCCCTCACTCACCCACCCACCCACCCACTCACTCACTCGTACCCTCCCTCACCCACTCGCCCATCCACCCACCCACCCACTCACTCACTCACACCCTCCCTCACCCACCCACTCACTCACCTTACTTACTTTCCTTATTACTTTCCTTATTTTATTTTATTTTACCAATGAACCCAACATTCCGTGCCTCACCTTGATTTTCTTCCTGAGCAACCATCCTTGACTCCTCCTCATCCATGCCGTCTCCAAACTCATCATCCTTCTCTTTGTTCTTCTTCTCTTCATCTTCTTCTTCCTCCTCTTCATCTCCCCACATCCTCTCATCCAGCTTGTCGGATTCCGGTCCATCCACATCCCCCATCTGCTTGTCCAACTCCTCCTCTCCTTCATTTTCTTTCTCATCTTTGTCTTGTTCTCCTTCTGACGAACAGAAAGGAGAAAGAAGAAATACGAAATATTTTGATGCAAGTATATTCATTTGTGTTAATTCAACCACTCAGTGTAAGTTCTGTTTTCATTAGTTATGTTTACAACAGCCTTTCATCTTCCAATTAGGAACAATGGAATTTTTCTGTCATTGCTCCATTCATTTGTCAATCTATTCTTCTCCAACATCCTTTTTCTCATCAATATCAGGAGCTCCTTTTACAATGATAAAGGCAAAAATAAGATATAATTTATTTGAAGTCACATACATTTTACTAAGTACAGCAATTCAAAATATTATGTATAACAACCTTCATGTAAATTGTTTTTTACATAAATTTTAAATGTCTAGCACATAGAGTCGATGAAAATAATGCATTCTTCAATCTAATAAATTGATGGTTGTCATTACCAGGTTGTTTATAGGTAAGTTGTTTGTACTTAGATTTTCACCTCATTATCTACTACGGAGAGTTTCTCACAAATCATGTTTGCTTGAATATCAGCAGGCATAGCATAATTATTTCATCTACATGTACATTAATTTGTATCTTGATTTAAATTGAAAACTGTATTCATTAATCTTATCTTCAACCTTTAGAAGAACAAAATATTGTTCTTGGAGATTTTCTCACCTGCTGGGTCCTGTTCATGTAACTTCCCTTCAAAGTCTTCAGACATCTCGATGCCGTGTTCTTCGTCCTTCAGATCAGGTTGCTCATCAAAGTCTTCCTCTTCCTTCTCTTTGTCACCAGGCATCTTAGTATCTTGTACCTGATCGATAAAGACCACATTTATGATGATGATATTAAGAATAATAGTCACATTTGTATACGCTTAATATTACGTTTCTAAGCACCATACATTGTAGTTATCATTACTCCTGTCATTGGATTCACCAAGCCAGCATTGAGTCATTGATGATGTGCAATAAGGTTTGGTCTGGTACAAGTTCATGAGTATGTAAAACGAATCTAATTTTAGCGAGACTGGCAAAAATTGTCTGTTTGACAAGTTTGAGACTGATTCTCACCTGGTCTTCATTCTCGATCTGATCGCTGACATCCTTGGTGCCTTCCCCATCACCGATACCTCCGCCCTCGATGTCTTCAAACTCTGTAGCGCCCTCTCCTACCATCTCGTCAGAGTACTCAGCAGGGAGACAGAAGCCCTGTAAAACAAAAGCAAGAAATACCTTCATAACTTAAACTGGCCTGGGGGGTGTTTCACAAAGATCCTAAGTCGAAACTTAACTCTGAAGTTCGACTTAAAATTTATGGAGAGCCATTTGTAGCCTTAAAATAACAAATATTCAAAAGCAAATATTCAAGTATTTTAGACATTTCATAAATTCCACATCAAGAACATGAAACCTCCTTGGTAATAGAAAATATGAATGATTTGAATCAACATTTTATGCCTTTTAAAATAACTTTTACAAAATATTTTCAAAGATACTAACAGCTTTCAATTATAATTAAGTCCACTTTAAAGAAAAGTTCAACTTAGGATCTTTGTGAAAAAAAACAAGTTTGTAGATATATATATTGTACATACAGAGTACATCTATTCAATTGCTGTTAGAAATTATAATTTTTTTTTTATTCCCTCTCCCAGATTATGTCTTTTTTTAAAAGGGATTGTCATACTTCATTAAAAGATTGTTTGAAGAGTGCTTGTGTAAATAGTAGGGGGAAAAATAACAAAATTAAGGCTAACAAGCCACTCGTTCAGTAAGGCACCTTCGGCATACTGTAGCACACTAACTACAGAGAGGTTTATCAATGTACAGCGGTGCCTGCAACATAGGTTATCCACAATAGAAGTCTGTTCCCTGGCCATGGTGTACACGGTTTAAAACATTTAAAAACGATTAAAACATGTCTTGATACTAATCAAGCAAAAATCGAAGGGATCAGACAAAAGGTTTTGATTCCAATTGGTTGCCTCACCTGAGATGCTAGGTCAGTGAAGATGGAGAGAAGCACAGACTGTAGTTTGCCTGTTGCTCGGTGTGCTGCCACCATGTGATGGAGAAACACACAGGCTAGTCCAAGGTACTGCTGCATCATGGGAATGAGGCTCGTCGCCAGGGAGCAACATTGGTTGAAGATCTGGGATTAAAGTGAAAAATGAAAATGAAAAGAATAATCAAAATAGGAAGCTGATCCCCCGAAACATTTCTCTTACTCCTAAATCATTTACACACGATCGAGCATGAATACATTGTACATCCAACAGAATAATCAATATTTACTATTATATCCCTCATGTATAGTTGTTTGCATTGCGATTGTACAGAGCACAAAAACGGTATAGATAAGTACCTGAGATAGGTCTTTTTGTAAAGTAATTTTTTGCTGCTGCCCCACTTGCGCGACTTGCGCATTGAATAAGCATAGCAAAGTAGGTTACGCGAAATGTCAAAGTCAATGTCAATGTCAAATGAGCGCGCATCAACTGTATTACATGTACGCATGTTGTGCTTTGTAAAATCTAGCTGAAGCTAAACTGTCTGCAAAATCAGTTGTTTTAATTATGTAAAATTCACTTTAAATTGACCTTATTGCCGATGTGGGATATAAAACAAATATTAACCTCCTTTACTCGGGCAATGGATACAAACTATCATCGCCTCGGTGATCTCGGGGAAGATAGTAGCCCCGAGATCACCCCGGCGATGATAGTTTGCACCATTACCCTCGTAGTCGATTAATATTTGCTTACCACATTTTGGAGCAATTGCCATCAACTTTAAAGAGTGAAATTTCGAAAATTGATACCCCCCTACCCCTTCAACCTTTCATTTTTCTTTGCTTCTTGGAAGAAAAAATGAGACACCTTGTCACAAATTATACAAATCTGATGACAAAAATAATAATATACAGTTCTTGTACAGTGCATATCACATCATGATATAACGTCTCTATGCGTTTACAAAGGACTTTGGAAATTATTACCTCAGCATTAGCTCCTGCGATTATAGTGCTCAGAGCATTCAAGGAACGTATCCTACCAGGTACCCTGTTACTAAACCTGGGTTGAGTGTGGCAAATGTAGATTAATGTCTTGCCAAAGGACATTATTGCTGTGGCAGGATTCAAACCCCCATATATTGTGGTTCACAGTCCAGAGACTTATCTACTAGACAACAACAACTTGTTATTGAAAAAGATATTGAGAAGATGTTCATCCTACCTGTTCATCTTGCACTGATCTGCACTGCTCCCTCAGATTGTAGAGGATAGCCAGAAGGTCAGCTCCACAGGTCACGACCTTGCTGACCTCCAGTAACCTCTGGTCAAGTGATAATCCTGACACCATCTTCTTGACCAGAAGACCTTCAAGATCGAGGTCACTTTCTTCTCCATCTTCTGTGAGATATAACAAAGGATTATTGACCCATTTGGTGAAGTCCCGAATGAAACTAATTTATTAGGGCATCTACATTACTTTTTTTTGCACTATACAGTGTTACTATTACAAGATGCAACATTTCAGCTTATTGTATCTTTTCAAATGATAATGTTAATTTAACAAATTTTATTCAGGACCTCTTTCTTCATAAAAATGTGTAGCTAATCCCTCACGACTTAACCTGCTATTGAGATCAATCAAACCAAAGGCAGTTTGATCTGTATGCCACAGGCATTTGTAACGCTCTGAATAAGTGGATAATTTGTAATTTCAAATCAATTTCAAACAACTGCAACTCTTCAGAAGACTGAGTAGAAGTCTGCTCATCTTCGCTGTATGTAGAGAGAGACAATGCACTGGTAAACTGATAAATTTTTTGTAGCATAGTTCTTCTGGGAAAGGCATGGGGGTGTTTCACAAAGATCCTAAGTTGGACTTGACAATTATGGAAAGCCATTAGCATCTTTGAAAATATTTTGTAAAAGTTATTTCAAAAGGCATAAAATGCTGATTCAAATTATTCATATTTTCTATTATCATGGCAAATTTCATGTTCTTGACGTTGAATTGATGAAAAGTCTCATGTACTTGAATTTTTGCTTTTGAATATATTTTATTTTAAGGCTACAAATGGCTCTCCATAATTTCTAAGTCCAACTTAGAGTTAAGTTCGACTTAGAATCTTTGTGAAACACCCCCATGGTTGGTCTCTGTGCAAAGTTACCTTTCTGTTCTGCTTTCTCTTCTTTAACATCCGATTCTTCCTCTGCCGTGATAGTCTGGTCTGCTTTCACAAGAGACTGGACACCAAGTAAGATGCACCTTATGGTCTCCTCCATCTTGTGTTCGGCATCAGACATCACATTCAGCGACGTGGTAGCCATATCAGTAACTGTTATGGATAAAGAGAAATGACATTAAATCGTTACTACCTCATTATCATGATGATTGAAGGTTGGTTGGTTGGCATTATTCTACTTTGCCACCCCAGGACTACGGTTCGAAATTTTGACGCAAGAACACAGGATTCCTGACACGTCACTAGTGTCCTTTGGCAAACATTAATCTACATTTGCCACTCCATACCCAGGAGAAAAATGGGGACCTGGTAGGATGATAAAGGCCTTTGTGATAGTAATTGACATATGCCCTTGTGATGATCATACGGTAGGAATACTCCCCGAGGAGTATAGATAGTGCACATTGTGCATGAATGAATCTGATGACCAGGGTTTTAATATCCGTAAAGGGCTTACAGACTGTATTTCATACTAAGCGCTATATTCTAAAAAATCCAGATTGACCTGGGGACACCCTTCCTAATGAATGCGACTGGCTGGAACGCTCCCCAGGGAGTGGGAAATGTGTATACATTGTGTGCGGGTAAGCCTGAATCCGATGAGCGGGGTAATAATATATCTGTTAAGCGCTTAGGGCACATCATTGTATCGATATATTAGGCGCTATATAAAAGCGGAGTATTATTATCACTATAAAATTCACCATTCAGCCTTTAACCAAATATCTCACCTGATGTAAGTGGCATCTCCTCTCCAAGAGAATGGTTCCATGTCTCAAACTCTGCACTCCAGTTCCTGATGCACTGTGCAATGAACACAACAGACTGCACAACTTGTGTTTGTTCACCAGTCCCTGGGAGTGTGAATGCTCCTACTGCCTGACCTAGCCTTCCAGCTACCTGGGTGAAACTGGTTTGACACTGCTTCAAGACTTCTATGCTCTTCCTGTATACATTAAAAAAGAGATGCATCTTCTAAAATTAGCAATTATGCTTCTTGGATTGCTTTTTCCCAAAAAAATTCCTCTTGTCAATGTATCGCAATGGGGATTAAAGGTAATACAAAGTTTTGGTATGGGGTCATGCATTTGGTTCAAATGAACATATTGGAAGCATGTGCGACCCTACAATATTCAGTGATCGTTGTCGCGGTTGAAATCGATTCTAAAGTTATGAAATTATAAATAATAAACTCTTTATGTTGTATAGCTCCCTCTCAAGGTCAATATATTAATTAAGCTATAAAACAATGTTTCTTGACTAAAATCGACCAATAGCTATTCCCGTTTGGAAATCATATATCACAACTACATATTCTGACATTTTCATGGTCGCAGCTACCATTGTACGGCCGTATGGCGCTATTTTAAATTCATCAGAATTTACCGGGAGCACCGGTAAATTTTTATATTCAATTTTTCTCAAAAGCAGAAGTGTTTTAGGGGCTAAATTTTCTAGAGCTTATATAACATCCACAGGGGCATCCAAATATATCAACATTGAAAAGAATCACCACCATCCAATTTTCAAAAATTCCCAAAACTTTGTATTACCTTTAAGACATAAAAACAAATAGACAGATTGCCGATCAAAGTTCAATATTAATACTTTGCATGACTGTTACTCATATTCACAAAAGTAATATTCACAAACACAAAGCCATTTAATATCATCCTTATTAATTGTATAATATCTAGTACCTCAATATTCCCCATGACATTCTCAAATTTTGTAATCAACTTCAACATCAGGCATAGGAAGAAAAACATTTTGGCCTCATCCAAGCATTTTTTTAAAGCCTATCTGCACTAGTTTGGCCAGGAGGGATTAGACCTCTCTGCATAGTCACTGAAAGGTGGTTATCTCATCAAATCAGCTCTCAATTAACATAAGAAGAAGGGGACCATGGGGGATCAAAGGGTATCACTTAGGAATTGTCGGCTATATAGAGGGCGCAAGTAGCTACAAGGAGTACAGTCCTGCTTTAAAGGGCTGACCACACAAACATCCATTGTTTTAGCCTTTGCGTATTCACTTCATTTCTTACCATGGAATAAGTGTCACTGATTCCTTCATCTTGGCTAGTTCAATATGGTGAGCAAACGGATCCAGAGAGGCTTTCAATCCCTCTAGAGAATCTTGGCATACCTGATTAGTGACCACGGAAACAAAATAAATCAATCATTTCAATCCCTTCATGTGCATTCAAAATACATATTTAACCTTCTAACTTGTTTTAATTGTCTGATGTAAATGCTCACTTCTCTTCTTTGGTGTTAGGGCAGACAGCCAGTGGAACAGATTCGTTTGATAAAATTATGGAAGTGCAAGCATTACTTCAAACAAACAGAACTTTGTTATTCCTGGCTCATTTTTCCTGACTGAGGTGTCATATGAAAGGGCAGAAGATGAACTTTCTGGAAATTAGGGCTGTGCACAACAGTGTAATGAGGTACCCGAGTACACTCCCAGGCTCACAGGCGAATACTCGAGTATTCGGACGCCATGTTTTTTTATAATTTTTTTGAATTTTTTTGAATTTTTTTGAATTTTTTTGAATTTTTTTGATTGTTTTTTAATTTTTTAATTTTTGGATTTTTTCCATTTTTTTCTTTTTTTGCCACTACCATACCACTCGGCAGTTTCTCAGGTCCCTCGCGCAGCTCGCTGAAAACGCATGCAACTTTACTTTGAGTTGCAGTTGAAGGCACCGATTTAATAAGAATAATAACAGTAAACAATGCTGTTTAAAAAACCAAAGATGGCAGAATAATCCATTTTCCTCCAAGTCCAAACAGAAATCTGGACATTTGGTCCCAGTTTCTGAAAGGTGAGTTTGACAGTGCTTGAGTTTGGAAACATTTTTACCGACGGTACCATGCCAGCGGATGCTGCTCTCCCTGGCACGGGTAAGCGTGGGCCTGGACATTTTTTTTTTTTTTTTTTTTTTTTTTTTTAATTTTTTTTTTTTTGCGGCCGAATATTCGGGTACAAGAAATCGTACCCGAGTAGTTGTCAACCGTGCGGGTACTCGAGCATTCGACTACCCGTCGCAGCCTTACTGGAAATGTGAATGTTTTTTCTATAAAATTCAGATACTGTGAAATATGCATCATATAAGTTGCATCAAATGAAAGAGGAGGATCTAAGCTTTACAAATATGTGTAATTTGTTAATTATAATTGTCATTAAGTTATAATAAAACATTGATAATTCTCGGTTTTGGTTTTCTGGGACGCACTGTATATTATCATTGACCTCTGACCTTTATATTCGTCTTGATTTCCAGCCACACTGGGTCACCCTTGTGGCATTGATCAGCCTTCGTCAAGCTCTCCGCTGGAACAGGACTCGAGACATTGGTCTTAGACTCTCCATCCACCTCGTCTTTCTCTGGACAGCAGTCTAAGATGGCGGAGAACTGGAGAGTGGCCTGCAGTGATTGGTCGATGGTGACCTTTGACCTGGTGATCCACGCTGCTGATTCTTCTTGCGGTGGAAGGCGACAGGTGTGATCTGGTCCATCTGAGGAAGAGCTCTTGGGAAGATGTTCCATCTCATTCAAGACGTTCCTGCGTGATGATGGAAATTAAGATATTTTAATATAAAAGATAAATTAAGATAAATTTTAAATTAAGATACTAAACATACCATACTTTTCCTTTGAATTCACTATTCACTAGTAAAACCTTAGTTGGTCTGGTGGTAGACTCTCTGATTCTGAGTTGTGTCATTTGACCGACAAGATACATGTCAAAGGTCAGTCCCTAGATGTCAACAATCAGAACTGATTGTTACAGGTCTTTAAAAGCCAATAATACATCAATCTCACCATCATGCCAATTTCAAGTAAAAGTACAAGCATGCCAGTTCTAATCTAAGAAACATTTCACTGCTAATTGCTAAATTAACTTACATTAAGCTGAAAAGCTTTACATGGCCTTCTCTCATTACCACAGCATGAATGTACTATTTTTAAATTTTCACAACTCAGGATACATAAACCTTTCAAATTCAAATTCAAATTCAAATCTTTATTCAACCTTTATAAAACAATTTACAGTGCCAATATAAAAGATAATGGTTAGGATCCCTAGGAAGCAGACTTCTGCTTGTAAATAGGGGCCCTGTAACAAACAAGAACAAGAACAAGAACAAGATAATGAACATAAATAATAAAATAAACTTGCATAATATAGGCACGCACATTCACAACTTGCAATTCATTATCCAGTATTGCTCTTACCTGAGTTGTGCGATGCTTGTTGCCATGGTAGCGACCTCTCTCCTCTGGTCTGCAGTCAGGTCAGATAAATGTTCAGCAAATCCTTTCACTCTCTCAATGTTGCCCACACCAAGCTCCTAAACAAAGAAGACGCAATCCACAATGATAAAAATAATGAAAGAAAGACAGCTTTAAAGAAACAACTGGAACACGTCTTACAAAGAGTTGCGATTGATCGCAAATCCTCCAATCAATCACAAGTTTGCAGTCTCCTATCTCTTATGTACATAATTGCGATTGATATCAATTGCAAATAAGTTGCGATTGATATCAACTCTTTGTAAGACAGGGCCATGGTCGATTGTATGATTCAGTTGTGGATGTACCACATTAAAAACTAGTGTTGCTATGCCAGGGAAACTTCAAGCAACATATCAACATTTAAAAGCAATGACTTTGTAATGGTATCTGTGCAACTCGTGATCCAATGACAACTGCCCCATGGTAAATATAACAATCTAGTTGAATTCCTACCTTCATCCCCTTGGGAGTGTTTCACAAAGACTAACATCAACTTTAAGTTGAATGGCAGGCCATTCATGCCACTAGTTCCTCTAACCATTCCTGGCATTGGTCTCTCAAGGGACGTACAAATCGTGGTCACAAATCTACAGAATTTACCTTTTTTGATAGTTCATTATTGAAGGTAAAAATATTATCTAAAGATCATTATTGAGAGACCAATGGTGAGAGCAACTAGTGGCATGAATGGACTGCCATAGTTAAGCCTAACTTAAAGTCGATCTTAGTCCATGTGAAACACCCCCCTGGACTCGACCAAACCCTGTCCCTAACCCTAAACTCAACTTAAAACCCAATCAGAAGACTGTACTTACCTTTGAAGGATTAGCCACAGCATCTCTGAGGGCTGCCTTGCGTGCCTGACATCGGAAGAAATACTCATGGCATGCTACCCACGTCTCGGGAATGTGCGAGGTGGAGCTGCAATATTCAACAAAATACATAACAGGTATTAGAAACTGTATAAACTTCAGAATTCAGATCTTAATGAATTTATGTTTTGCCTATGATGAAAAATCAATGAAAAGATGTAGTTGAATGGTAGAATAACTACAGACAACCATAGAATGAAATATAACTTTGAAAATGAAATTGTGGACATTCACATCCATTTTGGTCTTTGAGCATTTCACAAATAAACCTAAAACCACAGAGCAGTTGCTTTCTCACTGAACACAACAACATATGAATGTCCTTGTCAAATAGGTAATTAAAGCATTTGAGGAGAGAGTCAGTCACCAATTCTAAATCTTTCATTTCCACTCAAATGTTATGATGTGTTTTTAAATCTGGTTTGGACTAAAAAATAAAACATGATTTTAATATCACATGACTGAATATTTACACTGGCCACTGATCAGGTGATGCATCACTTGACTTGAAGGTTGCCTGAAGGTCGACTGGAGGCAGGAAAAGGAAGCTGTCTGGTTGGTTCTTCTCTGTCTGATTGAGTCTGATCAGTCCCTTCTTGTAGGATAGCCCTACAGAAACAGAATAATAACAATAATAATGTATAGCACTTTATCAGGACAATAAATTTAATGATTATTGTATAAAGGGATTTGTGCCGAACATAAAAATCAGTGTATCTTTCGCTTTGCGCAAAATTACCTGGATGACTGAATTTTAAAACCATATCTCACCGTTCATGAAATAGTAATTAGATGACAGTGCACCATTTTTCCATATCTTATGGTTTAGGGTGAGTAAACACGTAAAACAATGAATATCTTCATACTGTGCATGTAACTTTCAAGAAAACAGAAAAAAAATTCTAGTCCCCCCTGATAAAAACAATGTAAAGTCCAACTTTGCCATTTACCTATTGAGGTAAGGTATTTGAAGAGCTCTGACAGAGCTTTCCTCTTCCTCTGATGAATATGTCTGATCTCTGATTTCTGCTTGTCTGGTTCTGCATCCTAAAACACAAAAAAGAGCATAGATTCATTAATAACAAAAAGGATAAAAATATACACGAGATGCGTACAGGTATAACGAGCTGTCAACAAAGAAGAGCATAGAATCACTAACAATAAAAAGTACAAGTTCATAGTTTAAGTCCTATTTAAGTCTATTTTAGTCTTTGTGAAATATCCCCTTGTTTGAGATACCTGTAAATTGACAGCAACATGACAGCAAATTCTAGACTCAACATTGATGTGACTAAAAAAGTGATCCACAATTAATCATCAAAGTTTCAGAAAATTCCTTAAGGATATCCTCCTTTAGATTCCAAAACTTTTTGGCTACTCTCAGGAAAATGACTTCATGAAAACCAGCAGCCCTAATTGGACAATTGGACTATGAACAATTTTAAAGATTGTTGGCATACTTAAAAAATATTTTAATTAAAACGAGTATTCTTAATCTTGTTTCATGCATTTCCAAGGTTTGGTAGTCTTTGTCATACTCATATACCTTCTAGTATTTATCCATACATATATATATATATACATTTTACATATGTATACAATGAAATCTTCTTATTCTTCTTCTTCTTCTTCAAGATAATCTGCCTCCTTCAATACTGAAGATTCTTGCAGATGCTGTATATACTCATCCTGATTGCAGTATGCAGTTTGACCAATAACACTGGGTTGTCCCCCTACTCTTATACAAATAGTGCAGGAGGTTCTTAATGTGCAAGGGTGGTGACTCTCCTGTACACGGGGCCTCCATTAAACGTCCTATCCGCTTAACATAGCCTGCGTCTATGAAACAAGGGGAGGAGCACGTTAACACACAACGCGGGCTTCAGTCATCCGCCTGGGTGGTATCAAACATTGTTTCATACCTTTGTAACCTCGAGGGCCTGGAGCTCCTTGACGGATGTCACAATCTCTCCCACAAAGTCCTCCAGAGTCTCGGACATGACAGAGTAGTTCCGCTTGGAGACCAGAGAGGAACAGTGCTTCCTCATCCTGTCAAACAGGACCGGTATCCTGAAAATGAGACCGGTGTCCTGAGGCACTGCTGGTGGTGGTGATGGAGTTGTGAAGTACGCCTGGTATATGTTAGATTCAGGAGAAAGAGAAGTCATATGATCAGACAGTGAAAGAATCGGTGCAAACCCATTACACACTCATGGGGCGTTGCAAGAAAGTTGCGATTGAATGCAAGTTGCAAAATTTGCAACTGATATTTGCAATCGATCGCAAGTCAACTTTCTTGCAACGCTCCACTAGTCTCCTAAATTTCCTAAGATTTTGTTAGGATTAAAGTTTTAACAATTAAATAAATTAACTAGATCTAGCTTGTATTCTTCCCCTCACTCTCTCTCTCTCTCTCTCTCTCTCTCCCTCTTCTCTCTTTCTCAATCTCTCGACCTCTCACTTACTAATGGGGCGTTGCAAGAAAGTTGAGTTGCGATCAATTGCAAGACTTACGCTTGATTTGGGGGATTTGCAATTGATTGCAACTTTATTGCAATGCCCCATAAGTCAGAGACAACTCACAGAGAAAGGGTTGGTATCCCTTGCATCACCTTGCTACCATGACCACACGCATGCACGTCAGCCGCTGCCTCAGTGGGCTAGCATCTCAAACCAACAAAGCAGAGCTCTGTAAATGCGTGCTGTGGATATTTCAACTATTTGAATATTAAAACAGTAAAAATGGTAAATTGGTCCAAGGCCTATCCCGATAGTTTTATCAAGAAGCATTAAAGGCATAGTTTAACAATGTTAAATCTGAGATGCACGGCCCGTGTTATCAGTGTCTGTTATATGGTGTAATATTGAAACCCTACAAAATTTGCTCTTCAAAATGATCATGAAGTGCCTCAAAAAAGTTTTAAAAAATTGAGTGACCAGTTTTACCATACTCATTTTCCCCAGTAGACTGTAGTGTTATAAAAACCGTTAGGAAAACAAAAAATGAAATTTCGATTTCTGATCATAAATATCTTGATAATCAGACGGTAGATCGTCTTGTAAAAGTCAATGACTTTTACATGGGATTCCTGACTGACCTAAGGTTTATAATTATGATTACAGCATGAGCTACATCCAGGATTTTGTTTCAGAATCTGAGGAAATGTTACTGAGTCACTTTAAGTCTTGAAGATACATGTTTTTCTCTTTCATACCTGATACTTCTCATCACCGAAAACCATCTTCCATTCGTCCTTCCAGATGATATCCTTGGTCTTTGTGTCATCTTTCTGCTTGCATATTTCTATTCTCTCATCCATGAAGACGGCCCTTGCTGGACCTTGCAGGCAGACCTGTTCCAATGAGAAAGTTAAAAATTCATATACAGTCAAACCTGCTTTAGTGACCACCTGTCTACAAAGACCACTTTTTTTTCTCCCTTGAAAATGGTTTCTCATTGAAACATGTACTAAAGAAACCTTTGAATAAAGACCGCCTACCGGTATCTACAAAGACCACTTTTTGTGTTTTCCTTGGGCGGTTGCCATAGACAGGTTTGACTGTATCATTCTTTCAAAATCATCTATCACCAATTTTCAAATCATCATTAATTCTTTCAAATTCATCAATAATTCTTTCTAAATCTTGTCTTTGTCCAAATCATCAATTATTATTTACTTTAATGGGGCAAATTTCATCATGATCCTGTCTTGTCATTCACAAAGAATGCATTTAGTGCAAGCCAAAAGCTGAGTAAAACACTTATATTTCTGACATAAGTATTGAATAGGGTTTAGGGTTAATTAAGGGGGAAAATGAGTTTGTTTGAAAGGAAAACTAACCTCATATTTCTTCCTAAACTTGATGAGAGTCTTGTGTGTTTTCTCCACAGCTTGCTTCATGGCCCAGAAGCTGATGTCATTCCATTTAGCAATTTTGACGAAATCCTGAATGGAAAAAAGAAGAGAGTCCATATATAGCAATGTGAACATTTGTCTCATAGTAAAATTGGAATCCATGCAGGATATTCCATAGCAAAGAAAAATACACAAATATTATTCGAGATTTGGAATGAGCAGAGAGAAAGAGAGAGAGAGAGAGAGAGAGAAAAGTGGAAGAGTGAGAGAGTGAGAGAGAGGGAAAGTGAGAGAGAGACAGAGAGGGAGGGAGAGAGAGTGGTAGTGAGTCAATTGTCAAAAATACTACGATATAAAATGTTCACATGATCATGACAGAAGTGCTAATCAATTTTTTTTTTTTAAGTATTCAAAGCAAATGCCCCCCAAAAGATAGCAATTTTGTATTAAGAATTTGAAAATGAAACCTCAAATGAGGATTTTATTAACAATTTTGCTTACCTTCAACTCCCTCTCAATGGGTTTCCTTTTATTCTCAATCTCCATGGTTACTGCTGGTAAGAACTGTCTATAGTAGCAGTACATGTTCCACAGGATGCAGGACAATTCTATCAAGTAAAAGAGAGGAACAGGATTTTTTTTTAATCAGTCAAACATTTGATTATTAATGTGGTTGCAACACTATTATCGGTATATACCAATGTACATATGAATGCCACACGACCCGTTTGCAAAAAGGGTTAGGCCTACTGTCAGTCAGTCTACATCTACAATCTTGCACTAATTTTCAAATCTTAGTTTATATTAACTATTACTCTGATCCTACTACCTAATAGTATTAGAGCTACCTTTAAATGTCTTTTTATTACAATTCTAATGTACAAGCAACAAATCAAGTTCATGGAACATACATGCATTTGAAGAAGGAAATTTTCTACTTTGTTAAAACAGGATATCAAGAGGCACAGTATGAAGCTATTAAATGTCTTTTTAGATGGTTGAAACTAAAGGGAAGTCACTTGACACACGTTTAATTTAAAACTATAATTGAAATGACCCAATCAGAAGCAAGTATTTCAGTAGCTTATAACAAAAACTGTCATTTGTCACTGATGACAAGTTTTGTGAAACACCCCCCTGATCCTACTAACCTGAGGTCTCTTCCGTTGACTGCAACGAGGCAACGGTCTGAGCATGGAATGCAAGCAGCATCTTAAGCCTGGCAGTAAACTCTCCCAAACTGGCGCCCTCTATCAGCTTCTGCAGGATAGCGACGATTCCTGGGATCGTCGTCCCGTCTTCCCCTTCTCCATCGTGTCCTCCAATCTCATCTTCAGTCCCTTGGATTGGTTTCTGTGTCTGTTTTTCATCATCGGTCCCACTGCTTGGTTTCGGTGTATGGTTGTCACCTCCTGATTTTGTGAGGAATGTCTGGATCAGGCGATACATGTGGAACCACCACTTGAGGGAGCCCTCCGCGTGTTTGAAGGTCACATTGTCGAGCATCGCTACCCAGCAACTGTACACAGAGAAAATGGGAATAGACCGGTTAACTAACTTATTCAAATTTATGACTGTTTCTATCCTGGGGACCTAGTGACGAGTTATTCCATTAACCTGTTATGAATGAATGAACTACAATCCTTGGAATCCAGTCTGCATACATTACTTGTTGCTATGTCGAGCAAGCCTTAGGCAAGCTTTCAGTTGTTATAAACGACCATAGTTTAAAAAGTATGCATAGAATTTGAATATTTTGATGTTCTTCCACACTTGCATTATACAATGATAACGCTCACCTCTTCCCAGAACTCAACCTTCTCTTTAAAACATGGCATAGTTGGTATATATTTTAGATGGTTTTTACTCACTTCAATTCTAGCTTCCTCCATCTGATGATGGTCTGAGTGATCTCTTCAAGGTGGGTCTGGATTGAGACGGCTCTGCTTGCATTCGACTCCCACTCCTGAGCAGATATAAGATTAGGTTAAAGCCTGTCTGCACTAGTTTGGCCGGGAGGGATTAGACCTCCCTGCGTGGTCACTGACAGGTGGTCATCTCATCAAATTAGCTCTCAATTAACATAAGAAAAAGGGGATCATGGGGGACCAACGCGTACAGCTTAGGCATTGTTTGCTATATACAGTGTAAAGGGTGCAAGTTGCTATGACCAGTGCAGTCCTGCTTTAAAGGAAGAGAGTTGTCAGTTTCCATGTGCAGGAGGCCATAATTCGCTGACTTGGTGAAAATACCATTCATGGGTGTACAAGTACATGTATGTACACAGCAAACCTGTTGTCCTATCAAAAAATATCTCCTAGTCTCTCAGAGAGTCTTCAGGGTGAAGATAATGACTTTACCATATGGGGGAATGAGCGGAAAATGCAAAGCATTACATAAGACCTGTTGGTCATAAAACTGAAGGCTAATTTTCGGAATTTAAGCCCCTTTTAGAATGAATTTCTTTAATTCATAAACTCATTTTAAAACTAAACTAGATGACAAACTTTCTCAGTCCCAAAATATTGTAAAATGGTAAGGTAAAAATATTAAAATGTTGGCAGTTCTACTCTGTTTTAAGTGACTCCATATCAGTGACTTCTAACGAATCAACAAACTAAAAAGTTACCTGTGATTTTGATAGCAGTAGTTCCAGACCCGTCACAAACTTCATCAGAGGACTGTCCACACTGAATGACTGGATTCGCTCAACCAGCATGGTAAGCTGTAGTATATAACAAACACAAGAAGAACATAACATAATATCAGTGGGAACACAACGGCAGCTGTCATTGATGTTCAATTCTGTGTACATTCTTCAAACCATGGGCCAAGAAATTTGATATTTCTGCCAAACGAATGCATTAAATCATGAGGTTTAATGTACACATAGGTAAGGCAATGAATCTAGTCCCACTAACAATGGGACAATGTGTGTATGAACTCTGATGGTGTCAAAGACAATTTAAAAATTAAAATCTGAAAAACCATAAGTGGAGTAAACAAAATTGTAGTCACTTCTCAGAAAACTTTCTCTGAACCGTCTCTTTAGCCTTTTGTAACTTTAAATGACAAAAGAACTTCTTTGTTCATGAAACAACATTCTGTTAAAGGGAGTGGGTCGTCAGTTACCATTAATTAATAGGAGAACAAATCTAAACCTGTAGGCCCATCAAGAATTACCCCCTATTCTCTCAGAGTCTTAGGGTGAGGGAAAAGCAAAGCCTTACACAAGGTCTAATGGTCATAAAACTGAAGGCTAACCCTGGTGATTGACAGCACCTGTTATTGGGTAAAAACCTGAATGGTGTCGAATTCCCCATGAGAGCTGACTTCTATGTGTCTTTAAACTTTGACCTCAAGCAAAGAGCTTAATTTCTGATCAGAGAAGAACTTAAGATCCCTTGAACAATACTTTTTTCTTATTTTAAAGCTCTTACCTGTTTCAGAGTGGGATGATCTGGCCACTCGACAAGTAGGCCCTTGATCCTCTCCATAAAACCATCCAGGACCGGTTTACACCGGATTGATTCTGGAATGTTGGGGTCGTGGTAGATGTCATACGGCTTGGAAGTGTCGTCGCCCTTTCTGATGGGCTTGGATTTTTCATCGGACTGCTCTGTCGCTATGGCAACCTGGAGGTCGTGAACTCTCAGTAGATGAGCACCAATCAGGTGCTTGTCGATGCAAGGAGCTAGAACGAGAATTATTATTGCGCAAAGTTAAAGTACATAGTTGTTAACATATGAGAAAAGGCACAGATTTGAATTATTTAGAATATAGAAGGGGACATAGCTTTGCGCCCCCCCCCCCCCCCCACCCTAAAAAAATGGGGGAAGATGTACATCATTGAATGTAGTTTGTCACATAAAACATCTTTGTATTTTAACGTGTTTAAGATTATCTTGGATGCGTATAACTTTTTGTAGCAATAAACTTTAAAATCAACTAATTATCTATGGAGGTTTTGCTGAAAATAAAGAATTTGACTCGATAGCGTAGAATCGTGTGAGGGCTCATGTTATCGACCAACATTACACAAGGTTTAAAAGGTCAGTTTAAAAAAAGTGGAACATTTCATAATGCTGTGAAATGCCTAAATACCAGGCAAAGACTCACCCATGTAAGGAAGAGTTTCATGAACGAGCTCCACAGCAGTGGCATAGCCCAGCCTGGCCGTGTTCCTCACATCCACATCTACACTTGACCCTCTGTCCCTTGACCTCATCCAGCCGATCTTGACCATCCCTGTAAACATCTGACCGTGGGTGTCCCTAAGGAGTCGCATGGTGGTGGTGTCCAGCTGCCTGGTAGCGGTCGGGTCAGGGTCCGAGGTCGAGGGGTCATCCTCTTGGTTGGACTGGTCATCGAGGCTTGGTTCGGCTGTGATGTCCGCAAACTCCTGGAATGGTGGAGACAAATTTGAACGTGGAATGAGATGAGATTATCAACAGAGTCTTGTTCTTTTTCTCTTTCTTTCCTCTCTCTATCTCTCTCTCTCCTCTCTCTCTCTCTCTCTTTTCTCTTTCTGTCTTTTTATCTGTCCTTCTCTCTTTGTCTCTGTCTGTCTACAAAACAATGAGATTAAACTTTATATTTTTGTTTCTGTATATTTCATTCCAAATAAATGTTACCATTGCCTCTCTCACCATCTCATTCTTGGACTACCCCTCTTTTTTTTCTCCCTCTTTCTGTAACATCTCCCTGTCCATTCAAATATGTCCTTATTCATATGACTCTGACCTTGTATACCAGGCATTATTACCTTCTCAAAAGACGGGAAACTCTCCCTCAGCTCCTTCTCCTCCAGCTGCTCGTCGGTCATCCCGTCGCCATGGCTACGGCTCTTGAACTTGTACAAGCTCGCCTCCTCGTCCTCTCGCTGTCTGGCTGCCTCCTCGGCCTGGTGGTAGTGGGACACGAAGGACTTCATGATGCCATGCAAGAGGTCAAGGGTCGAGGGTGTGAGCTGTCCGTGGAGGGTGGTATGGTTCGTGGTGTGATGGAGAGCCAGCTTCAGGATACTAAAAAGATAACAAAACATTAACCCTAAAGCTGCCAAAACATTGTGAAACTCGCAATGGTAGTAAGACTGTGTAATTGCTAAATGGCCTAGTTGTACTGTTCAGAGTGTGGTGCATTCATGTTTTATTTTAATGTTCTGTAATCCAGTCATCACTCTTCTGGTTTTGCACTTCATGACATGAGAAACATCAGTAGTTTGAAAGAGATGTTACATTTAGTTTTCTTTCTACTTTGGTATATAAAATCTGGCATGTAAAGGATAAAAAGAATTAAGTAAAGTAGAGTGAAACCTGCATTATCGACCACTTGTCTATAAAGACCAAATACTTTGTTTCTCTTGAGCAGTGAAATAATAACCTGCAAATACATGCAAGGACCACAAGTTTACAGAGGTGGTTTAAGAGGCATCATACAGTTAAACCTGTCTATAGCGACCGCCCAAGGGAAACACAAAAAGTGGTCTTTGTAGACAGGTTCCTTCAGTGCATGTTTCAATGAGAAACCATTTTCAAGGGAAACAAAGCATGTGGTCTTTGTAGACAGGTGGTCACTAAAGCAGGTTTGACTGTACTCCTACAAACCTGTGCATGAGCCGTTCCTGTTTGGCTTGCCCCACTGACCATCCAGACCAGACCTTCTGAAGTAGAGAGTGGACGTTCACTGTGGTCAGCCTCTCGGCCAGGGAGAGCCAGGAAGGAAACCTTGGCTGGACCGATGGAAAGCCGGCGATGCAGACCACCAACTCCTCTGCGGATGTCATCTAGGAATAGGAGAGAGAGATCAGGAAAATATCTTAAAGCCTGTCTGTACTAGTTTAGCCAGGGGGATTAGACCTCCCTGCAAGGTCACTGACAGGTGGTTATCTCATCAACTCAGCTCTCAATTAACATAAGAGAAAGAGGATCATGGGGGACCAACATGCACCGGATTAGGCATTGTTTGCTATATAGAGGGTGCAAGTAGCTATAAGTAGTGCAGTGGGGCTTTAACTACCTCTGTTTAAAATTGTTCTTTTCACTTCGCTGTTTGTGTTTCTTCAAGCCATCAGAGTCAGTTAATCTTATTACTGCAATCAGAGCCTTAAACATAAAATAATAGTGAATCTATCTTTTTGAATTTGATCTAGCAAATATATTGTTTGAAAATATACATTGGAATTTACAATCACAAATCACAAAGTATCGTTTTTTTAAGTGTATCCTGAAATCATTTCACAAGCATTTATACAGTGGTTTTACAAAAAAATGAAATTGACATCATACATGCTTATTTCAGTCTGGAAACGATTGGCAATGTGTACTTCAAATATTCCCCATCTAGCCATTTAAAAAGGGGGAACAATAACACTAGCTTAAGATGGAAATCCAAAGTCAGCACTTACCTGCTCTGGTTGCCTTGGCAAAGTGGCCTCCTGGAGATGCTGCCTGTGATGCTGGCACTGAACAGAGTGAGCGAGCAGCTGCATCCCATAGGAGAGACCCGCCACGCCCGTCACCATCCCAAACCAGAGGTCCCGGTAGGAGGGGTACTCCGCCCTGATGCGGGCCATGAAGTTCTCCTGGGAGGCTTGCCAGGCGTGAAGCCGGCCTCTCAACAGGGCAGTGTTCTCCCCCGGGTTGAGGAAGGCGTCGACGTGCTTCTGGAGAAGGTCCGTGATTGTTTGGGATGAGCCGCTGGTGGTCAGGTAGACCTGGACACCTCTGATGAGGTCATCAAACTGATGAGGGATAAAGAGAGAATATGCGGTTACCATACTCATATTCAAACTTCCTCTTTTACTTCTTTTCTTCATGTTTCTCCTCTCCGTTTTTCTGACTTCATGTTATCTTTTGTTTTCTTATTTTTGCTGCCCAAGGAATCTTACAATATTAACTATATATATTTTAATATTGACAAATCAATTATAACTGTATTTTATGTTTAAAATAGGCAATGAGTGTTTTATTTGTACACATGACCAATTCAGCCATTGGGCTGCGACACATGTTTTTAATAAACCTTGGAAAAAAATCTCTCATTTCCCAAGCACACGACACACTATTCCACTACAGACACTTACACCAACTGACTGTTGAATTAAATAGAATTCATGCAGTCAACAAAAGGCCCCAAATGGTAATGAAAGCTGCATTCAGAGTTATCAAAAAAAATATCCTGTATGCGCGTATTTGTCAGTGTAGACTGTAAGACCAAGTCTCACCTGCAAAATTGATTTTCGGACAAACCCAAAACCTTGCGCTAAGCCATCCTGCTTAAAGGGGCTGTGCCTATGGCTAGAGACAGCGCCTGGACTTGTTATGTGCATTTTTGTACCTGAATGCTCTTGAATGGCAAAATTGCCCCTTTGTAAATACGATGTTTGACAGTAGATGGCGACCTTTCTCCAACACTGCGCGCGACAGCATATGCGCAAAAAGGATACAAGACAAGGTTTCTTTCGGCTTCCATAGAGAATGTACGGCAGTGTCTATTAATTCCTTATTTTACAATACTATTGTTCAGGTGTCATGAACTACCTTAATGATTTGATGATATCTATGTGGGCACCATCATAATCTTTTACTATAGTTTATTGGTTCCGGAACTATCATTTCTATCGGACTTCCCGGTTCTCAACCCATTGTATTTGTATGGGAACCAGAAGTGTCTTTGCCAAATATTCCCATGGCCGAATAACATACATGTAGTTGTGGTAGTGAGAATTGAAATCACGCCTCATGTGCACCAGGCCTCAGGCCCATATTCTACAACCAGGTAATTCAGTTAACCTGACGCAAGGACTCAAGTTATATCAAACAAAGGAAAAACCTATGCATGTAGACCTTGGTCCTTCATATGATACACTTGACTTTAGACCAAGCTTAGATTCAGTGGGTGATAGGAACTGAAGAAGTAAAAGTGAAATAGTACTTCAATTCAACGGTAAACTAGTCAAGGGTTTAGTGACACAAAGACGTAACTCCAAATTTTGACAAAATGAGTATTTGATATCAAAATGTTCAAAAAAATGTGGGCTTTCCAGGAAACATAAAGACTTTTTAACTCCACCCAACACCCCATTGAAGTCAATGGCTAGTGAAACATAGACTTAACTCCTTAAGGCCCAAGTGCTCAGTGACACATATACAACTTTTTCTCAAAATGGAGTTACGTCTTTGTGTCACTGACCCCTCATAGTCTACTTTATCATACATGTACCTGTGGTGGGTGTGGCCTGAATGCATTCCTCTTGGAGAGCTCCGTCTCCATCTCCCTTAGCAATGCAAGCCTCTCCTGCATGGCGTGGAGGCGTGGATGGATCTCCTGGTGACCAAGCTCTGACAGAGATGACCCGGTCAGGAACTTGGACGACATTCCCCTCACTTTCAATTCGGCCTCCAATTCCAGGATCTGAAAGGAAGAAAATAAAGTCCATTATATATAATGCATGCTGTGATGATCATCATCATCAGGAGGAGGAGGAGGGTAGTGGTTCATAGCATCAATATTGCACCATATTCCTGTTTAAATAACATTAAATTGCACAGAATCCTCTGATAAAGGCAGCATTCATATCTGCTGATAAAGGTAACTGTGTCACTACATGTAAGTCTACAAACATACTCATAAATAATCTTTTAAGAGTTAAGAGGTACATGTGAACTTTAGATTAAGACCACTAATCCACTGTCAGATAAGGCAGAAAAAAGTCTTCCTTGTAAACCATCTAAGCCGTACATGTTCTTCTTCCTCTCTCAAAAAAAAAGGCTAGCTACTCCTAGCACAAACACACAGTACGGTACACTTTAAGTGGGTAAACAGACAAATAGTGTCAAATTCCCCAAGAGAGCCTACGACTATGCATCTTTTTTGGTTGCAATAAAGAAATAATAAGAACAGATATCACTTTATAACCATACCTCTTCCTTGATGTAGCCAAGCCTGATAGCATGATGCTCAGCTGGGTCTACTGGTCCCTGGGGAGCTAACAGTACTGCTTGTAGATGGCCAAGACGTATCCAGCACAAACCCGAAGACCGCAGGTCCGTCACAAAGGTGTCACTAAGAGTATTGGCTGAAAAATACAATCGGTTGATAACTGATATGAGGAAAATGTTGGTTATTGTACGGTGCTCGAATTTGAAATGCATTGAAGCTCTTGGCACTATAACAATGAAATGTTTACAGTTTGCACAATGCTTCATGCAACTGCACTGTATGAAAAGTTGTAAAAACTGTGAAATCATTGTAACATAAGAATATATTTCAGTACAAATGAACTGTAGAATTCAAAATATTATAGTATTGAATTAAAGGCATTGAGTACTTCATTTTTAGAAGTCAATTTAATTGATATGCAAAATGGAAATTTAAAAAAATCAGGATATACTCCTTGGATATACATATTTAGCACATTTATTATCATACATATATCCATGCCTAGTATTAAGGTGATCTGAAATTTGCTTCTGCAACAATTGATCCAGGCTTTATTATTTCAAAGATATATGTAGGTATAGATAGGGTGTGATTGGGTTTGAGGTTAGGGTCTGGGCCCTGCTTCATAAAACCAGTCGTCAATAACAAATGCTAAATTTCGATGGCAGATTTGCTCTCAGTCAATCAATTGCAACAATTTCAGTAGCTTTAACAAAATTGGAACTTGTTATTCATTACAAGTTTTGTGAAACAGGGCCCTGGTTTAGTGTTGGGTCAGGGGTTTGTGTAAGGGAGTGGTTTTCACCAGAGCATATGTCATAGACACAAATTTACCTGTATCTCTCCCTAGCCATCTGCTCAGAAGTATCTCCAAATCATGCAGAAGGTTCTTCACCAGACTGCCCATGCTGTCAATCACTCTCAAGGCCTCGCCCCTCTCATCCCTGACCAATGGCAGGGCCTCACTATCTGTCTGGCTCCGCCCACTGTTGTGCTCCAAAATCTCCCTAAGGCTGTCTAGGGGCGAGTGACTCTCTGTGAATGGGGTGGGGCTAGTTGTGGGGGTTGCCAGGGTGACAAGGTTTGAGCAGGCTGTCAGCCATCTTGCTTTGTCGCCCTCATCGGGAAGCAAGGAGGCAAAAGCCCTGAGAAGCCATGCTGTACTTGTAACCAGGTATGATACACTCGATACCCTGCACAAAGAGAAGAATTGGAGATAAAAATCTCCATCAGGTTTTTTGTGTAGAATGAGCGCTCATGATCCATGACTCTGAACGGATTCAAAAACATTTATTGCTATGTCAGGCAACAAAATATTCAATAAGTAAAATAAATGGTAGATTGTTTGGGATGAAGAAAGCGTGTGTTCGGGAGAAAAAAGGATATAGAAGTTTTTACAAACACAAATCCAAATTGAAAAACTTTGAAAACAAATATTCATGTTTTAATGTTAATAGAGGCCTCAAAAAATCTAAATCTAAACAAGTCACATTTGGTTGCCCTTATAGGCTCATTAACAGTGTTTGATTTAACTTGTTAATGATCTGCAACTGCACACAAAGCATATTTCACTTATATCATATATAAAAGAAACCGCTGTCGTTTACCACGACACATCTGAATGAGGCTTTAGTATCCAACCCTTCCCTCGCTCATAAGGTAGTTTAACTGGAAGCTACATTTCTTTTAAAGCACTTCCTTCTATTGAAATGCCAAACATTCAGGTGTAAACATGTAAAGCATTAGCATGGTAACAGTTGGAACATTAGTACAATCATGATACCAATAAAAGAATCTCATCTTACATGAAGTCATATCCCTTGCTGGTCGTCCATCCAGAATTCCTCCATAGAACCTCCAGGATCTCTTGCAGGTGGTCCTGATGGGCCTCCCAGGACTCTAGGGGGATACTCTTGCCCCCCTCCTGCACCTGCTTTGCCTCTTCTTTCGGCCTTTTCTCAGCGTGGGGTGTGATGGAGGGGGGATGGGCGTGGTGGTGGTGATCGGAGAGCAGGTGGAACATGCACCTGGTTTGGACAGGTGTGTGGAGGTTGGCAGGACCCTGTAATAATAATAATAATAATAATAATAATAATAGTTTGTTCTTTTATAGCGCATTGCAGGACCGCAGGCCCTCTCAGAGCGCTTTACAGATATATTATTACCCCTGTCATCGGATTTGGGCTTACCCGCACACAATGTAAGCACATTCTCCACTCCCTGGGGAGCATTCCAGCCAGGCGTCATTTTTACAAGCACATACTTTCTCATCTAACCATGTTAACTTTTGCATCCTAACGGGTACCCATTAACACCTTGGGTGGAGAGTGGCAAATATAGATCAATGTAAGACAGAAATGAGAGTCATTATCATGATGAATCACACCTGCATAGAAGGACTGCCCAAGGAAAGCTCAATAAGCAGAGTTTATAGGCAGGTGGTGTATAAAATACAAATATTGACTGCTTTGAGGGGCAAGGTTTAAACTGTAGCCTAAGGTGATCTTGAAACTGTGCTGTGGACGAGGTTGAGGTGCATAGTGCAGGCTCAAGGTCACCTTAGAGCTATAGATTGATGGTGACCCCAAAATTCGGTGCATCCATTATTAACTTCATGTGTATCCATTGAGTCATTGCATTGTACATGTGAGGAGAACTATGACTGGTCAATATTTTTTCACTACAATACCAAGATCCATTGCTTTGACCATCAGGAGACTCACATACATTACTTCTAACACGGAATGTACCTACAATGCCAAAGTGCCAACTACTTATTCATTTACCATAACAGAGCTGCTGTCTTCCGACAAATAAGTCTGCATCTCCTCATCGTCTTCAACGCTGGGTTTCCATGACAACCACCTCTCCATTGATGCAGCTACAGTGTTAGACTGCATGTGAAGCAGATGGGCAGCTGCTACCTCGGCAATGACCCCTGTATGACCTTGGACTGATCCAATCTTGCTATGGGGGTGCAGGAGGACTGTGTTGAGGGGGCAGAGCAGGTACGGGTTGAAGGGAACTTGGAAGCGTGTAAACTCGTATAGGGATTCAATGTCCCTCAGTTGCCCCTCGTTGTTGAAGCTTTGAAGCCTAAGATTTGAAAATGAAAATCAGGAAAGATAACATTCATAATAAGTAATAATTTATCCTTTTTTTTTGCCACACTTGTTGACTATTTTATCAATATAATTCATCTTTTGATAACATGACACTGCATGGCTACAGAAACTCATTTAGCTGTACTCGTAGGTTCAAAGGTCGACTGTACAGGGTACAATATGTGAATCTGTTCCAAACTGCTGGATATTTATAATTTCATAACAGGAAAAGTTAAAAAGTAATTCTGGGGGGTGTTTCACAAAGAATAAGATCGACTTTAAGTTGGACTTTACTATGGCAGGCCATTCATGCCACTGATTGCTATCACCATTGGTCTCTCTATTATGATCTTTAGATAATATTTTTTCCTTCAATAACGAACTATCAAAAAAAGGTAGATTCCATCGATTTGTGACCACCATTTGTACGTCCCTTGAGAAACTAATGCCAGGAATGGTCAGTAGAAATAATGGCATGAAAGGCCTGCCATAGTTAAGTTCAACTAAGTCGATCTTTGTGAAACACTCCCCTGGTCTTTCAAATATTGGACTTATATAAAGAACAGTACACAAAAAATACCCTGCCCTGTCTCGATTACACAAGCATCCCTGCTTCCGTTACCTCCATTGGTTAAGTGGTTAAGTCGACGGACTGTCGATCACAAGGGTTGCGGTTCAATACTCTCCGCGGCACTAATGTCCTTTGGCAAGACATTGATCTACATTTGCCACACTCAACCCAGGTGATGTAAATGGGTACCTGGCAGGAATAAATTCTTTGAAATGCCAGAGCGCCGTAATGCAGCACAGCTAAAGCCGGGGATATAATCTCCAAGTTTGGAAGCGCTTAGTGATTGTAATAAGCGCTACCGGTATATAAAAACTGATTATTATTATTATCATTATTGTCCAACCTATCAAGGTACTAACCCTGTTTGCTTGAAGGTTTCTGACATCATCTGTGCAACCACCCGCTGAGAAGTGGTAAGGGCCAAGTGTTCCTTGATGGGCCATAGCCAGACAGTCATCTCACGAGCATCTTGGACTGTTCCATGTCTCTGATCAGGGGTGGCATTGGGCTCCTCGGGGTAGAGGGTGGGATTTTTGGGTAGAAGGCCCCGCTGCACGAGGTTGTACTCGATTGGTCCAACAGCTTCAGAAGCAACTGTAACAAAGAAACATGTATAAAAACAATGATTTTTAAAAATGAGGGGAATTCCTGGCTGATGTTTTCATATCTTTTTTCATACTGAATGAATTAAGCTTACGACAAAAGAGAAATGAAAGAAAAGAATCAAAACAAATTCAGATTAATTTCAGGTCACATATGTCATGGAATGTACATATAGTTTTGTTACCTGACCATGCACACGTTGAGTACAAATTTTAAAATCTGACTTCAACGTCATATTGTGATATCCTTATTTGCTCAATACCAATTACAGTCAAATCTGTCTATGGCAACCACCCAAGGGAAACACAAAAAGTGGTCTTTGTAGACAGGTTCCTTTAGTACATGATTCAATGAGAAACCATTTTCAAGGGAAACAAAAAATGTGGTTATTGTAGACAGGGGGTCTTTGTAGACAGGTTGTCACTAAAGCAGGTTTGAGTGTATAAACATAAATGAAGGGGAACAATTTTTCCATATCAAGCTGGACAAGGGGTTTGTGACTTACGTTCAGATTGGTCCTGCAGAACCACAGCCTTCATTAGACAATCCTCAAGCAACCTGCACGTGAATGGTCCATGACTGCTTGACATGAACGCAACGCAACGATCCGCATCCCGCCGCCTTCCCATCGTCTTTCCTCCGGCCTGTCCAGTCACGTCCAAGGCCTGGCAGAGCTTCGTGATGCGCTGGCTGGTCTCTGCGATGTGGGCCGTCTGGAAGGGGAGGGGCTGGCCGAGGAGGTTACAGAGACCCTCCCGCTGGCCGAGGTCAAGGGTCGTTGTCGAGGGCGTGTCACTGTGGCTCAGAGAGGCGTGCAGGCATTTCATGATGGTATGCAGCGCCACTGGTAAGCTGAAGGGAGTGGAGAACAGAAAACATTTATTCAGAGTTGTACAAGCATGGGTTACCACATGTACATATTCTAATTGAATTGATGAAACTGTTCTTTCAGGGTACATGTACTGTGATGATTTCTAAAGTGAAAGGCTTTCTTTCTGGAGCCACAACGGTATGTTGCGAGAATTGTATGGGCAACACACTTGTATTTGTATCATGAACAAATTTATGAATCCTACTCCAAAGAGAGTATTTCGATAGAGGATTTACTTGCATGAGACCTTTTGCTGCTAGCTAATACATGTAAAACTCACATGTAAATTCAAGACTGTACAAGAAAGGAATAAACTACCAAACTAATGAACCAAGGTGAAAGGCAAATTTACATTATTCATGTATGCTTCATGATTTCTTAATACTTAATTCTTTTAAATGTCATTATAAATCCCATCTTTTAAGTTTGTATTCATAATGTGAAATGTTATATATTTCATGTATGTTTCTGTATTGTATTTTTTTTTATTGTTCCAATTATGTATGTATTGTTAACTTGTGGTCAATGTACAGTACTATGAGGCTATTTGCTTCTTCCTTTTTTTACTCCTCATTCTCATAATTTGTTTTTGTCTAATTGGTCTGTATTGTTTTCTATTGATGATGCTCTGTTGTCTATATATCTTATGTATGTTGTTTTTACTGAGAGTGAGAATAAAGATTGAAGTGAACTGAGCTCTACAACTTTTGTAAACTGTATGAACCTAGCCTAACCAATACACAAAATACAAACACATGACACTCACCTTGAAGAACCATTTAGTACAGACTTCACAACCTGAACCTAGTTTAACCACCATCAATACACAAAACAAACAAACAAATGACACTCACCTTGAAGAACCATTTAGTACAGACTTCACAACCTGAACCTAGTTTAACCACTATCAATACACAAAACACACAAACAAATGACACTCACCTTGAAGAACCATTTAGTACTGACTTCACAACCTGGACGGTTTCTTTCAGGAACCAGTCCCAATGGAGAGCTAGCTGACCAAAGGAGAATCTATCGCCATCTGTGATTGGTTGAGTGCACAGCTGCCACAACCTATCTCTCCAACCACAGGCCATGAGAATCTAGAGGAAAAAATGAAGAAGAGTATATTTCCATTGAATTGAATTGTACAACCATTGTAAAGGTGATTTGTATTTATGTGGGATATTCAGTATATACATGTATACCAAAGAACAGGGCCCTGACTTATATCCAATTAATCGCAAGTTTGCAGTTACCTATCTCTTATGTACATAGTTGCAATTGATATCAAACACAAATAAGTCCCGATCAATCGCAACACTTTATAAGACAGGGCCCAGATCTCTGAATGCAGAGATGGTGAAATGAATCAATGCTTTGGAGATGAATTGTATGAGAAGGCTCCTGCATATCTACAACACTTCGCATATGTCCAACAAGAAAGTGAGAGAGATAATAGAAAGTTACATGGGGGAACACGATCATAAATTACTGTGGGTTTGTACAGAGTAAAATATGTGTACATCTTCTGGAAACTATTCCATTACCTGAAAGGCTTGGTCCTCTTCCAGAGGTCCATCGGCGGCGAGTCTCTCTGAGAAGAACTCGTCCCAGGCCTGGAAGAATGGACCAACATGAGCTACAGACTGATGAGGAAGGGCTTCGCTACTCAGACGCCCTGTATGAAAATAATCATAATAATAATATAACGCACATAACGCTAATACACAACATGCTCAAGCTCTGCTATGCTACTGATTGGGTGCTCACAGCAGTCAAGGAATTCCTTCCCAATGGTACCATTTAACTCCTGGGAAAAGAGTGGCAAATATAGATTAATGTCTTGCCAAAAGACATTAGTGCTGTGGCCGGGACTTGAATCATGAACCATGTGATCCACAGTTGGACGACGGATCCACTAGACCATGAGGCCTCTACCAGAATAGAATATCAATAACTTTCCCAAGGTCATCTATTCCATCATCTTCCCAAAATGACTGAATGTAATTTTGTACTAACAGAATACAGAATATCAAAACAATGTTCAAATGTTAATAAACAATGTTTAAAAAAATCATAATCACAAAAGATATCCTACTACCATCAAAAGACTGAAAAGATATTCTCTGAAGAAAAAACCTGTAAAACTAGAAACTGCTACATGCATGAGACTTTCGCAAATAAGAGAAGTTCATGATTGTGAAACATTACAAGCTACAAATGACGAAATGACACCACTCACATATATTTTCACTTCCTAAAATTTTCTGACAGCATACAATAATTATCCTTTACAATTCAGGAATTTCAGGTAACAAAATATTTTGGTTGTACGTTACCTTTCTGGAGAGCCTGTGAAAGTTGAAGAACTGTGACTGGCTTCCGTCTCTTCTTACTCCCTGTGTCTGGGTTGGTTTGATGAGCCAGGCAAGACTCTGACAATGATCTCCTCAGGAATACAAACAATCTGCACATACACAACAGGATTGAAAATAAAACATAACTGTTCATGGCAGCTACTGTCAGGGCTATTTGACACCATTCAGTGATAATATGCCATGCAACCCATACCTGGCTCTTCAACAAACAAAATCTCAATACCATGGTTCTTTTTTCAGTTTTAGAGGCAATATTCTCTTAGCCCTCAGGCATTTGAATACACAGAGACAAACAGAGATAACACTGATGAAATCAATTTGATTTTCACCTCAGGAAACAATGACTAACTTAAAAACACTGTGCACATAACGCAGGTTACTTATACTGAGGAATTACAGGTACACTGTACCTTGAATTTGAACCCTGAACAGCCAGATCATCTCTCTCTATATCAATGGACTTAATTCTTTGATATCTCACTCCTTGGAAAAAAGAATATCATATTCAACAAAATGTATCCCTCTTTTAAAGGTATAGACCAGTTTGGGGTTTAGGTACATGTATTGCCATCTAAATCTCGGAAGGCAATATTTAAACAATATTAAATGGATTTTTGCACCCAAAACCCTTGAATCGCAATTTTACCACTACTGGGCCCTGTTTCATAAAACTTGATATCAATAACAAGTTACAAGCTACTATTATGAGCTACTGAAATCACGGCATCTGATTGGCTGAGAGCAAATTTGTCATAAAAATTTAGCATTTGTTATAGATAAAAAGTTTTATGAAATGGCCCCCAGATAATCTCTCTCTCTCTCCGTCAAAAGACATAATTTGTTGATATCTCACCCCTTGGTAAAAAGAATATCATATTCAACAAAATGTATCCCTCTTTTAAGGTCAAACTTAAATTCAACATATTTCTTTGTTAACAAACCTCATGGCTAGGGTCTGGATTCTTTCCATCGAGTCCGGACTGTCATCTTCCATGCTCTCTTCTTGATCTGATGCTGCCTTCTGGAGGCGAACGCTGAATAGCTGGAGCAACTGCTCATTCCAGTGCACATCCAGGGGTGAGTTGATCAGAAGATCTTTCACTGGTAGTAAAAAAAAAAATGAAAAAATGAAAAGTGAAAAAAATGTCGATCTTGTAAGGATGTTGAAGACTAATAATCATGGATTGTACAAGTTAAATTTATTGACAAATTGTCTCCATTCATCTAATGAGTGTGGGTTTAAATTTTTACTCGACCAAACCAAGTGATTAATTTAAGCTCATGACTTTGGCTGTTTAATATTTTACCTTTTATACAAGAGAGAAAGCAAGAACATTTATTGCATTTTTGTATATTGCTGTGTCTTGCAAGATACAAACAAAATAGCTCAAATCTAGCATTGCTAGTTAAAATAAAGAGAGGGAACAAAAAAATAACAATACATGTAAACCAAAAGATTGTGTTGGTTATCTTTCATCGAGAAACATATCTACTTGTATACAAATTTTGGGAGTTATGAAAGGTACATAAGGGAAGATGTGCATTTGTCTAGTGGTAATTTCCGTGGTACAGTCAGCTCTCTGTATTCACCTACAAACTGACTCAGCTGACCCTGGTTTCGAGACTGAGTCATGTGTTTCAGATGGTGAGGTTGAAGGTCAGTCCCCAGACGTAAATAATCATATCTGATTAAAACATGACTGTAAAAAAAAGGTACACATATAGGAAGACCGATCAATACCAAAAATTGTCTACTTACTCTCGTGTTCAGAGCACAGCTCCTTCACCTCTCTCTCAATCTGCTCTGTGATTGGATGATCAATCAAGCTGTGAAGAACACCTTCAGCCAACTGCCCTACATCTAGCATGCTTCCAGGGCATGCTCCCATGGACTTCAACCAATCAGAGCGTAGCTTCCAGTCTTCATGGCTGGCCCTCTCCAGGACAAGTAGGAGGGCTGCTTTCACAAGCAACTCTTTGGACATGGTTCTACAATGTGAACAAAACAGGATAAACTTGAAAGTACATGTGAAGAAGACATAATCAAAATGAGTTGAGAAATTTGACACAACGTACCGTATCCAGGTTGGTCCTTGGACGTCCACATACATGTATAGCCGATAGGCATTTTGCTCGCCAGCCACTGACCTCTTCAACATTAAATACAAAGTTTTAAAATCCAATTTATTCAAATTTATATATTCAAATAATTTTAAGAAAAAATCCTAACAGACAGGCGTAAATATTCACTCCTGAATGATAAACGCCTATAAATCTAATCAACAACATTGGGAAACAGAATCATCAGTCATTCTTCAAACATAGTACAAAACCTGAGAAAATGCATGATCTCTTTAGTGTAGAAATTTGTGAAGTACTGCAAAACTTTGATATCAAAAGCCAGTATAATGTTACCAAAAAATGTGTAAATAAAATATCAATTTCACTTTCTTGTAGTTCTATGTCAATCTATACATATCTACACTTTGAAATTTCTTTGATATTTCAATGAAATAAAGTTGGAAGTACAAAGGGAGAGCTTTTATTTTACTCACTTAGCTATTTGTCCTAGTACCTGCATGTTACATATCACATGGTCTTACAATATATCAGCCTCATGCTAAAATTGGGGCTTTTAAAGCCCATCTGTACTGGTTTACAGGAGGAATTAGACCACCCTGCAAGGTCACTGACAGGTGGTTATCTCATCAAATCAGCTCTCAATTAAGATAAGAAAAAGTGGATCATGGGGGACCGAAGGTCACCGATTAGGCATTGTTCGCTATATAGAGGTCACAAGTAGCTGTAAGTAGTACAGTGGGGCTTTAAACAAACCTGTCTGAATTCTGTTTGTCCATCATGAGATGATGCAGGACAGCTCCCTGTCGCTGGATGGACACCAGTGCTGGATTGGTGCTCAGGTGCTTGGCGTCGGTCAGAGGGTAGGCCTTGATGATGCATTCCTCACCATCACCATCATCACCACCACCTTCATCTCCATCCCTAGGAACAGGGAGAGCTGTGTCAGCAAGGGTGTGCTCCTCAATCTCCATAGGACTGTCATGGTCCTCATCAGCAGCAGGAGTCATGTCGATCTGTTCGTTCAGACACTGCTCCAGGGTTTCTCTCGCTCTCTGTAGAGATACCGGCATTATTATTATTATTTATTTGACCAATCAGAAAACACACAGTGAGTATAACAATCAGATGAAGACCTGGCCCTTGTTAATGAGACGGCCATCGCAGCCATCAGGCGATGGAAGAACTTAATTTAATTTAATTTAATTAAGGAGCTTTACATAGCTGTCTTGATCTATTAGGAGACACAAACAAACGAGCAAACAATCAGATAATACATAGAAATTTCATAATACATTCAATCAGTTTTAGGAAAGTGGAGAGGATAGAGAGAAGGAGACAATGGTCAGGGGTGACAAATACAATTGAAATTGCTTTATCTCGAAAGCATGTCATCCCCCAAAACCATGTACCATGTTATTGCATTCAAATATAAAAAACTTGACCTTTTCTCAATTAATGGTAGAATAAATAACATGTAACAATATATTCAAGGTTTATACACAGAATATACCATGTTAGGATACATGTAAGTATTCCTGGATCTTTAGCCTATGAAAGAACTGGCTTGAGACACAAACAAATCAGAAATGTTTGATGGACTCCTTAATCTTCTTGGTTAACTCAATGACACCTGTACATTGCAAGATGAAGGATGCACACTGTAGCCGTGATGTTGACCCCTTAAAGATCTTCAAGGGAACATGGTTCTGGTACATGTAGGTGGGGACAGACCAGAGGATATTCCATTGTCTGTTCCTCCCCAAAGTTGGGGAGGGTTTGTCCATCCTCATTAAAATTCTAACGACATATAAGAACTTTGCATCATCCATTTCCTTGCCTAATGCAATTTGATACAGCTACTGTAGGTGGGTCATGCCTCGATTCTCTCCAACTGGTTAAACAAGAAGAGAGGATAATCAAGACTTGGATAGTATACAAATAATGCACTATTGCGAGTGTGTTAGCGCAGGGCCAGTGCACGGACTTTAGTCAGTGCACATAGGTGACAATGCTCGCAGCCGCAGGGCAAGTGCGCTATCGATATCGCACCGACTAAACTGAGTGCACTGGAACTGCCCGGACACACGAGCGAAACAGTGCATTATTTGTTTTATAAGACGGGTCGGCAATACATTCTTACAATATAGTCTAGATCTAGAGTATAGATAGATATTAGATCTAGATCTCAGTTAGATCTAACTAGATCTAGGCCTGGAATATTCTAGATTTATATCTAGATATTGAAATTGCACAAATTTAATTTGGCTGGATTACGCGAAAGCGATATCGGCAGGTATCGAGCGTGTGTTATCAATTTTTGATGGGAGAAACTAATGCACGCCCACGTGATGTCAATCGACCAATCGGATTGCTTAGATTCTAGAACCCATCTTACAATAAAATTTAAAAACCTGTGGAATAACCAACCTGCTTGTTGGCAATGAGTAGCTGACTATTGACATACACCTCCATGCATGCCTCCCGGAGCGCTCGCCTCATCCCCAGTCCATTCCTCACAAGTTGCATCACCATGGACGCTGCTAGGAGGAGACTCGGTAACCGGGCGGAGTCGGTACCCTGGAGACGGGATCGAATCTCCTGGTGGACATGCATCAGGCTGGTGATGGTGCCTTCTGAAGTCAGGCCCAGGGAGTGTAGGAGGGCCGTGGTGTCCTGGGCGCTGTATGCCCCACCCTCGCTCTATACACCATGGAATCAAAGAGAAATGTTTTGATTACGTAATAGTTTTACATACCAAGTGTATAACATGCATTATGTTAATGGTAAGGGGTACAGACCAATTGCACATCACATGCAGGTACATACAGGTACATTCAGGCAAAATATTGATTCCCAAAGATTGATCAGGCCAAATGATTCCCATTATACAGGTGTTTAAAAAAGAAATTGTACTGTACTATACATGTACCTTATCTTTTTTACATTCATATATATCTATTTCATGTATCTACATGTACCTCTGTATTTTTGATGTATTTGCTGGAATTGAAATAAATGAATTGATTAATAATTATATCCATCATAAAAGAAGCTGCACAAAATATATTTCTTGCGGGCCTTAGCAAAATTAGCAGATTGCTATCTGGGTAACATCCCACGTCATAATCCATTGTATGCTTCATTATATGACCACAGCCTGCAAAGACTTCAGCTTCATACTGGAATATATTCAGGGGTCAGAGACACAAAGACGTAACTACATTTTGGCCATTTTGAGAAAAAGTGGTTTATGTGTCACTGAGCACTTGGGCCTTAAGGAGTTAAAGTCTATGTTTCACTAGCCATTGACTTTAATGGGGTGTTGGGTGGAGTTAAGTCTTTGTGTTTCCTGGAAAGCCCACATTCTTCTGAACATTTTGATATCAAATACTCATTTTGGCAAAATATGGAGTTACATCTTTGAGTCACTGAACCCTCGAAATATAGTTCCATGTGATTGTTGATATACTGACCTCTCCTAAGATGTAGATCTCCACTCCTCTGTTTCTCATGGCTCTCGAGATCTCACCGTGTCGCGGATCCATAGACAGGAACAACCTGGATGTAAAGTAACACCAAAGATACACACAATGCAGTCAGCCATGCGAAGGGGGGAAACAATAATAAAGATTGAACTGTTTAAACATACTTGTGGCTTACACCCAGTATATAAGATTGATTGATTGATCTGTATTTGAAAACAAGTCAGAAACTAGATGGAATTTTGACTGCGCGCAGTCGAAAATGATGCCTCCGCCATAGAGCAATTTAAACAAGTTTGGAGTTTAAATCTCCAGTGGTTCTTGAGATATCATGATAACAATCTCAATGTATGGAATTTCATAAGTTGACCTCTGTGACCCTTGACCTTTGACCTACGTGCTCCAAAATCTAATCAGATTGTCTTCCTATGGTGATACACACTATCATTAAGTTTGAAGTTTAAATCTCCAGTGGTTCTTGAGATATTATGATATGGTGATACATACTATCATTAAGTTTGAAGTGAAAATTCTCCAGTGGTTCTTGAGATATCGCGATAACGATCTCAATGTATGGAATTTCATAAGTTGACCTCTGTGACCCTTGACCTTTGACCTACGTGCTCCAAAATCTAATCAGATTGTCTTCCTATGGTGATACACACTATCATTAAGTTTGAAGTTTAAATCTCCAGTGGTTCTTGAGATATTATGATAACAATCTCAATGTATGGAATTTCATAAGTTGACCTCTGTGACCCTTGACCTTTGACCTACGTGCTCCAAAATCTAATCAGATCGTCTTCCTATGGTGATACATACTATCCTTAAGTTTGAAGTTTAAATCTCCAGTGGTTCTTGAGATATCATGATAACAATCTCAATGTATGGAATTTCATAAGTTGACCTCTATGACCCTTGACCTTTGACCTACGTGCTCCAAAATGTAATCAGATTGTTTTCCTATAGTGATACACACTATCACTAAGTTTGAAGTTTAAATCTCCAGTGGTTCTTGAGATATCATGATAACAATCTCAATGTATGGAATTTCATAAGTTGACCTCTGTGACCCTTGACCTTTGACATACGTGCTCCAAAATCTAATCAGATCGTCTTCCTATGGTGATACATACTATCCTTCAGTTTGAAGTTTAAATCTCAAATGGTTCTTGAGATATCGCGCTAACAAACTCAATACAAGGAATTTCATAAGTTGACCTCTGTGACCTGTGACCTTTGACCTACGTACTCCAAAATCTAATCAGATCGTCTTCCTATGGTGATAAATACTATTCCCGAGTCTTAAGTTTAAATCTTAAATGGTTCTTGAGATATTGTGATAACGGTCAAACGGGACGGACGTACGGACGTACGGACGGACGTACGGACGGACGTACGGACGTACGGACGTACGGACGGACAACCCGAAAACATGATGCCTCCGGCACCACCTTCGGTGGCGGAGGCATAAAAATCTTGGAACCAGCGGGATCTGAATCTGCCATCTACTGCTTGCCGGGCAGCGAATCTGCACCAGGCCATCACTGATCCATGGCACAGTCACGATAAACTAGAAACAAATACCAAGATTTTTTCAGACTTGTTTTCAATTACAGATCGATCAATCGATTTTTATATACTGGGGGAAAGCAACAATTGAAATTTCTCCCAGAAAGCATTAAATTTATTACAAAACTTAAAGATACTGTTCACTTTCATAGAACACAGTCTATGAGAAGTGTTTATACCTGTACCATGATAGCATGTAATTCAAAACATAAACCAGTGGCCACTAGAAATTTTAAAGCATTGGAATCTTGTAAAGATAAACCATCCTTTAGATTTATGTGTCGAGCTAGGACAAATTATCTTTTGCCCCTTTATACTTCAAACACTGATGGATATGTGTCACATGTAAACATTACATCGTGTCCCTAGAAGAAGGACTAAAACAAAAATTGAGATCAAATTCTTGTCAATTTTAAAAGTTTTGTAATATAATAAAAATGGAAATATTTAGACAAAATATAATTTCAAGGGTCCGTATTTTAATAAATCAGTTAAACTGGTCCATGAGTCTTAGATCATATTGAACACAGGCAACTTGAACACAGGAATGCACAGACCTCACCAAACTTCCTTTGTTCAAGCCGATTTTGAAGTAAAGCTTGAACCCCGCACCAGGTTTAAATTTCAGTAGAATATGGGCCTCATGGTATGGATGATGAAAGGACTGAAAAGTTTGTAAGTCACAACCTAAACCTCCAGCTAGTAACAAATGGTGACTAGCTGTAGGACGAGACTAGTGGGACATGACAAACCTGAATTGTGGGTGTGGTTTGATGGATGGGATCTGTCCATCGATGACCCCTCGTTCGTTGATTGTCAGGACTCCATCAGGCTCCAGCAGTGCGTTCAGACGATCCAACACAGACGGGCTAGAAGGTGTCAAAAGAGATACGTTTCAGACCTCTTTTCTATTCTGTAGGTCATTTCAAGCCTATCTGCACTAATTTGGCCAGGAGGGATTAGACCTCTCTGCATGGTCACTGACAGGTGGTTATCTCATCAAATCAGCTCTCAATTAACATAAGAAAAAGGGACCATGCGGGACCAATGGTCACCGTTTAGGCATTGTTTGCTGTATAGAGGGCACAAGTAGCTACAAGTAGTGCAGTGGGGCTTTAAAGCAACTGTTCTCTTGTTATATTATCATCTTCTTTTCTTTATAAGTATACCAAAAAGGGTGTCAAAAGAGATACGTTTCAGACCTCTTCTCTATCCTGTAGGTCTGGGCCCATTGCACAAAACGTACCATTGATGGTAACTTTGCCATCAATGGTAACTACGATGGAAACCTTGATTTTGATTGGCTGTTGAGGCCTGTTACCATGGTAGTTGCCATTGATGGCAAAGTTACCATCAATGGTAAGTTTTATGCAACGGGCCCAGTCCATGCAAATGTTCTCTCAATTTATTATCATCTTCTTTTCTTTGTACTCCCCGTTTTTTAATAATTAAACATATAAGTATACCAAAAAGGGAACAATGTCAGAAAAATCATCAAAATTACAATTTCAGATCAGTTTTCTTTATATATCAAAGATGGTGTTATAGTCAATCAGCTGACACGGAGTATTGATGACATCTTGCAATGAACAATGACAGTAGTGGTAGGTTTTTCAGACAAATGCTAGGTTTCAGAATGAGATAGGAGTCAGCAATTGCATGTTCTTTGTAGCTGTCTTGTATCAACAACAGGAACGTTCAGTAACAATCAGCCATTCTTCTACTTCACTTGATAGTACAGTTTATAGGTTTCTTGACTTTCCCTTTTACAGCTCTTTTTCCTTTCTTTCTAAATATGTGCATAAATGCCAGAGCTCTAATACAGTGAAACCTGTCTATAAAGACCAAGCAAGGGAAAACAAGAAAAGCAGTCTTTATAGGCAGGTGATCTTTATGTACAAGTGGTCACTATAGCAGGTCAATGTAAATCACTATTCAAAGGAGATGAAAAATGTGGTCTTTACAGAGAGGTGGTCTTTATAGACAGGTGGTCACTATAGCAGGTTTGACTGTACTGACCTGCAAAAGTTGACATTATCCACGAGCAGCCAGTCTCCGTTCTTCAGGGCATGGACCAAGAGACCATCCACCCACTCAAACCTGCCTCCCCCACCAGGAGTGGAAGAGTCCTCCAGTTTGCACTTGCTCTTCAAGGCACTGGCAGCTTCGACCACTGGAAAAGGAAGAAAAAGGGGGTGTCCTTTAAACATTCTGGTACTGTATGTCCAAGGATGTCTGGTCATTTGTGTCTCTAAGTAGCTTCGTGTAATAAAGATAATCAACATCATAACTACAATTTTCCTTGAGATTTGGTCCGAGCTTGGCTAAGCAGGACTAATATCTTACTATAATCATCAGATGTACAGAAATCAATTGTGAGGTTGGTAACTTATGGGGTAAAATACGCTGCGCTTGCCCATTAAGCAAAATGAATTTTGAGCAGTTTGAATATCTCTAGATATTTAAGAGTAAAGACAAACATTTGAGAATGAATGCTACAAATCCCAAATACATTCTAGAGGTGTCGTAGCCAACTGGTTTAAGCACTTGTCTTTAAAAGCAAAGGTTGTGGGTTTGATCCTTAATGTCCTTTGGCAAGGCATTAATCTACATTTGCCACTCCATACCCAAGAGTGAGATGGGGACCTCTTTGGATGCCAAAAGTATTTATGTTAGTCATTGCCATATGCCCTCACAGTGGCTATATGGTAGGAATACTAACAAAGGAGTGGAAATGGTGCACATTGTGCATGAATGAGTCCGATGACCACGGTAATAATATCTGTAAAGCGCTTGGAGTCGGTATTTCGTATTAAGAGCTATATAAATCCAGATTATCATTATTATTATTATTCTATTTATTTTCTTAGAAGCAGCATCTTCCTAAAGATGTCATGTTTCCTACCGTACTTACCCGTTGCCAGCTCCGTGGCATCTTTCGTTGTTTCAGAGGATTTTTGTAACTCTGCCAGGAGTTGGTCAAGCAAGTTGAGTTTCTGCTCGGTAGGATGAAGGCTGTCTTGTTGTCCTAAGGATACATGAAATGATACAGCATGTAATCAATATAAGAAAATCTAGTCATCCGATGGGCAAATTTCACATCATCCAACAGTTCTACCTCATATATGATTAGGGGGGTGTTTCACAAAGACTAAGATTAAATTTAAGTTGGACTTAACTATGGCAGGCCGTTCATGCCACTGTTTGCTCTCACCATTCACTGGCATTAGTCTTTCAAGGGACGTACAAGTCATGGTCACAAATCTACAGAATTTACTTTACTTGATAATTCATTATTAAAGTAAAAAATATGATCTAAAGCTCATAATAGTGAGAGCAACCAGTGGCATGACTGGCCTGCCATAGTTAAGTCCAACTTAAAGTTGATCTTAGACTTTGTGGAACACTCTCATGGTGATCATTCTCTAGAGCCAGTTTGTACACTAACAGAATTCCTAACTTTAATCCTGAACAAACACTCTCCTTTACCCTAACTTTAAACCTAACCTAAAACTCAATTGCAATTGTAACCCATACCCTACAATTTGTTCAACTAAATGCAGAGCAAATGTCATAGGAGCAAAGGTCGGGTCACCATCTGACCTACATTATTTTTATCATTCAAAAGAAAATCAAAATCATTCAGGCAAAATATAGACTTACTGCCTGCACTAGGTAGCTTGAGTGCACTCAAAATTCCCATGATCCTCTTTGCCTTCGGCTTGGTTTTCGATGCATTACTAGTGAGAAGATCTCTGATGGTTGCCATAGAAACATCATCTATCATGCCTAAAAGACTCTCCCAGTGTCTATTGAGATCAGCCTAGAAAGAAGAAAGAACATGGGTAAGAAATTCAAGTCATCTTGTACAATTCATCTTATGTATTCTTTTGCTCCCTGAAAATATTTCATAAGTGCTATTATTCTGATTTTTATATGATTTAGAATATAAGAACAAATCTTTCATGTTTTGTTTCACCACATTACTAGAAAGCAAAATAATTATAAACCAATCACAAAGGATGCATACATGTATGATCACAACACAATTGTTAAAGCATATACTAAGATTTTCCCTAACTTAATTTCATTTCAGTCATTCATTTTGTTTTTATTTATTTTTCCAATGTACATTTGACATGAATATTGTTTTGCTCACATACAAACGAAAGGCTCAGATATAATTTATCTGTTCAAAGTACTATCCATTAAATATCCAGAGGATTTAAAACTGTTGGGATCTCTTTCTTGCCTTTTCAAAGCCACCCAGTAGTTCTGTAGTATCCATAGACTTATAGTTCATTGATAGGACCTAGACCACTGGAAAGGACTTAAGTCATGGATGCTACTGTAAGACCGGGATCACTAGATAGGATTCAGAGCAGCAAGATTTCTTTCTACCTGTTCAAAACCACCCAGTTCCTTTCATACCACTAATCATAGCTACATGTAGGATCGACAGGTAAATCCCAGGATAAGACTTAGAGTCCAAAGATTCTCTTTCTTACCTGTTCAAAACCACCCAGTAGTTCTGTAGTGTCCATAGCACTGTTCATTGCTAGGACCTGGAGCCGATGACCTGTCAAGGAAGCCAGGAGATGGACCAGTGAAGTCTTTCCACTTGAGCTTGGACCAACCTGGACCGTAAAGGACAATTAATAGAAAACATGAATAAACTAGATGGATCTTCGACTGCGCCATAGAGCAATTTTATGAACCAAAACAGAAGCAACTTTAAAAAATTCAAGTTTGATTCTAATCCATGAACAGGTTCTAAGAATATCGTGATTATAAGCTATTTTTCATATACAAGTATGACCCTTTGATCTAATTGGTTTATTGGCTCTGCAAGATACATACATGTCCTAAGTTTGATAGTAGTCCATCTGTCGGTTCTAATGATAATGCGTTCACAAGCTATTTTTGCATACATAATGAACCCCATGACCTTTGACCTTTGACCTCATGACTCCCAAATATAATCAGTTCTTTGGCTCAGCAAGGTACATACATGTCTCAAATTTGATGGCATTCTGTCAATCGGTTCTATCGATGTCATCATGAGCTATTTTTGCATACATAATGAGCCCTATGACGTTTGACCATTGACCTACGTACGGACGGATGGACAGACAACGCAACAACATTATTCCTCCAGCTAGGCATAAAAATAGATTAATGTTGAAAGAGCAATTATCACAGGAGCATATGTTGCAGAACATGAGAGGACCTCATTGTATCCTGATCACTCACAAAAAAAAATCACTGGTCATGCGTTTCATATATTTCTTGTATAGCCAGAGAAAATACATTCTTACCAGTATGGACATCCAGTTCATCTCTACACATTTCATGAGAGATTCAAGTTTGTCAAGGTCATGGTGCAGCAGCTGAAGGGGCACCCTGGAGAGGGCGCTGCTCACATCAAAGGCAGGATCACGGGCCAGGAATGAATGTCCAACCTGACAGGATGAGAAAGAAAACAAGATGATTATGAGACTGCATGTCTATTATCCCTTTGTCTTTATGAATATTCATTGATCAATGATCCTGTGACCTTTAACATCTGACCTCACGAAAAAAAATGTGTATTAAGAGGTTTTACATACTTGAGTACGGTTTTGGTTCAATTTATGTTATATCATCACAGTATTAAGATATCTTTTGAAACTTTTTACACTTTCATGACCCTATGATATTTCACCAGCTCCTCCTTGCATGCTCATATGAACTTCGTCCAAATTTGGCTTGAACTTTTTCACTGGTTTTGAAGTTATGTCAGCAACTAGAAATGTTCTAGTGTTTTTTGGTATATTCTAACATTTGTATTACTTTCTGACATTTGACCTCTAATCTCTTAAGCCAAAATTGTGATCATTTCATTCTTTAATGCTAACTCATATTTTATCCAAGTGTGGCTTAAATTGCTCAAATGCTATTCAATTTATAGGGGTTACAAGGTATTTTCTGGTATTTTTTAAAAACTTTTATGAGTCTGTGACAACAACAAAATATTAAATACAGGTTGTGAATTTATTATTACCTGCACATGTGAATGAGTGATATAGAACTGTCTGCTACTCCTGTAGGCTACTGCTCTCGTCTTATCTCCCTTTGTTCTGAAGACTGCTCGATACAGCTTGAGGATCTGCAACAATAACATTCAGAATTAAATCAGTTTAGAAGGGTTTTATTCACACAGGATCAAGTAAATTAACGTGTGTCGGCAAAAGATTACCTTGAAAGCAGACTGATTGGCAAAAAAAATAGGGCAGGTGTGGTAGGCGATTTGTTCCGGGTTCCGCGGAACAAATCGGCGCGCCGATTTGTTCCGCGGAACGAATCTACTGGATCGACTCGTTCGCAGATACGTTCGAAAGCCGCCGTTCTTATCCGACATTGGCCGAACGTTTCTGCTTATATAATCGCGTATATTTTTATTACTTGTGTCGAATAAACATGGTAAAAATAAATTTTAGCTTTATCTTGATACTTTTGTATTTATTGTTGGAATGAAAACCAATATTATTTTTTTTGAAATATTACTTAATAATAAGGTTTATAACCTCGTACGGAATTACCCGCGCGCGTCTTTAAAAGGGAATCTCGTATATGTGCTCGTTATAACGGGAGTAGACTGTGTATATGATTCCCTAAATTCCTTCACATCTCCCCTTTCACATGTCCCTCTTAGGTACCTTCCCCCTTATAAAACCACCTCTCATTTGGGACCCTTTGAAATAAAATTTAAATTTCCCCCCTGCCCCCCCCCCCCCCACTAACGCAACCCTTGTTACGCTGTCCCATATCCCCCCTTTTTTTTTTTTTTTTTTTCTTTTTTGCTGCGTTACATGCATGCAGGCTCATGGTTTCTTTTTTTAATTTTTTATGGATGATCAGTTAATCACAAGTATTTCCTTACACCACACTGACTGGCTTCACAGTTTCTACATCGAAAGCACATGAGAATAAAGATAACCACTCCATGCAGGCCAGTTACATGGGCAATGAGAAAATTATCTGAAATTTCAGAGAATGAGGCCTTTCTGAGACTAAAGTATTCTAATTTTTTAAAAAAAAGGGAAAGAAAAAAAAGTGTAACTTACAGATGGGACACCCATCACAGATTCAAAGGGCATGCTTACAAGGGAAATGCATAAAAGGTACAAAGGCCACTTTGTGAAAGTATAAGGTGCACGTAGCAACTGTGACAATTGATATTAAAATGGCACTTGGAATAAGTAAGGAAAGGGTGCGCACTACAGCGGCGGATCCAGGATTCGAAAATAGGGGCCGGGCGCAGCCCGAAAATTTGAAAAACGGGGGGGGGGGGGCAGGCGATAGTTTTCTGATATTAGGCCTACATGTACGTGAAAATGTACGTGAAATTAGTGGTTTCCAAACAAGGGGGCGCAACAGATCTGCCACTGTATGTAGCGGAATGGGGGGGGGGGTATAGACACACTATGCTATGGCTCTGTTTAACACTAACTTTTGTCGGCTAGTACCAAGGGTTGAAAATTCAACAAAATATGTCGGGTTTTTCTTTTATTTCTTTTTTTTTTATTCTGCCGGACACGTCTTTTACTTGAGGAATTTTCTTTCTCTTCTTTTCTTTTTTTTTTATTTTTTTTTATTGGTCCTTCTTAATTATCAGCTCGACCACTCATTTCTTTTTGTGTTGACCCCGCCCCCCCCCCCCCCACCCCACCCCGCATCTCTTTCATTTAAACTACATGTACATCATGCATGCAGCCCACATGCATAATTAGATTCTGTGATGAAGCCCGGTAATAGGTGGTTGACGTAACACGATATCATAATAAGCAGCATTCAAACCAAATTAGAAGGCCTGATTAGAAAACACCCCGACATCTGCTTTTACAGGCAAACTAAGCCTATGGCAACAACTGCCCTTTTTGCTAGACCACCCAGTCCCCGTCGCTTCGCGACGGCGCTGTCTATAGTTACTGTTTGTGGTCAATCATTGGCCGCAATTATCAACATATTTGAACAACGGGAATCTGCATTTCTATACAAAGTTCTCAAATTGGCAATCGTTGGTGTAGCTAATTTGGAGAAGTTTGATTGGTTGCAAAGGCCGACCAGAATAGTTCATTTTGCTTTAGGGGTGTACCATGGCGTGTATTCAATAATACGTGAGCACGCACGCTCTCCGATGAGATTCGGAACGGATCGGCGGCTAAATATCCCGCCGATTGGTTCCACGGAATGAATCGCCTGGCCGGAACCGATCGCCTGTGACTAGCGGAACGAATCTACGAATCCGGAACAAATCGGCGGGTACATATCCAGGCGATCGGTTCCGGAGGAACCGATCGCCTGCACGGAACAAATCGCCTATGACACAGGCAAACTATATAAATCACTGAAATATAAAATTCTTACATTATGATCCTTCATCATCATCACCACCACCAAATCAATCACCATCACCATCTGCAATATCATCATTACCATCAACATCATCACAACCATCATTACCATTAACACCACCACTACCATCACCACCATTACCAACATCCCCACCACCACCACCACCACCACCACCACCATCACCATTACCATCATCACCATACCCCCATCACCACCACCACCACAGCCACCACCACTACAGCCACTACCACCACCACCACCACCATCACCATCATCACCACCATCACCATCATTATCACCACGATACCACCACCACCACCATCATCATCACCATACCTGCCAACATTTGAAAATGAGAATTAATAATTTTTAGCACGGTATGTCTTCGAAAATAAGAAATCTGTACCCTTAACAGGCGCTCGCACATGCAGCGGCAGTGTGTAACCGGCAATACGTGGTAAATTTGTGCAAAAAAGCGAATACAAATTCGCTGCTCAATCATGCAGCCCTTCAACGTACGCAATACATGAACTCTCACATCGTGACATATGATAAAACAAGCTTAATTTGGCTTAAGCAACACCAACAAAAAAAAAAAAAAACAACAACAAAATCAAAATTTTGAAGAAAAAAAAAGAATATTCCGGATTTTGGGGTCCTAAAAATCCAGAAAAACAAAATATTCCAGATTATTCGGAAGGGTTGGCAGGTATGTACCACCACCACCACCACCACCACCACCACCATCACCATCATCACCATCACCACCACCACCACCGCCACCGCCACCACCACCTCCGCCACCACCACCACCACCACCACCACCAACAACAACAACAACACCACCACCACTACCATCATTACCATACCACCAATACTATACTACCATCACCACACCACAACCACCACCACCATCATCACCATACCACATCATCACCATCACCACCACCACCATCATCACCATACCACCGCATTTTCTCAATCACATTGCTCAACTCACCTTCTCCTTGTCAACGGCAGTCCTCATCCTGTCTCCATACACCAGACCAACATGAAGCCCTGGGTCCATCTGACCTTTGACCCCTCTGTCATGGACCATCAGGTCACACCACCTGAAGAGGTCACGCAGGTTGAATTCCCATGGTCCTCCTCTCTGACCCCATCGACCCTCGATCATTGTCTTCCTGTACAGCTGCAATTAAAACGCATATTAGGAAAAATATGAAGAAGATACAAAAAAGAATTAGTTGAAGCCGGTCCGGCAAAAGTTCCTACATTTATAAGCAGTGATTTGCAGTTTGGAGGTGTGTGCAAAATTTTGCAGCAATTTGATGCTCAGAGGCCGAGATCTTAAGAGAGATATCATTACCCCCTCCCCTCTTTTTCTCTCTTTATAACCTGGAGAAGAAAAAAAATTCTCTTCACTTTAGTGTTAACCATGTTCAGGACAATCATCCACTCGGAGTCTAGGAAAATACAAATATAAAACATGCAACTTTTTTATTGGACATTTTGTAGCAAGCAAAGGATAATTTCAGAGTTGCCAATTTGAAGAATTCATGTCCTGAACAGTTTAAGAAATCCTGCACCGGTCTACCATCAGTATAAACATACATGTGCTACAGAAGTTCTTAAAGGCATCGTTTAACAATGTTAAATCTGATATGCATGGCCCTACGTGTTATCAGTGTCTGTGATATGGTTTAATATTGAAGATCATGAAGTGGCTGAAAAAAAGGAAAAATCTTTGAGTGACCGGTTTTACCATACTCATTTTCCCCAATAGACCATACTATTATAAAAACCCGTTGGGAAAACGAAAAATGAAATTTTGATTTCCAATCATAAATATCTTGATAATCAGACAGGCCATCGGCTTGTAAAAGTCTTGGTATTCCTGACTGACCTAAAGGTTTATAATTATGATTGCAGCATGAGCTAAATCATAGATTTTGTTTCAGAATCTGAGGCAATGTTACCGAGTCATTTTAAGCACTTACCCGGTTGCTGAATTCCACCATCTTGATCAAGATATCTCTATCTATCATAGGATACATGGAGCGGATGATGAAGAGAAGGTCCCCTGCTGTGAACGGCTCTATGTACACCTGGAAAAAAAGATGAAAATCTGGAATAAAGGTTTCCATATCCTACATTGCTCACAAGGGTCACATAAGAAAGATGGACAGTTCACATGCATTATTTCATGTTTATTATCATCAGCAATTCGCATCCAAAGGTATTCTTTAAATATTTCCAAATTTTATTGTTAAGGACAATCTATCAATCAATCAATAAAAACTGGCCTAATTCATAAATATCACTCTTCTTTACGACTCTATGATGAAGAGAAGTCCCCAGCTGTGAACGGCTCTATGTACACCTGGAAAAGAGATGAAAATGGAGAATAAATGTTCCATATCTTATATTGACTTGATGATCAGAGTCATAGAAGGCTGTTTACAGTACATGGAAAGAAGATGAGAGGAAGACCTTGTTAAAGCTTTTTAGATGATTTAATCACAGAATGTGGAGCAACATGATATGAAATGCTGAAACGGATGGCTCAAGATTGAGGTACTTGGAGAGACACTTATGTAAAATTCTGATTGGGTCACTGAACCTGTCATACACTGACTATTGATGATGATCTTATATTGCTTATAACGCTCACATAAGAAAGATGGACAGTTTGCATCCATTATTTTATGTGCATTTTCATAAAGGATTTGCATCCTAGGGAAGTCGTTCAAAAGCTTTAAATATTACTGTTAATGACAATACATCAATTCATTGATCAAAACTGGCCTTATTCATAAATATGACACTTCTGTAGGACTATGTTCAAACACTGACAAAATACACAGATGACAAATATATCAATTATGAATCATTATGAGTTATCTTCTAATATACTGTTTACAGCATTTTAAAGTACAATCACATTGAAATAACTGTGCCAAGTAGCACATTGCGAAATTCGAATTCATATTCTGTTCCACTTTCACCATTAACTTACCTGTCAACCTCTGGAGTTCAAAAACTATATTCTTTGATCCCAAAAGTTATATTTTACTGACAAAAGTTGTATTCTTAAAAATAATCACGGACTATTACGTGGATCAATGCCTCTTACAGTTCCTACATACATGAAGAAATTTTGTATGGATCATTGGTTGAATATGCATGATTTTGTCACGACTGGTGTGCTCGATGAACCAATGAACATCCCCAAATTGCGTATGTGAGATGTCTGTAGGATACTTTACAGGACGGAATGGGCATTTTGCCATTGAAAATGGCACACAAACCCACAAAATACAGGGGGGAATCGTACTGTCGTATTTGCTCCTAAAAATCGTACTGGTTGGCAGGTCTGCATTAAGCCCATTATAAAATTCAAAAACAACAAAATCATCAACAAAAATGCCATCAGCACAACACTACCACCAACTCAATCACCACTCCACCACAACAGCACCAATACAAACACAAATACCAGTCTACCACCACAAACACCACTCCACCACCATCATCATCACCATCAACACCACCAAACACCACCAAACACCACCAAACACCACCAAAAACCACACCCATTACCTGTGTGAACCTATTGAGGAACGACTTGGGCAGCCCCTTGCGCCCTCCTCCCTGCTTCAGAGGGTTCTGGCATGCAAAGAGCCTGGTCTTCTCATGCTGGATCTGGAAGGATCGGCCCAGCTCAGGAACAAAGACCTCCGCCCTGTGGTCCAGGCAGGCATTCAGGCCTTCTAGCACCGACTGGGAGGCCAGGTTCAGCTGCAGAAGGAGTTAACAAATAATAATAATTCTACATTTATATTGCGCACAACTCTGCTGTCATATAGGCACCATTGGCGCACAGATCAACAAATCAAACACAATACAGGAATATCGTCATTAATTCAACAGAACTAAGTTATTACAAAGTGAAAAGGCAATAAATGGTCAATATAATTACAGATATGCTAATACTAATAACACAAAGTAATACAAAATGTTTCAACTCAGATAATAATCCTAACACTAACAGTACGCCCTATTCATCAACAAGGTCTTCAATTTTTGTTGAAAGGTTCTCATTAATGAGCTCAACTTCAAGTCCAACAAAGCATGAATGTACATGTATATGTAAGTCTTCATGTGAGTTGTTTATGGTGACGATGAAAGTAATGATGAATTACAGTGCGGATAATGTAATATAACAAGAAATACTTTGATGAATAAACAAAGTAAATACAGTTCAAGAAATTGTAAAGTAAAAGATTAAAGGTGGGCCTACAATTAAGTGTTGTATGGTTCTAAACAAATACATATGAGAGAGTGAGTAAGTCAGTGACTGAGAGAATGAGTGAGGGAGTGAGTGAATGATGGAGTGAGAGAGTGAATAATTGTGTGAGTGAGGGAGTGAAGGAGTGAGTGAAGGAGTGAGTGAAGGATTGAGGAAGTCAGTGAATGATTGAGTGAGCGAGTGAGTGAAGGAGTGAGTGAAGGAGTGAGTGAATGATTTAGTGAGCGAGTGAGTGAAGGAGTGAGTGAAGGAGTGAGTGAATGATTGAGTGAGCGAGTGAGTGAAGGAGTGAGTGAAGGAGTGAGTGAAGGAGTGAGTGAAGGAGTGAGTGAAGGAGTGAGTGAAGGAGTGAGTGAAGGAGTGAGTGAATGATTTAGTGAGCGAGTGAGTGAAGGAGTGAGTGAAGGAGTGAGTGAATGATTGAGTGAGCGAGTGAGTGAAGGAGTGAGTGAAGGAGTGAGTGAAGGAGTGAGTGAAGGATTGAGGAAGTCAGTGAATGATTGAGTGAGTGAGTGAGTGAAGGAGTGAGTGAAGGAGTGAGTGAAGGAGTGAGTGAAGGAGTGAGTGAAGGATTGAGGAAAGTCAGTGAATGATTGAGTGAGCGAGTGAGTGAAGGAGTGAGTGAAGGAGTGAAGTAATGTATGAGGGAGGGAATTATTCAGATTAAGAGAGGGAGTAAGGATTGAGTGAGGAGTGAATGAGGGAGGGAATGATTGAGGAAATGAGTGAAGGAGTGAGGGTATGAGTGAATGATTGAGTGAGTGAGTGAATAAATGTGGGAATGATCGAGGGATTGAGTGAGGAGTAAATGAGTGAGTGAATGATAGAGGAAGTGAGTGAATGATTAAAAAAGTGAGTGAAGGAGTGAAGGAGTGCATGAGGGATGGAATTAGTCAGAATAAGAAAGGAGGTGAGCGAAAGAGTGAATATATGAATGAATGAACAAATGAATAAATAAAGGAATGAATGGAAAGAAACGCACAAATGAAAAGAAAGCAATTACCTCATCAAGGACGACCCAATGTCCAGCCTTGAGAGCCTGTAAGAGAGGTCCATCCCTCCAGGCAAACTGACCCCCTTCACCTCCCTCTACCGGTAGATCTGCTCCAAACAGGTCTGTGATGTCCTGGTAAGAGTTAAAGAAAATGGTATAAGTTTTGTTTTGTTGACACAATAAAATTATGGTGGACATATCAAAGATAATGAAACAAAATAAATGTAACATTTTTACAACAAAATCTCATCGTCAATTTAAACCACAGAATATATGTTTTGGATATATTCTATGTACAGACATAAAATCATAATTAGAATCGCCGACATTGTCTTCACCATCATCATCATTGTCATCATTGTCATCATTGTCATCATCATGTGCACTCTTCACTTTGCACAGCACTCTCTTCACCTGCTCTTTCTTCCTGTCTCCTCTCCTCCTTTTGTAAGGCCGATATTATTTCAAGCTCTGCTTACGATATCGGTCTTCTGCATTCTCCCCCTTTTCTTTCTTTTCAAATACGATTAATTGTACTATTGATTATTTATATTTATTTATTTGTGAATTACTACTTGTATTACTTATCATTATATTGCTAAAATGTATTCATTGTTATTTTTGTTATTGTTTATGGAAAATGCAGAAATAAAACTTGAAACTGAAACTAAACTGAATATCACCAGCACCATCATGACCAACACCACCATCACCATCACTACCGTCACCATCACCATCCCCCTCCCTGCCATCACCATCACCACCACCTCCACCTCCACCTCCACCTCCACCTCCACCACCACCACCACCACCACCACCACCACCACCACCACCACCAATACCACCACTACCAATACCACCACTACCACCACCAACAACACCACCACCACCAACACCACCAACACCACCAACACCAACACCACCACCACCATCACCATCACCACCACCTCCACCACCACCACCACCACCACCACCACCACCACCACCACCATCATCACCACCACCTCCCCCACCATCATCCTCTCACTTACTGTTTGCTCCGATAGATTGATCCTGATGAGCTCGTGTCCTGAAGCCTTGGCCAGGGCTGATACCAGACTAGTCTTCCCGACCCCCGGAGACCCTTCAAGGAGGATAGCTCGGGGCAGCTGCAGAGCTCTCATGATACGCTGGGCATTGAGGGCAGTGGTCGGGGCATCCAGGGCATAGCCTGCTGGTGAACTTGGTGATGGTCCTTTAAAAAGATGCATTATATAATAAAGCCAATTTTTAATTTTCAAAGGAATAGTATTTCTGCATGTAAAATATACCCCCAAATTAGGGCATACGTTTCATATACGTACACATATGCATAAATAAGCACTCAAGATATTCCAGAACTTTTTTCACTGCTTCAGAATTTTCCTAGACAGAACAATTTCAAAACTCTAAACAAGTGTCAAATAATTACATTCTGACAGCCATAAATACATTCCACTTACCTCTTTCAATGTAGAAAGGCTCAATCCCAAACTTGGTTCCGTCGCAGACAATACCTCCTTGACCTCCTTTGACCTCACTGAGGTCACATGTGTCAGAGGTCACCAGCAGGGTAGAGAGGTCAATCTCCTGGTCAGTGAGTTGCTTGATTTGATCAGAGAGCCACTGTATGCAGGTCCGTCTTGCTCGGGTAGGGGACACCAGTGTGCTGCTTGTTGTACCTAATAGAAAACAACATTTGAAAAGACGTGTTACAAGGTTGTCCCAGGAAGGCATCTTACATCTTAAAACATGTATAATGGAATCTTAGGTGCTTCTTCTTCAAGATAATTCGCCTCCTTCAATACTAAAGATTCTTGCAGATGCCGTACAGTATATACTCGGCCTGACTGGGTTATGCAGGTAGACCACTACACCAGGGTGTCCCCCTACTCTAATACAAATAGTGCAATGGGTTCTTAACATGCAAAGGTGGTGACTCTCCTGTACACTGGGCTTCCATTTAACGTCCTATCAGACATGTGTGTGACATAATAAGGATAAGTTGTTCATTAGCCTGTTAATTGTACTAGTAATGCTGCTTTTTCATTCCATCAATATCCCAACATTTATGTTGCATGGAGAGCATGTTAGTAATAACACATCAACAATGTACAAAAATATCATAATTACCTGAACCAAGTCCATCCACAAACACCATGCAGGCACCATGGATGTAGGCTACCGCAGAGTCAAGAGGTGAGGGATCATCAGGGGAGGTCATGGGGTCACGATTGGAAGGGTCACAGCAGACATTGATGAAGTTCACCCATGAGAGGATGTCACGGATGCTGATGGTGCACCTGAAAATATGCAACATTAATCAGGTTACTTTCAGTATAATACAGAATTAGAATTAGAACATTACAGCTAGAATATCATCATCACCACCAGTCATCATCACCTTTCATCAAATCTTCATCCTCATCATCGTCATCGTCAGCGTTGTCATGGTCGTTGTTGTCGTCGTTGTCGCCGTCATCGTCGTCATCGTCGTCATCGTCGTCATCATTATCATCATCATAATCATCACCGTTATTAATCATCATCAACATCATCATCAGCATTATTAATCACCATCAACATCTGTATCATCATTGTCATCATAACCATCCTCACTGTCAAGATCAAAATAATCATTACTTTCATTGTCATCTTAATCATCCTCATCAACATCATTATCATTGTCTTCATCATCCTCATCATCATCATCATCATCATCCTCATCACAATTATTAATCATCATCAACATTGGTATCATCATCATCATCAGTATCATCATCATCATCATCATCACAATTATTAATCGTCATCATCATCATCACCATCATCATCACCATCATCACCATCATCATCATCGTCATCATCATCATCATCCTCATCATCATCATCATCATCATCATATTCATCATCATCATCATCATCAAATCATCACGTCATCATCGTCATCGTCGTCATCATCATCATCATCATAATCATCATAATAATCCTCACCGTCATCATCATAATCATCATCACACACTTACTTCCTTCCGACTTCACTGCTGGCGAACCATTCCACGTAGTCCATGACAGCGTTGCCTATGCCGCTGGACCCGTCCTCCTGGTTGCACAGCTGTACTCCTTCACACAGGTTGTGCTCTATGATGGACACAAGATCACTACGCTGGGTGTTCTGAGGACACCAGATCTCTGTGAACCTGTTCCTTAGAGCCGGGGAAAGCTACGGATTGAATGAGGAGTAGGAAGAATGATTGACCTCTCATAGTGTGCAAAAATTATTTTCTTTTTTGCTGAACTTGCCGAGGTAACAAAATTTAATAATTCCTCAGTTCTTTGTACTAGGAACCTTCATATCTTATATGGTTTAGAAATCACAATCTATATAAGTCCCATGTTATGTCTCTGTATCTTTCTTCTTTCTTATGCACCCTCTTTTCACTCAACAACAAAAATTGTTTATTTTGCTATGTCTCAAGTCTCTATTAACTTCCCATCCTTTCTTGCATATCAAACCCAAACAAATGACCCCTAACTGACTTCATCCCTTCATGTCATCTAATTCCTGCAATATCCCAATATTCATCCCTTTACTAATTCTCTTCTTCCCTTCCTCCCTCCCTCTCTCCTTCCGTCTCCCTCCGTCTCTCTTTCCCTCCGTCTCTCTTTCCCTCTGTCTCTCTGTCTCTCTCTCTCTTGTTATGGTTATGTCCCCTATCTTCCTTCTTTCTTGTCCCATCCATACCTCTTTCTTGCCGTAGTCTCCCCCGGGGTTCATGGTCGATACCACCCTGAACGACTCCTCGGCCTTGATCACAGCTATGTCGTCCCCGCACTCCTCCCCGCTCCCTTTCTCCGCCAGGAGCAGGGTCCTCTCGGGCTCCAGCACGCTGTTGAGGCGCTCCAGGACAGAGTCGTCGGCCAGGGAGATCTCGTCGATGAGGAAGACAGCTCCTTTCCTCATGGCCAGGATCAGGGGGCCATCGCACCACTCAAACAGCTTGTGACTCTCCTCATCCTGAAAATACATAATGATAATAATAATACTAATAATTCTGCTGATATAGCACTTAATACATCGGCAATGTCTAAGTTTCTAAGCGCTTCACATTATTACCCCGGTCATCGGATTCTGGCTTGCCCGCACACAATGTATGCACTTTCTCCACTCCCTGGGGAGCATTCCAGCAAGAGCTACTAGGCTCATATTGCTACGCTAACTACATGTACATTGGCTTTTGCATTCTATCGGGTACCCATACTGGGTAGTGAGTGGCAAATGTAGATCAATGTCTTGCCAAAGGACATTAGTTCCGACACAGGAATCAAACCGCGGACCTTGTGATCCACAGTCCGGTGACATATCCACTCGACCATGACACCTCTAACCATATACCATAGACTAAGAATATACTGGTTCAAATATGTTTGTAGATAAGTAGCTGGGTGAACTACAGCTGCAAGTCCTATCTGAGGGACCTAGTACTTGGTAATTAAGGATTAGTGCAGAACTTGCCAGTTATCAGTTACCCATATTAGGGACTTTTAGATTTGCACTAAGACAAAGTGGACTGCTACGTGTGACGTCCTTTTAAGGCATTGGCAGTGCCTTAAAAGGACATCACTGTGCCTTTATAGGACGACAGACATAGCAGTCCACTATGTCGAGGTGCAAATCTAAACGTCCCTAATGGTTCCTTAGGTGGGCGGAGGCATAACAATGGGCCTGTAATAACTTTTACTCACAGTTTCATCCTGATGATGCCTGACTGGTCGTAGCCCACCTAGGAAGTCGGATGTCTCAGTGTGGAGATGACAGTTGACTGCATGGAGCTTCTGATCGGCTAGAGCAGCAAACAACTGACAGACGGTGGTCTTGCCGCAGCTGAACAAAAACAATTATGTTTTTTTTGGATGAATACCGAACAAATGACACAAACTGAAACATGTTTTAAAGCGATATGCTTTAAAGCGGTCAAGATATGTGAGCCACAATTGAACAAATACAAAACTGTATTACACTTGATAAGCTTCTTAAAATAATTCCTAAACAACTTCAGGCAAATGATACCAATTTGACCAAATCTGAAAAGACTTAACGAAAAATAATGTTAATGGCATTCACATACAGTATCTAGGAGAACACCACAAGATCAGTGTAGTATGAGCAACCTGATATAACCCAACAAAATGCTACTTTGATTCTAATATTCAAATTGTTACAGCAGTAATAGCCTACTATACTGTCAACTTTCCAGTTAAAAGACATACATGTCAGGTACAAATCCTATTCAAATAAAAATCCACTGTAACTCATTTCATTTCTGAATTAAGCAGACAATTTATATTACTGAAAGAACAGTATGGTTTTGCTAACAAACAGCACCTTCGTTCAAAAGATTAGTTTTCAGCCTACATGTACTTCACACATTCTGATCTTTCCAAAGAATCTCTTTTCTTGTTGGTAATTGACATGAAATGAAAACAAAAATTGATATTGCTTTGAATTCCTTCTTTTTCTTCCTTACCCAGTTTCCCCAACTAGCAGTACTGGTTCACCAAACTTGAGGGCTTGTCCTACAAGCACAGCCAGTCTGCGCATTCCATAGGTCCACACGATGTGATTGAACCCAGGGGGAGGGGTGGGGGATGTCACCTGAAAAAAGACATACAAAATAACATTCATGGCCGACCAAATATACCAGATGATTATAGAATACACAATAATAATAATGTATTTATGTAGTGCATGATGCATCTGACATATACATGTTCAGATGCGCTTTACAATTATGTTATTGATAGCTGAGGTGAGTTTTGAGATATTTTGTGAAGATATTGAGACAGCTTGTTGCAAAGAAAACTGGGTAGGTTATTCCAGTTTGGGAGCAGCAGTTGCGAATGCTCTGTCACCAAGAGTGGGAAGCATCTTGTGAGATGGATGGTTTGCCAAAAAACTAGATGGAACTTCGACTGCGCGCAGTCGAAAATGATGCCTCCGTCATAGAGCAATTTTACAAACCAAAACAGAAAAAATTTGTCAAATTCAAGTTCAATTGTAATCCATTAAGAGGTTCTCAGAATATCGTGATTACAAGCAATTTCTCATATACATATATGACCCTTTGATCTTTGACCTGATGACCCGAAAATCTACTCAGTTCATTGGCTCTGCAAGATGTCCTGAGTTAAATAGTAATCCATCTGTCAGTTCTAATGAGAATGCGTTCACAAGTTTTTTTTGGATACATAATGAGCCCATGACCTTTGACCTCATGACCCATGAATCTACTCAGTTCATTGGCTCTGCAAGATACATACATGATCGAAATTTGGCAGGAATCCATCAATCTGTTCTAATGAGAATGCGATCACAAGCTATTTTTGCATACATAATGAGCCCTGTGACCTTTGACCTTTGACCTCGTGACCCCAAAATCTATTCAGTTCATCGGCTCTGCAAGATACATACATGACCAAAGTTTGGCAGGAATCCATCAATCGGTTCTTGAGATAATGCGATCACGAGCTCTTTTTGCATACCTAATGAGCCCTGTGACCTGAGACCTTTGACCTTGTGACCCCAAAATCTAATCAGTTCATCGGCTCTGCAAGATACATACAAGACCAAAGTTTGGCAGGAATCCATCAATCGGTTCTTCAGATAACGCGATCACGAGCTGTTTTTGCATACATAATGAGCCCTGTGACCTTTGACCTTTGACCTCATGACCCCAAAATCTATTCAGTTCATCGGCTCTGCAAGATACATACATGACCAAAGTTTGGCAGGAATCCATCAATCGGTTCTTGAGATAATGCGATCACGAGCTCTTTTTGCATACCTAATGAGCCCTGTGACCTGTGACCTTTGACCTTGTGACCCCAAAATCTAATCAGTTCATCGGCTCTGCAAGATACATACAAGACCAAAGTTTGGCAGGAATCCATCAATCGGTTCTTCAGATAACGCGATCACGAGCTGTTTTTGCATACATAATGAGCCCTGTGACCTTTGACCTTTGACCTCGTGACCCCAAAATCTAATCAGTTCATCGGCTCTGCAAGTAACATACATGACCAAAGTTTGGCAGGAATCCATCAATCGGTTCTTCAGATAACGCGATCACGAGAACGGGACGTACGGACGGACGGACGGACGGACAACCCGAAAACATAATGCCTCCGGCTACTTCGTAACGGAGGCATAAAAATATCTTACACTAACCAGATACTTAATGTCATCTTTTTAACAATATCTATACTTAACCAAAACCCTAATCATAAACCTGACCAATGACCCAACTGCAGCCACAACTGTCTATCTCTAATGAAATGAAGTCCTGAGTAACTGTCTCTAGAGCTCTGCATTGAATGTTAAGATATTATGCACTTTTTAGGGAGATTTCAGAGACTTTCTTCATCATTTTGCCTTCCCCTTTCTCTCTCTTTTGGCAAGTCTCTGTCTATCTTTCAGTCTGTTTCTCTCACAAATACTCGCCATGTTATCCTCATTCTTATGAACAATGAAGTAGTTACACTGTATCACTAATCATTCTTTTGGGGTCTTTTATATTTCTTGAGTACTCTTTCACTCAGGGCTCTGTTTTATTATACTTGTTACAATGCTACAATTCTATGGCAAATCACAGCTTACTTCACACAGCTTACTTCACTCAGCCAATCAAATGTCACTATTTCAGTAGCTTATAGCACTAAATGTAACTTGTTATTGATAAGTTTTATGAAACAGGGTCCAGTACTTGGACTTAATTTCTTTTGAATTTCTTTAAAATCCTGATCACTTTCATCTTTAAAAAGAAAAAGAGAGAGAGAACGGTGACCATTACCTTCTCTAGAATATGCCTTGTGACAGGTGAGGTGTGTTCTGACAGGGTGAAGAGATGCTGAGGGTTCACCACTCTCTTGATGTGTTTTTCCAGGACCTGCCTAATCGTCTCTGCCTCCTCCTCTCTCCTCACTCGACCAGCAAGCAAGATGAAACCTGAGGGAACAGATGTATGAAGAATAGGTTTTTAATAATAATAATAATTAGATAATTTTATGTAGCACACAGCTAATATATAAATATACTCTACTGCACTGTGATGAAAACAAAATTCTGAACGGTGCTTCTTTACACAATAAAAATTTCACCCTTAGAGGTACATATAACGTGCGTCCTTTTAGTGACATTTTTGCACTTTTGATCGAGAATGCTATGAATGAGAAAGGCTGCTCCTACATTTGTGGCGGGCTGTGTTTTATCAAAGGTTGGGTCCAAGGGTCAGGGTTGCAATTGGATGCACAGTTAGATTTAATTTTAGGGTTAAAGTTAGGATTAGGTTATAGTGTTTGGTCCAAAGTTGAACATGGGATTTTTGGTAAGTGTAGGAGACTAACCGTGGGGCACAGATGTTACCAAAGCATATGTCATACAATCACAAAAACAGAACAAACATTACTGGAAATGTTTGAATCAATATCTGTTCTATGAACTAAAACATGAAATGAAAATCGTAATTAAATTAAATTGTACCTTCATCTGCTATATGTTGATTCCAGTCATAGAATGCCTGATCACCCTGGCTGGCATGCCGGTATCGTTCGGCCCATCGGAACAAGTCCCTTAGCGTGATGAACCCTCGCTTCCCGGCAAACACTCCAGAGCCCTTACGTCTCATCTTCACCAGGAAGGAAGAGAAAATGGAAAAATTAATAATGAATAAAATCTGGACAAAAACAGTACTTACATGAAGAATAACATCCAATTTTAGATCAGGACAGTGACATTTTTTTGGAAAGAAACTGGCCTAAAACATGGTATCTGACACATATTTTCATGACAGATAGTCTCTTCTGCAAAATTTGATTTTAATTTCCAATCATAAATATCTTGATAATCAGACAGGCAATTGGCTTGTGAAAGTCCTGGGATTCATGTATGACCTAAAGGTTTATAATTATCATTGCAGGCATAAGGTAAATCATGGATTTTTGTTTAGAATCTGATACAAAGTTACCGGATCCCTTTAATAGGAAGGTGGCTACTAAGGCAGGATTCATGTACATCTCTTCAATAGAACATTTTCGTTCTATAACCAAATTTAATGCATACATCTTTGTGAAGCGCCTTGAAACGAATGATTCCATTCACCTGTCATGAATAATTGTATTTCAATGGTCAGAATGCAAATTGAATATATTACATGTTGTTAGGTAGGGCAAGCCATAATGTTTGTCCTACCTAGCAACAACTAATGTATGTGATTTGAATTTCGACTACTGAGATGCATTTATTCATAACAGGTGAATGAAATCATTCTAAGCAAGGCGCTTCCCGAAGGCATATGCACAAATTTGGTTACATTACAAAAATGGCCTCTTAGACGCACTCCAGCAAAGCATAGAGAGTCAATGCTAATGCGTATTGACCTCTAGCGCTGTACTACGTGCTAAGAGGCAGCAGTTGCACACATGAATAGTCAATACACACATTGCACACAAATGCACACAATGAATACGATGTGGCTGATCGGAAAGTTTGACAGTAGACTCACGATTTGAACTTTCAAATTATTCTTTCTAACATCTGCAAGTTGAAAAATGGTATTTTACTGCTATTTAGATGTCATCAATTGTAACTAAAGTACCAATTTTTAGTGAAATCAGTTGAGTTTTGTACAGTGGTGTTTGAAATGTTGATAATCAATAGAACAGTTTCTTAATACACAGCCAGGATAGTAATGCAGCTATGTGTGCTTAGGCCTACCTGTAGTTCCAGCATGGTAGCGACCATCTTGCGGCAGTAAGAGACCGGTATCTGACATCGGTCATGTAGGATGGTCTCCAGCTCTCTGCTCGGGATCTCATCAAAATGAAGCTCAATGAACCGGTTCCGGAATGCTCGGGATAAGACCTGAGGGCAAAAGTTAGAAGAAACTTGTTTTAAAAAACAAGGGAAACGCTCTCGGCGGTCTCGCCTGCATAACGCAATTCAATATGATAAACCAGAACGTCAATGACGTAGCGCTCATCCGCATCTCGCAACAACAAATATCGTAAATTTTATGTGGTACACTTTTGAACCGGTCAAAAAATAAAAATTTGATGCCCTGGAAGGGACATAATTTCATTTCATTTGCACAGAGTACCATAAATAATCAATGGAGCAAAATCTCACAATTCTGTGTAGAAGTTTAGTGTTCCAAATTTAGCTCTACCAGATAAGGCAAACCAAATTAAAATCGGTCAAGAAATGAGGGAAAAGAAGCAATTTTTGTTATTATCAAATTTCCCTCAACCCCCGAGATATAGGCAATTTGGAGCATCATTTAGTGGGACTACAGGGTTCGCTGCTTCAGAGACCTTTGCACACACAGACACACACACAAAAATCAAACATGATCTTTACAAAATGCTCAATATCTAATCTTTAAAACCTGTCATAAATTCACAAAGGAACTTATAATTCAGCTACATGGTCAGGGTTCAACACTAATTTTTTTCCTCCCTGGGGTCCTGGGGGGTGTTTCACAAGGATCTTAAGTTGAACTTACAGTATCTCTAAGTTGGACTAAATTATGGAAAGCTGTTAGCATCTATGAAAAAAACTTGTAAAAGTTATTTTAAAAGGCATAAAATGTTGATTCAAATCATTTATATTTTCTATTATCAAGGAGATTTCATGTTCTTGATGTGGAATTTATAAAAATTCTAAAATACTTGAAATTTCACTTTTGAATATATTTCATTTTAAGGCTACACATGGCTCTCCATAATTTTTAAGTCCACTTAGGATCTTTGTGAAACACCCCCAGATTGATATTTTGAGGGTCGGTATGCCTTGTACCTCAGCTACATTTTTTTGAAGTCCAACAGACCTGTTACAGTCGCGACCCCTCCTATGGTTTCTGGTAACCTACCTTGCGGCCACCATATTGTCCGGGAGGATTCTGGGTAGCGAAGAGCATGAACTTTGGATGGGCGGCGACGACCTCTTGTGTCTCTGGGATGAACAGTTCTCTGTTGTCATCCAGCAGCTATGGTGGACAAAAAAATAGGGGGGGAAGGGGATTCATCATTGGAGCAAATTATGGGGTATTACAGGTATATCGTCTGCTTAGAGCCAGAAGTCTATGTGATATCATAGTAGAAATCACCCTACTGGCTCTCAGCTGGTAATATGAGATTCTAATACACAACTGAGTGATGACTACAGGCCAATTTGTGGCAAGTTATACAAATCAAATAAATAAAAACTGAATAACAAATAAAAAAGAGAGCACATGCATAATTCAAAAAGATACCGATATGAAAATATGCATTTCCATGTAATACCATTTCACAGCAATGAGAAATGCAATTCAGAAAATTAAAAGAATAAGAAGTGCAAGGATATGAATGATGACATCATAAAACCAATAATTAAATCAATAAAACAAGAGCTGTAATAACTGTTTTATTTTGTTGATGCATGACTGTATATTTACGGGAACTGTAACATGTGAAATCTTCTTGTACTTACTCTGTTGAGAGCCTCAAGAACATCTGAAGGAGCAAGATTCAATTCATCCAGGATAATCCAATGACCCTTCCTCATGGCATCCACAAGTACACCTGGGTTAGGGGATCAAACAACATGAATCATTATAATATAATAATAATAATACAAAATATATAAAGCGCATAATAAACATAAATTTCTCTATGGGCTGTACAAGCATAATGAAGAGAAATATAATCACATAAAAGCAATCAACACAGATAAATAAAAAAATCTTATAACTACTAAAATTACAAATTGTATTACTTGGATGGAGGGTTCGAGGCTAGGATCAATTTAACTTCTTTAATTTCTTAAATCTGCACAGCTTTGACCTGAAAGCATTAAGTGAATGTATTTTTCTGTTTGTTCATAATTGTTGACCCATACTAATGGTTACTGGTCAGCTGGGCCAAACAGTTGATCAAAATGACCATTAGATCTATTATCAAATTGATTTAGGATAAGAAACCTTTTTTAAATACCAGCCTGATTCGTTGAGGGAGGGGGGGGGAATCCTATGTACTCCTGCAGGTAATATGCTCATGGTTGTTGACCCTTACACAATGGTTATGATTGGAACACAAACCTTCTTTGAAGACCAGCTTGCCCGACTCATCTGCAGCATAGAATCCTACATACTCCTGCAGGTCAGTGTGTTCATGGTTGTTGACCCTCACACAATGGTTACCGGTCAGCTTGGCCAAATAGTTGACTAAACTGGTCTTCCCGACAGATGTCTCCCCTTGGATCAGGACAGGGAATCGTCTGTATAGTGATACATTCATATCAGCATTAGATCATGATACAACATGGTATTTGAATTGACAGGATACAATCGTTTAGTCTTAAATAACACAAAAAGTGATGATCCATTTGCTTAAAAAAAAAAGGTTCTAAAGTGTTTCCTACATTGCAATTAAAAAAAGAAGACCAAAAAAAAACAATAGTGCAGTAATAAATATCAAGTGACTGCATGCCGGGATAAATCAACTTTCTATCTGCAAAGAATAAACTTTGCTTTGTTACAGCATAATAATAATAATAGTGGGTTCTTATATAGCGATCATGTCTGTCAGATTTGACACTCCTGGTCTTTGAAACTGTTTCTAAAAAAGGGACCTCAATATGACCACCTGTTGTAAATAGTACCCTTCTTGTAAATAGTACCCTTCTTGTTTCATTTAACTAGTCTTACTAATGAAGTTGGCTTCCTACAGGTTAAACTATATAATAATAATTATAATACATAAGATTTGTAAGGCGCCGAATCCACTTGACAATCAATGCTCAAGGCGCAACTTGTGCAAAAGATGAAATACATGATACATAGACAAAAGTACGATAGGAGACATACGGACATGAAAGGTATTGGTAATCAATTGAATGCTAAGTTAAACAGATGTTTCTGATATAAAAGCTACTTACCCTGCTGAGACTATCCTAGCTAGATCCCTCAAGTTGGCCTTCACCGATGGTGTGATCACATAGTCCTTGGGCTTGTACCCCTCCTTCTCCCCTTCAGCTACCCAGTATCCCTCCAGTTTCATGTACTTGTTCACCCCTGCAGGAGGTGGAATGGACTGACCCAACAGACTCTTGAGGTTGGATCTGCCAATCACGTGCTTGCAAACGAGCTTCTCCACTACGGGGTGGGAGGCACGGTCGAGTTGGGTGAGGAAGCTGAGGCAGAAGCTCTGACAAACAGAACACCAAAAGAGGTGGCAGTTTTATAATTTTGCTTGAAATATTCAACATCTTTGTCAAATTTTACAGCAATAAGAAATTCTGTGGCTAAGATCACAAGGAGGGGGGGGGGGGGGGGGAGGAGGTCCAACACGTCTCTCTCAGAACAGGTCTAAAACTAGTTTGTTTTTTTAATGAAGCTGACATCTCTCAAGCAATGAGGGAACTAAATACAGAATAAAATCCTCTTGAACCATGGTTACGTCACCGGACTGTCGATCCCGCCACGACACTAATGTCCTTTAGCAAGACATTATTCTACATTTGCCACACTCAACCCAGGTGAAGTAAATGGGTACCTGGCAGAAATTAATTCCTTGAAATGCTAGAGCGCGGTAATGGCAGCACAGCTAAAGCCTGAGTGATAATTTCCAAAATTTGTTAAGCTGCCTTGAGCATCCCTTGGAGTGGATATGTGCGTATCATAAATGTTGTTATTATTATTATTATTATTAGATTTAAAGATGAGTAATGACAATAAACATAAAGGTTGCATTAATTTGGCTCTTAGCCAGAGACTATAGGGCTACATTGGTGAACACTTACAGTAACCTTTTTAATCAAACTTGCGCATGCTCAGCACAGATCATATTGCTTTTGTTACAGCCAAACAGCTGTAATTCAAAAGTATTTGCTTCTACTTTAGGCAGAATAACAAAAATAACATGCTTCTCTTGTCCTGACTATTTTTTTAAAGGAGGAGGCAGGGCATTACTATTTTGCTATTCTTTTCCAAGATGGATGACATGCTGATTATAGCTTACCAAGCCTATTTATTCACAAATATTGTGCTATGTGAGTATACCAATGCAATGTATGACAAAACAAATGATTTGTATCACTTTAGAACCTATTCAAACAAAATTAATATCACAGGCTTACGGTGGGGGGGTTCTGAATAGTAAATAGTTTTAAAAAGGGAGGTGGGCGGGGAATAGAAACACTTCATTTTTGTTATTTGGCCTTATCAATGTTTGTTTATTCTGACCTCATAAAGTGACCTAGGCACGGAGTCGCAGTGGTTTGTCGAGGCTAGCTTGAGGGCACGACACAGGGTCCGGAGGCTGTAGTGTGGCCGATGACCGGTCCCATCGGTCAGCTTCTGAATGGCCTCCTTCCTTACAGACAGGTAGAATCTGAACAGAGATACATGTAAGAAAGTTGTCAGGGTCAGTGACATATAATAATAATAATAATTAATGTTTTTGTATAGCGCATTACACATAGGCATAATTGCATGTCTCTATGTGCTTTACAGAACAGAATACAGAAGGAGTGGAAATGGTGCACTGGGTTCATAATTAAGAGACTTTTACAAAGTGCTACTACATAAGTATGCTTTCATGACTTCTGAACTTTTTGTACGTTTTAATATTTCTAAGGTATTTTAGCAAATTATTCCAAAAAAAAGACACAAGAGCAGTGGGCAAGTGAGCTCTAAAAGAGCTCTAGAAAACTAAAATTATAGAGCTTTGATAAAAAGAAATAAAACACATTCAAAATTATTTCAAAGAATTTACATTATTTCAACTATAGCTAATCGTACAAGAGCGCCCATGTAGAAAAAGGTAATTCTACAGTTGTGAGGCAAGTGGTAAATACCAAATTTATTTTCATTCCATTTACAAAAGTGATGTCATATTTTTGTGCACATGTTTCATGGTCTTTACAATCACTCCTTTATTCTCGAATTTAAACAAAGAGAATGAAATCACAAGTCAGTCCATCTTGGCTAAAATTCAACCATTGAATGAATGGCATATGACTTACTGCACGATGCCTTCTACTTGAGCCTCTGATATAGAGAGAAGCCTGAGGTAGTTCTTAGTGAGAATCTTCAGGTCGGGTACCTCTTCAAGCTCATCAACAAACAACTCAGTGAACCTGTACAGGAGAGTATTAAATAGAGCATGAGTACATATTAAAACACATTGTTTGATTAAACATTGATTGTCCAGATACTTAATAAGCATATAGCCTTCTCTTTTGCTTTCGGGTTTTATGAAAAATATTTGTCAAGTAGCACTAACCATCATGAATATTTGTCCTTTATAACATTGCCAACAAAACTCTTAGTTACTTCTTCAAATCAATTGTACGGATACACAACCTGTTTGGGCACATACGTCTGGGTATACTATGTGGCATTGTGGAAATAAATAGTAATTTAGACATTCAAGAGAATTCTATATTTGCAGTTTATCTGGACAGCAAATTATAAAGAAACAGAACTTTGATAACACAGGAGAATGTCTTTCCAAGGTAATTGCAAGGAACAATAGAGACAGACCATGTGCAGATTTGATATGGGTTTTTGCTGATGAATGAATGTCAGGGTTGATTTTACACCCTTTTATGTTGGCCCTCATGTCAAATTAAGCAGTGGCAAAACGAAACACAAAACAAAAACAAAAACAAGATTCTTCAACACTGATTTTCTTACATCAATTAACACTACAAGAATTGTCAAAACTAAATGCAATTACAGAGCCAAAAGCAATTATTTATTACACAGAATTATTAATTATCAAGTTAATGTTCCTGCATTTCAAACATCTTGTTTTTACCTGTTCCTGATTCCTGGGGGTAGTTCCTTCTTTCCGACATCAGTAGCAGGGTTCATACAGGCAAAGAGACGAAAGTCTGCATGCCTCACTATCGGCTTTGTATCCCTACGATAAAGAACAAAATTATCAATAAAATGTCACTTTAAACAAACACTGTATTGCCTATATTAATTTCAAAGAGTTGTCCTCAATTGATTTTAAATTGGGTTACTATTATCTTCATTTCTGCAGAGTTTACAAAATCTATCAAACTAAAAGGAAATAGTGTTTAGCAAGAGTATAGAGAAGTGGATCTTCAAGTTACTTTTAACAGTAATTTGAAAGGAAAAATCTAATAAAATAAGCCTGATATCTACACTCCCTTTTCAACACGCATGGACAGGGTTCATAATTTGTAGTAATCTTGAGTTTACTTAATAATAAAAAATGAAATTTCTCGAATTCAAACAAACATTACCACTTTTCTATACTAGAAAGAAATTTTTCTGCCAAACGAGGTTGAAATGCAAATCAAATAACAAGCAAAGAAAGATTTTGAAAAAATTGAGCGAGTTGTTTTTACCCCATACCAAGCTACGAAACATATGGTTCTGTTGTTCTTATATCCAGAAAAATGTTGGTAGCTTGCTTATAGTTTGCCGGTCCAAGTGAGACATCTACAGCATGACAAATAATTCAAGACTGAAGAAAACCTGTTTCTCTTGCAATGCAATTCCATCACCAGATCTCTAGTTCTTTAAACTGCCAAAAGCACTAATAATAATAATAATAATAATTTTTTTTGCTCATCATATAGCGCTTAATACGTTGGGGAATGTCCGAGTTTCTAAGCGCTTTACATTATTACCCCATTCATCGGATTCTGGCTTGCCCACACACAATGTATGCACTTTCTCCACTCCCTGGGGAGCATTCTAAAGGTTTCAACTGAATACCTACCCTCTCTCCATGAGGACCACCGATCCCTCTGTACTCTCTAGTAGACTGCTCAAGCATTCCAGTGTCTCTGCTGTTGCTAGGTTGATCTCGTCTAATAGAATCCAGTCTCCATTTCTCAGTGCTTTCACAAGAGTACCCTAGAGTAGAGATTGTTTTTGTTGATAGTTATTTTATCATGGGAGATGTTCATTAGTATAGCTCACCTATAAGCCGACTCTTTAGGAAAACTGAGTTGCTTCAGTTAGATGGTGATGTAAAAGTTCGCCCCAGATGTAAATACTTAAACTTGATTCCTATGTGTCTATGAAAACCCAATTACAAATGCATACACACTCAAACTTCAAAGACAATTTAGAAATGATATACAATAACAATAAGATAAACTGCAGGATTTAACTAGATGGAATTTTGACTGCGCGCAGTCAAAAATGATGCCTCCGCCATAGAGCAACTTTACAAACCAAAACGGAAGCAATTTTTAAAATTCAAGTTTGATTGTAATCCATCTGTCGGTTTTAATAATAATACATTCACAAGCTATTTATAGTCATACATAATGAGCCCCATGACCTTTGACCTGATGACCCTAAAATCTAATCAGTTAATTGGCTCTGCAAGATACATATATACATGTCTTGAGTTTGATAGTAATCTGTCTATTGGTTCTCATTATAATGCGATCACAAGCTATTTGTGCATACATAATGAGCCCTGTGACCTTTGACCTCGTGACCCCAAAATATAATCAGTTCATTGGCTCTGTTAGATACATACATGACCCAAGTTTGGCAGGAATCCATTGACCGGTTCTTGAGATAACGCGATCACGAGCTATTTTTGTAGACATAATGAGCCCTGTGACCTTCGACCTCGTGACCCCAAAATCTAATCAGTCCATCGGCTCTGTTAGATACATACATGACCCAAGTTTGGCACGAATCCATCGATCGGTTCTTGAGATAACGCGATCACAAGCTATTTTTGTATACATAATGAGCCCTGTGACCTTTGACCTCCGACCTCGTGACCCCAAAATCTAATCAGTTCATTGGCTCTGTTAGATACATATATGACCCAAGTTTGGCAGGAATCCATTGATCGGTTCTTGAGATATTGCGATCACAAGCTATTTTTGAATACATAATGAGCCCTGTGACCTTTGACCTTCGACCTCGTGACCCCAAAATCTAATCAGTTCATTGGCTCTGCAAGATACATACATGATCCAAGTTTAGAGAGAATCCATCAATTGGTTCTTGAGATAACGCGATCACGAGAACGGGACGTACGGACGTACGGACGGACGTACGTACGGACGGACGTACGGACGGACGGACAACCAGAAAACATAATGCCTCCGGCTACTTTGTAGCGGAGGCATAAAAATGTACGACCATATACTTGTAAGAACAGGTAGCTGTTCTGATCTGTCCGAAATTATCTCTGGTTTGCCATTCATATGTTTATAATTCATAACTAGATCATATAATAATGTGAACTTTTGTAATAAATCCCTTGCTATTCATATTGTCCTTTTCCTTTTCCTCTTCTGAAAGTCATCAGTACAACATCAACATTTCAACGACTCTCTAAACTTCAAATAATGATCCACTAACATTTGACCATTACATCAAGCCTATCAAGCCTATCTATACTCACTTCAACAAAAGAAAATGCCAGGGTATTCTCTGAGTGTTGTATCTGAAGCTGAAGCTGATGTAACCTTTCACCTATTGACCTCCAATGACCTCCAAGGTCTTTCTTGTTTGCACCATCTGTGTGTACATACAATGAACAACAGAAAGAATATTAAATACATGATAGCAAGGACGAACTGATGATGATGGACATGCATGTGGATTATGTTCAATCTTACTCTCAACTTTTAAGGGACATATTCCAACTCTTTGTAAAAAGTAGTTTACCATAACATAGTGCCATTTTTTTCTTAATAATAATAATAGTGGCTACTTGTATAGCGCACAGGTCCACCTTTCGGTGCTCATGGCGCTCAAAGGGAACTTCAAAATATCATTGAAATAATGTTAGAACAGTTAGAATCAAACAACTAAATTTTGAGATATTCAAATCATTAAATAAAAGTGTATAACTGGAATCTTAATTCAAGGTCCATGCTGAAGTTAACTCAGGGTTAACATTAGTTATAATGGGGCATCTTGTCTACTCATAATTCTCTCTTATCTTACTTCAAGGAGAAAATTCTTATTTAGAATTACAATACCACTCTTAAGAAATAATAATTAAAGAAAGAATAAAGATACAGTCAAACCTGCTTTAGTGACCACCTGTCTACAACAAGCACATTTTTTGTTTCCCTTGAAAATGGTTTCTCATTGAAACATGTACTAAAGGAACCTGTCTACAAAGACCACTCTTAGTGTTTCCTTTAGGCGGTCGCTGTAGACAAGTTTGACTGTAATATGAAAATGAAATAGAAAACACACCTCCATTTTTCTTTTCCGTCTTCTCAAACCTCTTGAGAGCGGCCTGCTGACTGTGTATCATCAGCTGAACGAGCTCCCTCCACTGACGCTGTGTGAAGCACTTCTGGATGTGACTCAGGAACTTGGTGTTCTGCTTGACCGAGAAGGTGGCACGGAAAGCGCCCTCAAACGCCTCTCTGACCGGTGCGACGACCTGACGCAGGTCAACCGGCTTGAACCTGATTGGTTGGTGTAAAAGATTGTTATCAATGCTGTAAATGTTCTCAGTGTGGTAAATGTTCTCACAATTCACAAGGTTATAAACTGTAGAATATTATGGGCTGTATCAGATATATATATTAGGTTGGGGTTTTTTTTAATTTAAAACTTCTATTGCTTCTTCAAGTCAACGTCAACAAGGAAGTAACACAAATACATTCATAGGTGTTTTACAAATTAATAACTTCCATATTATAATAGTACATAAGTCAGAAGCATAAATGTGAACATAAATGAATGAAGGCAAATGAAAATGGGTACAACCTTTTAAACTACACTATGGGTTATATATTAGATATATATTATGATGTAATGCTGTGTGTTTATTATAATAAAAAAATAAAAAAAGATAAGTTTAGCCTGAAAGGCCAGTCCAATTTAACCAATAGCAATAAAAATGATTATAAATCTCAATCCCTCACACATTGATCTCCTGAAATTTGTACTGGATTTGCCATTGGTCTGAGAAAATAGCTTCTGCAGGTCTCATCCAATCCATTTATGCTAATAAGATTTAGCACAAATTTTCTCAGATCAGTAGCATACTTAGTTCCTGAATCCATATAAAATTCAGGATACTGATTCGGGAACAAATTTTAGCTAAAATCACTGTTATCCATGGAGTGGCCCTTTAGACGAGTCCCATCTAAAAAAAAATCAAAACAAATTCAAAATTCAAAAGTCTTACCCTCCAAGCAGGTCGGTGCTGTCACTCTGCTGGTTCATATTGATGACCTTTAACCTTTGACCTACGAGGCTAGACAGATACTGGATGGTGGATGTCTTCCCTGTCCCTGTCTCTCCCACCAGAAGGACAGGTTCATTCTGAGCGATGCAGCATGCCACACGCTCTACCAGCACGGCCGCTGGTCTGGTGAAAGCAAACTGGGATACTGTGTGCCTACAGGATATAGAAGAGAGGAGAGAGGACAAGGAATACCAAACTTTTAAGTTGCTCAAGCGTGTGTACATAGAGGGTAGCACACTAACGTGCACACAGGAACATAATACCCATTGGCTCATCGCCAAGTTGCCTACTTCACGAACGGCTATATATCCACTCATGAACATCTTTAACTGATTCAACACAATGTCATATAACTCTATTGAAGTTGGTTATATTCAATTCAATATATGTATTTATTTGTCCAATGTACGTTCAACATGGATATTTGTTCTGCTCACATGTATAATAAATGCTCAGACATCGTTTACACAGATCAGAAATATGATACAAAACATGGATACATTTTAGTGATGACAAAATAAAGTCATACATATATACATACAATCAATACATAATATCGATTTTTGTTTGGTTATTAAAATGGCTAGTTTTGTTTCCTTACATGTACGTTCCGTAATTTAACTGTCTTCATGCATATTTATTCATTCAGCAGGTCAAACTACACATGAGAATGAAAGAATGAATCACAATGAAAATTACTCTATATAAGTTTTCAAAAACATTCATGTACATTACAATATCGATTTTACACCTCTGAAAAGTCTGAAACTTCTATGGGGAAAGGGAGTCTGGGGGGCTTCAACCCTCACCCTACATATTTGAGAAAATGAAACCAAAGAAAGTGTTGCATCACCTCTTCTACAGCTCTGAACCAGAGTACTTACATTTTCAACGTGTCCCTCTCTTTCCGTTGTAATGTTGCCCTCCCTGATGTGATGGTAGAGTCCGCCTCCTCTATGTTTGGTTTGTACGTAGAGGAGTAGAAGCGAGCCTTCTCCCGCGTGATGTTTAGCTTGGCACCTATCTGCTCGGCCACGGCCAATCGTGTCACGGGCTTGGTGAGTGCTGCACAGAAACAGTCCAAAGCCTGCACAAGTACAACAATAAATTAAGCTAATATACATGTATTCAACATTATAACCACAGTTAACTAATAAATAATTCACACCCTTACCAAGGTATGTGAAAAATTTATCTTTCCAAATTTATATTTCTTGATAATGTAACATATTAAAGCTTACATCTAAAAGTATTCTACAAAGGCCCTAATTCAACCAGTCCACCTTTCATTTTTGATTACAAAAACACCCCCAAAACATCAGATTAAGAAGGGGTAAGTTGTTAATTGTAGGTTTAACTTTCACATCATCCTTTCTTTAATATGAATGCAACTTAATTACTGAACAATGAATTCTATGCCTTATAACACTGAGCACTGTAAGCATAAGCAGAATCATTGAAAATGTGTACAAACAGACTTATCAAAAATTGTGATACTGTTGACAACCAAACACACCTTACAACAACGTTTCTGTTCTGAAACAATTTCTGATGCTAACTGATGACTTAAAGAGGTATGCTCAGCATATCTTGCTATTCTCACAATTTTGTTTTCTCTTCTTTCTCTCTATTACATTGCAAAGAGACATATGTAGTACAAAATGAATATGGATAACAGATTTATTTTTTTTTCAATACAATATACTGTTAAAATAGAACATGACAAAAATGCAAAATGAGGCACAGAAATAGGAAGAATATCTTCACTCGCTGCATAGATGTAAAGTTTTCTTAAATAATATATTACCTCAAGAAAGATCAAGTTGGCACTCTGAGATGAGTTGATCTGGAAGTCTCTCTCTATTCTCTCACACCATTTAATCAGATCTCTGAAAATAGGAAAAGACAAAAAACAATATCAATACAACTATTTCAGTTTTTGTTTAAGGGTATCACTATAATGTGTAATATACTATAATTGTATGAATTTGCGATGCAAACACATCAAAAATCTTTAATATAGGAGCAACAAATATAAGGTATCATCTTCATTCTCTCACACATTTAATGTAAAAGCTATGAGGGGAAAAAAATGGTGTATAAATATCTTCTTTGGCATGTGGATATCAGTTTACCATGGATTATAAGGATTTGAAGTCAAGAGTAGAAACAAAATTAGCTTCCAAAAATCTGCTATTTTCAACTTCGAATTAAAAAAAATGAAATGAAAAGTAATATTGGACTCTTGTGTTTAGAATGAAGTCAGTTTATTCAGTCTAGCTTTACAGCCGCACCATACTAGTTTGACCAGGAGGGATCAGACCTCCCTGCAGGGTCACTGGCAGGTGGTTATCTCATCAAATCAGCTCTCAATTAACATAAGAAAAAGGGGATCATGGGGGACCAATAGGCACCGATTAGGCATCGTTTGCTATAAAGAGGGCACAAGTAGCTATAAGTAGTGCAATGGGGCTTTAAATGAAATTATGAGACACATTACCTGGTAGAAACTAATCTCCTGTCGTGGGCTCCCAATTCTATCCTGCTGCTCACAGTCTTTGGTCCACCTTCACCAGAGACTGTGCTGCCCTCGCTCTCTGGCCGAGTGTCCAGCCACGTCTGGTGACCGGCGGTCAACGTACAGAAGATGTCCAGCAATCGGTTGGCCACGGTAGTCAGTTTGGGGTACAGCGTTGTGATGACCTATCAAACCAGGAGAGAAATGAGGTCAAGTGTCATGGGTTCAATCAAATAAATACTAATTGACTTATTATAATAATAATAATAATAATAATAATAATAATAATAATGTATTCATACAGCGCATTTCCCATATACATGTTCGAATGCGCTTTAAAGTTGTGTTATTAACAGAATACGTGAGTTTTTAGATATTTTTTGAAGGTATAGAGAGATTGCTGGTTGCGAAGAAATCTGGAAGGTTATTCCACAATTTAGGAGCAGCAGTTGTGAATGCTCTGCCACCAAGTGTGGGATGCATAAATGACAGAACTCTCTGCGGTCTTTGGGCTAACTTGTGATGCAGTTTCATTGGTTGAGCGAACATCTTCATCAGCCCAAGTTAGCGCACAGTTCCTCACATATTGTCAGCTGTCTGCTAGAAGGCTGCAAGGGCTTTGTGTTGTCAATGGCAATAACACTCCTCTTGCGTGTAGCCAACGATATAGTATGTACTTCAAATTTACTAACCATACACTGCAAAATCCATCATGATTATAATGTCAATAAGAGTGTTGAATTTAGAAGCGCAAAGTAATTAGTAATCAATTCTCTATGCACTTCTATACTAACAATCTGGATCACTTCTGAATAGTTCTGCTAAAACACAGATTGCGCTGCAATCACGAAAACATCCCTTTCATCGTAATTAATGGTTCAGAGTTCATATCAACATCTCACTGTACCTGATGCAGTTCCTCCCTGGACATGGGTTCCACCTGAACACGCGTCCAGAGCTGATCGAGCATTGCACCGTGGGACACGTGCTGTCGGTGAAGTCCACCACCGCTACTCAGCAATCTAGAATGAAAGAAAGAACAGGGTCTCTGTTGATCAACATGGTGTTCAAAACTGAAATTTTAATTCCAGGGAAATTCCCATCTTTATGGTATCAATACATAGAAATATTAAAACTTCTTATTTCAATTTCACAACCCTATATTTCTTGTTGTCGCGGGCAGCGTTGCCAGCAAGTTCCCACATTTTGGCAGTCAATACCTTGAATGTTTTATGTTACTCTTTGTATAGAATTGTGAGTAACTTTATTCTACTTTTGTGTACAAAATCATCGTCTAACCCGCCAGCATCTACATACAATGTAGCCATTTACTCACAACAACAAAAATTAAGAAACGGTAAGATGCCAACTTTTCTGTCAGAAACATAAAGTTTCTTTAGTAATAAGACTGATTGGACAAATCAGAATATTATTTTGACACAGTTGTGCCGGTTGCTGTATTTTGGGTATCACATATTTCAATACACTGTCAATGTATTAAAAGTAGAGTTTATCTCTGAGACAATTCAGCCTAAAATTTGCTCAATTATTTCCTATAACGTTCTTCTTCTTTTTTTTTTTTAAGAAACATTTCCTCGGAGGCCACATTTCACATATGGTAACCCATAAGACTGGACTTGTTTTCTTCCAATGTCCATTGCCAAATGGCTGCCACTACCTTTAAGATATTACCTTTGAAACTGTATATAAAGACCGCTCAAGGGAAGAATAGAATGGTTTCTATAGGCACGTGGTCTTTATGTACAGGTTCATTTAGTACGTTTCAACAGGAAACAGTTTTCAAGGGGAAAGAAACTTGTGGTCTTTATAGAAAGGTGGTCTTTATGGACAGGTGGTCTTTATAGACAGGTGGTCTTTCTATACAGGTGGTCGCTGCAACGGTTTTTACTGTACCTCTGGGTAGCAAAGAGCTGGAATCCTGGAGCTGCCTTGATGACATTGCCATGTCCTGGGATACAGAGGGACCTAGATTCCAAGAGTGGCAGGAGGACGGATATCACATCCATCGGAGCATAGTCTATGTCCTCTAAGAGGATCCAATGGCCATGGGTGACAGCCTTAAATTGAAAGGAAAGAAAGAAATGAGATCTAGAGCCGAAGTATAAATCAAATGACTTCAGGCCATGAAAGGAAGAATGACATTGAGAAATGAAGAATATTAATTGAGAGAAGATAAATTAAAGCTCTATTCAATGTTCTCACGCTTAAACAATAAAATAATCATGGTTTAAAATTTAATATTGTATTCGCACCACCTCTAAAACTGCACACATTTCAATAAAAAGAGCCTGATCGTAACACATTACCATACATCATGAGATCTTTGCGAAAAGCCTGTATCCATACCTGGGTTAGAGCACCAGCTTGCCAGACAAACTCCCCAGGACTGTCTTTACATAGATTCAAAAGAATCCTTCTCATACCACCTCTAAAACTACACACATTCATTAACAAGAGCCTGTTCGTAAAACAATCAAAAGATCTTTGCGAAAAGCCTTTATCCATACCTGGGTAAGGGCCCCTGCTTGCCAGACAAACTCCCTGGGAATGTCTTTACATTGATTCACGAGAATTCTTCTCGTACTAAAACTGCACACATTTCAATAACAAGAGCCTGATCGTAACACAATACCATACATCATAGGATCTTTGAGAAAAGCTTTTATCCATACCTGTGTGAGAGCCCCGGCTTGCCAGACAAACTCCCCGGGAATGTCCGTACATCGGTAGGTTCCGAGAAGAGCCTTGCTATCCGTCTGATCTCCTAACTGGACCTTGATGATAGACGGGGGCGCTGTTCGTCCTATCTGAGCAGCGAGATGCTCCACCAGGGCTGTCTTGCCGCACCCCACTGGCCCTTCAAGGAGGACACCGTTCCCTGCCGAGACAGCGAGGGCCAGGCGGCGGAGGTTCTTCTTGGTGGTTTGGACTGGGACCAGCTTAGGCAAGGAGGTCTAGAAAATGATAAATGGTAAGTCCAAAATGATTGGTCATTTGTTTGTTTGTATTTTTTTGTTGTGTTTTTGTTTGTTTCCCAATTATTTCATTTACGAAATATGCAAGATACCTTTGAAACATTGTTGAGAATTATAATGAATTTCAAAATAACTATGATTAGTAGCTCTGATGGTACATTTGCAATCCTTTCTAATATTAGATAACATATCTGATACATACATTTATTTGATAATATATGCGTTACGCTTTTATCTATTAACATTTCAGTTGCTTCGCCTCTCTACTAGGTGGTTGCTATATTGCCACACATACTTTATTTCACAAACAAAAGGCACCAATGGACAGAACGATCGCTTGTGCAAGACAATGGTTTTCCATATTATCCAAATTAGCTCCATGACAACCTTATTAACACTGGTATACATGAATGCTGCACTGGAAACATTGAAATAATCTTGAAGCCTACACATACATATAGCATAGAGAGAATATTTGTGTGTCATTGACATATAAAGAGTTAAGGCTATATTTTTCTCTGCATATTGCATCATTTACACACACAAAATTGTTATTTGATAATGTATTCAAAGTTCAATTTCAAGTTTATGTTCCCATTCACAATCAAGTTCACATTCAAGTTCAAGTTCAATAGATGTGATTACCTTCGCTGTATCCTCTTCCCTAGCTCTGGGTAGGAGCACACCACATACTGACACCACACTCTCATGGTAGTCCTCCACCAATAGGTCATGCACAGCATTCTGCTGAGTAGGCTCAAGGTCAGGGTCAAAGTTCAGGACCTCAGAGGTGTCCCGATCAAGAAGTAGCTGCTGATCTTGGGACTCTGAATCCCTGTACAAAAATATGTGTATATATATATATATATATTCTAGTCTAATTGTTAAACATAAAAGTGGAAAATACCAATCTTCCCTTGTTTTCTATATGACAGCATGAATTGTGTGATAATTGGTTTCATACAGTCATGATGTCAATCTAGGTAAGAATTTGAGGGTTAAAATTGATCATCTTCCCTTCTTTAAAGAGGCACAGTAGTAGGCTTTCATGGGAAATTTGACACCATTTGTGTGTTAAACAGGTGTTGTGTGTTAAACAGGTGTTGTCCTCAGAGCATTATAAAAGGCCTTATATAATGCTCTGCATTTTCCAACAATCGCCCCATCATTAACTTACATGTCCGTCAACCGAAGACTCTCCGAGAGCCTAGAGGGGTTTCTTGGTGGGACCACAGGTTTGCTGTGTGCAAGACTTGTACACCCATTATGTATTTCCCCTTGGTCTGGGGTCAGCGAATTATGACCTACTCCATATGGAAAGTGACTACCACCACTAGTAACACTACCATTTTTCTAATATAAAGTTGTATATATGACAAACACTACAGACTTATTCACGACATGAAGCAAGATTGGTATGAAAAATACTTGCAGAGTTCCCCATGCACAGAATAAAGAAAATAAGTATACTGAAAAGATTAATCAAAACAAAAGATATTATTAACAAAACAAAAACAAAAAATTGAAAGGAAAGAAACCATGTTTATTATTTCCATTTAGAATTTTGACATCACCTGGAAGGGCAAGGTAAAGGAGATACCCAGATATACATGTACATACCTTAATTGATACTGGCACAGTTCATCTTTGGTGAAGAGGGAAGAGAAGAGTTTATGACGGCATCCTCCACCCATCTTCGTAATACAGGCTACTGTGTTGGCGGCATGCCTAGAGATAATAGAAACATAAACATACATGCAAGAAAAACTATGGTAATAGCGGTTAGGATGCACCAAACATACTGTGAATGTGATTGGGCTCCTCCCCTTTTACACTCGACTACAACACCTATATTACAACTTCATCTTCTCCCACCCCTTATTCATTTCTCTCCTGGGTATGGAGTGGCAAATTTAGATTAATACCTTGCCAATACGTTTGTATTTCAATGCAAGTGCTTAAACCACTCGCCTAGAACACACATATATCACAACTTCACCTTCTCCCGTCCCTTCTTGAATGCATACTCACCATTTTGTTTCTACATCCTTTGAATCTAGAAGACCGAGAAATGAGCTCCAGTCCCACAGATCTGCATACGTGTTGGGAGAATGCTCCACAAGACGTCTGGCTGTCAGCGCTACATCACGGTAGGATGCATCCTTCTGCGTACAAAAATATTCAATTCACTTTCAGTTTTATTGTGAAAAAAAAGAACATGGCAAAAGTCGAGACTATTATTGTCATATTAACAGAAAAATACAAGAAAACATGAAACTTATAAATTGTACATGTACATATACTAGTTCAATAACAACTAAAAAGAATGTGACTTCATGCATTAAAAAAGATAATGTTAAAAAGCAATCATTATATTTAATTCAATTGGATATATTGTTACAAGATTAATGGTACAGTGGATTCCAGTAGTAAAAAAAGAATTAAAAATAAAAATGCTTCATGATAACAACAACATAAGTGGGATAAAAATGTCCATTTATAACCCAGAGAAAGTTGGCAATTCAGATGTCACAAACCCTGCAGTATGTTTTGCTACAGAAATTACTTTGTACTAGTTCGGCTTTTACATGTAGCAGATCTCAATGATAGCAATTGTCTGAAGCTTAATTCTTCATTATCAAAGCAGCGTAAATCTTACCTTTGATTTCGTCTTGGTCTTGAGTAGTCTTTCAAACACAGGGGCAGATGTCTGAAGATACTTCTCTATGAATCTAGCAATGTTTGAAAAAGGAGAGACATGACAATAAAGTAAACAAAGATTAAAATTAGTATTAATAGTGATGCATGCACATGGGAAAGATTGCAAAGAAACCATGGAAAACCATTTGTTGTGTTTGGTTGTATTTCACAAAGTGAATGATATAAAATAAATCAGAAAAAGAAAGAGATGTACAACAGCTACACACATGTAGTATTAAAAATGACATATTGCAATAACCCTGGTTGGCATATGTTTTATCTTTTCAAATCAAGAGTTGAACTATGAATTGAAACAAGAAAGTAAACAATTTTTTTTATACATCAATGAGTTTATGCACAAATTATATCATTCACCTGTTACAAATAATTGTATTCCAACAGTCAGGATGCGAATTGCATATATTCCGCGCTGTATGGGAGGACAAGCCGTAATGTTTGTCCTACCTAGCAAAAATTGAAGTATAACTATTTATGCAATAAATTTGATTAAATAACAAAAATAGTCTATTGTCTACTTACTTCTGGGCATCTGGAAAGCGACCAATCAATTGAGAACAGGCTGCGCATAGACGCTCGTGATGCCCCAGTGAAAACTGTTTGGCAGATGACCCCTGACCTGCCCTCTCTAGTAGGTCAAGGAGAAAAGGTGAAAAGGATGTTGCTATGGCAACTGTGTTGTCAGGTACAAGCAGCTGTTCACTCAGGTAGTTGAGAAGATTCTTCTTGTCAACAGGGCTTAAAATCTGGAAAATAAATAAATAACAACAATAGTTCATCAAAAGATTGGTTATCAAACTTCACAAATACAAGTCATATTGTTTTAGTCAGCATAATTTGTTTGTAATGCACTTATTGCATCTAGGCAAAGAAACAAACTACGGTAATCAAAATTTAAGAAAAATAAGAATAACTAAAATAGATTTTTTTTTTTTTTCAAAAAAAAAAAATGAAATTATTTTGTTTAATGAGTTTGAGATGTCATTCCTTCACTTTTAAGGAATTATTCAGTAAATATCTATCCAATCCGCATGGAAAACGGATTCCGTGATGATGCTCCTTGATGGATTTCACACTTACTTTGCACAGAGACTTTCATGTTATGAACAGGGAATAATTTTCCTGGTATCGCATCGCAATTTGCTATGCATTTTTGCATGACTGCTATACAAAATATCTTTTGTGTAGCAGTTTTCTTCCATAGAAATGTACAGAATTTAATTTGAAATATTTATCCATCGGCTGAAATTGCTAATCAAAAAATTTGTGGAAAATTATCCCTGTATGAACGATAAATCCTCAAGAAGACGGACAACCCATAAAATAAAATTAGGGGGGAACTGGGGGTATTGTATTACGCAGAAACCTTTTTCGCATTGCTAGTGTGCGGATCGGGAACCTTACTTACACCCGCAGAGTGGACAATATTTATTTTTCAGGACGCAATTTGTCCGTGTTTACCGGAATATCCTCGCTTATGCGGACGATTGTCACTCATGGCCCTGTCTAGACCGAAAACTTCAGTCTCTCTAATCGTCGGTTGTTCCACTGAGACTACGTCTGGCTCCACTAGACCTCCGATTATAGAGACTGAAGATTGTCCTATCGGGACTGTACGGAACCAATGGTTCGGTTCGGCAGGACCGCGATGAATGAGATATGCTACGAGATTTTCACTCTTTACATCCTCACACATGCTGCAATATGACAATAATTAGAGTCTAATTAAAAATAACATATATATAGCTTATTTGACTTACGATAGCTTGCTCATTTAGATCCTAAATTAATGATTAATCCGAGAAAGTCTCGTCGTCAACATTATCCGTCTTGGTTTTAGTTGATGAATATTAATTTTTTCTTTTCGAACGTCCAATAGCTACCGTAGCTACATACGAGTCGGCCCGGCTTGACCAACAAACTCCCACGAAACGAGTGCTCTGATTGGCCATTGGCTATGTTTTGGTAGGTGGACCCGGAAATATATCGGCCGCCGGGTAATATTTCGAATGCATGAACGTAAGTGCTTCGCGGTTCTGAGGAACAAATTGGATAATTCATATAAGTAAGTCCGAAAATTTCACATTCTATAATAGGTTAGAAAATTTCGAAAACTGTAATTAGGAGATATATAGACCGACCTAATTTACATCTGATTTAGAAATCAGGAAATTAGATCTAAATAAAGAAAATCGGGGGAGAAATGTCGGTAACGAAAAGCTGTTACGCTGTGGCTCTAATTTACCCCCACGGTACGAGATCTCTGGGTTGCCATCTGTATTGGGGAATGATAACAAATGTCAGTTTTATTAAAGAAATGACCCAAATCAGATGGTTATTGCTGTCTAGCACTCTAGTCTAGGCCCTGTCATGCCATGTCAATTGGTCCCATTCCCAGAAATCCGACATTTATGCCTAAACAATATAGAAGAACATCTTGAACATCATTCCTGATCGTCTTTTAATTGAAATTAACAAGAAACAGTCCCCCAAATCACCGAAACAACGACACATCACAAAGATTCGACAGGCGACACAGCTCCCCAAGTACAGCGGAAGAGCGCATCAATGTCACGCCTAAGCGCTGGGCAAGTTGACAGGAGCATACCGCTGGAAAGCAACGTGCTTACCGAGTTACTCACCTTATCTTCTTGTAATATTTCGCTGCTCAATGACAACGAATTTCGATGAATCAATTCTTGAAGATGCTTAATACACTTCTGGATATCAGTTCTGTCAAATGAATCCATGATGAGTTCTTGTACTCAAAAACATAATTTCAAGTATTTTCGGTGCACACCACGTACACAGTGCATGCAGCGATTGCGAAATATCGCACATGCTGCTTGGAAAATAGACTTTGTTCAAAGCTTTTTTCATTATTTTCAGTGTATACCTAGTCTTTGTAGAAGGCAATACTCATAATTATTTCATGTAGTTTCAAATATGTTCAAAGATTCATTGGCAAGCACATCAGTTCAAAAAACGGGTTGCTAAGAAACTGCATCTACGTCGAAAGTAATCTGGATATAAAAACATTTCGGAAAAGTAATTTATTGTAGCTTTCATTTAAATACCCGTCTTCTTACATCCCACAAACTCGACGGCCTGGCAGAGTTCGTTACCGAGATCAAGGGTACCCCAGAACTTGGGAAAGTAAGGGCTGCCTGACATCAACTGTTGGATCATTGCCTCCTTTGTTGCTCTGGTCCTGGTTGCCTTGAGTTCTTCAACCATTTCACCAGGCGAGGCGAAGTTGTCTGACCATGATGGCTCTTTGATGGCAAGAGGAACGCCTGTGGAACGATGACGTGCTATCACAACCCGACCATAACTGCCCCTTCCAATTTCTTTGAGCGCAATGATGCTCTGTGAAGGGAAAAAAGTATATTGAAATTTAAAGCAAGCTTCTTATGATCAAAACTTTATATAAGAGAGAAGTAAATTACATGTGTTTGTCATCAGTTTTCCAACATCGCTGAGAAGGGATGAAAATTAATATTGTTTCCCAAAATCTTTTAGCTTACACTCTATAACTTCTGAGGGATTCTTTTAATGAGGATTTAAAAACTGACTAAGTCCATCCAATGTTTCAGTGGATATATCGGTTCTTGCTAAGAAATCTCCCTCTCTATCTCTCTCTTTAGGCCATCACGGATCATGATGCAACTTTTCTATTACAAAAAAAGAACTTTGACTTTCATACCTTTACAGTCCATCCCATGTCGAAGGTCACGAGGTCATCGAGTATGAGAGTCTGACATGAGACCTTAGGTTGCAGCATGTGGATGACCTCTTCATCAACACTCTTGTTCTGATGGGCCGATATCTCTGGCTCAAGAGTATAACTGTTTTGAGAAAAAAAAGAGACAAGAATTTTAAACTAAAAGGTTATAAATAAATGCTACCAAAATCAAAAGGTTTCTTTTTTAAAATGAATATAAGTGTGTTAAAGATGGATACTAAGGCACTTGAAGATCCTTAAAGTGCATGATCATCGAATTCATTTCATGTAAAAATGTATTGAGATCTTTTTACTCATCAATATTATTATGCATGATGACTTTCAAATATTGTGGGCATCATTATTCTTAATTACAACACTTCTACTCGACGGTAATTCATTTATGTATCATAAACAAATTGAATTCCGAATTTACATGTTAAGGAGGGGGGAATGAGAGAGAAATATTTGCTTCACCTCTGTTTTGAGATGAACGTTGAGATTGCAATTTGCTGGTCTTTCGACTCCTCGGGGAAATCTCCGCCGGGGTAAGCTTGGGCTTCTTGCTTAGCTTTGACCAGTACGGCTTTTACTATCTCAATGGCTTGAAGGATCTCATCCCCGTGGTCGGACACTGGTCCCAGGGCTAGTCTTTGACGGCGATTTGCCATCCGCTGAGCCCTCCGCTTTCTCTGAGCTGACATACCGATGTCTACCATTGTCAGAGACTTTACGATTTATCTACGAACAAATTAATATTCAGTTCTGGAATGAATCTTTATTTTTTTTAAGCAACGGTTCTCAAATATTCGATCACATGTATTTAATCCATATTTCTTTGATTTTTTGTCCGTACATAATTTTTCTTAATTTGGCTTAGGCCTACCAGTCATACTGAATTTAAACTTGAATTAGGTATATCATTAAATTCGCGTAACATTGGCCTTTGGATAAAATATATACAACACCTATGATATAAAATTTATGAGAATTGGAATTTTATGGTAACTATTACTATTCAGTTTATTCCAATCCATTAGTGTGTGGAAAAGAAGGAATTTTGACTGAATTACCTGATAACAAAGAAGAAATCTCGTGAGAAATCTCTCTTGAAGAAAGTGATTGAATTCGCTGATTAAATGAAGAAAGTTTCGAAAGCACTTCAGAAGAAGCAACTTGTGCACTCGGAAGCTAGATCAAAACTGAACACAAAGCGCAACGGTTTGTTGTCTAAAGAGACCATTCAACGCGCACCCATACCAACCATTATGTCGTCATCGAGGAAAACTTTAAGCCAATCAGAACGCAGTAAATCTCTACCCAGTGAAAGCTTGAGCGTGGATTATGCATAGCGTAGCATCATGAGGTCACAATGGTAGCGCGACTTTTACGCATGCGCTTTGCACCTATCAGAGCTCGATTGGCAGATTGAATGGAATTTCGGGTAGAAATACCCAGGGTAATTAATTATTGGAGGGTCAGTAGGGTAATGTGCCCCCCTTGATTTAAAACCAATTAAATCAAGGCAAGTATCTCGATTGTCAAATACAGTGCTTCTGATTATACATGTCTATAACTATGTGACAAACACATAGGGGTCATGACCAAAATAAATCTAACATATTTGTTTCTTCTGATTAAATATTATTTTATATGTGCAACTTTCAAAACGAATTCCCCAGTTTTCAAGGTTCTAAAGCTTATAGTGCTAGAACTAAAGATCTTGAATACCGTAAAGCCAAAGAAGAATACTAACTGGTAACTCATTTTTGCTATATGGAGGTTTGAAATTTAAAAAAATAGAAAACCTTTTGTGACTGCCTGCATTCCTGCTGTATTTATGTTTCATCATCATATTATGATTAACGTTCTGATATTTATTTGTCTTATTTTATGTATTGTGTTACTCTCCAATTATTTGTAAATATTGTGATATTGTTTTGACTCAATAAGACATAAAGTATATATTACAAGGAGGTTAAAATCCCTCGGTGGGCAATCCCACATTTGAGAAAATTAGACAAATTTTTATTGATTAAAAAGAAAATTGTTTCTCACCTCTTTAATAAATAAGTTTTAGCATTTGGAAACAAGCTTGTTCTCTCTCTCTCTCTCTCTCTCTCTCTCTCTCTCTCTCACTCTCTCTCTCTCTCTCTCTCTCTTTCTCTCTCTCTCTCTCTCTGTATATCGATTTTTACTCCCTATCTCAGACTCAGCCATTTTTTTTTTTTAATTAAAAAAATATATATATAATATGGTCATAAGGAAAAGGAAGAGACAGGATTTCCAACAAATGTGTAGATGTGAATGCTGGGGAAGGGAGGGGGGATTTGTTGAGCTTTGGAATGAAGGGGGGAGGGGATATGCAAGTTAGTATGTGTGTCTGAGTATGTGAGCGTGTGTGGTGTGTCTGTCTGTCTGTGCGTAAGGCTTTGATTTATAATATTCATTCAGTATAATTAATTTGAAAACATTATGTACTGTGTATTAAACTATCTTATGTATTTTTTGAGGGATGTACAATTTTCTTTATATTTTGATATGTTATGTAAATCAATGAAGCTGTATGTTTTTTAAATATATTTTGTACTGAATGAATACAATAAAAAAAATGCTACAAAACAAACAAAAAAAAATCTCTCATTTCAAGTCTCTCTTTCTGCCTTTACCCTATCTCTCCTTTCTCTGTCTTTATAGCGTTCATCAAGATGAGTATTTTTGAAAAAACAAATGCACACACAAATATTTTTGTTTAATGATATGATTTATTTCAATGAAAGCTACAATAAATTACTTTTCCGAAATGTTTTTATATCCAGATTACTTTCGACGTAGATGCAGTTTCTTAGCAACCCATCGCTTGACACGCCTCCATCTACTGGGCCGATGGAGTTTGGTGATTTGACTGTGGATGGTATTGAGGCTAGGGCGATGGTCAGGATTATCAGCCATGCACTGAGCTCCTACATGTAGCTTGGACAGTTCTCGAACTGCGGGAGAACGGTGACCTGCAGAAAGAAAGAAATAGAAAATAGAAAAGAAAAGAGACGTTACAGTATATTTTGCCACTGTTTGTATACTCTATATACTGCTTAATTATTAACATAATTTAGATATGAACATCAAAGCTGGATGTGCTTGCAGCCCCTACGATACAGCGCCATCTTAAAATTTTATAGAAAAAGAACTGTGAGGAAATTTATTCAGACTGAGCAGCTTTCTTACAAAGGATTAGAATAATGCATTATCATGATTTTTTTCGTAAACCTATCTCTTTTTATGAAAAAGATAAGTATAATTACAAACTTACAGTAAGTATGAAAATCGGTTTTACCTCCAAATATCTCTCCCATATCGGAGAGGATACGGCCGACTGAAAACACATCTGCAGCGATGGATGTTGGCTGCTCATCCAAAACAACCTCAGGTGCTATATAGTCTGCCTCTCCTCCATGTACATACGCCATTTTGAGTTCTTTGGAAACTCCGACCATTTTCGCTGGGGCGGTGATCGTACTCGCCATCCCGAAGTCGATGATGACGGCGTTGTATCGCTTGCCGCGTTTTTCCAGGAGCACGTTATCGTTCTTGAGGTCATTATGGAGAAGTCCATGATCATGGAACTCCATCACGCCCTTGACGATGTCCTCTGCAATCTTGACAACGTTGCACATCGACACCGATGGCGGTTCGTGGAGAGGGTAGCCGGTACCCGTCTTCTTACAACCCACGAACTCAACGGCCTGGCAGAGTTCGTTACCGAGATCAAGGGTACCCCAGAACTTGGGAAAGTAAGGGCTGCCTGACATCAACTGTTGGATCATTGCCTCCTTTGTTGCTCTGGTTCTGGTTGCCTTGAGTTCTTCAACCATTTCACCAGGCGAGGCGAAGTCGTCTGACCATGATGGCTCTTTGATGGCAAGAGGAACGCCTGTGGAACGATGACGTGCTATCACAACCCGACCATAACTGCCCCTTCCAATTTCTTTGAGCGCAATGATGCTCTGTGAAGAGAAAAAAAGTATATTGAAATATAAAGCAAGCTTCTTATGATCAAAATTTTATATAAGAGAGTAGTAAATTACATGTGTTTGTCATCAGTTTTCCAATATCGCTGAGAAGGGATGAAAATTAATATTGTTTCCCAAAATCTTTTAGCTTACACTCTATAACTTCTGAAGGATTCTTTTAATGAGGATTTTAAAACTGACTAAATCCATTAATGTTTCAGTGGATATATCGGTTCTTGCTAAGAAATCTCCCCCTCTATCTCTCTCTCTCTATAGGCCATCACGGGTCATGATGCAACTTTTCTATTACAAAAAAAAAGAACTTTGAATTTCATACCTTTACAGTCCATCCCATGTCAAAGGTCACGAGGTCATCGAGTATGAGAGTCTGACATGAGACCTTAGGTTGCAGCATGTGGATGACCTCTTCATCAACACTCTTGTTCTGATGGGCCGATACCTCTGGCTCAAGAGTATAACTGTTTTGAAAAAAGAGACAAGAATTTTAAACTAAAAGGTTATAAATAAATGCCACCGAAATCAAAAGGTTTCTCTTTTAAAATGAATTTAAGTGTGTTAAGGGTGGATATTAGGCACTTGAAGATCCTTAAGTGCATGATCATCGAATTCGTTTCATGTAAAAATGTATTGAGATCTTTTTACTCATCAATAATTATGCATGATGGCTTTCAAATATTGTGGGCATCATTATTCTTAATTACAACACTTCAACTCGACGGTAATTCATTTATGTATCATAAACAAATTGAATTCCAAATTTACATGTTTAGGACGGGGGAATAAGAGAGAAATATTTGCTGCACCTCTGTTTTGGGATGAACGTTGAGATTGCAGTAGAGTCGGTTTGCTGGTCTTTCGACTCCTCGCGGAAATCTCCGCCGGGGTAAGCTTGGGCTTCTTGCTTAGCTTTGACCAGTACGGCTTTGACTATCTCAATGGCTTGAAGGATCTCATCCCCGTGGTCGGACACTGGTCCCAGGGCTAGTCTTTGACGGCGATTTGCCATCCGTTCAGCCCTCCGCTTTCTCTGAACTGACATACCGATGTCTACCATTGTCAGAGACTTTACGATTTATCTACGAACAAATTAATATTCAGTTCTGGAATGAATCTTTATTTTTTTTAAGCAACGGTTCTCAAATATTCGATCACATTCATTTAAATCATATTTCTCTGATTTTTTGTCCGTACATAATTTTTCTTAATTTGACTTAGGCCTACCAGTCATACTGAATTTAAACTTGAATTAGGTATATCATTAAATTCGCGTAACATTGGCCTTTGGATAAAATATATACAACACCTATGATATAAAATTTATGAGAATTGGAATTTTACGGTAACTATTACTATTCAGTTTATTCCAATCCATTAGTGTGTGGAAAAGAAGGAATTTTGACTGAATTACCTGATAACAAAGAAGAAATCTCGTGAGAAATCTCTCTTGAAGAAAGTGATTGAATTCGCTGATTAAATGAAGAAAGTTTCGAAAGCACTTCAGAAGAAGCAACTTGTGCACTCGGAAGCTAGATCAAAACTGAACACAAAGCGCAACGGTTTGTTGTCTAAAGAGACCATTCAACGCGCACCCATACCAACCATTATGTCGTCACCGAGGAAAACTTTAAGCCAATCAGAACGAGGTCACAGTGGTAGCGCGACTTTTACGCATGCGCTTTGCACCTATCAGAGCTCGATTGGCAGATTGAATGGAATTTCGGGTAGGAACACCCAGAGTAATTAATTATTGGAGGGTCGGTAGGGTAATGTGCCCCCCTTGATTTAAAACCAATTTGATCAAGGCAAATATCTCGATTGTCATATACAGTGCTTCTGATTATACATGTCGATAACTATGTGACAAACACATAGGGGTCATGGCCAAGACAAATCTAACATATTTGTTTCTTCTGATTAAATATTATTTTATATGTGCAAATTTCAAAACGAATTCCCCAGTTTTCAAGGTTCTAAAGCTTATAGAGCTAGAACTAAAGATCTTGAATACCGTAAAGCCAAAGAAAAATACTAACTGGTAACTCATTTTTGCTATATATGGAGGTTTGAAATAAAAAAAATTAAAAAAAAACCTTTTGTGACTGCCTGCATTCCTGCTGTATTTATGTTTCATTATCATATTACGATTAACGTTCTGGTATTTATTTGTCTTATTTTATGTATTGTGTCACTCTCGAATTATTTGTAAATATTGTGATTCTGTTTTGACTCAATAAGACATTAAGAATACATCACAAGGAGGTGAAAATCCCTTGGTGGGCAATCCCACATTTGAGAAAATTAGACAAATTTTTATTGATTAAAAAAATTTGTTTCTCACCTCTTTAATAAATAAGTTTTAGAATTTGGAAACAAGCTTGTGTTCTCTCTCTCTCTCTCTCTCTCTCTCTCTCTCTCTCTCTCTTTCTTACTATTGACCATTCTCATGCATTCAGGACAATGCCAATTAAGGCAGTGCTTTCATTTGCTTTCAGAAGTCTTAATTCACAGAGCACCATTTTCTAAAAGTCTTGCCAATGGACACAAGTGCCATGGCTGGGACTATTATTGACCATGAACTCTGTGATTAACTCACGCTCCCATTATGTATCTAATAGTGACTACTCACTCTCTGTCTGTCTTGTCAGTCTCTCTCTCTCTCTCTCCCTCTCTTGATCTCCAATTATCTCTCTTTATCTGTCTATCTATCACTTAGTAAACTCTTGTTCCACCTCTCTACCCCTTCTTCTCTCGTGTCTCTTTTGCAAGTGCATTCAATTTCAAATTTTCTCTCTTTTTGTTCCTTCTTGTAATTATTTATTACTTATCTATTTTTTATATCATCATCTTTTAGGGAGGGTGTTATTGTACAACAAAAAATCATAATAAAGAAGTAATCATGAGTTCACACAGGAAAACAGTCCCATATTTTATTATTGGCAATATCATTTCCAATTTTAGGTCACTTTCAAACTCTGTACATGTGAATTGTCAGGTTGTCTACGATTAGAGAGTCTTAACACAAATTTCTATCTTTATTTCATCACTTTACAAAAATGTCTTCCTATAGAAAAACAAGAATATTCACATTGTCTTACCCATACTACTTGCATACTGGTTATCACATATTTCTGAATATATACATCATCACATTTCAATGAAATGACACTGCAAACATGATGCAAAAACTCATTTCTGGGGGGTGTTTCACAAAGATCCTAAGTCAAACTTAACTCTAAGTTGGACCTAAATATTATGGAGAGCCATTAGTAGCCTTAAAATAAAATGTGTTCAAAGCGAAAATTCCAAGTATTTTAGACTTTTTATAAATTCCACATCAAGAACATGAATTCTCCTTGATAATAGAAAATTATGAATGATTTGAATCAACATTTTATGCCTCTTAAAAAAGCTTTTACAAAATAATTTCAAAGATGCTAACGGCTTTCCATAATTTTTAAGTCCAACTTAGAGATAAGTTCAACTTAGGATCTTTGTGAAACACCCTCCTGGTGTTACATGGGCAAGCTTATATTGAATACTTACAAACTGACAGCAATGGTTAAGGTACCTGGTACATGCATATTGCAAGGAAATTCTGAATAAATAGCAAATGTCCAGTAACCCATGTATACAAACTCACTCAGTGATTATTTCAAGCCAGGCTGAAAATTTAAATTAATTCACAAATTCTACAACTACAATGCAAATGAGAAATAAGGGGTCACCTTAAAATAACCCTGCCTAGAGAAAACATTCACAACATGCAATTTAGTCATTGGATCTACAAGCCGGGAATAATGTTCCAATTTTCATATATCAATACTTCCATCAATTTAGTGTTTCTCAACAAAATTTGATGACAGTCATCATTTTGGGGGATCTTTGAGATACAAATTATTCACTGACATTTCCAATTCACAAAAACAACAGAAAAAGCTATACATCACTCTAAAGAAGAAAAACAAAAGGACCGTACTCAAGAAACTTATGATGATGCAAGTATACAAATAACCAAGATTATAGATGAACCGAGGCATTTACCACACTTTCACATAAACAAGATGTTACTTGTATCACTGAATGTACTATATTACTAGCATCTTTGGATATCACCAATATACTAACTATTACAATCATATTGCAAAGAAAAGCACATATGTAACATAAATGTAATTTTCTACCTGTCTCCCTTCCCGACTTATTTACTGTTTCTGCTGTTGTTGATGAAGGGAAAATCCTCCTGGGAGGAGAACAATTAATTTTGCCAGAATAAATCATGTACAGTGATACATATTCTTGTACAAAAACAGGTGTATAGAATCAGAGAAGTGTATAAGGCACTTTCATTTGGACTGTAGAGGTATTTTCTTTTTTTTTTACGTCTTTGTAATTTAACTTATACCCAACAACTTTCTCAAAAACTTGGTGAAGTAGAAACAGCTGACTAAAATGAACACATGGCCTTTTTACTTATTATTGTGAACTGATGGTGTTGATGATCTAACATTTCACATATCATGAAAGAAATATACAGGTGAAAGAGACATAAGAAAAAACACTGTGTACGAAAATTACCAACCCCAACCTCACACCCAAAGCCTCCCCCCCCCCCCCCCCCCACCCTACAAAAATAGAGGACAGAGAAGCAAAGAAACTTTTCCACATCTTCACATCAACATAAAATTGCATTTACTAGAAACCTGTGTAATAAAGTATTAAACACAAGAAAGGTTTACAAAACTATCCTTCAATATACCTCGTTCAAACAAACAATTTGAAAGAAAATGCATGAATCTAGAAACTCTTGTAATATAAGCTTGGCATTTGAGGTATTGCCATTTTTATCAGCAAATCGAATTCCGTCAATTTGGCATTCGTTTCAGACAACAAAAAAAGACACAGCTCAACTTATGATAGATTGAAATAGGGGTGATAATTGTTGATTGTCAGAGTTCACAACGATTCACAACACAAAAGTTAACAATCTAGAAACGATACCCAACTGACCAAAAAGCAATGACAATAATGAAAATGTGAACGCATGGAATACAACATTAAACAAAGATTTTTTGTTGACATAATATATACCAAATAAAGTAGGGGGTAAAAGGGGCGAAAATTAGATCAGCCACAGGAAAAACTTTAAAGGAGTCACCCAAAGAAAATTCATGACAACTGATAATCATGGACAAATTAAATATGGATGGAAAGATTTTCTCTTGAATAACATTAATAATTTGCTGAAATAATAATATAGATATCATAATCTTGACGCTCTACGGAGGACCGCTGAAGACACAAAATCTGAATCTCAAAATTAACATTTTTGAGAGATGATTACTGCTGACCCCAAACATATTTTGAAGAGGGAAGTTGTTATATTTGATTAGTAAGGTTTCCTTTTTGCAATGATATGAATTTTGCATCAATACAAAACACTTTTGATTCTTCAGGTGACTACTTTAAGGAAATCTTGACTTCTGGTTATTTCCAAAAAATGGGATTTCACAGATTTAAAAAAAGTATACTGTCATTTTATTAACTACAAAGATAAGATATCTGCTGCACTTGTATCATAGGTGAGATAGGAAAATTGAAGTAGTTGTCCTAACGGCATGTTAAACAATACAACAGTCATCAGTTTCATCGACTGTGATTTCCAGCAAATTTTACATAGTTTGTTTACATTTTGATGATCTAAACTACTTATCTGATGCATGGTAAACAATTCAAGGTTATTTTGAGCTTGTTTTTATTCTATACAATTTTATCACCAGAAGGTTCAGGTAAATTTAGCTTTAAGCCAGAAACCTGGGATGTATCTTGGTTTATAACCAACCAATTGAAATACTGTTGGTCATTAAAGATGATGACAGACTTTGCCTTCTTCACTCTTCACCCATCGATAGAGACATAATTTGAGTTCCACAGCAAAACCATACAATTTGAAAGACATTAACCTCACAACTGGTTTCAAGTCTGAGGCAAAAGCTGCCAAAATAATAGCCTTTCTGCCGTATACAGCACTTTTAGATTACATTCTGCCTTGTAAGCAAAAAGAAAGAAAACCAACAAAAAAATGATAATTTTCTTATTCAACCAAATCCATTAGGTAAGTTCATATCACAGACATAATTTTAAAATAGTAGGAACTCACAGAATAGAAGAATTCATCAAACATTAAATTGAAGGATCAAACTATTTCATATCAAGTCTTTCTGTCATGTCTTTCAAACAGCACCAACTGCATAAGGATCCTCCATCCCTGGCTCACTGAAAATCAAGTGATGAGTTCCTTGCATAATCCTTTTACACGATTCCTAAAATGTAGCATGTAGCCACACAAAGAATCCCAAATAAGTGTTGCATTGGGATGTAAGAAAGGCTAAGCTGTGTGATACAAAACTACCCGACACACCTATGCAGTCCATTTGAAAGACTTAAAGATTTAACTAAACATTTCCATCATTCAAAGAAAGAAGGGCCATTCTCTACAGCTCATTCTCATGTTAAGATGATAGATCACTTAAAATCAACATGAGAAATATTAATAAGGTATCAAAGTTCCCTCTTTCCTTCAATTCCCTGACATGATATCTATCATACTTTAACAAAACATTTAAGGGATCCGGTTACTTTGTCGAAGATCCTTAACCAAAATCCTTGATTTAGCTCATGCTGCAATCATAATTATAAACCTTTAGGTCAGTCAGGAATCCCATGACTTATACAAGCTGATCGCCTCTATGATTATCAAGATATTTATGATTGAAAATCGAAATTTCATTTCGCGTTTTCATGACACTACATTCTATTGGGGAAAATGAGTACGGTAAAACCGGTCACTCAAAGATTTTTACTTTTTTGAGGCACTTCATGATCACTTTGAAGCGCAATTTTTTTTGGGCTTCAATATTACACCATACCACAGAAACCGATAACACGTAGGGCCATGCATCTCAGATTTAACATTGTTAAATGATGCTTTTAATCTACATACCGGTATGCCACTTTCATTTCAATATCAAACCATGCACAGAGAGGGGAAAAGATGATAAATGGAATGGAGGACGGCATTTAAACCAAGGGTACTAACAGAGTAAATTGTTTCAGTGATTAGCGAAAGGATGAAATGAATTGGAATTTTCATGGAAGGAACAGAAAAGGACATGGCAAGTTGATTTCTCAGGAACATAACTTGCATCTCTGACCATTCCAGAGGAACTCCTATGCTTCCAAAGATACGGGAGATTCCACCTTACTCTCGCCATCCTTCCCTCCTTCCATTCCTTTATCTTCCTCCTCTCCACCATCGTCTCCTCCTGCCGCTACACTCTGCACAGCTTCCACCGCCTCCTCCTTCCCTTCCTCTGCCTTCTTCTCCTCCTCCCCCTCCTCCCCCTCCTCTCCAACTCCTCCTTCGCCTCTATCTCCTCCTCCAACCTTCTCTCCCTCCGTGCTTACTGCGGTGCTGTCCTCTGATGGGCTACTCTGCGTCGGTTCGCTGACAGGGTTGGCCTCGGGCTGTGGGTTTGAGATGATCTCCCCGTTGCAGGTTGGTTCTTGGGCTGAGTTGAGTTCTAGGACCAGGTCTGATGCCGATGAAGGGGTCTCATCTACATATAATAATAATAATAATGATAGTGGGTTCTTGTATAGCGCTCATGTCTGTCAGACTTGACTCTCCTGGCACTCCCGATTATTACCCTTGCTTTAGCACGGCTGCCATTACGGCGCTCTAGCATTTCAAGGAATTAATTCCTGCCAGGTTACGAGGTACCCATTTACATCACCTGGGTTGAGTGTGGCAAATGTAGATCAATTCATAAGAAGTAGGATATTTCAATCATTTTACCCCCTCTGTGAAACTATATTCACAAACAAATATAAAGCATTCAAGTGTCAATTTCACAATCATTCACAATACAAAAGTTAACAATTTATAAATGATACCAAACTGGGGAACAAGTAATGGCAATATGAATGCATGGTAGTGTAATTTTTTCATTTCATTAATAACTTCGGTATGAGATATTTCTTATGGGAAAACCCTTAAAGGTAAAGACCAGTTATGGTCGTGCGATTGCATTGTGAAAGAAACGTTGTGGAATCGATCAGAAAAGGTTGATCATCTAGCATCTAGCATCTGCAAGGTTCTGGAATCATCAAAATGATAAGAAATTTGGCCCATTCTTCGTAAAGTTACAAGCAATATACACAGAAAGATGTATATGGGACTACCCTATATCTCTCACAGACCATGAGAGAAACAAATTTACCAAATATATGAATTAGTAGGCGGTTTCCCGGCAAATTTTTTATCATCATGTATTAGTCAAAACATATTCTTTCACATGATTGGTAATGAGAACTTCCATTTCATTTTTTGAATTTGGGGCGTTTCCAATACTGGTCTCTACCTTTAACAACTTAAATTACGGTAGACCATGTAATTACTTTGACAGTATTTGCAATCCACAGCAAAGAAGCAAAGTCATTCAAGAATATAACCCTAACTTAATGACATTCAGCAGTCCAGGCTAGATATTAGGGGTGTGTGGTTAGTGTAGAAAATTACTCTAGAGGATTTGTTGCAGGAGCATGTGTCGTACCAACCGTTGGTAAAGACTGCTTACCTGTTCTTGCTTTGCCTATGAGGGCGTTCCTCTCTGCCTGCAGGGCTCGACATAGCTTCTCTAGTCTGTTGATCTTTATCAGCTTGTCGGACATGTCCTTCTCATGCCGTCCTTTCTGTAACGGGATTGAAATCAATCACAAACTCAACATCAAAAATCGTGTTGAGCACTTTAGAGTCAAAACAAAAGCAGAACAATCAAACATAACAAAACTAGTTCAACAAAAATAGCTATGACATAAATATCAAAATCACAATTTCAGAATGACAAATTGGCAACTTGGTCATGACTTTATGTTATTCCCTTACTTTTTGTTCTGCATATTTTGAAACATGTATGTCCCAATTTTGTTACAAGAAATTAATTTCCTTATTACTTCACGAGGGTTGATGGGCCTATCTTCACAAGTACATACATTTATTTAGGAAACAACTTTTTTTTACTTTCAGAATTATGAAAAAGAGGAATTTTTTTATTAAAATGTAAAATAAATAAAGAATATTTATGAACACACAAGATTTATGAAATTAATATTCTTAATCTTATGAAACATTATGACAGAAAATACTCATTGTGGTGGTGCATACATGCAATAGCATTTAAACTGCTTTTAACTTTGACAGAGGCATGAAGTAAACAGTGTCTTGGGGTCCTATATCTCTTCTGGCGATGGAGTTGCAAATATAGGTTAATATTTTGCCAAAGGACGTATGTGCCATCCTGGTGTTGAACCCAGGACCTTTTGCAGCCCCATTGATCAAACCAGTCAACTACAGCAACCCTTTATGAGAATCTTACCTCTTCCACCATAGTCATGAGTGATTTGTTACTGGTCTCCCATCGGCCTCTCCAAAGGTTTGTCTCTTTCTCTAGCTTCTTGATCTTCTTGGTCATCTGTAGAATGAGAGGAGGATAATAATAATAGATGAATTTATATAGCACAGCTACTATAGAATATACTTTATTGAGCTTAAAGCAGGACTGCACTACTTGGAGCTAAGTACTTGCGCCCTCTATATAGCCAACAATGCCCAAGCGATACCTCTTGATCCCTCATGGCCCCCTTTTTCTTATGTTAATTGAGAGCTGATTTGATGAGATAAACACCTGTCAGTGACAACGCATGGAGGTCTAATCCCTCCAGGCAAAACTAGTGCATATAGGCTTTAATACAAAGTATCATATTATTAACCCCGGCTGTAGCTGAGCCGCCATAAAAAAAGAAACTAAAGCATTTGAGGAATTTCTTCCAACCAGGTTCTAATTGCCTTCACCCACGTGGAGAGTGGCAAATGTAGATTAATGTCTGGCCAATGATCATTGGTACAGTGGATCCACGGTCCGGTGATATAAACACTACACCATATAGCCTCTTCAATATAAGGAGTTACGTCTTAATTCTTGAATGACAACAGGCAATATGATACAGCATTGAGACAACAGCAGACAATTTTATTCAGGACCACACCCCCCCCCCCCCCAAAAAAAAAAAAGCGAGAGAAATATCAATTTTTCTGCACATTGCTGGTGAAGCTAAAGGATGGTTTCCATACTTATTTTATTTATTTTTTACAATACTACGCCCCGAATACGACAGTAGAGTTAATCAGTTCCTCACAAAATTTATAATAATGAATTTAGTCACTCTTGAATCTCCTTTTCCCTCTCTACTCCTTTATTTACTCTCCAGTCTCACACATTTCTAACTTAATTTTTTTAAACATTAAATAGACTTTAAGTCATTATCTAACAAATACCTAAAAGATATTCAATTTGTTTTTTTCTTACCTTGTCCATTTCTTGTTTAAATGTCTGGAAGACTTCATTGCTCTTTGTTAAGGTACTCTGGAACTCTTCGAACTTCTCGGTATACACTGCCAACTGTATAATGAACATAATGTACAGATTAAACAACACGCTTGTCACTACCGGTTTTAGCTAATCTAGAGTCCTGGTGCGAATGAATAGTTAATCATACAGTAGAATTTCTCCCTCCCTCCCTTTTAAAACATATATCTGTACAAAGCAACACATGAACTATACATACATTTAAAGATTATGGTAGCAATGATACTAAATAACTTTAGGGGCCTGTCTTAATTCATAAAGAGTTGCGATTGATCCAAATCGATCGCAATTCCTCCAACTATTGCAAGCTTGCAGTCTCCCATCTCTTGTGTACATAGTTGTGATTAATATAAATCTCAATCAAATTTTGATTAATATCAACTGTTTATAGGACTGGGCCCAGATCTAAATTAATAATAGCTTGACTTATAGGAAGTGAATAAAAACTCTCATAGAAAATACAGGGCATATATATATACATGATTTTGGATCTCACCTGAGCTTTCAACTGTGCCTCTTGTTTCGTGAACATTTCCAATCTTCTTTTTGAATCTACCGATTCTGCAATTAACTGGAGGAATGAAATGAACAAACAACATAAGAAATGAACATACACCATGAGGAATGAGCAACACATCATATGGGCAGCCAATCAGTGATCAGTACATGAGTGAGTAGACAATATACCCGGAACTTTAAGTCCGATATTCAGAGTTCTCAAAAGCAGTCAAATGAAATATAAACAATAAGTGACAATCTTAAATGGAGTTAAAACATGATGTACAGCTATGAAAACAAGCTATGAGTGTTAATCAATACATCAATGCTAGTCAATGTTGGTCAAATCACAATCACAAATCACAATGAACAAGACTTGTCAAGCTCATTGAAACTATGTGCATTTCACCGCGTCTTAATTTTGCACGCACCAGATGTATACATACGATCATCTAATACATGTGCATTATCACTTTTATGATGGGAAATTCTTTGCAAAGTAGGTGTAGTAGGAGAGAATAATTCACATTCATGTGCCTACATTTAAGAACTCATTTTATAAATACTGATATATGTATTGCTGCATTTTTAGGACTACAAAATTACAACTAATATACTAATTACTTACCAATTCTTTTTCTCGTTTATTCCGTTCTTTCTCCTCCGCTAACGCTAGATTTGACTGCTGCAGTTTGGCATCATAGAGCTGCGATTCCAAGTCTTTATGCTTGAATAACTTCTCTATGTGCTGAGGAGGAGGGACAAAAGAGGAAAGATAAGTTACGTTTATTGATATTACATCAACTTATGCAGTGGAGTCTGAATATGGATGAACATGAAAAAGAATATACAAATTTAAACCAATAAAATCTATTGTATTTAATAATCAAATAAAAAATTTGTAATTCCTGTACAAGTAAGCTCCCTAATGAGTAGAGGAAAAGAAAATCTCTTTATTGGACATTACGAATTAAAAATTCTTATTGTGAAAATCTTGCTGATGAGAAGCTGATGAGTTCTTGGAATTAATGGCTACCATTATGCTGTAAGGTACACAAGTATACTCATCCTTATTCTAAATGGGTTGTACAGTCAAATCTGCTTTAGTGACCACCTGTCTACAAAGACCGCGTTTTGTGTTGCCCTTGTATGGTTTCTCATTAAAACATGTACTAAAGGAACCTGTCTATAGAGACCACTTTTTGTGTTTCTGTTGGGTGGTCACTATAGACAGGTTCGACTGTATTACATATGCTTCAGCAACAATTGTTCTGCAGTGTATTCCCTTCACTAACTAAATTCCCAACTGTAACCCTGGATCAAATATCATACATTCAAACCCCAAGACAAAATAAACCTGAAGCAAATATCAGGGACGGTATTCTGAGATGCATTTTATCTTTAATCAGCGAGATAAAATACCCCTTAAAACTTTCATAAACCGGTATTCTGAAAATCAATTTAGGAAGGTTTTATCCCACTAAGACATGCCCATTTGTGATGCGATAACCAATAAGAACTATTTCAATGTCGCATTTACTATGCATCCAAAAGATAAAATAGCCCCTACCCTATTTTCAGCTTAACAATAGCATTAAAGTCAAACTTATTATGCAACGTAACTTAGATGGGCATGTGAGAAGTAAGAGATTAAGATAAAATATTAGATAAAGAGTAGTCTCAGAATACCAATTATTCTATGAAGATAAAATGCATATTTTAGGGATAAAATTGGACTCAGAATACCACCAAATGATAGAATGACAAGGAAGATGTTAGTGCACTTACCTCCTCTCTTCTCTCATACTGCTCTACAAGGTTCTTGAGTTTGGACGCTAGCTCAATGTTCTCCTCTTTCAGTTTGATGTTTCTGGTGTGGTTATCCTGCATTTGTGTCGTGATCTCGTTGATCGTTTGCTGCAGAACATAACAGATTAAATGATTCATTCTCATGAGCATTTTTGATTTCATTTTATTTTTCCAAATATAATATATAACTGAGTAACAAAGAACATATAAATGTAAGGTATAATACAACATGTACACACAATAATTTCCTCATTTCAAAATGATTTTTTACATAATATATGTACATATAATAACGAAACTTAATATTTCCATAACATATTATCATAAATTTTGAGTATTATCCGAACTATCTGTTGAAAAAGTGCAGGAGACCGCCATCATAAGTGATGCTTGACTAGGATGGCGGCCTCAAAAACAAAACAAAATCTGAAGGTAAAACTTCAAATGAAAAAGTGTTTAAATGATCTTTGTGTATGATTTGGTTTGGAAACAAGTGAGGAATACTGGAGGGATAAAGGGGCCTGTACACACTTAATGATAATGTCAGGGGTGGATGACTGCGGTCAAAGTGGTGGGATGTTAATAATAATTCATGCATGTTCACATTTCAACATGAACTTAAAAGTTATTCTGAAACATACAATACAATATCTTTTTAATGTTGTGATGGTGCATATTCAAAATCACTCACTTCACACACGTGTGTAATTGTAGATTGACTACAAAAGAGATTTTGCCATATCAATTGGACTTAATGTGTGATTGTATACAATGCATACGAAAAGGGACTTTATCTTGTTGGTGGTACTCAAGCACACTTCTTGTTTGGATATAACATCTTGCCAATGTAAGTTCATATGACTACCAGCATACCAAGTTTACCATCAATCCTGCAATCCAGACACTTACCTGGAACTTATTGGAAACCTCCTTTCTTTTCTCATCTTCCTCCCTGGCTCTCTGAAGACTCTCCTCCTATAAAAGAATTGAAAATTGAGAGATCAAGAGATGAAATTTGGAGAATAATAAATTATTTGTTTGGGGAAAAATTAAATTGGCATAAATAAATGATATGATGAATGATACGCACCATTAAAACAACAACAACAAAACCACAACAACATTGAGAATATATTCAAAGCAGGAAAAGTTTATCGTGGACAATAGCATATAGTTTTCTTTAGGCATGTATAGGACATTGTTATTCATTCTGGATGTTGTTGGTGATGAATCCTGTTATGTACTTTATCTATGCAAGAAACCAGGTTAAACCAGATACAACTAGATGGAACCAAATACCTTGATAGTCTTACTGTGCCTCTGTAGCTCCCTACACAAGCTGTATGGAACAGCTTCTCTACAAACAAGTGGAAATCTAGTGAAAACTATATACCTTGAAGATATACAAGCTGCATGGAACATTTTTTTTAGAAAAACCAGTTGAGCCAGTTATAGCCAGTTAAAACTATATGAAATCACTTCATAGTCTTGTTATGCCCCGAAGCTCCATACACAAGCTGTAGGGAAGTGGAAACCTGATGAAATCCATGAAGGTACACAAGCTGCATGTAATAGTTAGAGAAGAAACGAGTTGAAACCGGTTGAAACCAATTGCAACCAGTTGAAACTGCTAACCTTGATAGTCTTATTCTGCCTCTGAAGCTCAGTTAAAACAAGTTGAAACCAATTGTACCCAGTTGAAACTTCTTACCCTGATAGTCTTATTGTGCCTCTGAAGTTTGTTAAACTGGTTGAAACCAATTGTAACCAGTTGAAACTGCTAACCTTGATAGTCTTGTTGTGCCTCTGAAGCTCCCTGCACAGGCTCTCCAGCTTGCTCTTCGCCAGGAGTGCTCTCCCATGCTCACTCTGGAGGTGATCTCGTTCACGCTGGATCTGAGAAAGCTGCTTGGTCTGCGTCTTGCTATCTCGCTGAAGAGACTTGTGCTCACCAAGCTGAACGAAACAAGAAATTTCATAAAATCTGATATGCCGTCCATTTACACATCCTAAACACCATTTAGAAAATTCATTGATTTTTAAGACTGCCTTTTACACTTACATTGACACGTATATCACAGTTTTACGAGTATATAAGGTAAACAGAGAGAATATTTTATAGTGATCTTCTTGACGACAGGCTTTTGGACATTGAACATTTTCTATTTTCTAGAATAATCCATTGAAGGCTGGCAAGTTAAAAAATATCCTCTCTCTCTCTCTCTCTCTACAGCCCATAAACATGATGACGTGCCACCTCTATGCACTTCTACAGTGCTTTGGAATTTATCAATCTGTGTTTAAACTCGTAAACTTACCAGCTCTGCATATTTTTTACATAAGGCAGCTATCTTATCCTCTGGCGTTTCTAATCCATTCAAGGCTTGCATGATGGCGCGACTCATGTGTTCGGCATCTTTGCCTGAGAAACAAAGGAAAGGTTGTACAAACAATATCAAATATAGCACATCAACTCTTTACACTGTCTAATATAAGAACTTGGAATCAATTTATATTGCACAGGAAAGATTGGAGGACAAAAGATGATCAGAGAGAAAGATAAATAATGTTGTCTGATTTTAAAAATATCCATAAATACAGAGAGAAAAGGTGATGCTTTAATTAATAGAACTTGAAAATACACTGAACACCTAATTGTAGTTCTTATCTTAACATTCACTCATTTGGCAAGACTAGAAATCATTGTTCGCATCTAAATAAATTCACCTTTACAGGAAAGAAGTTATATTACATTTGTAATTTACATTCAAGCTGGCACAACACAATTTATAGAACCAAAACTATAGATAAGGGTTGTGTAAGCACCCTAATTCGGCCTTACCTTTCTTGCTTTTCTTCCCTTCTTTCTTTGTTTCCTTGGACGTCTTTTCTACGGCTAGGACCGGGGTGGCCGTCTCCGCTCCTTCGGAAAGCACCTCTTCTGTACTGGTTTGCACATCCTCCTTGGTCTGGAGATCACCGTTCACTTGCTTGCTGGACTGTTCCGGCTCAGACTGCACCACGATGGATTCAACAGCCGGACTCTCCTTGCTGAGAATGACCTCATTTACTGGCTCTGTCAGGACAAGGGGTTAAAGGTTAAATAGTCATGCTTCTGTAAGAACTTGAAAGGGCTTGCCTAGAAAAAATTGTTTGTGCATTGAAAGTCTTTAACCACTAAGTGGCTTTAACAGAAATTTTAATTGTTTTTGAAGTATATTTGCATGTAAGTGGGGATACAATTTGAAAAGGAAATCATGAAGACTACAATTCTTTATTTTCCATCCAAGCACCCATATTCATCCATCCCCCCCCCCTCCTCCTTCTCTCTCTCTCTCCTCCTTCTTTTCATTTTCTTTCTCTCTTTCCAACATTAATCTCTGTCTTTAATATCGTCCTTCCCTTTCTCTCAATGATCTCTTTTCCATAACCTTTTTATTGATCATAAACAAAATATAAACAATAAAAAAAAAATCACCATCCTGAGTGGTTAAGGCATCTGCAAAGTTTTCTGAGAGGTTGTCCGCACTTTCTTCCCTGGGGAGCTCTGGGACATCCTTCTCACTTGATGGATCTTCACTGGTCAACAGCTCAACAGAGCTAGACTCCAACGATGCTTCTCCGGTCTCCTCCATTTCTAATGATTCGCTCGTTTGTTGGTTGTTGCTCTGTGAAAACTGCACATTGAAGAGAATATAGTTCCAGTAAAGGCGAAATATGTATTTGTGAGCTACCCATTTCTTTTTTAATTAAATCCTCATGGAACAATATCAATGTAACAATTTTATATGGAAAGAAGTACTCTTGAAATGGCAATATATTTCAAATATAACCAAAAATAGAATGAACTTCTTCTTCTCCTTTAAATATTCATTCTTCTTCTCCTCCGCTTCCTCACATAAGATTTTAATTGTATACTTAATTAGAACTACAGCCTACAGGGCTGCATCTCACGAAACCCGTCATTAGTACAGAAAAAATGTGTGTATTTAGTTTAACACGCGTTTCGAAGGGATGTCGCTCAACTTGTACTTATGACGGTTTTTTGAGACGCAGCCGGCAGCCGAGGTATTGATCACATTGCTGCTGTACAAATTGTTTCAGAAATTTACCTTGTATTGCTTGTTGCAAAATCAATTGTTTCATAGACTATATATTCATTTTCACTTTGTTCTTTTTTCATGTTTTTCATTTAATCCTTATTGGAGTCATAGGCTCATGGCTTCATGCTACTTTTCTTTTGTTCAAGTTCAAGCATGACATCTCACTAAACTAGTTATGTCTAGATTCAAGATTGCTGAACATTAAAATTGGTTTAGATTAGGCCCATAGCCACTAGGGTCTATGGACTCAAGATTTATTCTATTTTCTTTTCTTTTTAACATTTTAAAAAAAAGTTGCACACCTCTTTTCTGCAAAAAAAAAATGAAAAAAATATTATGATGTTGACCTTGCTTGCTCCGTAACTAATCTCTTTCTTATTTCTCAGTCTGTATAAAGTGTAAACCAAAAAATAAGAATGTTCAAGCCGATGCAGTCTAGAGGTCTAGGCCTAGACCGTCCTAGTCTACTTTTTCACTGTAAATTTCACACAAAGACAAAGTTTCAAAGTGGTCAACCCTGGTCAATCGTCGCCTTCAGTTTCAAATTAGAAGCCCCATAATCCTCACCCCCAAAATATTAAATGACCACTCGCAAGAGTCACATTACCTAGCCAAATATTTGGAAGGACAACCCAAGATCAAACTCAATGATCCTTGAAAAGCCATCCACTAAGTATTGGCCGTGGCCGTGCATATTCATGGCACCATGGTCACGGCGCAGCTAGCTCCAGGAGCGGAGAGGACGGCGAAATCTCGCCATAACGACCCGGCTATATTTGGCCATGTTATGCTCCAATACTCGATGCGCAGCGGAACACAAGAAAGTGAACTACGACTTCATGTCGAGCAATCAAAGTCATTCAATATTGAAATAGGCACGCACAAAATCACATTATAACCTGCTAAATATTGTCGTTTCTTTATTATGCATCGTTAAAATATCATATTCTCTTGAGCACATGCACAGAATGAATTCAACCACAGAAAATTTAAAATAAACTTACGTGTGAAAGGATACTTCCCATGCTCTCCGCCATAGCAATTTTCATCATGTTATTTGCTGCCCTCTGCGCTAACTTTGTGACAACAGACATAAATAAAGTTGAATTTGAGTGGTCGAGCTAGCGAAATGTGATTAATTTGTGGGGTTTATTGGATATGTTTAAATAAATTTGACTTCTTAACGTTCACATCATAAGGGGAATTGCGTGATATCTTCGATTGTACTACATCATTGACTCAATCTCGATTTTAAGTGTGTTACAACTTACAAGAGGTGCCCCTTTCTCTTTCATCGAATTGAATACGTGGGCACATCAGATCAGAAGCAAAATCCAAATAAAGGCAAAGAACACGTGCTTCTGCGAATATGGGAGAAGACAAGTCGGACAAAAGTGACAGTTCTGTCGGTTCAAACAGCATTGGAGAACCAGAATATGGCTGCCAACTCAAAATTCTGAAGTTAGACAACCAGATACGAGAGCTTCAGACCCTCATTAGAGATAAGTAAGTAAATTTCCAGGACATGAAATTCTTGAAAATTGAGGAATAGATCTATCTAGATCTATGGATTATGGTGATTTCCCTCTCTTGATTCAAACCAAGTTGTTAAATCAAAAATCCAATTAAAATAATCTGAGCTTCAGTTAAGACTTAAATTTGACCTTTTTTACAAGACTATGTGTTGTTCTTTACTTCAGCAGTGTTCAAATTGCTCATTTGTTAATCATAATGTAATAAAATACTCTGAGTCTGAGTCTGATTTTGATGCTTGATGGGAGTTTAACATTGTGATTGTTGCAGTTTCAGTTTCATAGTTACTGGTCACAGGACTCGCAGTTTGCAATCACTGCACAGCAGAGTGATACTAGTTTATTGAGTATTGACAATATATTTCTGTATTTTTTGTCTTACTTTTTTGCTTTTCAGAAGCTTTATTCAGAAATGATTGATTTGTACTTAGTTTTTACTATATTTGTTCTTGTTTTGTTGCAGGACAACTTCGAGAGGTGACTTTGTATTTTATGCAAACAGACTGGTGAGATATCTATAGTTATTTTGACTTCCACACTTTATGATATGTGATTTTGTGGTTGTTGTTATTGTTATTGTTATATTTGTTAAATTAGTTAAGAGTTTATTAATTTGATAACTTTGTGGCCCAAATTCACAAAGGAGGTTTGTCAACATTTATGTACGTCATATGACACGTTTTTGACTCGTCTTTTACAAACCTGGTTTGTAAAAACGCGTCGAAAACAAAGGTTTGTCAACAAACCTCCTTTGTGAATTCGGGCCTGTGAGTTTGTGTACACTCTGCGCATTTTGCAATTGTCGGGTCAGATTATACACTTTCAAAGAAAGCTGCATATGTTTCCCAAATAACCAGCCCCACCCAAAATGCCCTGTACTTCTTCCCTAATTTTCTTGCCTCAAGACATGTTTTTATGATAGCTTTCTCCACAAAACAGACAATATAATGCAACGATTCATTCCCTAGAAATTGAGAAAAGCCAGTTAATACATTTTCTCTTGCTTCTTGTATTCAATTGTTATTATTATGTTATTATTATTATTATTTCTTTATTGCAACTAAAACTGGAGGTTGGATTTCAAATACAAATAAAAATACTATCATACACATAACAAAGGTAGAAATAATTTAAATGTTTTTCAACATCCAGTGAGGAGAAGAGTATAGAATTTGAATTCCACTTTATGATTGCCCTGTATTGAAGCATGATAAGTGAAAGATTGATGAAATATAAATCTTGTAAGACAATTTGTTTTAAATATACATTGTGCAATTTGAATCATATCATTTTCCATACTTCCTTTGCTCCCATGTTCTCAGATCCGATTGGTTGTTGAGGAGGGTTTGAACCAGCTACCTTACAAGACATGTGAAGTGACTACACCAACAGGGGAACCCTTTGAAGGGGTAGAGTTCCTGCATGGAAACTGTGGCGTCAGCATCATGCGAAGTGGTGAGTTATTTAATTTATTTCCTCATTCTCTCCCCCCCCCCCCATTTTCTCTCTCCCTCGCTCTGTTGCTCTCACTACCCCTCCCTATCTCTCGCTCTATTTCTGTTTTTCTCTCTCTCCCTTGCTTTGTTGCTCTCACTACCCCTCCCTATCTCTCGCTCTATTTCTGTTTCTCTCTCTCTCTCCCTTGCTCTGTTGCTCTCACTAACCCTCCCTATCTCTCTCTCTATTTCTCTTTGTTTCTCTCTCTCTCTTTCTCTCTGTTGCTCTCACTACCCCTCCCTATCTCTCTCTCTCTTCCCCATTTAAAGTGGTGGAGTTCCTGCATGGAAACTGTGGCGTCAGCATCATGAGAAGTGGTGAGCTATTTCATTCTTTCTTCATTCTTTCTTTCTCTCCCTCGCTCTCTCTTTCTATGTTTATTTATATTTGGCAAGGATTCATATTTATACTCACAGAGCTTTTTTTTCCTTCATTGTCTTGCATATATATTTTTTTTCCCAATTATTTATACAATTTGAAATTATATGGATATTATATTACCCATGTAGTGAACTTATTTGGACGCAAACACATGTACTAGAAACGTACCTACTTTTAACCCTTGTATACATTGGAGATTAATCTTGCACAGTTGCACAAGCCAATATTTGAGCTCATATGTTCCATACCGTACTCGTTCGTTTGTACAACCAAATGGAGTGAGAAGCATGTGGGCCCAAGTATCGGCTTGGCATGGTTTTCCTTCCTTCCTTCACACTGATCTTCTATTCTTTTTCATCATTTTCAATGTGTAATGTATGAGAATATTTCTGTTTTGTCTACCTTTTATTTTGATGGTTCTTCTATGATTATAAACACAATGATATAGTTTCTCATATATATATTACCGTAATTAACGGTGTATAAACCGCACTCTTTTGCCGCCGAAAAAAATTCAAAGTCTGGGGTGCGGCTTATACGCGGTACACCAAAAAAAAAAAAAAAAAGTTTTTAAGTTTTGATTTTTGACCCTCCACCTGGCGCTATGCCTGGCAATGTCTCCCAGCTCAGTAATCGGTGTGTTGACTTACCACTCGAAATTAGAACAACACTCAAAGTTGTCTGTCATCTTGGTTTGAAAGTAATCTTTCTGATAGATCTCAATAGTTTATAATAATAATTCCTCCAATTTTTCTTCTATTACATGGCGTATCACAAGGTTCTATCCTACAGTAGGTCCTCTACTGTTTTTTAATTTACAACAATGATCTTACACATTCAGCAGCAAATTTTTTTTTTTTTTAAGGGCGAAAAAGAGAGGTGCTGTTAATACACGAGGGCAGTTTATACACAGTTATTTACGGCATATTTTAACAATGTGTGACCAAAACAAATTTCCATTTATTCTTGTGATATTGGATGAATAAAAAAAAATTGAATTGAATTGACACAGTTTTGAAGCCTTTGGTATATATCTATCCCATGATGAATACAATGTGTCACAGGGAGATTATTTGTGTAGCATTTAAAGATTTTTTTTTTCATGTTTCAAAGATTCGCAAGTTACAATGTTTATCTTAAAATGATAGGATAGAAAGTTAATTTTTTTTTTTTTTTTGTGCTCTATCTAAAGGTGAGGCCATGGAACATGGTCTTAGAGACTGCTGCAGATCGATACGTATTGGTAAGATTCTGATCAAAACGAATGAAGAGACGGATGAAGCCAAGGTGTACTATGCCAAGTTTCCTCCCGACATCAGTAAAAGGAGAGTGCTTCTCATGTACCCAATACTCAGTAAGTCTCTACTTAAAGATATAGATCGGTAGTGGTAAAATTGCAGTTCAAGGGTTTCAAGGGTGCAAAATATTCATTCAATATTGTTTAAATATTGCCTTCAGAGGTTTAGATAGCGATACTGCAACCTAAATTCGCAAAAAAAGCAGAAATATAAGCCCAAATTTTCAATGTTGAAATGCATTCTCGATATCTATCCAGGCCGGATCGATATGATAATTTTCCAAATATATCAATTAGTAGGTGGTTTCCCGGCAAAATTTGTATTATATATTAGTCAAAACATATCCTTTCACACGATTGGTAATAAGAGCTTCCATTTCATTTTTTGAGAGAGGGGCATTTCCAAAACTGGTCTATACCTTTAAAGTGTTTTGTAATTGAAAAGCAGGAGGTTAGTAGGTATTTTCAAGATTCTGATCAAAATAAATATAGAAACAATACAATAAGTTTCTGACCATTTGAGCTGTACCCCAAAATATGTTACATTGTAATTTCCATTAGAATTATTTCCGTCCAGATTTACCCATAAATCATTTGCCATAATTAATGCAATGCTCGTGTGAAGCAGTGAAAAAAATACACGGGGGCTCAGGGCGAAATAGCCCCCGAAATGCCTAAAAGAGCCCCCGAAAATAAGAAAAGAGCCCTGTAAATTTGCATAGAGTTCAATGCAAAACAAATTTTAGAATGTTATTTTCATGCAGGCAAGCTTGAAAAGTAGCCCCCGAAAAAGAAATATTAATTTTTTCCCTGGTGTGAAGGATGCTGAATTCATCTTCTTTCATTTCTCTTGAAACCAGATTCAGGGAACACAGTGATACAGGCAGTAAGGGTTCTACAGGAACATGGAGTCAAGGACAAGAACATTCTTCTTCTCACTTTGTTCTGTACTCCACATGGTAAGAATGGTCTGCTACCGCATTTCCTGTTTCTCTTCTTTCATCACAGTGACACTTCCATTGCGGGCACGATTTTCCCCTAATATCAGGGGGGGGGGTGTTTCACAAAGATCCTAAGTTAACAATTATGGAAAGCCATTAGCATCCTCGAAAACATTTTGTAAAAGTTATTTTAAAAGGCATAAAACGTTTATTCAAATCACTCATATTTTGTTTTTGAATATATTTCATTTTAAGGCTACAAATGGCTTTCCATAATTTTTAAGTCCAAATCAGAGTTAAGTTTGACTTAAAATCTTTGTGAAACACCCCCCCCCCCCCCCCCCGATTTTTTCTATGATTTTTCTGCTTCAGGGAAGCTTTGCATCAATAATACAATTCAAAGATTTCATCTTTATATTGTAATACTTCATGTCTGCTGACGGCATCCAAAAAGAAATGACGCACAACTGTTCAATTTGAGGGCATCATTTTTCTAACTTTTATTTTGGTTTTAAAATTTTTCCAATAATAGAAGATCCTTCAAACGACATGTATTTTGATATAGATTCTAGCATCATCATTCAATCTTAGGGCCATCAAAATAAAAATCATCATCAACATGCTCTTTATTTAAATATATTTGCTATATCTCAAACACACTCAGAGCAGTTAAGCATGTACATGTATTCATTTATAAATTCCAATACCATCAATGATCATTCAATATTACTTTGACCCGTTCCTCACTTTATACAGGTGTACAGACTGTGATCAAGGAATTTCCAAACATCACCGTGCTGTCGTCAGAGAAGGACCCAGTTCCTCCCATCCACTTTGGACAGAAATATTTTGGGACGGATTGACACGGTATTCATAAATGAATGATGGACATTTAATGCAATATTATAAGCTCCAGGATGCCAGTCTTTTAGGCTGTCACCTCTCCGCGTTCAGGGCATTTCAGGCTTCATGTTGTACAGAACATGTAGGGATCTGACGTTCAAAGGTCCCTTTTCGGACAGGGTCAAACCTAGTGGTACCTCCGAAAAGCCCAACACAGCAGAGAGAGGCACTCCAAAACATTTTGTTGTACAGACTGACTGTACTGTTGGCATATAATAGCTTACGTGGTTGTCTTTTGTTTCTTTTCTTTTTTTCTTTTTTTTTTCTTCTTTTTTTTTTTTTCTTTTTTCCCCCAGGCATTATTCCTAGGCTGAAATATTTATTTCATTTTTTGGTAGTTTTGTCTTGTTTTATTTTAAAGAGTATTGTGTAGTATCTGAATTTTGTAAATTCTATATAAAATAAATGAATACAGTCATCCGTATACATGTTTCTCTTTTAGTTTTGTAAACGTCTGGTTTCCAAAACTGTTGTTTTGCTCCCTTTTCAATGCAAAGTCAGGCCTTAAATTTCAATATTTTTAGGGCAAGGCCATTTTTCTGTAGGGCACATTCCTATATTACAGCACAAATAGGAAGAATTGGAAAGGGCACAAAAAATCTCCAAGGCCAATGAGAGGGGCATTGAGGCCAATCAAAGGGGCATCCACGGCCATGGCCTTGGTGGCCTTGGATTAATTTAAGCCCTACAAAGAAGTGTATTTTGGTGAATTTCAGTCAATCAGATAATGTAGATTTTCTCTAACTTTTTTCATCTCACTTTACATGGCTGATTTATGGTATCCATTGGAAAGTTAAAAGAAAAAAATGTCTTTATGAATACTTGTGGCCTCCATCATACCCTCCCCCCCCCCCCCCCCCTCCATACACACACACTCACGACTGCTGCAAAATGTGCCTTTACGCAACTTTTTGTAAAATACCACGACAATCAGTGAGATCAAGCAACACTTATTAGTCAGTTTCAGGCCATAAATGAAACATAAATGAACTTTTTGCACGTTTCTGTACAAACCAAAATGCACATTAATTTCTCTTTTAAGTGGTCTGTGTTCTTAATTCAGAAAAGGGCAGTTTTCTTTTCACAATGCAGTGTTCTGTTTAATAATTTCAAATACGAACAGTTGTCCCAAACCGCTCCCTTTCCAACATGGCAATACTGATTGAAAATAGAAAAGATATTTATATCCATTTGTGTGTGTACCGTATGTGTTTCCATGCGGACAAATTATTGCCCTTCATTTTCAATAATAATGCCAGTATTGTGCTCTTCTACAAAAAATTATGGCATTCCAAATTTTAGGTGTATCAGAGAATTTCAACAATGGAAGGATTTCTCAAAGGTCATCCTAATGCACAAGTGTACATGTTTGTAAAGATTTTGGGTAAATTAATTTGGGACAGTGAAAAACAACTTTGTTTGAAAAGCATTTGGAAGATGTTTGTGCTGGAAGAGACATGGCAGTATGTATGAAAATTTTTGGAATATGTTTTACAGTTATACTTTTATTTATTACTTAGAAGTAGTGGAAACTTGTTATAACGAAGTCCTGGGGACCAAGGAAATTTCCCTTGTTTTATCAGGAATCTTTTTATTTCAGGGTTAAAAAACATAAATGAATAAAGAGCCGATGCCATCAAAATCACCTTGTTATATCGGAGCTCTATGTACTGAATTTCCACTGTATAACAATTCTTGTACTTAGGATTGCAGAACATCTATTAATCATCGAGATTGAAATTTGTGCTATAAATTAATATCCTGTAAAATGTATTTGTAGTGATGTGTAGTTATGTACAGGAAAGAGATAAAGTTAGTAAGAAGTGCATGTGTGTGTACAAGTGTCTTGATAATGTACATGCATTTTGTTTACTCCAGATTTTTTTATGAAAATAAATTTATTCAGCATATGAATAAATGAATGAACTACATGTTCTAGCAGTCTGAATGTTTCTTTTTACATGTGTATTGTTGTGAGCATGCTTTTTTCCCCTCTTCATTTATATATCTCCTATAAAACCAGAAGTTTTAGGGACATTAAAGGGACTTGGTAACATTGTTCAGATGAGAGAAAATGGTGCTAAGGTGGTGACCTTAATGCTAGATGTACAATTCAAAATAATCTGAAAGTTTGAGTGAAAATAGACCATTATTAATGATAACTAGATGGAATTTTGACTGCGCGCAGTCGAAAATGATGCCTCCGCCATAGAGCAATTTAAACAAGTTTGGAGTTTAAATCTCCAGTGGTTCTTGAGATATCATGATAACAATCTCAATGTATGGAATTTCATAAGTTGACCTCTGTGACCCTTGACCTTTGACCTACGTGCTCCAAAATCTAATCAGATTGTCTTCCTATGGTGATACACACTATCATTAAGTTTGAAGTTTAAATCTCCAGTGGTTCTTGAGATATTATGATATGGTGATACATACTATCATTAAGTTTGAAGTGAAAATTCTCCAGTGGTTCTTGAGATATCGCGATAACGATCTCAATGTATGGAATTTCATAAGTTGACCTCTGTGACCCTTGACCTTTGACCTACGTGCTCCAAAATCTAATCAGATTGTCTTCCTATGGTGATACACACTATCATTAAGTTTGAAGTTTAAATCTCCAGTGGTTCTTGACATATCGCGATAACGATCTCAATGTATGGAATTTCATAAGTTGACCTCTGTGACCCTTGACCTTTGACCTACGTGCTCCAAAATCTACTCAGATTGTCTTCCTATGGTGATACACACTATCATTAAGTTTGAAGTTTAAATCTCCAGTGGTTCTTGAGATATTATGATAACAATCTCAATGTATGGAATTTCATAAGTTGACCTCTGTGACCCTTGACCTTTGACCTACGTGCTCCAAAATCTAATCAGACCGTCTTCCTATGGTGATACATACTATCCTTAAGTTTGAAGTTTTTACATCTCCAGTGGTTCTTGAGATATCATAACAATCTCAATGTATGGAATTTCATAAGTTGACCTTATGACCCTTGACCTACGTGCTCCAAAATGTAATCAGATTGTTTTCCTATAGTGATACACACTATCACTAAGTTTGAAGTTTAAATCTCCAGTGGTTCTTGAGATATCATAACAATCTCAATGTATGGAATTTCATAAGTTGACCTCTGTGACCCTTGACCTTTGACCTACGTGCTCCAAAATCTAATCAGATCGTCTTCCTATGGTGATACATACTATCCTTAAGTTTGAAGTTTAAATCTCAAATGGTTCTTGAGATATCGCGCTAACAAACTCAATACAAGGAATTTCATAAGTTGACCTCTGTGACCTGTGACCTTTGACCTACGTACTCCAAAATCTATTCAGATCGTCTTCCTATGGTGATAAATACTATTCCCGAGTCTTAAGTTTAAATCTTAAATGGTTCTTGAGATATTGTGATAATGGTCAAACGGGACGGACGTACGGACGGACAACCCGAAAACATGATGCCTCCGGCACCACCTTCGGTGGCGGAGGCATAAAAATTGGGGATAACTGATCTGATCAATTCCTTAATTCTCCCAACTGTATTATTACAATTTACGGTAAATACATTTTAGGCAAATTTATGTAAATTGTCAAAAAGCAATGTATTTGCTCTATATACTATTCCAGACGTGTAAGTGTTGAAAGATTTTTTAAATCCCATCTTACGTCCTATTTTCATGGGAAAACAGTTGCGAAAATTAAAAAATGGTTGGAAGAATGTACCGTTAGAGGGCGTCGCACAGCGACACCTTCAAATAAAACCATGCATATCTTTGTGGTTTTCATCAACCTTCAACAATGTTACTGAGTCACTTCAAGATTTTACCAATTTTTCATGACGGCTATTTTCACAAAAAGAAGCTTTCCCACAAATTTCTGGTTTGTGCATTATCGTGTTCATAGCACTCAAAGACAATGGGACAGACATTTTGCTCTCATTCAGTAGCACCTCTGTCACTTCACTGATGAAGCATGTAAATGCATCATCTTTTTCTGTCCGATTATCTACAATTTTCACAAAGTCTGTTTCTCTAATATTCTACATTTACAGGGATGAATTTGAATGCTTCATTCCCCTATAAACCAGACACATTACACAACGTATCACACTCGAGTCGCACTGCCAAACCATCGATTCCCCTATAACATATAAACCAGGAACACCACACACCCATATCATTGATACTACTCGAGTCACACTCCAAACCGACTCCAAACCAACAGATTCTTTGCCATCTGTCATGAGCCTTGTTATGTGTGCTGTCGGTTTTATTGCTGTGACTCAAGGTATCAGCATCCATATTCACATCAGGCAACATTCACAACGTCTAACAGAGCTGCCAACCAAACCGTTTTTGCCGGAATTACTGTTTTTTCCTCCATAATTTTTTTTCCCCCTTTTTTTTCACATACCGCACGTCAAACAACTGCCCTAAAATGTTGATTTGATCACAAATTCAATAGAAGACCAAGTTTAAAACATACTTGAAAGAGAAAAGTATTCTCAAAAAGAATGAAATGCCGATAATACCAAAATAACCACACACACAAAATACCTGCTTGAAAGGAAAAAACAGCATGAGGAATGGACATTTCTGCATTGGAAGTGTGTCATGCGTGGTTTTAAGTTTTGTTTTAATGAATTCCTTTTTTTGCTTGAAATTCCTTTTTTTGCCATCATGGTTCCTTTTTTTGGTCGCAAAAGGTTGGCAGCTCTGGTCTAATAATTCAGCAGGCAATGGACATGAAGCTTTCTTTAAGTCAACCAACTCACAACATCAACAGTCTTGCTAAAAGAATTAAAAGACGGACACATTGGCATACTGTAGTATCAACATAATCTTTATTTGTGACTTGGAATTGTCCTTGTTGTTTTACGCCTCTAGCCATGTTGCAATTCATATGACAGTGGGTTGAAGACTTAACAGTTCTATGAATGGTTTGGGTTCATGATGTTGTTGGAGTTCATGATGATCAGATGGTGTCCTGGTAGGAGTGGCGGCTTACACTCTCTGGGCGATCCTCTTCTCGCGCTCCTCTGCGATGGTGAGACGGATTCCCTTGCCCTTGGGGAGGGAGACATAGGCCTTGTTGGCCTTGCCGATGACAAACACGTTGCCCAGACGGGTGGCATAGGTGTGATCTGAAAGCCAAAGCAAGAATGGAAGTTTGTGGTAGGATCAAGATGACACGGGCAACAAATTTCACTCCCAAACCTCAACATTTCTGAATAGTAATTCAGAGATTTACTGCCCCCACCCCTCTTCAAAGCTATTGCTATGCACAAGTTGGCTTGTAGCATTTAACAGGATACTGTAGACTGCTGTAAAACCCGAAACTCTGTGAACTGAAAATTTCAAGCGTTTTTAATCTATTTCCTAGTTTGAATCCCTACTGACATTACTGAAGTTCATTTATGCAAAAGTTGTTTGTTTTACAGAATGTTCACAGTTGCACACTATAAAAATTTGTTTCTTGTCCCCCCCCCCCCCCATTTTGCATCACCCTTTTCTTGTTTCACTCTTTTTCTCTCCCCCCCCCCCCTAACCCCTGCCCCATTTTCTTTTCTTTTCTTTTTTTTTTTTTTGGGGGGGGGGGGGGGGAGGGGGATATGAGCCCCCATCTACGGCTACACCATTGTATATACCGCTGAGTACTTGGGTTGTTTCTTGACTTACCTGAGGCATCCTTGATGTGGACGATCTCGAAAGATCCAGGGTGCTTCTCCCTGTGGGTGATGGTACCTACACGTCCCAAGTTACGACCTCCGGTGATCATGCACAAGTGACCTGAGAAATAAGAAATAATGAAATCAGCAGTGTTCTCAATAGTGCATTAGTGCGCACCCTTAGATAAAATGGGTCAAATTCATGTAAGAGTTTAAACATTCTAAACCATGGTTAAACCCTCCCCTGAACTAAATTAAAGTGTAAAATAGCGTCCAGAAATATACATGTATACATCGGCGGTTCCGGAGGACACTTACGTACAATGCTAATAGAGGTTTAAACCTATGGGTTAAAGCTTATCTGCACTAGTTTGGCCAGGAGGGATTAGACCACACAACATAGCACAGAATAGACCTGTCAATGATATTAGTCTACTGATCAACAAACAAACTCATGTGCTTTCCCTGGGTGATGCCAAAATGGTACCATATTACAACCAAGCTGACGACCTTATGGGAAAGCAATTTGATTTAGGCCTTGATTATGAACAATGCAACCAGTGGTAAAATCAGTTACACTGCCTTCGATGAGGCCACACCAAACTTAATTTTTTTGACGTTTGTACTTTTAATTAATAGTTAAATGGTTTTTAATTAGAGCACATGGGTCAAATTCACATTAGAGTCTAAGTTTAACCAACGGTCTTAACCATGGTTAAACCCTTCCCTGAACTAAATTCAACTAAATATTATTTGGCAGTGAAGACGCAATTGTTGAAACAAATTTATATTATTTGAAGGTGCTGACAGGTGTCCAGGGACACCAACAAAAAAATACAAGTTACACTAATAGGGTCCCAACAAAGGCTATAAACTGCACTCCTGGCACAAGTCATCATCAGTCTACAGCTATATGCTAATTAAACCTTGTAATAGATGATGCCTGCATTTCTCTATTTTTGAAACCCATCATATCCTATAAATACACAGGGTTCTGGATTTCAATGAAGAAGGCTTTCATCTGGGATGTTCTCACTACTCAATCATTAATATTGAACTCATCCTTCCCCCCCCCCCCCTCCCAAAGGTGCGTAAATTTATCATGGTTCTCTTGTTATCTACTCTCTACTTTATTGATCGATTGATGACTGGATTACCCGACTGCTAAGAAAGCATGTGTATGCTTGTAAGTAAGCAACCAGGGGACAGAAAGCTTGAAGTCCTCTCCAAGACTTGGTCATGAGGATTAATGCCTTACCAAAGGGCACAAGGTCATCAACTTGGTTTCAAACCAGGGGCCTTCCAATAACGAGACCACTGCTCTACAACCTAGCATTCACATACAGTCAAACTTGCTTTAGTGACCACCTGTCTACAAGGACCACCTGTCTACAACAAGCACATTTTTTTTGTTTCCCTTGAAAATGGTTTTTCATTGAAACATGTACTAAAGGAACATGTCTACAAAGACCACTTTTTGTGTTCCCCCTGGGCGGTCGCTACAAACAGGTTTGACTGTATTACAATTCATTCAGCAGCACTCACCACTGTCAAACTTGATGTGGTCTGTGATCTTGCCGGTGGTGATGTCTACCTTGATGGTATCGTAGACCTTCACCAGGGGGTCTGGGTAGCGGATGGTGCGAGCGTCGTGGGTGCTCAGGTAGGGCACTCCCTTGGGTCCAGTCCACACCTTGCGTACCTTGCACAGCTTGAACTATAGTCAAAAATTGAAAATGAACATGCATCACAGGGGAAAAAATATTTTAAAAATTTCGGGGGCTACTTTTCAAGCTTGTTTGCATGAAATAACACTCTTTAATTTGTATTACATTGAACTTCACACAAATTTTGGGGGCACATTCGCCCCGAGCCCCCATGAATTTTTTGCCCTGATGCATCATATGAGAGAATTCAACTTGACTTGCTCATACAATATCAGCAAAATAGCTAAACACAAAAAAGGGCAGGTATACCAGTTCGCATACCTAAGCTCAAGAAATTAGGAGCCTGAGATTTGCTTTATGATGTACGAGCAAGAAAACTGTTCATACAGCTTGTTGTTTATTTAGTTTTGCTAGCAATCAAATGATCAAAGATGATGGCCCGAATTCACAAAGGAGGTTTGTCGACAAACCTTGGTTTTCGGACGTCATATGACGCGTTTTTACGCGTTTTTTACAAACCTGGTTTGTAAAGAACAAAAGGAGGTTTGGCAAAACAAAAAGAGGTTTGTCGACAAACCTAAACCTTGGTTTATCGACAAACCTCCTTTGTGAATTCGGGCCGATGAGTTTGTGGAAAAGGGGGTGTTCCTTCTAGTTCCGGAGTGGCCAATTCCCAATGTAAAATGCTTAGCTTTAAAATAAACCTATTGCATACAAGATTCTCTTAATATCATTCAGTGCTAGACTGTTTACCAAGGGTTTATAATCATTTTTTCTCCAAACACATGTATACAAAGCATGGTGGAACATGTAAAATAAAATGTTCTTTCCTTGGGTGATGCCAGCATGGTACAAAGATCAACCGTGATGACGACCTTTAGGAAAGTTTTTTATCTTGGCTGATGTAATAAAACAAAGGAGCATGTGAGAGGCGCATTCTCCATTGCCTTCCATCAGCCGTCTTCTATTTCACCTCCAAATACTGATACAGTCAAACCTGTCTATAGTGTCCACTCAAGGGAAACACATATAGAGGCTGTTGTAGACGGGTGGTTGTTAAGACAGGTTTGACTATATCAGCTTCATAATAAACTAATTAGTAATAGTCTAACTTTTCCATGCATATTTTTAGTAAGAACCCTGCGTTTCTCATGTTTGTTTGTCAACGTATTTGTGAAGGGGGTTTGGAAAGAGTTTAATCATTATTGTGCCATCAAAATAAAGTTTACTACAAAACAATTAAATAATTAACTGTTCTTTTAGAAACTTCAATTTACATTTTCTATACACGTCCTTCAAGGGGAGGAACCTTTTAAACGAGGATGAATAACGAATCTTACCTTGGCTTCTTCGCTGCCGATCCTGTGGACAACAAAGCGTCCCTTGACGTTGTAGATGAGACGGAAGTTCTCTCCAGTCTTGTTGATGGAGATCACATCTAAAAATGAATAATGAAGGAATAAGTCAGCCTATAAGAGCTCACAGAATTATTCCTATGAAAATCTGTCATACAGGCATTGAACTCGTCTATAATGTTTAACCCACTTCACACGATCAGCTTTTAAGGGCAATCAAACCCTTGTAATAAGTTCATTTATATGAAAAACACAACAGACTTATCGATGATATTAGTCTACTGATCAACAAATTAACTCATGTGCTTTCCCTGGGTGATGCCAAAATGGTACCATATTTCAACCAAGCTGACGACCTTTAGGAAAGCAATTTATTTTAGGCCTTGATATTGAACAATGCAACCAGTGGTAAAATCAGTTACACTGCCTTCGATGAGGCCACACCAAACTTATTTGTTTGACGTATGTACTTTTGGGTCAAAGTCAGGATGGAGGCTAAGTTTAACCAAAGGTCTTAAATGCTTTTAAGTAGACAAAAGAATCCGACAACATCCATCATATACCCCCAATTATTCTCTATCAACACTATTAGGTTGTGAGCTTTTGGGAGAAAAACATTGTGTGTCATCATACCAAAAAAAAAGTTGAAGATTTTGAATGAATATTTTGCATCACCCCCCCCCCCCACAAGATTGCTAGATCTTAATATTCTCTACAGACATGTATGAACTTCTAACCCGTGCATAACACCCTTAGTCCTTACAGCTTATACCAAGCGTGGGGACGAGAGGAAGATAGTGAGGGCACATTCTCCCCAGATACCACAAGGGAGGGAAATACGTCACTTCTTATTATAAAACCTACAGAACTGATTTGATCCTCCTAAATTAGGCTCTCAATGCTGCACAGCCATATTTCACTCAGTCACGACAACAGTAAACAATTTCAGCCTAGAAGCTTGCACACACACCAGGGAAAATTTTCAAAAATTGGGGGGGGGGGGGGGCTACTTTTCAAGCTTGCTCGCATGAACATAACACTTTATAATTTGTTTTCCTTTGAACTCTATGCAAATTTCTGGGGGCATTTTATGACTTCCTGGGGCTCTGTTGGGCATTTTGGGGGCTAATTCGCCCTGAGCCCCCCTTTTTTTTCCTGACACACACAGAGATACAAAGAGCTACTAACCCATGAATCCAGCCGGGTAGGTGATATCAGTGCGCACCTTGCCGTCAACCTTGATCAGACGCTGCATCATGATCTTCTTGGTCTCGACGTAGGTCAGGGCGTACTTGAGACGGTTGCGGAGGAAGATGATGAGAGGTAAGCATTCTCTTAGCTTGTGGGGTCCGGTAGATGCACGAGGAGCCTGAAAACAATCGACAGGTTGAATACACATTATTACAGAATATATGAATCAAGCATATATTATCTAGGTCTACCTCTTACAAACAATTCTCACTTATTTCATCATCCCACTGTGACCATTCCAGCAGGAAAAGATGAGCAGATAACAATTGTTCTCATTCACTGCCTAACCCATGTGAATCGCTCATCTCACCAAAAGTCGATCAATGCTGTAGAAGTAGTACCAAAAACTTGCATTGTGTTCCGTTTCAAGAATAAGCATTTGTAATCCTTTACTAATGATTGCATATTTCTCTTCATATCAGTGGAGAACAGGGCTACCGAGAACGAAAAATACTTGACATAAACTCTTGAATTGACCCAAAAGGAATGTTGGGAAATTCATGTTTCGTCACAGTGAACAACAGTTCTATCAATAACATTCTCTGCGTACCATTACTCCTTTTCTAAGCTAACATACAATTTTCCCTCTCTGTAACTACAGGCTATCAATACAGTCAAACCTGCTTTAGAGACCACCTGTCTACAAAGACCACTTTTTGTGTTTCCATTGGGTAGTCGCTGTAGACAGGTTTGTCTGTACTTTGCAATTTCAAATTTCTAAAAAAAGAAAATGAAATGGTCATACTTACAAAATTTCCGGTGAGCTTCGCAAGCATCCAATGCTTGGGAGCATTTAAGCGCTTCAGATGCTTCTTTGGCCCGCGTGCCTGTAACAAAGAAAAAACAAATAAAAATATAATTATTAGCCTACTACCAAATAAACAGAGGTTGGAATTTGTTTTATTTTATTAGCATCTAAGTTATCATAGGATGTGTGGAACAAATCATGTCACAGTGGAGGTTTAATCTAAATCGTGAAATTTTTCCTTTTCGATGTTGTCATGCTGCTGTACACTAACAAATTTCATACCAGTTCAAACAATTAGGGTGGTTTCACAGCGATTATTCTTAAATTCTTGACTTGGCCAGCACTTTTAATGGAATCGCATTCCAACATGTTACAAAAGTGAGTCAGAATGATGATGAAACAGACCTCTGGGCCCTGCTCCAGAATGTCTATCTTAGACTTAGGCCACTATATTATCATGGTCCAATTGAATGAAGAGGAACTGGATATGGCTGGAATTTTTTTGCAGCAAGTTTTATCTCTCCTTTTAATCTGGTTGTCTCTTGTAATTATGAATTAGAGTCTAGTTCTTCCTAATGCCATTTTGGGAAACAATCGGTGGCATGGCATATGCTTTGCGCCCTCAATCCCACTTCACATGTCCATGGTTGTGCAACTGTAGGTGCACAACTGTTTATTAGATTGGCAGTAGGGGCACTGATCCGAGATTGAGGATCGTCCACATTAACGAGGATATTAATTAAGATTGTCCGCATTTTGGCGGAAATTATTTTGTCTTCGGCTCTCTGCAGGTGTAGATCTAGGGTTCCTTGTCAGCGCGCTGGCAATGCGAGAAACTGATTCTTGGTAACTAATAAAATACCCTCAGTTCACCGTCTACTTTTACAGGTTGTCCATCTTCCCGTGGATTTATCGATCATAACGTGAAAACCTCTGTGATGCATCAATTAGAAATGCATCATGGACTGATGGAGCATCACCGCGGAATCTGTTTATCGCATCGCCAATGCACGGATCGTCCGCGAAAAATGCAGACGATCCACATTATTAAGGATGTGATTTGTCCGCGTTTACGAGGATATCCTCGTTGATGGCGCGGACGATCCTTATTCTCGGACCAGTCTACCGATTCATTCTTGGACCAGCACCCCTACTGATTCGGACTCTTTCTGTTTCTTTAGTCAAACAGACACTATCGTCTATATAGTCAAGATTTCGGTGAGTAAATTAGGAGACAGTGACCATGGTGACAGTCTCCCATTCAGGATAGGCTATCCCATTTTTCCCTTTCATAAAATTAAAAAATCATGTTGCAAAAAGGTGAAAAGGAATGTTTCAACTGAACTTGAACAAGTGATAAGTAGATTCCTTACAAAAATTACCACTTTAGACCGTCTTATCTAAGCATTCATTGTATAAACTTATTTTGTTATAACAATTTTTGTTAATAATGATACAAAATCAACCGAAAAGCTGGGCAGGTAAAAATATAATTCCTACACATACGTACGATACGGGGACACGCACACACAATACACGAATCTTTCACACATGAACATACAGACTGCGGCGAACATGGATACAACCATACATTTGGACCCTATTTTGTCTCTTTTACAAAGGTATTTTTCATCAAATACTTATATCTTCATAACGAAATTATTCTGATTTACATCATTTGCCTTCCTGGTGTAATCTAATAAACGGATTTTAAAGATTGACAGAGATTTTGATTGAGTTTCATGTATGATCTACGTACCATTTTGCTTGGCTAGAGTTAAAGGCCGATTGGAGGAGTGTCTCATTAGAGCGGATTTCGGTCTTTTTAATAATTTGTTTGAAGTCTTAGAATTATTTGACGATGTTTTATTCATAACAAAAAATCTTTAAATTATTAAATATTTTTTAATATAATTTTTAAATTAAAAACTATTGATAAAATTACTGTTAATTTTATCTGTAATGTTCTTGTAGATCATAGACCGGAAGTGAATTGCTCTAAATGAAAACAAAAAGTCTTGATATTTTGTCGCAGTGCATGCATAGCAAATTGATTACCTAACGAGATCTGAGATAAACCCTTAATTAATTGTTAGTCTATTTCTCTTTGTTTGTTTGTTCTTGACAAGAATATGGATATGCTAAGCAACTGGTGGGGTGGAAAGCCAGAGAAGAAAATATCGGAGGAGAAAATAGCAGATCAAGATGCTGGTGGCGGAGAAGCTGAAGTGCCCACGGACCGTAATGATGACAGTGCTCCAGCTTCGGAAGACACAACTCTACGTAATGATGCGCCAGCAGACACGGCGGCGGGGCAAGGGAAGAGCTCTCCCGCCACCGATGAGCAGCCGAGTGGAGATAACAAAGAAACTGCCGACAATACAAAAGTGAACGACGAAACGGAGAAGGCTGCAAATAGTGAAAACAAGGAAGCTTCTGCGCCTCTTGGTGGCTTGACCAAAATGACTAAAGAAGAAGCAGCTGAAGCTGCAGAGGCCGCTCTTAATTCCGCATATAATTTTGGCAGTGAGTTGATCCATCAAAAAATCAACTTGAGAGTTGAGAGTCGAGATCGAGGTTGAAAATATTATTTTTTGTATTAAATAATATTCTGTAATAGAGTCTAAATGATGATGATGATAGTAATGGAAAATCATAATATGCCTCTGCCATAATAATAGGTCTAATGATGAAAAAAGCAACAATAAACAAAGATGACGATGTTGATACTATTACTTGTTCATGCATATTGCAATATTGATCATTATTTTTACTCAAACGCATTAGATTGCTGATACAAATTTCATCCAACAAAAATAGACATTAAATACCCCTCTATTGATGCCTTCAAGGTCTTCTTGAGTGGGATGCAGATGTAATGTCTAAGTACAAGACCGGGAATGTTGTATATGCACCTGCACAACAAGAACAAATGTTAAAATGTGGAATTACAGGATATGTGAAAGTCTCCACATATACACACACAATCAGTGCGTTTATCTTCATCAACTTGAAGCAGCACTTACACTGGAAGAAGAAGAAGAAGATTGAATCAAAATTATCAAAATCGGACTTAAAACTTGTGAGGTATTGGCGAAGAGTGAATAAAAGAATGGTGTTCTATGAAATAAAAGAAGAAATGTTTTACCTAGTACTATTTAGAAAAGTCCACCTAGAATTCAAGTTCAAGTAGATGAAATAACATTGAAAGTATGAAAAACAAATGAGGCTGATGAAGAATTACCTTTCTGATTCTTTTTTTAATCTTTTTTTTAAAGATGAATTGGCAGTCTAGATATATGTCTGCATCTGGGGCCCGTTCCTAGAAACCGTCATAAGTCTAACTTCTTGACTATCCCTTTGAAACGTGTGTTAATTATATAACACGCATTTCAAAGGGATGGTCAAGAAGTTAGACTTAAAGTTATGATGGTTTCTAGGAACGGGCCCCAGGGGCCTCTCAGAATTTTTTGGTTACCATACCCACATCTAACTATGCTCGAGGCAACATTGTACCTATTACATGTACATTTATTACGCACTCCACCTTTATGAAAATAGATACAGGTGTAACTATATTTATTTTTTAATGAAAGATAAAATGGTAACTGATAGGAGATTACCAGTAGTGAAGTAACAACAAAAGGTGTTGGCAAAACTTGAGAATGGCAAGATAATTTGGTAGTACATTTATGCACTCCCCACAAGAATGTACCGTAATTAACGGTGTATTAACCGCACCTTTTTGCCGCCGAAAAAAATTCAAAGTCGGTTTATACACGGTACGCCAAAAAAAAAAAAAAAAAATTTAAGTTTCGATTTATGCCCCTCCATCTGGCGCTATGCTTGGCAATGTCTCCCAGCTCAGTAATCGGTGTGTTGACTCACCACTTGGAAACTAGAACAACTCTCAAATTTGTCTGTCATCTTGGTTTGAAAGTAATCTTTCTGATAGATTTCAATATGTAGTTTATAATAATAATTCATCCAACTTTTACACACGGCGTACCACAAGGTTCTATCCTAGGTCCTCTACTGTTTTTAATTTACATTAATGATCTTACACATTCTTCTAAAAACGACATTGTTACTATTACTTGTGACAAGTTCACAAGCACAAATCAGCGCCTTCAAATGCACCTCGCAGTTAAATGAAAGTCCTTCCCGCTTTTTCACATGGACCTCGCTTGCTGCCGACAGAGTCGATCAAAAAAAAAAAGATTTAAAAAAAAAAAAAATTATATTTGTTTTTATTTTATTTTTTTAATCGTTTAACCGAAAACCGTCCGGTTTTGACTGGCGGTTAAACGGAATTGGAGATATCCGTGATCTGCACTAATTTATGCACTCCCCACAAGAATGTATACCTGCAGGTAGACTACCTTTTTAAAGTTTTCTTCTGCCTTCATTAGCTCCTTCAATCCTGAAGAGTGTTGGTGGCAGTACTTTGTATGTTGTTTGTGCATCAGTATGATATATGCCTTGTGGTTTTGTTAATGATTTATAATTTAGGTTTGCTTGCAATTTAGCTAACAAAATTATCATTTTGTTATCTGTCATTTTAACAGGCTTCTTGTTCAAGAAGGTGTCAGATACTGCATCTAAGACAGCCAACATGATTCAGAAGACAGTTGAAGAACAGGTATAACTCACTTTTTACTTCTTCTTTTTTTACACAACAGAAAATAGATCATTGAATGTGAAATCCTGCTACTAGCCTCTCAAAGGAATACTATATCTTATCTTATTGATATTCGTGATATACCACTTCTGCATGTCATTGAATTATCATTAGGTAAAAAATGTAGAATATTTAATTAGAACATGAAAATTGTCAGTGCTGCAACATCAGCATCTATGATAAAACTCATACTTCACAGGCATTTGTACTTGTTGTCAGGAGGAGCTTGCCAATTGTTTACCAAGTTCACAAAGTTTTATAATTTTTACAAAGCAAATTAGGCACCAAAATAGGTTCATACATGGTTACTGGTGGTTTACTGATAACATAAACAAATCATGAAATTATGTTTCACAAATACATGGGCCTGAATTCACAAAGGAGGTTTAAATTTAACCCATGGTTTAAAGTTTAAACCCTCATTTACATAACCCATGGTCTAAAATTAGCGCAAAATAAGCGGACCTTGTCTTGCGCGCGTCAAATAGTGGACATCTGACCGTTCCACGCTTATTTTGCACTAATTTTAGACCATGGGTTATGTAATGAAATGTTATGTACCGGTAATGTAATCTGTGATTTTTTTTTTATTTTTTTTTTGACAGACAATAGTTGGAGAGTTTTCCAGGGAACAGCAGAAGTTTGTGAAGGAGAAGCATTCCAAGAGATCTGATGCAGCCGTTCCACCATGGGTTGGGTACAATGAAGAGGAACAGATGAAAGAACAAATACTTGCATTATCACAGGTATGCAAGAAAGACGTAATAGTGACAAAATTGGTTGATAAGCCCCCCCCCCCCCCCCTCCCCCCATCGGCAAAAGCTAAGATTTTGTTAAGATGGTAGCAATCCTAAGATATTTACAGGTATCAACTAAATTATTCATACCGTTACTAAGTTTTATGATTTTTTTTTAATATTTGATAAATTCGTCCTTGTTTTCACGAAGTGATGGTAGTGAGGAAAATCGTAACGCAAAGTGAATGCGATTTTTTTTTCACTACCGTCACTTCATGAAAACAAATTGATTTGTCCCAATTTATGTTTCTTGAGAATGTGACAAATCAAAGCATACATAAAAACAAGTATTTGATAAAGGCCCGTAGAATTCAACAGTCCACCTTTCATTCTTGAATTAAACCAAAAACAAAAACATCAAATTTACAAGGCGTATTTAGTTGTTGCCTGTATATGATATTGAATGGCCTTGAGTGGGATGCAAGGGTATATCCCACATGCTGATATGAGCATATTTCAGGAGTTGTCACGATGAGCGAAATGTTCTCAAAGTGAGTGTGATTTACCCTTGTGTCCCATTAATTAAAGAAAAAAACAGTCAATATTATTATTAATTACACCTACTACCTCAATGAAACCAATATTTGGTTACTTTATTTTTTTCATTAAAAAGTATAGAAAAAATGTCAAATTTCATAGCCCACATTTTAGTTAGGGTATCTCTTATAATATTGTGTAAGTATACTTACTGAAATTCCAAGGACATTTCAGAAAATGTGCACATAATCATCAATGGTATGCTATTTAAAGACAGGTGTACTTATGAGATACCGATATGTTCTTATGGAGATACTTTCTTTCTTTTTTTTTCTTTTCTTTTTTTCGTCTTTTTTTCTCATGACAACTGCATGTACTCAAATACTCTTCATGAATTAGGAGATTTGTTTGTTTAATTTGATTTCTGCATTTTTCAACATAACAAAAAGTAATATACAAACTAGGCTCATATAACAAAATTCTAAATCAATTCAATAATTATACCTTTCAATAACACATAGTTGACGAATCATTTCAAAATTGATGTATGCAAGAAATCACCATCTTAAGCTAAAGCTTGAACGTGAAAGTGGCCTTTTGTTTTTGCCATGCTCCTTTGCCCCTATTTTTCTCCTCTTGGGAACCTACAAAAACAAGCTATGCTTTCCAGATGGTTCCTGTTTCATTTCATAATTTTGAACTTACTTTGTCAACTATGTTCTTTATTGTGCAAACAATTGATATATGAAATGGAATCAATTCAAATCAATCAATCTATTATCATGATTTCTTCTTCTTTTTTCATCCGATAGGACAAGAGAAATTTCATGAGGAATCCACCAGCAGGTGTCCAGTTCCACTTTGACTATAACACCATCCATCCAATCGCCATGGCAACCCTCCAAGAGGACCCCAATCTCCAAAAGATGAGATTTGCGCTGGTCCCAAAGAAGTAAGTGCTTTAAATACTTCCAAAAAATTGAGTTAGAATTGTATATATCAGGAGGCAGTCAAATGAAGTAAGATGTATGTGTCAAGATAAGTATAATACCAGGAAACTTAAAGACATTATTATGTATGTGACTTGTTAGCAATAAGAATAATAATATTCTGCGTATATAGCGCTTAATAAAATGTCTCTAAGCGCTTTACAGATATCATGTCAATCTATACTGAGAAAATGGTATTTCACAATGATTGGTTAAATTTGCTAAATGAACATTCCAGACTCAATAACATGAAACTTTCATGATTGTAGTGTTCCAGCTTTGTTTTTACTGCAAGAAATCTCCATGAAGTGCATAAATTCAATCTTGTATTCGACTAGCACTTGTGCTAACTTCTGGTACCCCCTTTAACAACAAAAGTGTACACATAATATTTTATTCCATTTGTATACGACATACTTTGTAAAACAATATTTATATTATTCATGTGAAATGTTATCGATCTTGTGTTATATTGTTATATTTTATGTAATCATGCTTGATATATTATGTTTTACTTGTTATTATTTTTGTTGTTAATAAACTCAAACTCAAACTCAAAAAAAAAAAAAAAAAAAAAATCATTTTGTGGCCTGAAACTTTCACAAAGCTGGAACACTACAATCATTAAATTGTCATGTTATTGATGCTGGAATGTTCATTTAGCTAATTTAACCAATCATTGTGAAATACCATTTTCTTAGTATAGATGGACATGATATCAATCTTTTGTTTTCAGCAATTTCTTTCAGGCTTCTCTGTTCTTGTGAATGATGTTGCATCAATTTTTGTTATTTTCGTCCAATTTGAATTGTCCCCATTCATCAAATTCTAATAGGAGGATAAAGCTAGGTATAGCATTTACGTGACATACAGTGAAACCTGCATGTTAAAGGTACTATGTCCCTTTTGCAGCCAACCTCAAATTCTGTAGAACTTTGCAGGAATTATGAATATGTCATGTATGTCCTATCTGTGAAATTTAAACGTTAGCAGTGTCCTCATATTCAAATTATGCAAGGAAACCCGTTTACTTGCTAGACTTCACTGTCAAACACTATTGAGTGACTGACTGGCTTTTTTTCTTCTTTGGTAATAACATACATGAAAAGAGTTGTAAAGGGTACATGAGCATTTTTCTACATCAATAACCCACTTCTTGTGATGGCCAAGATTAAACTGATTGAATCTTTGCGCAGCATAAAACATATGACCATTTGGTACAATTGTCTGAAAATCAAGACTATTACTTTTGGGCTCTATAGCCCAAAGTCGATTTGACAACTAATAGTCATTATTTTCCTACTTGAAGACATTTTCAAGCCCCACCTTTTTTAGGGAAGTTCTAAATAAGTATTATCTTTCAAATGCAGTTGGAATTTAACTTTTTCATTTTTTTGGCCTGCAAATGGGACATAGTACCTTTAAGACCACCCACGGGAGACAAGAAAAGTGGTCTATATAGGCAGGTGGTCTTGGTAGGCAGGTGCCTATAGTACTTGTTTCAATGAGAAACCTTTTTCAAGTGAGACAAAAAATGTGGTCTTTGTGGACAGGTGATCACTAAAGCAGGTTTGACTGTATACATGTAGATTGGTAATCTTCACCCAGTAGTAACCTGATATGTCATCCTTGATATAGTGTTAGGAATAGGTTTAGTGTATGATCTTGAGGTTGTTTCACAAAGACTAAGATCGACTTTAAAGTTGGACTTTACTATGGCAGGCCGTTCATGCCACTGTTTGCTCTAACCATTTACTGGCATTGGTCTCTCAAGGGACATACAAATCATGGTCGCATATCTACAGAATTATTATCTACATTATTGAAGGAAAAAAAAATTAAAGATCATAATGGTGAGAGCAAACAGTGGCATGAACAGTCTGCCATAGTTAAGTCCATCTTAAAGTCGATCTTAGTCTTTGTGAAACATTACCATGGTGTTAAAATCAGGAATGTGGTAAGCTTGAAAAAATTGATCACGGATCAATTCCTGGGATGGCATTGCAAGATTGAAGAATATTTCTGCCACCAATGTCCTAGACCCTCACCAGGTATAGGATCTGAACTTTTTTCATCTCCTCCAAAACATGAGATCACCTATATTTATTTGATCTTTCAGGATATCAGAAGAGAATTTCTGGAGGAATTACTTCTACCGTGTGTCCCTTATCAAGCAGTCATCACAGCTAACGTCATTGGCAAGCAAGTCAGGTGAGGGGTAAAGTGCAAATGGAGATTCAGATTTTCAATCCATTTTGGTTCTATTTTCAATCAAACATTGATTCTGCATAATAATAATTAAACATTTTTTATATAGTGCATAACACATGGGAAAAATAGCATGTCTCTATGTACTTCAAGAAAAAGAAAAAACAATACACTGGGTTCATGATTCTGATTATTATGAAGTGGTGAAGAAATATGTCTTCAGAGAATCGATAAAGGTTTTATAGGATCCTATACATTTCAGTTGTTCAGGCAACTTTATTTCAATTCCTGTTGTAAGCTGGTATGCTGCATAACATGTTGGACTAAATAACCTGTAGTAAATACTTAAACACCGGGCTACTACCAGCTTAATTAAAATAGGACCATTAAATATTTTTACTGTCGGGTTATTGTCAATAATTTGTTTTATCATTCATCTCTTTATTAAAGATGTTACATTCTTGGTCTCAACTCTTTCATTCATTTCTTTATTAAAGATGTTACATTCTTGGTCTCAACTCCAGGACCTTATAGACAACTTTAACCAAAAAAAAAATTCTGCTTTCTGCTCTTGATCTAAACTACTTCTTAAATTACTATCAAGTACAATAATTCCAAATCATGATTATAGGAATCTTTAAATCTTCAATCTTATCAAAAGAATATCATAATATACCCAATAAACGTAGAATGATAACAAAAACAGTAATCAGTTTCTGGAAATACATGATTAAAATAACTCAAAATATTGCAGGAAATAATTTAATATGGGTACAATTCGTGTATACATGGTTTTTAACCAAACAATTTTAATCCTTGTCAATTCAATTGGAGGTTTGCGATTATGGAATATTTTTAAAAATTCTTCTAATCAAAAAACAAATTTTCATAAAAGGATTCTTGTTTTTTGTAAGAACAGACATGAACATCTTCCCAATTTAAATTATAATAGAAATTATTCAAATAATGTTTTAGCAGTTATTCTTTGAGGTGTAGATGATAGCGATTGTTTTCTAAAAACCAATCCAACCCATGAAGTTGTTCTACCAGATCATGATAGTGACGAGAAGTTGGTGGATAGATTTGGCGAATTCTTTCATGGCAAAATCTTTCAATAGTTCTTATATTTGAAGTTTGAAGTTTGAACCCGTCCCTGTGCAAGTCCGACTGGTTATGCATATATTAGGAGAAACATTTGAGCCAGGACCAATTTCAGTTGGCTATAACAATTAACATACTTATCACTAAAATGAATTTATTTATGAAGCCTATTTGATTATCATTTACAAAGAAAATGTTTGACAATATTTTGACTTGCAGGGGATGAAAAGAGAAAGAGTGGTTCTGCTTCACATTCCTCAGATGAAGGTTCATCACTCAAAGGAGGTGAGCAATACAAATCATCATGCCATTGGCAGAAGGGCATATATGCACGTTTGCAGCATTCTGCTAGTTTGATAAGCAGAAGGTCGTTAGCATTAGATTGTCCATAACTCAAAGAAATTGTGTTTATGTGGTACGAAACTAGCCATATTCACATCTTCTACAGCTCATTAATCCCAGTTTTCGAGGAGAATATTCTCAGACTTTATTTGATTAATGGGGTGTATAAGATTCTCTTCCCTTTTGGGACCAGGCAGCCACAAATAATTGCTCCGTATGTTTGAGGTTCCATGGAAATATGCCGTTTTCAAAATCAGCATTGAATATTTGTTGATACCATACTTTTTCGAGATATTGCAAGTATAGTGGTATTGTCATTGCATACTTAAACTTAAAATTGCATAATTCCACTTCAAATATAAGGGAAAAGTAACAATATGTATACATGCATGGAAAGTTACCCTGAGTTAACTTGTAAGCCTGGATATGAAATTATTTAATCCTCTTTTATCCTTAATGAAGGTCTCTTATAATTTGTATGTCTTTATATGATACAAAATGTTCCTAATGGTATACAAGATCACCTGAAACCAAAAGGTGATTATTTGCTTTATATTTCACATCAGAAACATTTCACTTCTTCCGTCATTTTAGAGCAACAAATCATCATTACATACTGCAGGCAACAAACTTTTCTTCTCCCATCAATCAGGGAGGTGAAAGAAAAGGAGGCGAAAGTCTTGTAATTTATTCAAACGCATTCTTGAGTTCTAAAGCGTAACAATGGGATGTGTAACATTCCACTTGGCTTTGAAGTTCCATGCTCCGAACCGTGCTTCCATTGCGGGGACTTTCGGAAGCCAGGCACCAGTTTTACATTTATTACAAAATATTAAATTACCGGCAAAATTTCAGTGTAAGTCAAAAACTTTATATGGGGATTTTATTGGGAATAGTGCATCAAACAAATTTTCAAATTTAGAACTCCGTCCTTCCTTTAATTTGTGTGCCAGAGTTGGTAAAAGAAAAATTACATCCTTACAATCTTCAATAATATTAAGTTTGCTAATGCGTGTTTTCGCGTGTTTTTTGTATTTTTCAAGTTTAAAAAAGGATGAAAGTACACAAGTTTGTGTTCACTTGTTCTACTCTTTACACATTCAACAATGGATGAGAAATCATTGGAAGGGACAGCGATCAGTTGCAGTGATACCATTTTCTGATGTAGGAATTCTAACTCCTGAAATTTCATGCGCTCTTTTATCTCACCACCTGGTCAACAGTTGCAGATAAGCGCATAACTTTTCGGCGGCTTGGAGCATGGGGTCAAAGGAGAGCGGCTTGATTCCAGTCCTTCTCTATCACGTCCCTGCATCAATGATGGGTGAACTATCTTTCATCACATGATTTACTCTTGACCAATCGTAGCGCAAGATTCTTTGTATACATGTGGAATTTAATTCCTTGTATACATGTGGAATTTAATTCCTTTTAGCACATGTTTCTGTTGATTGATTGGTATGTGTAATCACTTTTATTAGAATAATAATTGCACATTATAAGTTGACACACTCTCATTTTCTATTACTCTCTCTCTCTCTGTGTCTCTCTCACTCTCAGACAAGACTCCTCCCATCACTGTGAAGGGCGCCCCCAGTGCTCCAGCAAAGCGCAGTAAGTCTGAAGAGGACCAGCTGGATATCGAGACACCGGATAGTCCACCGGGGTCAGAGTTCATCAGTGATGCTTTCAACTCTGAGCTGGATGAAGATGACCTGATGAAGGGAATGGAGCAGCTGGGAATGGATAAGAAAGGTCTGTTGCTGTGTTGTTTCTCCTTTTTAATTTTTTTTTTTTGGTGCCCTATAATAGTTAGGATCAAGGTTTCTACTTTTCCTATCTGCACTAGTTTGGCTAGGAGGAATTAGACCTCCCTGTCAGTTCTCATCAAATCAGCTCTCAAATTAACATAAGAAGAGGGGGACCATGGGGGACAAGTAGGGCACATACAGAGGGCACAAGTAGTGTAGTTACGCTTTAAAATGCTGTGGACTTTGTAACCAATGATTGTTATGGTATTGACGAATTTCATGTTTGACAAATTTTTAAAAGGAATGGACTGCACTCCCTGTTAAGTGTGGTTAATGTAAAAAGAGTAATTTTGGAAGCTTTCTCATTCTGTTAATTCCTATATGGAAGAATAGCATAGTAGCAATGTGACCCAAAGAATTGCTCTTCGAATACCCTCTTACTAGGCTTCTTCAAATTATCAGGTCATTGCATCCGGTCATCTAGCAACACCAGTGTTAAGTCGATCTCGCTATCATTATTATCAGCTAAGGAGATTTGATGGGCCTATTCTATGTATTAAAATGGGCGTTTTGGTCACTTTTGGGCCCCAAATGGCAATTTCCAAAAATCAGGCCAAATTTTCAGTCAGAATAAATTGATTGGTGGGTTTTAACATCCCAATTCAATATAAAAATCAATATCATTGAATGACTTTACACAGTTCGGACCACTATGGTTATTTAGATCAGTGGCCAGCGTTTTGCTGGGCTGCACTAGTTGAAAGATGTCGACCCATGAGCCAAAAAAATGGCCTGTCGCAGCTTGCTGGCAGGGGTGCTGTTAATTTTGAAATCCACTGTATTATGTTTGTACTTGGTTGTTAGGGCGCACAAGGTATCAAGCTGTGGCCAGTTGTGTTTGAACTTTGAAATATGTTTATCCTTGAAATGTATTGTTTTCTATAAACTGATTCACATTCAGAATGAAATAAATAAACGAAATGTGGTATTATTTTTATGTTTCCAAAACATCACATCACATTTCTTTTCTTCATATGTTTTTATGATTCTCTTTCATGTTTGAAGAAGAGAAAGTAATCTTGTATTAAAATCAATATTCAAGAGTTTCATCTTGAGAGTCTATTTGTCATTACTATGTTTCTGCATTTACATTATTTGGAAAGTTGCAAATGATAGCAATGATTTAGCTCATAAGATGGATTCATCGCTTTGTATTATTTTTTTGCTTTATAGCTATTGAACATGTTAAATAATTATACTAAGTTAGACAGCACCACCTGTGCGCTTAGAAACACCTGTACAGTATAAAGCGCCCTATAAATGTAATTATTATTATTATTATTATCACTTAGTATTCTTTCTTTTTTATTGACTCTTATCGTAGGTGAGGATGGAGCAGAAGAAGAAGTGCCTGAATGGGAGAAAGAGCTTCAGCAGGAACTACAGGTAATTAATTAAATATTTATTAATCATTCTATCAACTATCGACATTCTATTCGTTGCCAACATTGGTCAGATTAAATCATGGTTAGACCACCACAGATGAAGGAGACCCGATGGCCCAGTGGTAGAGCAGTGGTCTCGTAACCGGGAGAACATGGGTTTGAAACCAAGTTGATGTCCTAGTGCCCTTTGGTAAGGTATTAATCCTCATTACCAAGTCCCTCAGAGAGGATGGAAAGCCATTGGTGCCCTGCTTGCCATCTTACAAGTACACACATGCTTTTTTTAGCAGTCAGGTATACAAAGCATCAAACCAAACCAAAATAGATTTGCTAAACAATTTTACATTAACAAGTTTATAAAGGTTTGATAAAGAATTTAGGGATGGTCACACATTACCAATAAAGATAATGATGCCTGTGAAATTGGTCCATTTAGAATAGGTATTGGATCTGATATTGTAAAATGCTGTAGACTCATTAGACTAAACCAGTGAGTACCATACATTTTTCGATATAGACCAATTTCATAGTTATTATCATTATCCTATCATTAATATGTGAATCCCTCATGATAAAAAATACAACAACTAAAAGATATGATGTTTTTCGCCCTATTCTTTGAGGGAAATTCAACCATTCTAACAAAAAACTAGGGAGAAACCAGAAAATGTATGATGAAGAGGCTGGTGAAAGGTTTAGGGAAGGAGAAGCAGAGAGCATAAGTCTCCAAAGAGAAAAATATAATCCTCACAAGTTTATTCTCATGTATTTTTCTACTCTGTGCATATTGAAAGTGTGGCAGATTAGGTTGGGCCAAGGGGGAGGGGGCATATGTATCTGTACCATCCCCCCCCCCCCCCCTTTCCTGGATATGCCACTGTTTCACCCATTATAAGTTTAATATTATACATTTTACATTATACAAAAATGTATGACTCATCAGTAGGGTCTTTTCCTTTATTATATTGAGCTACCTACACTGTATAATGTATTTTGAGTAGTGCCCCAAAGGAAAAGGCACTTAGGAGAAAGATAGAAATTAATGATAATTTTCTATTCTACAACCGGGAGAGTTGTCCATGACTGTCACAATCCAATGACAAAATTGCCAATTTGAGAAAAGCATAGACTTAGTTTTCTCACATTTCAAACCTTCATAACTCTATTATTTTTCTGCTTTCATAGAAATGAAATAATTGTAAAAATTGAGTTGTCCTTTATTAGAAAATATGGCTCCATTTGTATGTTCCTCTGTGGAAGTATGGCGTCGGTAACTTCTTCATGTATAAATGCAATACATTTAGACAGGCAACATATGTCATGTTCTCCAAGTGAGAAAGGTGATTGCAGCATTTTTTACATACTTAGCTTTCCTCATGAATTCTGATGCAATCTTGAAGTTAGAGACCATTCCAGTGCCCTGTCTTATAAAGAGTTGCGATTGATCCGAATCAATTGTAAGTCCCCAAATCAATCGCAAGTTTGCAGTCCCCATCTCTTACCTACATACATGTAGTTCCAATTGATATAAATATTAAATAAGTTGTGATTAATCGCAACTGTTTATAAGATGGGCCCCATGTGTTAAAATGTTTGTACCAATAACTTCTTTGTTTTCCTGGTAGTCTACTTTTAGTTAATTTTACTTTACCATTTTACTGTATTCCTTCAAGAAATTGTGAATGTCTTTTATAGTAAGAACATGCCATTCTTTTTCTTTGAATAGCTCTTAAAGCCTATCTGCACTAGTTTGGCCAGGAGGGATTAAACCTCCCTGCATGGTCACTGACAGGTGGTTATCTGTAAATTGTGAATGTCTTTTATAGTAAGAACATGCCATTCTTTTTCTTTGAATAGCTCTTAAAGCCTATCTGCACTAGTTTGGCCAGGAGGGATTAAACCTCCCTGCATGGTCACTGACAGGTGGTTATCTCGTCAAATCAGCTCTCTGGGGGACCAATGGTCACCGATTAGGCATTGTTTGCTATATAGAGGGCGCAAGTAGCTATAAGTAGTGCAGTGGGGCTTTAATACCTCTATCAACAGATACTTTTTTCTTTTTCTTTTTTTTTTGATGCTGATGTGTGTAATGTATCTGTGCTAGAGCTGATGTGAATGCTTGCACCTGTTGCAGCCTCCTACATACGGTAGAATCATGAAATCATTATGTCAATGTAAATAAGTTGCATGTCAATACAAAATTACTAGGTACATGTAGTACATCCAGGGCCCGAGAAGCACCTTGCTTTATAGTTTTATTAAATTACATAGAAAAATATGGAGGTATCCATGTCAGGCAAACTTCAGTTGGCCTATGTTGTAAGCTTCATTCGCAGATGACATGGTGAATTGCCTAGAAAAAAACCCACTGTGAAATCAATTATATCACACTAAAGAATGATCGACGAGAATGTTATGTGTTTTTAATTACCGGTATTGATTTGTTATTATTTCAACAGTCAATACCAAGAGCAGTAAACCTATGGAGTTTAAATTAAATAAAATAACAGTTTGGAGCAAGCATTAGAGCACCCAAGCTAGTAGTTTACTGGGGCTATTTAAAGGCACACTGTCCTACTTGTAGCTACTTGCTCCCTCTATATAGAAAACTCCCCCAATCGGTGCCTGTTGGTCCCCCATGATCCTCTTTTTCTTATGTTAAATGAGAGCTGAGTTAATGAGATAGCCACCTGTCACAATGACCTCGATGGCTCGCTGTGTTGTCTAATCCCTTCTAGCTGAAGTAGTAACGCCTCCCTTTAAGACATCATTATTATTATTTTGATAAAGTGAGGGGGTTAAGAAATGATAACTGTGCAGTGTGCACAACAGAGGCCCCTTCTTTGTTTGTAATGAGATATATAGAAATGTAAAGTCTGTTGGTTTGATGTGAATTCATGCACCTGTTTTATTCTTCGACAAACAACATTTAAACAAATGATTAAATTCCATGAACAAAAATGAGAACAAATCCAGGGCAGCATAAGCAACTCCAATAATAAATTTTCTTTTTATTTACATGGAAAAATATGCAGGTACCTTTATCTAGCTAACACATGATCAGATTTTTCACTTGCACCCAGTCATTATTGTTCACACAAAAAAGAACAAGCTTATTTGTTAATGCATATTTCTGTCTTTAGGTTGAATATTATCATACATGTATACAACACTACCTGCATCTTTCTCTTTTCTTTTTAAAAATTTCATTTTCTGGTTGCCTGTGTCTAGTTGTGTTGCCTAAAATTTAAGAGCAAAATGCAAAATCTCTTCTCTTTTGCACATGGGCAGTGATGCAATATTCGCTCCAGCAACAATTGCTCTGAGGTTTATTCCGTTGGGGTTGCAGTTGTGATTTATGTTATGGTTTCCTGTTGTAGGTACCCGGTAAACATGTCGTTTTTAATCCAGGGTTGAAGTTCAGACATTTGGTTGGTTTAGGAAATTGAGGAGGAGCGAGTGCCGTACAATGATCTAGGAATCCAAGGAGCTGTAAATAAATCATGATTACAGGAAATTCACAAATCATGTGAGAATTTATAGCATGTAAACAGGAACTACAGGTAATCTAATATCCATTTATTGATCAATTCATCGTCCCCACTATTTGTTAGGGATAATTGAGCAGAGAAAATCATAGGTAGAGCCCCACAGATTTTCTAATCAGTCAGTTCAACTCTATTCAATTCAACAATGGTCTAATCTTATTTGTAATTTACATGTTTTATGTTGCATTTTCCATGAAAGCGGCACAGGCTGGACGATATATTATTCCCAAACAACGTCATGTGGCACATGCAAAAGCATGGGCTGCTTGGTGTATCTCAGGAACATAACGTAGAGGTGTCGTGGTCGAGTGGATATGTCACCGGACTGTGGATCACAAGGTCCGAGGTTCAAGTCCCGCCGCGGCACTAATGTCCTTTGGCATAACATTGATCTATATTTGCCACTCTCCTCCCAGATGTTAATGGGTACCCGGTAGGATGTAAAAGTTAATGTGGTTGGATGAGCAAGTGGCCCTTGTAAAATGGCGACTGACCGGAATGCTCCCCAGGAGTGGAGAATGTGCATACATTGTTTGCGGGTAGGCCTGAATTCGATGACTGGGGGGTAATAATACATGTACCGGGTATGTACTGCGCCTAGAAACAAAGTATTAGGCGCATTATAAATGTGAGCTCTTATTATTATTATTATTATTGTATAGACTATGCATTTAAAAACAAAGAACAAAACCAAATATTTACAGTTATTCTATTACTTTCTTTATGCATCAAATATTTTAAGAATTTGGACTTGAATGGAATTTCAAAAAATGTATACATTTTGTATTTCAGGAGACAAACAGGTCCACACAAACTAGTCCTCCCTTTGGGAGTAGTCCTGTTGGTTACTACTACTCTCCTTTACAATGTTGCTCTAGGCCCAGACTAAACTAGAGGTGAATTCTGGCATGTGCATAGAATGACAAGCACATGTGCATTGTGGATTAGGATCTATAAGACTTTGTACAAGTGTTTATGGGAACAAGACTTTGTCTTGTTTTTACAGAGATCATTAGCAAATGATCTTTCATGTAAAGTAGAAAACACCTTCGCCAAAATACAATATTGGAATTCAGTTCCTGCTTGCCCCCTTCATTTTATTTGTTAAATTGAAATTAAAATCTAGTGTTTTTTTTATATTTCAATGTAACAGAGATATATGAACTTAAGTGTAGGTAACTTGATACATATATTGAGGAAAAATCACTTACCGGTAGACTCATAAGTAATGTAATTTCTGCTTTCATTCTGGATTTTTCCTTCGTATTATCCTGCTTTTTTTTTTTTCTCTCTCTCTCCTGCTTTTTTGTCTTTTTCTCCCAGATTTCTAATCTTCATGTTTATGTTTACAAAAATATCCACTTCTTACGTGTTTATAAATCTTTTGCCAATTTTAAGGGAGAGATGGAGAACTTTAGTTAAAACCAAAATCATTCTCAGAGATAAAATAATGACCTATAGCATTTTGGCATGCGTTTGTATTGATAAAGGCTTTTACGTGGAAGTTATTATAGTTATAGTGCATGGAATCAAAGAAACATGCAAGAGTTTGCCATTTCATAATGAAACGGTGGAGTAAATGGGATCTTGTAAAGCACATGTGTCCACTCCGCATGATACTCCTGTTGCTCCAGTGAGAAGTGTATTACGACCTATCAAAGCCATGTTCACTCAAGATCAGAAAAACTACCTCCCACCCCCACCCCCCCCCCCCCCCCCCCAAAAAAAAAAAAAAAAAAATCAAAGAATGAAAGATGGATTGGTTGAATTAGGGCCTGTGTTGAATACTTTCATATATGTAAGCTTTAATATGTCACAATGTCAAGAAACGTAAATCGGGACAAATCAATTTTCACATACTTAAAACATTACAAAACTTAGTAAGGGTATCCGTATGAATAATTTAGTTCTGGAATAGATAAATGAGTACACTTAGAACCTTTGTTAAACAAAATTACTTCTTTTGTCATCTCCATTCGACATTCATTTTACACTGTACACAAATAAACATGATTTTCTCCGTCATGTTTGAACTGTTGTTAAATGAACTCGTTTCCAAAGGACGTTAAGTGCTGTTCTTCATAACATTAGTTTCACTTTCTGAGTTATAGGAAAACTGCATATTTCTTTTCAAGGCCTTCCCTCATTGCTTTATAACAGAAATTTAAATTCTTTAAATTGAAGGGAAAAAAAACAGATTAGCTTGTTTATTCCTGATAGAGAAGGGAGGAATGGGGTAATCTACACAGGAGTAGAAAGCAACTTACCTCTGGAAAGCTTTAAAAGCCTCCAGAAATTGTAGAAAGCTTCTGGAAATCTAAAAGAAGAGCTCTTGTTTAAAAACAATAATAAGACATGGAGAGAAAATCTCACATTTTAACCAGAAATTAAATAAGGAATTCCTGTGGACATACCAATAATTAATTGGGAAGGTGTCATTCTGGTGAAAATATTGACATTGTATGCAAGGATGGAAGTCATTCAAGTGAGTCAAAATATGAACATGCTAACCTACATGTACAAATGAAATTTACTTCCCAGAATGGTAATATTTACTATTTATGCCCATGCCCGCATCGTTGCACAATTCAATGGTTTTCATGAAGTCAGGTGGTCATTGTACCTCATGTACAATTAGATGAAATGAATTTGAAGTATTTTTTGTGTAAATATATTAAAATAGAGCATTAGCCATGTGTATTTTAGGATAGGAGAGCCCTTACGTGACGAGAGCATACGTGACAAGACCATTGACTACCTTTGATGATGAAAGTTCACTGAATATCTCTTTCTTCCTCTCAGGAAGACAACAGCTGCATTTTAGCTATACACTACAAGCAAAAACTGTTTATTTTTCTCACATTCCTGTGTTTTGTCAGTGAGTTGCACAGCAACTTCCGGCTAACAAGACGAAAACAAGAAATCAAAAAAATTCGCTTCTGGAATCTGGAGTGTGGTTTATTGAAACGCCTGCTGAAATTTCACTGATTTTTGCAGTGTAAATCAAAACTTCGGTACGATGCCGTTTTTTCATCACGTGACTCTCCTCGCTCCTGAGCAATCGCACGCGGAGTAACGACAAGTCGTGCATGCGCACTTCTTACCAACAAATCAGTATGAACAAACACCAACGTTTTTTAATGGGTTTTTCCAGGAGTGTGAATGGCAGTCCAAAAATCAATGATTTTTCAGAATGGTGTTTAGGCTGTGTAAATGGGCCGAACAAAAAAGTTCATTTAATTTCTGAAACGGAAGCTTTACAGGAGCTTATGATTTATTAATTATTTGGACAGAGGCCAACAACAATGGGAAAATACTCTATATGGTATTTCCTCTTTTTTAGCGAGGAAAGTGGATCTAGTGTCTGTCCTGAAGATTCCATTTAGTAAATCAACAGCTAGTTAACCCATAAAAGTGTACATGTACATGTTTACAACTACAGTTCATTTATCCTATTAACTCCTTTGTTTTAACAGCAACCTTGATAGAAACCCTTATAAATCTATTGGGCATTTAATTGAGAGATGTGGGAATCATTGAATGAATTATATTTTTGTATTTCAAACTGAGTACAGTCAAACCTGCTTTAGTGACCACCTGTCTACAAAGACCACATTTTTGTTTCCCTTGAAAATGGTTTCTCATTGAAACATGTACTAAAGGAACCTGTACATAAAGACCACCTGCCTATAAAGACCACTTTTCTTGTCTCCCTTGGGTGGTCTTTATAGACGGGTTTCACTGTATTACATGAATGTTATGGTGTCGTGGTCTAGTGGATACGTCACCAGACCCTTTGGCAAGACATTAATCTACATTTGCCACTCTCCGCCCGGGTGAAGTAAATGGGTACCCAGAAGGAAGAAATTCCATGAATGCTTTGGCGCCTTATCATGGATGCACAGCTACAGCCATTGTAATAATATGATACTTTGTACTACGTGCAGTAGAGTATATTCATATATATATATATATATATATATATATATATATAGTATCAGCGCAATGTAATTGGACCTATTATTATTATTGTTATACATCTTTTGAACGTTTTAGTTCTTATCACATGTATATCCTGATATGCATCCTCTGTATATATCTCTGTATACATGACTTCATTGTTTTTGTTTGAATAGAATAATAGATACAGTGATTGTTTCTAGTGAGAGCCCTGAGGGCAGCCATCTAGTCATTCTTGAGGGGTGGTAGTTTATGCCCTAGTTTCGCTTGTGGCTCTCAATATACAACAAGCAGTGATTGTTTGAACAGGGAAACAAATAGTCAATATCATTTTGATGAAGAAAAAAAATCATACTTCCTCTTTTGAAGTGAGTGGCAGAGTAAGGGTTTCAATGGTTGGGTAGATACTTATTTTTCTCAGGGTATTCTTTAAATAATTCTTAATTATTTTTCAGATTGGTAATTTAGATCACCAAACTAAATAATACCATAGACTTGCTCTTCTAAATTTTATTCCAAAATTGTAGCCAGACACCGGTAAACATGCACATCTTGAACATTCAGTGCGAGTTTAATTCAATACCGGTAGGCAATTTTTCGTAATGTAACCAAATTTATACTTAAATGCCTCTGTACGAATTATTTCATTCACCTGCTACAAATAATTGTATTTCAATAGTCAAAATACAAGTTGCATATATATATATATTATGTGCTAGATAGGGCAAGCCATGTTAGTCCTCCCTAGCAACAACCACTATGAATATGGCGGACAAAGAAAGCGGACAAAGAAAGCGGACAAAATATACAGTTCCTCAGGTAGACAAAGGAACATCCCTTCACTGCTATTATGTAAAAATGTATAGAACAGGTGAATATGCATGTGACACCTGTTTCACACATTTTTACATAAAAGCAGTGAAGGGATGTTCCTTTGTCTACCTGAGGAACTGTATATTTTGTCCGCTTTCATTGTCCGTCATGTTCATAGTGAACTAATGTTTGAAATTTGACTTCTGACTATTAAGATACATTTATTTGTAATGAGTGAATTAAATAATTTGTATCAAGGTGCTTCACAAAAGTACATGCATAATTAGGTTATATTACAACAAAATTGCCCATTCCAGAGGTAATATGTATTTTCTGCTACTCCATGTCAAAATGACCTGAAGCTTGACCCATGTTTGACATTTAATTCATGTCATGTTTCTATTTATGTTATATTGACATTGTCATTGTACATTTATATTTCTTTTTTTTTAATGTTTTCAATGGTGGTGAGTAAATAAATTCAATTCAATTCTAAATGGCCTGAAGCTTGACCCCTGTTTGACCTTGCAAATGTCCCACTTTTTTCCCCCCATCACAGGACTATGAGGTCGTTGGAGAGGAGCAGAACGAGGAGTGGGAGAGAGAGATCAATCAGATGCTGGATGATGAGGTCGATAAACAATCATAATAAGAGCTGGAAACACACCCAGATGGACCAAAGAGCATCGTGACGCTTACTTGGAATTATCGAGTCAAGGGTCGCGTCACATGACCTTTTGTGAAACCATAGCGGAAGGTCATGTTAAGGTGCATATTCATGACGCGGCCTTTTGTAGATTCTTTCGTAGGGTTTCTTTCCAAGTGCCAGGTAAATTGGACTAGACCATTTGTAGTTGAGAGGGGTTTATTTCACAAACGTTACCCCCGACAATAAAGGGCATGTTTTCGCAAAAGGTCGGGTGACCCTAACCTGACCTGACGCGATGACCTGATGATTCGAAGTAAGCCCATCATGACTGAACTCACAGAATTTTTAACCAATGGGCTACGGGCATTGTGTAGTTCTTGTACTGGGCCTAGGGGTGTTAGAGAATACAGTCGTTGATGGATTAACTCATTGCCTACAAGAACCGGGTAGATCCTATGTCAAGTATTAGGGGAATGAGAAGATTCACTAGTGGACAGGTTAAACTATTGCATGTGGGTACCAGGACTTCCTGTATTAAGCTGATTGGAATGGGAGAATTTGGCAGTCAACAGCTTAACTAATCATCAATGAGATTGAGAACCGATTACTTCTTAGACTAATCTGTAGGAAATGAGAGAAGTCAACAAGGAATTCATCTTTGTAATATATGTAAGAGAAGCTGTCTCATTCTCAGCTGGAATAGTCTTTTGTGTAGAAGTCTTCAGATCATGGACAGCCCTGTGTTCCAGCACCTTATCATCCATAACATGGAACTTGATAGGAATATATCATATGGGACACACTTGATGGAATCACCCAAATGTGCTTTGTCGCCTTAGACTAACATATCAAATGTAATTCTTATTAGCCCAGGGGGGTGTTTCACAAAGATCCTAAGTTGAACTTATCTCTAAGTTGGACTTAACAATTATGGAAAGCCATTAGCATCCTTGAAAATATTTTGTAAAAGTTATTTTAAATAGCATAAAATGTTGATTCAAATCATTCATATTTTCTATTATCACGCAAGATTTCATGTTTTTGATGGGGAATGTAGGAAAAGTCTAAAATACTTGAATTTTTGCTTTTGAATATATTTCAAAATAAGGCTACAAATGGCTCTCCATAATTTTGAAGTCCAACTTAGAGATAAGTTCAACTTAGTTTCTTTGTGAAACACCCCCCATGGGCTAGCACACTGGAACAAAGGACTCGCATGTATTCACTGAGCTCTGCGTTATAAGATACAGAAATGTGAGGCGTATTACATGTTACGTTTTTAACCCTTTGCTTACGGGAACCTGGTGGTCCCTGTGTTAAGCCTATGGGACCTATCAAATTCAGTAGTCAACGGATTAAAAAAAATTGATGAAGTTTTGCCGCATATTATGTGAACGAGCCTTTATGTTACAAAGTGGTGCAGAACAGCACAAGAAAACATTGGTAAATTGTCTTACATACACAGAGGTGCCAACCAGTACGATTTAATTTAGTTTAGTTTATTTAGTACGATAATAAGAGTGGAATACGATAATACGATATCACCTTTTAAAATACGATTTTTCACCCCAAAAAAAAAGTTTTTTTTTTTTTTTTTTTTTTTTTTTTTTTTAATAATTTTTTTTTTTTTTTTTTTTTTTTATACCCATAAAAATCACGGAATCGCATAGGAACATTTACAAGTAAACCCCCACAACCCCAACAAAAACTTTGATTTGCAATTTTCTTTTAAAATTTTAATGAAAGAGCAAACATTTTAATTGACTGTACATACCAGTATCACATTTTTCTGAAATTTTACTGGCCCGGCCAACATGTACAATTGAATATGTTTTAAAAAAACTAATTACAGCAAAAATATGTTCTTTACGGTATGCATTTGCGCTGCGTACAACATCAATAGGTTTTTAATAGGTGAAAGGAAGGCCAGTTGAAAATACTTATTTTGATGGTAAAATACTAATTTTGGAGGTGCTGAGTACTAATTTGTACTTCCAAAGGTTGGCAGCTCTGCATACATGTACTATACCAGATAGGATCTTCAATCACAGCTTCCATTGATTAATCTGTACCTGTTTTATGTCCTTTGTCTTGTCTATTCAAGTTGCTCAGAATTAGTCTCAAGTCCTCCTAATTAATCACAAAGTTCAGATTACCTTACACTTTATTAGGAGTAGTTACCAAAATCAAACTCAAGTTCATTCCCAATCCCTTTTTTTTTACATTGGGCTCTGGAATGATTGTTTTGGCCAGATGTGACCCCTATGAAGAATTGTATGTGTTTATTTGATCGTCATATCTTTCATTAGCCAGACAGAATAAATAAAGAAGTGATAAGATGAGAGAGAGAGGGCGAGAGAGAGAGGGAGGGTGGGAGGGAGGGAGAGAGAGAGAGAGGGAGGGAGTGAGGGAGGGTGGGAGGGAGGGTGGGAGGATGGGAGGGAGGGAGAGAGAGAGAGGGAGAGATTACAGAGAGGGGGAGGAGGAGAGAAGAGAGAGAGAGAGATAGAGAGAAAATTTGCTTTTAATACATCAATATAGTATCAATATTACAATTGTTTGGGGTTTTTTTAGTAGGGCTCTGTCCAGGTATTACATAAAACTAAATTTGCTATTTGTTATAGATGTATGTGACTTTTTTTTCATATTAAGAAAGTATGTATATTTCACTCAAGTATTATTGTAAAAAGTCTTTGTTTTTGTATTAAATAATACTACCACATTACATTATTCCCATACTAAAATAAACATAAGTTAACATGAAGGTGCATGTAGGTCTGTATACATATAGTATGGAAAGCAATATTTCATTTTGCCTATAGCTTTGATATGTTGTCAAATCTTGGTATGTGTTGATGAGTCATTAAAGGGGAAGTCCACTCTGATATTAAATTGGTTTTAATAGAAGCTGAAAAAGAGGAACAGGCCAGTGAAAGTTTGAACAAATTCTGATTAAAAGTAAGAAAGTTATGAATATAATATAAAATATTATGAATATATACAACAAATATACTACTGATCATATCATGTGAAGAATCCATTTAAAGGAAGCCCAGAAAATCTTGTTCGTATAAAGGCCTGCGTTTTTATTTTTTCTCTTACAAGTCCAAATTTCTGTGCCTTTTTTCATAGCATTAAAACTTCCTTTGAAAGAAAGATGATTTTTTAAATAAAAATTGAGATTGTTTCTTGATAACTGAGTGGAATCAGGCTTTTATGTATTATTAGCTTCATGGATTGAGTATGTCATTAAAATACATACTACTAAGGTATGTGTTATAAGAGTAAATTTGTTCAATTGTTACATACACAAAACTACCGTCCCAATAATTTGTGTTTTTAAATTTAGCAAGAAAAGATGAATGTTTTGTTTTCATATTGGACAGTTTGTTGACTGTGTTTACATGTGCCCTTGACAAATGTTGATAATTAAAACATGACAAGGCTCAAGTCTTCAAAATTTGAAAAAAATTGCTTTTGCTGATAAGCAGGGTCATTGTGCGATATAGTTTTGTGAATCATAGTATTGGATTCATACTGAACTTTCTTTCATGTTTTGTAATCTTTATTTTTTATCAATTATGATTTATTTATTATTATTATTGTTTTTTTGTTTTTTTCCTATGTATGGGCCCCTTAGTAGAAGTTCTAGATAGACCGTGCCATACAAATACCTATACTTATTATAATTCTAAATACATTACCCTTTCTTATTCTCACTTTTCAAAGTCGGATGTATTTTATCTGACAATACTTTTCTTGCATGTTCTTTTTCTTTCATTCTCATCTCCTGCTTGTCAAATACATGTATCGCACTTCTTGTGTTTTGTGTAAACTTTCATAATTTTGTTTTCCTATTCATATATTCTTGTTTGTATATTGAGTATAATAACATGTTTTATGCTGAAAAGATAGTGCACGATTGTATATCCTGTGTATACATCTTTTGGGGAAGGGGAAGTTTTGATTCGGTGTAAAATATTATATTAATTGTCGATATATGCCTCTATATTTAATACATTATGATCAACATTGCTGTAACATATTGAAACATAGTAATGCAATATGGATTGTAATAAAATGCTATAATATATCATTTTTGTGTCCATTTTGATGCGTTCTTTCAATGTTTGTGTGAGGTGGGCTAAAGGCTTGTTCAGATATGGCGCTCTGTGTTATAAGATACAGGGTTGTGAAACGTAGTACACTGTACATCTTCATAAAATAACCGCTGCGGTTTTGTCGCGTCATTTCTGAACGAGGCTAGGTTTACTTACTTTTTTTGCCAGAAATTTGTACAGCTCTTTAGTTGTATATCTTTGTCAGTTGGGAGTTCAATAAGCATATCCTGATTGATTTTATTTTAATTTTTTACTGAGGGAGAATTAGTTAATTCAATTCAATTCAATTCATATTTATTTCATTTCCAACAGAAAGATAAACAAAGATATTACATTTTTTCACACATAATTCATTTTTTCTGGTAACTATACAAATACATAAAATTATAATAAAATTATTACAAGAAATTCTTAATTCTTAATGAAAGGATGGACAGGGGGAAAGATCGATACATGGATGGACAGATAGTCAGAGGGAGATTGGTTGACAGATAGATTGATTAATGAATGGCCACAGGGAAAATGGATGGGTGGATTAATAATGGTCTGAAAGAGAGATAGATGGATTAATGGATAGTCAGGAGAGAGACTGATAGAGAGTCAATGGACAAATAGCGTATCAGAACAATAATTACCCTCTGGACAATCATCCCCCTGAAAATTACCTCCCGGAATACTACCCCCAAGGACAAGGGCAATACCCCCCCCCCCCCCGAAAATTGCCTAAGGACAACCATCCTCCGAGGCCAATTAGCTCCCCCCCCCCCCCCCCCCCTCGACCCTTAAAAAATTACTCCCCAAGACAATTAATCCCCCCCCCCCCCTGTTCATTAAAGGGGAAGTCCACCCTTATAAGTTAGTTGTAATATTTTTTTTTTTTTTTTTTGTGGGGGGGGGGGGTTATTTTACTGGAGGGATTGTCTAAGGGAGTATTTTTCAGGGGGTGTAATTGTACTAGGGGGTAATTGTCCTCGGGGGGGGGGTAATTTTCCAGAGGGTAATTGTCCTCGGAATCGACAAATAAGTGTACAGAGGAATAGATTTACAACAGGAAGTACTGTCTTCTCCTTCTCCTTCTCCTTCTCCTCCTCCTTCTCCTTCTCCTTCTCCTTCTCCTTCTCCTAATTCTCCTTCTTCTTCTTCTTCTCCCCCACTGTCCATTAACGTTTATAGTTAAAGAGTGAGACAAATAATGATTATTTGCATGGGTTTCTTAATCACCGAAGATGACAAACCTTGATGATAAATAAAGGGCTATCGATTAAGTCATGTAAACAGTAATTACGTAATGCATCGTAACACGAGCCAACGGCGTACAGTTATACGCTAATTAGCTCCCGAGCGGATGTTCATGATCCATAGATAATGATCATTATCATGTAGACCTAGATCTATAGGAAATTAAAACAAGTACTTAAATAAATTGATGGTTTTAAAAAGTAATGCGGCATTTGGTGTCTGACGAAGTGCAATCATGGGTTGAACGAGTAGGCCTGTAATTATATGAATAGAGTATAAAAAGCAGTTAAAAATGAATAATAACAAACGAGACGATCCCTGACCGCTGTTTAGCACAGTTACGGTAACCCGTCAATGCAAAAACCACAACGTCGTGCGTCCGTGTGCAAAAGAAAGCTCGAGTTGTTTACTCGCAGCTCTATGCAAATTTGTAATTACATCATCATGGTCCAATCAAGGAGCCTAATACTTCGCATTGTGCAGGCTCGGCCCAATAGCAGTCTGTGAACCAAATATGCTAATTTGAAGATCTGGGCACCGAGACACGCCTCCAGCGGACCCATGCAGATCATAACAATCATTCTGAAAAGCGTGATACGAACCTCATGTGTACTTGTTTACATCATAAATTGGACTGAATTTGGGGATTTATCAATACCCCGTTACTACCATTCTGTGTAGAATGTAATCGTCTTTGTGTCTGTCGGACAGCCATGCCGTTCTCTCGCGATGATAAACAGCAAAGAGCCGACCAATTTCGGCAGCAAGTAGAAGAACAGCTGGTTGAGGAAGATGCAGGCGATGGTGATGGCGAGGTAAACAACAATGAACACGAGGAGCCATGTTGTGTGCCGTTGAGTTGCACTGAAGGCGGACCTGTGCACACAGACGATCCGGACGACTGTCAAAAAGTCGTCTGCAACAATCCGGAATGCACCCAGGGTCAGCACATGCACAAGTTTTGCTTCGATGTATGGGAGGATGAAGTGCTGACATATCTACGGTCGTCTGGCAGGGCAAGAAGCTGGTCGGAGAAGCAGCGTCGCCAGAACTTGTGGACAAAGAAAGGCTACGATTTGGCATGGAAAGCCTGCTCGTGCAAGTGCGCCAAGGGTCATCTGCGGAAGGACCTGGAATGGATACCACCGAAGCTCCCGGAGGGCGCCGCGGCTGAGAATGCCCAGCAACGCAGGCATCGACGACGCAAGAAGTCCAATGAGAAACCGAGCATTGGCAGAGCTAATTCCATCAGCTCAAACTCTGGAAATGGTAACGGAAATGGCAATGGACATGGGAATGGAAATGGTCATGGAAACGGGCATGGAAGACTGCGACACACTTCAGCTTCATCAACAGCTTCAACCGAGAGCAACCTTACCCCACCGCAGAGTCCAAATGTTTATCAGTCCAGCTGCAAAAGCCAACCACGTTTTCCTCCACATGCAGCAGTGGTTTCCATGACAAGTCCCACTTCTGCTGCTCCTGCAACTTCAAGCCACGCAGCAACATCTCCAACAACCGCAACATTGACCACAACAGCTTCTGATGGAGCCTCTAGCCACAACACCCAAGCAGCACAGAGTCATGAGAGTAACACCAACTGGAGTAAGTGGCAACAACATGGTGGGAGCAGTGGTGGGAAAAACCAGAATCAACCCCACCACTTTGTGTCTCCGATGCCTCAGCAGCAGCAGTATCAGAGCCCTCCCTCTCACCACGACTACCACGGGCCACCCATGAATATGCCCCATCACCAAGGTGGCAACAACAGGCAGACCCCGCCCACCAACAGAGCATCTCAATTCCACCATGGAGGAGGACCCCCGATTTCAGGTCACAGGGCGAAAGATCCAGCAACATGCAAACCTACAACGCCAATTTCTTCAGCAGCAATGTGTACTGGAATCCCTCTACCGATAACATGCCTCCTAGCAGTAGTTCAAGCGGTAGTGGTACCGGTGGTAGCGGTGGTAGTGGTGCCGGCAGTAGTGGTGGTAGTGGTACAAGGGGCTTCCTACCACGCATGGATCTATCAGCATTCTACCAGGTGTTGCCAGCGCACAAGCTCAACTCCTACCACATCAAGATGGAGGAAGATAGCCAGCCGGAGTCCGAGGAAATACGCTCCTTCATATTCGCGACTCTCAATATACATGGCACTCGCGTCATTCCATGCTCCGTGTGCACCAGGAAGCTTCCCGTCTTTGATCGCTACCCTCTGATCGACGGCACGTTCTATCTCACGCCGCAGCGACAAGGCGATGGCAACAAGGGCCTACAAGTTGGTCTGCAGAGCTCCCAGTACCTGAATGCTGTCTGCATGCAGTGCCTAGAGGGCGTTCAGCGCATCGTCTGCCGTATATGCAAGTCTCGCTGGGATGGGAGCCATCACCAGCTGGGTACACTCTACTCCTACGACATCTTCGCCGCCTACCCCTGTTGTCCAGGGAGGGCAGGATGCAAGCGGTGCGGCAAGCCGGTCATCGACCCAACCCGCGGCACGCACTTCTTCAGCGAGTACTCAAGGAGTATACAATGTCCCCACTGCGGCGTTCCTGACTTCCACTTCGTGAAACCGCTGAGCAGCTACGAGGTCCACTCCAATTCTGTACAGCAGATCAATGTATGTTAACCATTGCTTAGGAGAAGGGTGTTGATTTGGTGATGGCACTTGCTACACCAGTAGCAAGAGAGGATTTTGAGTTGCAATGGAAGGATCTTAGACTGATATGAACTCTCTAGAGCCTGATACGGTGTTATATTTACTTCAACCTTTTCATATATTATACGTAACCCTTATTTTCTCAGCTTTAATAATCTTGTTTGATATTGACATTATATCTTGACTATATTTTTTGAAAGCATGGGTATTGAACATTTACCAAGATGCATAGTTAGCATCTATATTTTGTTCCTATAAATAACAGTTCATATAAATAGTGATGTTTTTGTATCTAAGCATGCAGTATACTCGTTTTGTGTCTAAATCAATCATTAGTGTATTTGATTGTATTAGATAGTGTGCTTTATACAGATGATGACGTACAATTGTAACAGTATTGATTTTCTATTCAACTGAATTGGTAAGGCCAAGGATTTTGCCAAATTATTAAATTACAAACTTGGCTGGAATTCAATTGAGCAACTCTTAGTTCCATCAGGTGATGAAGGTATGAAAATATTTTGATTTGATTTAGATTTTTTTTATAGTAATATTGGCTTTGAAGAAATGCTGATCATACCAGTCGACCATATGTTCAAGGTTAAAGAAGGAAAGGAATAAAGAAACGAGGGCTATTATAATGTCCAATTCTCTAGATGGGTTACAATGCTTCATTAATGAAATGAGTATGACCATTTTAGAGCACCACAAAATCAATACTGTTACAACTGTTACAATTTCTGAGCAGAAGGATCATATTAGAGGGAACTTTGTCCCAGGTCACTTCAAAGTGAAAAGATAGAAAATGTGAATATGAATGTTAGTTTTGTTGAGTGTCTTAGATTCTCTGGATCGTTTCCATTTTAGAGAGTCAGACTTGAAACAGTTGAACCCTGGTCTGTTTCCTGTGGCCAAAGTTTCGGTCAGTTTGAGTCAAGTCATTGAAGGCATTATAAACATTAGGCCCTGTTTCATTAAGTTTATATCTACATCAAGCTACAGTTATTGCTATAAAACAATGGAAGTAATTCACTTGATTGATTGAACGCAATGAGTTATTGATACCATCAAGTCTGTATAGAATTACTACGGTATCCAGGGAAGCAGAAAGAAGTGTTTATACATCATTTATCAGGCATGTGGTCTATATACCTAGTTTCTTATTGCTGTGTGCGTCAAAGAAATGAAAAAATTGTTTCAATGAAAAAGAATCTTCCTAGACGCATTGTTTTTCTATACAAAGTACATGTAGATCTGATGTGGCTGTTAATTGTAATGAAACAGGGCCTTTAATGTGGAGAAATGATAGTCTGGGTAAATTAGGTCATTTTTTTGAAGAAAGTTGAAAGGGTAGTCGTGAGTGTTACCGAAAATGTATTTTTAGTGAAACTATCTTAAAATCATTCAGAGTCGTTGATAAGTGAAATTCAAAATCAAGCTGATTACTGCGTAATGAACAGTTCTGAATTTATATGAAAACAGTATGCACAATTTGCATCACCAGAACTCAAGTTTTACGTATATATAGCTTGAAGGTAATAAATCTGTGATTCAACCCTTTGAATTTTCTTCTTAAATTTGTCATACACTGTAGATAGGAAGAAGTCTTGCATAATCCATGCTAGTTTATTAAAGGCTTTAAATGTGATGTTCAAGAAAAGTTAAAGGGGAATCCAACTGTAGATGAAAGCAGAAGAATCAGAGAAGTGTACTTGTGAAAGTTGAAATGAATTGGACAAAAAATTAGAATGTTAGTGAATTTTTTAAAGGTATAGACTCTTGAAAATTGGCTGAATCAGTTATGTCTCTGTGATGTAGTCGCAAAAACTTTCCCATTTGTTCCAACACACAATGACTAAAACCTATGGCTCAGGAGGGTTAATGCTCTTTAGATAATCTCTTTAATAATTTTTATCCATACTATATTGTGAATAGTGCTCCAAGGGAGAAGGCACTGAGGAGAAACAAAAAATAATTGTGTTTTTCTGCGCAACAAACATGAGAGTTATTCGTGACTTCTGTACAGTACATGTACGTCACGATACACTGACCAAACTGCCAATTTGAGATTCACATAGACTTGATAGTGATCTCATATTTCAGGCATTCATAACTTTCTTAATATTGCTTCGATACATTTCAAGCTTTCGCCATTATGTTTATATTATTTTTCTGCTTTCATACAAATGAACTTATTACAATGGTTGGATTGCCCTTTAGTGTAGCCTGTAAACGTACTTCGCCTTCAAATTATGTTGGGAAAGGAGACAGCCAGGCAGTTTGGAAAATTAGTTTGATGTTTTGAATTTGAAATGCATTATTGGACCAACGATGAGACAGATATATTTTCTACTTCCGTGCAAGAAATCGAGGAAGAAATATTAAGGGTACACTGTTATTGAAAGATGTGCATTGTTCTTGTGGGATAAGGAGTTTTGAAAGCATTATTTTTGTGTTCCATGCTCGTTAAATATAGCAGCTGCTTAGACATAAGTTTTTTTTAATTTTTTATTAATTATCTGTGACATGCCAAATTACATCAGTTCACTTTTCCAAGCTACATGTATCTAGAATTTCTAGATAAAGGGTAGGATTAGAAATGGTTTATCTGCTTACGTGTACATTGTGATATTAATATGGGTTGTCTGCTGAAAATTTTAAGGTAAAGTTAAGGTCCTGGCATACAGAGAAAGAGAGAAGCTCGTCTATTTCATATCATATGAAAGATGTATTTCTTTTTAACAAAACAAGAAATGAATCTTTGAAAGAATATTACAAAAATGGGTCATCTGGCCATTCAAATGTTGATGAGCATTACCTTCTTATAGAGTCAAATTGAAACAATGGAAAATACAATAATCACAAGAAACACAAAACGAGAGGCATCTTGCCCATTCTTGTCAAGACAATGCAGTCCTCGGACTAGAGTTGATATTCCAAGCTCAATCCTCTGAAGTCATTGTTTCTCAATCCTTGTTTTTAATTGTTGAACAAGAAAATATTACCGATGCACATGTTCATTAACATTTGAATGGATACTCGCTCTATTTTTGCAATTTACTTACTCAGACCTATAAAGTTCTAACTGTTGAATGCATGTACCAATCCAAGCATTAAAGTTAGAATAATAATTTTGATATAATATTTTATTTTATTTTATTGACAGGTTATATGAAAATGTTAACAATGAAGAGTGTCCAGTGTATTTTGAAAAAATTGTCATTCATTCAAATCAGTATTTTAATTCACTGCATTATATTTAAGTTTAGAGAATGTTTTGTATTTTGTGAGATTTTTTTTAATCAAGTTATATCAGCAATGATGCTGGTTGAACTTAAAGACCTTTTTACTTTTTTGTTTAACATTTAAACAAATTCAAAGTCAAATACATTCAGCAAGATACAGAATATTTCTTTGAAATGCAAAGATCATGCCTCAGATGAGCATATTACTCTAAAATTGACCAAGTGGTTTGACTTGTTGTTGCAATCATATTCCAAGACTTGGTTTGCTTTTTACTTTAAGAGTTTTTCAATAAGTCTCATATTTTACAACTCAACTACATGTACATGTTTATGTACTGTATGTACGAAATCCCAACTCCCTGGTACAATGTTACAAATAAAAGGTGAAATTAAACAAAGATATATATTATTTTTCAACTTAAAAGTGTATATTTTTGTTTACTTTACTTCTAAAGGAAAAGTCTGGTATACCAACCATTTGAAATTTGAGTCATTTATTTTCGCAACTATAGAATGTGTCATTATGTAAGGCATACAGAGTATCTCATAATGATTATTTGTTTCTTCATTGTAGGTTGGTTGCATATTTATCACTTTTCTGTTGGGTACATGTACAATGTACATACTGCTAAAGATTATAATAAGGGCTAGAACATGTCCTAAATATGGAAAAAAGAATGTCCTTGATAAAGTTGATATTTAATGTTACAATGGCAGTTTTATTACATGTAAATTGTTGTGTGCCCCCCCCCCCCCCTCTTGTGGGTTGGTTTAAAAATTTCAAAAAATTCAAAATTTAGGGGGTCCAGACTCGGATTTTGGGGCACCAATGTACATGTATCTTGGGCGCCTGTTAGTGTCAAGCCCTGCAGTAAAATGTAAATCAAACTTGGTTAGAAATGCACCCTTTCACGGTTACAAGAGTGCACATGCGCTGACATGAGCACCAATTTTTTTATCGTGAGTAACGCCGTTTTAAATTGCGAGTAACTTTTATTTGATGCCGCATGCAACGCAGATGCGTCGATATGATATGAGCGCACAGGGCAGTCAGTGACGCAACAATACATGCGCTTCTGAAGAAATTGATGACCCAATTATGTTTACTCGCAGATTGAAATGGCGGCCTTAACCGTGAAGGGGTGTATTGAAGTAAAGAGGTTGGTGTCAGACACTCATGGGCAAGTCTAGACATACATGTACGTGTATTCAGTCATTTAGTTTCCCCCACATGTTACCAAGCATATGGAACAGTGAACATAATTAAAACAATATTTATAGTTTTCTCGTATATTTTTGCCTAATTCATGAGGCTCTGAGTCTAGGGTTCTCGGCTTATAATCAGTGTGCGGGAATACCAAAATCTTTGCAGTCTGTAATGTTTTTGACAGGACAAAATACCATGCATTTGCCCACACACATATCATGCATGCCCCTATATGAATTGTAGCCATCGTCTGTGCAAGATTTATTTGCTTTAGGATTTTTCCATTTCAGTCACCATATGTCATATGAAAGAACATTAATGATCAATGATATATTTTGTGCATATGTACTGGTAGTCGAAGTAGGAATACAGATAAAGTGTTTTATGAAAGAAATAGAGAATTGTGATTTGTCACCAGCCCTGTTTATTTGTCAGTATCTTTTTTTCATTCAATTCTGAATTTGAATCTTCAGGCCAAATGTATATATGGCAAACCTTTCTAAAAGATTAAAACATTAAGTCATCTTGTTTCCAAAATAAGGTTTGTAGTTTTATATGTGTGCCCATCGAATAGAAGAGAATCTGTTTTATTTGGGAGTCGTATCTTCATCTACATTTTGTCTTTTTTCTTTCCATTTTGAGATTGCATATCCAAATACATGTACAATTATTACCGGTATCATTAGAGAATTTAAATGTAACTGATCACGCTCTGTTTGCATATTGAATGTAATGGTGTGAAAATGCAGTTTCGTTAAAAATAAAAACTTGGTTTTAACAACATCTACATGTATGTCTGTAGGTCCAAATGCTTTTAACATGATCGCAAAGATGGAGAAAATCAAATTGATGCAATTTCAGTAGCCTTGTGGGTCACATAGAACTGTACAAACGTCGCAGTGACATATTGCGTAATCCAAACATGATTTCTACAGGCAGTATATTAAGGTATTGAATTGCCATTGTTTTTTTTAACTCTCTGCGACTGTGTTCTTTGTTATGGAGTTCTAGTCTTAGTCTTAGAGACGGAAGAGCTGTAAAGAAAGTATTTTTTGTTTAATATTGTACACATTGAAGAAGATATTGTGCATTGTGAAAGAATAGGGAAGTTGTTGATATTGATGTACAAGATTAATGCTTGGTACATTGTTGAACGTGCCATAAAGGGTAATTTTAAGTTCTTGTCAGTGACGGATCGAGAGGTCACAGGGGTGTCATGCCCCCCCCCCCCCCGGCATTAAATTGAATAAATAAACATTCAAAAGAAGATACAATGTAGATGAAAAAAAAGTCTGCTGTTCTCAAATGCACACTATATCAAAACAAGTACTTGTGTCTATAAAGTCTATGTGCCCATGCCAAGTTTAACGGTGACAACCTTTCTTTTCATTTTGTTGCTTTAGAAATAAAATCTGTAATTCCCCCGTGTGAAAGATTTCCTGAATCTGCCACCGAGTATTGAAACTGCATTACTTATAAATGGCATAACATATGGTTACATTTTATTAGATGTATTGTTAAGTAGATGTCAAGTCCTGTAATGTCTTGAAGAACACACTGAATAGCAACACAGATACATAGGACTGGGCAATCTATTGTGTATCGGTATGTATTTTTAGTTCCACATGCATATTATATTGATCTACAGTTTCATCCAGTCGGATGAGCAGAAATTAATTTATTTATAGTTTTCACTGAATTTTGCTTGACTCTATGGAAATGGTACAAAAAAGGTTGAGTTTTATTTCAGATTATATTATCACTTTCTCGAATATAATAAAGATATTACCATTACTTTTTCTCCTCGCGTTTATTTAGGGCATGTATGTATCTTAATATTTGAAGAAATGTTAAATTTGTACAACACAAAAACTGGATGGCCTATATTCATTATCCATATACTACCATTCAACTGAAAGTTCAATCATCAGATTAATTGCACTATTATAATATTGCTGATTTTGTTTACTTGAGATGTGTCTAGCAGTCCAATCAAATTTTGGTTAAAGAGAAGTTGAGTTATGGGAAGTTTTGGGAAAGGTGAAAAATAAGTTGTGAGCTGTTTCATTCTATTTTTTGTATATCAGTGTGGAAGAAAATCATAAGGAAAAAAAATGGCCCGAAAAGGATGGCTCTTCAAATGTCCTCGTACTTGTAATATGAAAAGAAATGACTGAAATGTTTGGACCAAACTCTGTGCTGCAGGGTTGTGTAGTCCCATAAACGCATTTCTGTGTACAGTACAGTCTGTGTTCGACTGTTCAGTGAGACTGAGTATAAATTTCTTATAACTTTAATTATTCCCAAACCTAAGCACCAATTATTTTTTTTCTAATTAAATCAACCCTCTACAATTGCTTCAAGATGTTTTCTCTCATGATGCTATAGCATGAAAAGAACTCTACTTTATATTTAATGGGTAGTGATCTCTGATTGGAAAGAAAGAAGAAAGACAAGATTTGATGATGTTTATTTGTACAAGTAATATGTATTACGTAAGATGTCGTAGACAAGGATTGGCGCCCCTCCAATGTCGTGCACTTGGAAATTTGATTGTATGCCTATGCCTTGCTCTTCAGATGGAACGAGAAGTGATTTATTATTATATTTTACATTGTATTGTTCTCTGACTTGATATTCATTGTAGAACAGCTTGTTTTGTTACAAGTCAACTAAGATGCTCGAATAAACTGGAGAATTTATATGGTTTGAAAATATTGTGGATGTTTTGTTTTATTTCAGAATTTGGCATCTCTTGTTTCAGCAAATCCAAAGTATTTTTCCTACCAGTATACAGTTAACTCTGCATAAGTCGAATCTGTTGGGACAGCAAAAAATAATTTGTCTTAGGAAGTTTAAGTAACACAAGTTTTGCATAGTATGGGTAAAACAAATTTAATTCGATTTCGAGGAAATGGTTTTGTATACAGAGTTAATTATACATGCCAACCCAGTAATGTCTATGAAATACATGTATAGCCATAACAATGTATTATACAGCTTGGGACAGAGATTCTATCAAGGAAAACTATATTTTGATGTTTTAAAGCTCGTTATTCCTCTGTCCTTGATAACAAATGGGACCTAAAATGACAAAACATCTTGGACTTCATATTTCTCTGTTTTGTGTGTGTTTGTGTGTGTTGATTTTTGTTTTTGTTTGCATGTGATGGCATGAGCAAGTCATATTCACCTTTTTCTGTACTGCTTTTAATGAGCATTTTGCTTTCTCTTTCTACTGAACCCCATCTTTTAAAAAAGTTCTGTTTGAAGTCGAACCGCAAGATTACCCCACCTCCATTAGTAGACCATTGAGGTTGTCATGTATTGCAACTCCTGTACATTATTATTAATCACAATTCTTTGAAAGACAACAGGGCCACCTGGTATTTTTACTACTACCATGCATTATTGTCAAACATACAACTAAAGTATCTGAATCGTCATAGTTCATGCATTGCGACTTTATTTAGCATTTCTTATGAAGGCTACAATTTTTTGTTAGTTTTTTTACCACGCTTTGTCACCTAAAGTAAAAGAAACCTAAATAAAACTAAACACACACGCAAAACTGATTGCATTGATGCATTTGGTGGGGAATCCCCGCCATGACAATCACAATAGCATCGCTCTGACAATAGATAGTCTTTTATCGGAGTCGGGTGCCAGTTTACTATGCTCATACTTTTTGAGGTCTCTTCTCTTAATACAGGTCTTAATCACCATTGCTCTGAAGATTATTATAACATTTTTTTTAACAAATATCTCAATTCGTGTTAAATTCTTTTACACAAGTTTTTACAATATTTATTCATGAAGTTATTATGGATTTAAATAAACAATATTGATCTAATTCGTTTAAACAGAAAATGATTTTATTGTATTCATCATGGCAGTTTTATTCCGACTTGTGTTTGTTTAATTAAACATAAATGCCACAGTTAACGTTAATGGACTTTGAGCTGTTTACATTCTCACCATCTGTCTCCTTCTCTCTCTCTCTCTCTCTCTCTCTCTCTCTCTCTCTCTCTCTCTCTCTCTCTTCATCTTTCTCACCTGCTATGTTTAGGCTTCTTGTTTGAACAAACAACGCACCCTTGTGTGAAGTCGTCACAATTTCTCAAGTGCTGCCTGCATGTCACATAATTAGATCATGACTTTTGTGTAGCTCTCAGTTTCTTGTAAAACAGCAAGCTAGTTAAAACTTTTTTTGGGGGGGGGGGGGATTTGTCTCATGATGATCTGATGTTGATCATGTACTGTGTTTTTTTTAAATTTGTTTTGTAATGTGTCAGAACGGTCTGGTAAATAAGTGCTAAATATGGATGCCCACGTTGTTTGATATTTTGGAGGGAATGTTTATTGACATAAACACGTGGAAGCATTGAAAGAAATTAAAATAGGGTAAACTTTTTGGGAGTAAATTACTCTAGTGATTTATGATTTCAAACAAACAAAGGTTCTATATTAAACTGAAACGAAGAGAGCTACATGTGTTTAAAAAAACTGCTCGTTATCAAGCTTTGACATATACACAAAATAATCCCTCTTGATTTGAAATTTTAAAACCATTTTTTTTTTTTAATTTTAAATGTAGAAAATTATTTTCGTCTGACTCTTACATATTATATTGTGTTGCTTGTTCCTGTCTATAGTGTAAGATATGCTTCGTGGTGATTCTAACATTTTGAGATATTTGAAATATCCTATATAAGATTTCGAGATATTTATATTATCCCCCTGTTCTACCACTATGAAATCCGCTATCCGAATAAAGTTCTTGGAATATAAATTAAGAATGATATTGAGTTTGAATGACTGTGTCCTCTTTCCTTTCTTGGGCTAAACGTATGCTTATGCCGACCCCGGAAACTCACAAGCTCATGCTCACAATAACACTAAATTTATTTATAGTAACAATATTATCAATATATTGTTGATTTTCCCGTACACATACCGCGGACCTATATTCAAGGTTTGTGAAGCGACAACATTTCCAGGGGTTATTGAGCAGAGATCAAGTCGGAAATCCCATTTCTATGCACAGCTAGCAAAGAGCTCAGCTAGCTCCGGAACCATAATATTGGGCGCGTGCCAATGTTTTTTGTTGGCGAGATCGAGCACTAGTCTACAGTGCACAGACTCTGATATTGATACTTGACCACGATTCCTAACGTCTTGAGCAGGGCCAACTGTATCTTTCACATATCCCTGGTCTGTGTCTGGAGCAGCTATAAAAGTACATAGCATATGCAGTATGATATCAGTGTAGTCTCAATGTGCAGACACTGTTTGGCACGGTGACTGACAAGGGTTTGGGTCTGTAAACTAATGGAGAAATCAAGGACCCAAGATTGTCCTTCAGAGACACTGTGATGTCGGGACTCCATCTGCATACTGACGAATGAGTGCTCTCGAGGATGGAGTCAAGTTTTTTTTGTCTCGATATCAATTTTTTGGGGGGGCTCGCTATCTCCGTCCCCGCTCACCCTCCCCCCCCCCCCCAACCTTCCCCGGGAGGATATACAATCCAAAAAGGCGCGACGGAGTTCCGAACCGGGGTCTATCGGGGGGGGGGGGGGGGAGTCATTTAGGGGCTTGCGCCCCCCCCCCCCCCCCGCCCCAGAACCGCTAGGGTTTAGACTGTCCCCGAAAACATGGCTCTATGTTGCCTCAATATTATTGTACTGTTGCCCATAAACTTATAATAAGATAAATGTTATGATTATTGTGACAAACGGTTTATTCTTGATAAATAAAGTTGATACCTTCCCAGAACTTTATAGATTAACCTCTATGACCTTTTAGATCGATCAAGAAAGATTTAGGAAGGTAATCATGAACTTCTATCTGTCAAGAACAAACTTTATTGTCATAATAATGTGAAATAACGCTGAGAACTTAATGTAAGCGCCTAGCTGTTCACTGTTTACTGGGATGTTTATGCAGTATTATACCTAGTTTCTTCCTGTCTTATTCTTTTTTCTCTTTACTTTTCCCTTTTCAGTTACACAGTATTTATAATAAAAAACAATCACTTATTATTTGTTTTTAAATGTACACCATACCGATAGGCCGCTTCTTCAATTAGACATTGTATTATTAATATACAGTTCGTATTAAAAAAACAATATACCCAACTTTAGTTGCTTATAATTAATCTTTCATGATGAATGTGACATTGAAATTTATTTCATCGTAAAGAGTAACTCGTTTTCTGTCTAATTATACCCAATGCATATTTTTTCTGCCACGGATGACTGAGTACCAGGTTTTTTAAAACGTGCTGTCAAAATCTCCTTCTATATAAGTTTTGGCTGATACACCGAATGTATAGGTCAGGCATGGATGTCTTCTGTTGTTTTTGTTTTTCAGTGCTTCATTGTTTAAAGTTATCTAATGTACCTAAACTTTCCCAGGACCTTGTTTTAATCCACAGGTTGACTCATGATATCTAAAATCTTACTTCTCACTTGGTCATTGCACCATTTCAAATGCTCAAGGGATAATGTATCTGTCTTGAACAGCACATGAAAACTTGGAGGTTTACCAACCTCAAAGATTTAGTAAATGCGTGAAAGAAAGTCACGAACTACCAAACATAAAGACAGAAGACTTTCATGAAAAGAAGATAGGTAAATAGCATCCATGTAGGCAGTGGCGTCATGAGCAAAAACGTTTTTTTTTTTGAGGGAGGGGGGGCTGACAAAAAAAATCCGCAGCACACCACTCTAACATGCAGGCCCCGCTGAACGTTTCGCAAAGTGGGGTCTAGGGGCAAAGCCCCGGCGGGGGTCAAGGGGCGGAGCCACCGAAGCTCAAGGGGTATGGGCTTTAGTGGCGGATCCAGGAATTTCTTACCGGGGGGGGGGGCACAAAATGGCATGGGGTTAAATATATGTAAAACGATGAAGCGACAGAACGAGGCTTCAGCGGCGAGGGAGTGGAGCGACCAAACGGGGATGGGTCTGGGAGGGGGTTCTGGCCCCCTTCCAGAGTAAGAAGCATTTGCAATTTTAGAACCAAATTAGACGCATTTTCAGGCACTTCCTGGAGTAATATGACGTAAAATTGCTTTCTCCTACCCCTTCCAAGAGTTGGGATCTTTTGCAATTTAAGAACCACATTTGGCGCAATAATGTCCACCGGCACTTCCTGGAAAAAACGAGGACTTCTGAGTGGTTAGAAGTTAGAGAAAAGTGATCTGTCACGTCGCGAGACGTTGCAAAAAATGTTCTCGAGTGTATAAACTGTCTCGTTATCAGGGGCGTCGCTAGATCTTTGTCAGTGGGGGAGTGGGGAGGGTGTAGAGGCCACCGATTACCGACAAAACGAGCAACCAATTACCGACAAATATATTAATGCCAATGTCCAAATGTTTATAAATTTAACCCTATAAACCAGGGGCCAGGAACTAAGTTATTTTTCAGTCTCTACCCCCCCCCCCCCCCGCGCGAAGCGCGGAAACTTTGACACTTCATTAAATTATTAGAGAAAGAAGACGATCCGTTGTACCGTTCTCGACTCCTAATTCTTGTTTGGATCCAGTTCCCCCCCCCCCCCTCTTCCGCGAAGCGCGGAAGCTTTGACGTTTCAATAAATCAATACTCTTATTCCTTGGCCACCGATTACCGACAAAACGAGCAACCACTTACCGACAAATATATTAATGCCAATGTCCAAATGTTTATAAATTCAACCCTATAAACCAGGGG